AGCACGGGGAAGCCCATATCGAATCACTAAGTTAACAAGTGTCAGATACTATGTTCGGCCACGCAAGGCTGTTGGAATCCAACTCATTTCTCGAGAAAAGTGGCATTTTCTTTGTTGATCAAGTATAGTTATGCATATACAGTAGAAGTCTAAAACTGCCACAGCGCGCATTCATCGATCACAAAGCATTCTGCTACATCAACTATTCAAAAGAATGATTTTGTCCATGCCCTTCTTTGGTAAGGCCCAACTCTGCGCATCAATATGGTCGCAGACATGATCTTAGTCTCATACGTGCCTCTCCACTCATGATGCTATTCGAGCCAATTGCGCGCGGAATGTATGCGGCGCAGCCGCGGCGAGGCTGCTAAGATTGGGGGCCATATCAGATTTCGCGTCTCACATTTTCCAAATTCGAACTTTGCATAATCTCAATATTATTCCTTCTATAGTCACAACTTCATTGGTTCTACTGATTCGCTTCTGAATGGAGTCAATTTAGGACGCAGATGGGAACGCATAAAATTACTCTGACGCGCTGAACACGGAGCAAGCACTGATCTCACGAAGGAACATGCGGCAATCAGACTACGAGACGATATCACCGCTAGAGCCGTGCAACAGCAAGGCGGCGCAAGATTTTTGGGCTGAAAGGAGTAATTCGTCTTGCCATGACACCGGCCGACGTTATTCGAGGCAGTTTGAAGACGATGTCAGTTCTCTGAGTGCCACCTCAATTGCCGAAGAGAGAAAGTTTTTCCAGAACGTCGCCGACATGCCCGACGAGGGTCATCGAATTTGGAACCCTCGTCATCGCGTTTCATCGACGGTATCAATGGAAAAGGGACTCGATGAGGTTCTTTCGAAGCCAAACTGGAGGCCAAAGTATCTCCGACGACGAGTACTAGGGTTTGCCGTTTGCGTCTGCCTCTTACTGATCACTGCCACACAAATATTGGTAGGATACTCCGACAACCATCACGGATTGACATCCAGCTACAATGGGCTTCATTATCTTTGGACATACGGGCCAACCCCTGTGTTGACTCTTATTGGAGCGTTTTGGGCACGTATTGACCACCAAGCCAAGATTACAGCTCTTGGTTTCGCCTGGCCAGAGGACCAGCTGATGTTGAGCGAACCTTGCTATTGGACTATATCGGCTTATTACCGCCTTTCTCTACAATCAGTGCCATACGCAACAATGATGTCAGTGTTGCTTCTGCTTCAGCTCTTGTGCCTTTCTGCAGCTTGGTGATTGCATTCTCAGCATCGTTCATCAGCCTTATACCTACGGAGGCCCAACAGATGGCCGTTCCTGTGACATTGCTCACTTCATTCCGGGATAGTGCGTCAAGTCTCGTAAACGCAGGCTCGCTTCCCTACTTCAACATTCGTGGACTTCAGGAGAGCAACCTCAGCTATCCGGATGGGGTGTCGGAGAAATACGCATACCAGAGATTCACTGGGCCAACTATATCCACGACTGCGGAACTACACGCAACAATTGATGAGTTCTCAAGTGACTGCGAACGGGCAACGTTAAACTTGGACCAGGTTCGCTGGCTTGACACCGGCATTCCGTTGGCGAACTTTACGGCAGCCACCGGAGACTGTCAAGTTTACCCCCATGGCTGGGGCCGCCATATCATGAACTCGGCCATGATATCTATTTTTCCCGTCTTGCACCTGGAGCTTGCAAAAGTCCGTCCGAAAAGGATGACCAGAGAATTGTTGTTATATTTGGGAGCTTGCTATACGACGATGACAAGGCGCAAATTCACTTTCCTCTTCAGTCTATGAACACCAGTTTAACCAGATCGACACAGCTTCTTTGCAAACCAACATATAACGTCACCAGGATCGATACGATAAAGAATGGGACAGACATCTTGAATCTTGTGGAGTCTTCGGTGCCGAATACCAGGACCCTCCCCAATGTCCACCCATGGGATATCATGGCGGCGCACATACATTCGGTGGCGAATGTTTTGACCGACAAATTTGTTGATACCGCCACTGGATTAGTATGGAAAACCCAGAACGTCAACGCCTCGGATGCTCCAATTAACGTGGATCCTTACATGTACTTGGCTCTAGGCCAGCTCTCGAGACCGTCCCCTTCCTCGGCGACCCTACTGGAATCTTCGTTCCTCGAAGACACTACAAACTCATATTATCAGCAGCTCGCGGCTTTACTAGCCCATAAATTTCTTTCAGAACCCGTCTCCGCGGAGTCAACAGGATTCGCCTTCCTCTTCGAAGATCGAGTGGTCGTGAACGACACCGCGAGGCACGTGATAACATTTCTCTTCGCGCCGTCCATTGTCCTTTTGCTGGCGATTATGCTGGCTAAACCGAAGAGGTGGCTGCTTCCGGGAACTCCCTCAGGCATAGTTAGGCTTGCAGCTCTTGTGTCTCAGTAACACTATCCTCGAGCGTCTCAGGGACTTAGGAAGGGCTGATCTGGATGCGATTCGTGCTAGGCTCGGAAACTCAGAGTATATGATCCGAACTCAAAGCGACAAGTTGTCTCGGGAAGGGTTATCAGAAATATCTGCGACGGATATTGCACCCGAAGAATTCACTGCGTCGGACCGTAAGCTTCAGAACGCCCATGTAACGCATCCTTCGTCACTCACCCATGGCCGAGAGTAACTATGTCATTACTTGTCGCTGGCATGACTGCCACGCTTGAGGTTTTGTTAACGTTATCACAAAGCAACGAGGGCATTACGGACCTTCCCCCAGGAGACAAATATCTCCATTACGCTTGGACCACGGCCCCGGCCCTGATCCTTACCGTCACAGGCCTGATATACGCATCAATGGATACGAACATCAGGATTCTAACACCATTCGCGAACTTGAGACATGGAGGCAGTTTCAGAAAGTCCGCTGCGCTTGATCCCATGGATGTAGGGATACCACGAATGTTGCTGAGAGAATTTCGTACTGGGAGTTTGCCGGCCTTGAGCGGAACCTTGGTTGCGCTGGTTGCATCGTTGCTCGCCACGTTCTCTTCATCACTTTTCGTGGTGTCAAACATTCCCGTCAGGATATCTGTGCAATTGAAGACCGTTTCATCTTTGAGAAACGACACACCCGCGTATCACTCCGGTTCGGCGACTCTCGGCCTTGCTAGCTGCCTGATCCTCGAAAGCAATCAAAGCTATCCAGCTTTCACTTACGAAAATCTGGTATTTCCTGAGCTTCTCCTAGATCTCAACAGTACAGCCAACCATTCCCTCATCATAATGCCACAATACCGGCGGCAAGAGCAAAAATGGATTGCATCATGTATGATGTTCCAAATATTGCAACGAAGCTCGAGAAACCCTCCAAGAAGTCCGCGTGGAGGCCCAATGTCCTGCACGCCAATATAACGGATATGACTTGCTCATCGCCCGAACCCGAAGTAATAAGATATACACTAGAGCTTGACACCTCAGTGCCTGTAGACGGCGTAGTGGCAAAGGCATCCTATCGGCCGTTCATCAACAGCTGTAGCGACTTCTCATACGTCTGGGCAGGCGTGACATCGGGTACGGACCCGAGGTTGGAGGCCAATACGGCGATGACACGTCATGAATCTCTTGAGGTGGTTGATGTTTCGGTCGTCTTTCTCGGAACGGAACTACGTGTCGACCCGGAGAACCCGCCGTATGCCCTCGTAGAGTCCGTACGTACCAGCTCGGTAAATAATAGCCTCTACAAGATCTCAGAGGTGTATAGGACCCTACCCAATGTCACATCAGGGCTGCTTGACGAGTTTTTCTCTGCCCTGACGACGTCGCGATACGCCATTCCAGTCTCCTATCTAAAGATACATCCAGAACACCGAAAATTCGCAACGCCATTCTGTTCCAACATAGGATCATACGGGCTCAAGAACTCAACGATTTTAAGCGAAAACAAGCCGATAGCACCAACACATTTAGCGTAGCCAGCTCGGAGAACGATTCCATATTTTATAATGCTAGCCTGACAGATTCCGCTGGTCGGCTGAGGGTCGTGGAAGACGTCACTTCAACTCGCATCTTGGAGGTTTTGCTGGCCCTCACGCTGCTATTATCGATTGCAGCATGGATCATGATGCCGAGGACTAGGATCTTGCCACACAGTCCATCCTGTATCGCAGCAGTGATATCGTTGCTAGCTGATGGAAACATTATCCAGTGTCTTCCACATGACGTACAGACCATGTTTGACCGAGAGGTTGAATCTCGTTTTGACGGACTGAAGTTCGTGATGGGTTGGGGGAACGTTGTGACTCCTGAGACGCTAAGTGAGGCATCAGATGGGCAGAACTTCGGGATATTCACCGCGACCATATGAGTCGTCTTGATCTATCTCAGGGATAACAGAAATGAAATTGATACAAATCTAAAGTCGGACGAGCTCATAGAACCTAATGTTGGGAGCTGCTTTTGCTCTGCGTGTTCCCAGTAGCGCAAGCGTCGCCGCTCGCCGCCAAAAGCGAATTGAGAGTCCAAGGTCTCCATTTTGATGTCATGGACTTGGCTACAGCCTCAAGCTCAAGCAACGGCTTACCGACAAGTACATTCACGGCCATCCGCTTGGGTAAAGACTTGAAAGCAAGCTTGCTAGAAATTGGAAGACGCAATTAGCAGATCACTGAAGCGTAGCAGTCCCGGTCCCACCAGCGATCCGCGCACACTCTCACTTGGGGTGACTGGTTGGTTGGGTTCAGCGCCAAGTACCCACTAAGAACTGCCGGGGCGGTCTAACGGCCGGTTTGAACGGCATCCGGATCGGACCACTGCAACTTCAGCAGAGGAATAAAAGTACAATGGGATCTTACCAATCAGTCGCGGAAAATCAGGTCACCACACCTTCAACGCTTGCGAATCTCAATTAAGACGTTGGGCATCGAAAGGCGTCGGCGGCAATGACTTCCGACCCTGAGCGTCCCGACTCTGCTCAAGCAGCGGCCGAACAGAATGGCTACACTTCCGACCTCATGACTATAGAATCTGTCAGAAGTGAGCACCATGATGACGATGAGCCTGAGGCCATGCGGGATCTTCCATGGAGCCTGGCCATTCGGCTTTACACATCGCACTTTTTGTCAACATGGAATTCTCGCGTGTTCGAATTCGGCGCAACCCTGTTTCTCGCTTCAATCTACCCCGATACCCTCCTCTACATGTCGGTGTACGCGCTCGTCCGCAGCGCATCGGCAATCTTGTTTGCCCAATCTATAGGGACATGGATCGATCAGGGAAACCGCTTGACTGTCGTGCGAGTTTCCATCATTGGGCAGCGTCTCGCGGTCGCTGCAAGTTGCGCTATCCTCTGGATCATGGAGCAGGGAATAGGCGTGAAGAACGCCAGAGTGATAGCCACTCAGTTCGCTTTGGTCGTACTGCTTGCCTGTGTGGAGAAGCTGTGCTCTGTCATGAACCTCGTGTCCGTGGAGAGAGACTGGGTAAGCATGACCTCGAGTACTATCTGTTGTAACTCAAAGATCCTGATACGTGCCAGGTTGTCGTCATGACCGAAGGTAATGAACCTTTACGTCGGGTACTAAACGCAAGGATGCGTCGCATCGACCTGATCTGCAAGCTATTGGGCCCTCTGGCTATATCTACTATCGCTGTTGCATCGACACTGATAGCTATCTGGGCAACCTTGGCAATGAATATCATGTCCGTTGTCATTGAATATGTCTGCATAGCACAAGTGCGCCCTCTAATCCTCAACAACTTCGCCTTGGCTAACTTGATCAGGTGTACAATCGCATTCCGGCACTCAGGCGTTTACAGCCAACGGTCTTTGATGAGGAGGAAGAACCTCAAAATACGCACGCAGTTCAATCATGGCTGAAGACTGTCAAGTCAAAAGTCCTTCCGATTGACTCTTTGCCATTCTACTTTGCGCATCCTGCTTTCTTGCCCTCGTTATCACTTTCACTGTTGTACCTGACGGTGCTGTCCTTTTCAGGCCAAATGGTCACGTACCTTCTGTCTGTGGGATATACATCACTATACGTAGGTATTGCCCGAACTGTCAGCACTATCTTCGAGCTGAGCGCGACCTGGATCGCCCCCCGACTCATGAAGCGCATCGGCCCGGTCCGTGGGGGTATCTGGAGTCTATCATGGCAGATGATATGTTTGGCGGGAGGCGTCGGCTGGTTTTTCTCCGATTTTCAGATTTCCGGCACCAACAGTGTCTTTGCCGCCAGTGCACTAGCAATCGGTGTTGCTCTGAGTCGTGTTGGGCTCTGGGGATATGACCTCTGTGCTCAAACGATTGTGCAAGATGTGGGTGCCAGTCCTTCTCTCTTATAACACGTACGCGGACATGAAAGACCGACTGACTGACCACAAAACAAAAGGAGGTTCCATCCGATCATCGCGGTACTTTCTCGACCGTCGAAGCCGCCTTCCAGAACCTGTTCGAGCTCATTTCTTTTGCCACAACCATTGTGTTCTCGCGCCCAGATCAATTCCAGTGGCCCGTGGTGATTAGTGTTGTGGCTGTCTACTTTGCGGGTGGCATGTATGCCTGTTTTGTCCGCCGCAGGCGAGGGCATCTACTGCATGCTCCTCCGTGCTTGTGCAATAAACACGAGGGCCAACACTAAAATCGCACTGCGCCCTAATGATAGAGCCACGTGTTCTAATACTGTCTTTGCACGATACGTGTAGCAGACTTTTATGTTAGTGGCATGTAGTGGATACACTTCATTACGTACACTTCTGAGGTCCTCTGATACGTATATAGCAAGAACTCTGATCACATGTTGTCTTTGGCTGTGAAGCTGAAATTACCAAATTTCATTTTACTGATTTCAATTGTTCAATCATGTCGCTAATGGTATAACTATAACACGTGAATTCAAGGCTTCGTCATATTTAGACACCAATAGCCTTGGCAATGGCCTCGCCCACACCCTTTGCCGACGCCGGGTTCTGACCGGTGATCAGCTTGCCGCCGTCGACGGACAGGACCAGCGGGCCCCACGGCTCGGCGGCCTTCTTGTAGACACCACCGACCTCGCCGAGCTTGGTCTCGAGGAGGAAGGGCATCAGCTTGGTCATCTGGGCCTGGTCCTCCTCCACGTTGGAGAAACCAGTGACCTCCTTGCCGTCGACAAGGTGCTTGCCGCTGGGGAGCACGACGTTGGTGAAGACGGCGGGACCGTGACACACGGCCGAGACGGGCTTGCCGGCGGCGACGAACTCGTTGATCAGCGCAATGCTGTCCTTGTCGGTTGCCAGGTCGAACATGGGGCCGTGGCCACCAGGGTAGAAGAGGGCGGCGAACTCGCCCGAGCGGCCCACGAACGAGGACAGCTTCTCTGTGTTCTTCCATAAGGCCTCCTTGGTCTTCAGGAACTCAACCGACGAAGGGTCGCTCTTGAACATCTCAACGGAGGCCTGGTCTAGCGGGGCTTCACCGCCCTTGGGCGAGGCGAACACAAGCTCGGTCTTGGGGGCGAGAACATCGTAAGGGTGTGCGAGTTCGGGCTGGACACAGAGTGGTTAGCGCTTCTGTGCTCGAAGAGCAGTTTATAGGATGACCTCTCACCAGATACCAGCCGGTCTTGTTGTCGGTGCCCTCAATCTGGCCATACGAGGTGAGAACTACGAGAACCTTGGGTGCCATTGTGAAAAGTTGTGGTCGATTTGGTAAAAATTTCGAGTGTATAAAGTTTCAAGTGTATAATAAGGGCTTCTACGCGGCAAGGTGACGGGAGGAGGGAGGTTTATATAAACTCATCAATAGAGTTTCTGAGCCCGCATCTGGAGGGCCTGTCCTGTTGCATTGCCATCATCATCAGAGCCTCCAGGGATTACCATGCTTGACTAATTCCAACTAAGCCTAGGCACGGTCCGTATTGCCAACTGCGTCTGGTCGACCCGGCCGAGGGTGGGAAATGCGTGCGGGTGGAATCCCGATGGAAGCAGCAGAGTTTCTCTGCCAACTCGGAGGTGGACGCATGACGTTGGTCCAGCACACCATTGCACCAGAAGCGGCGAAGACACTGCTAAAAGAAAAAGTTGGGGCTCCGGGACTCCTTTCGGTAATGAAGCTACCCCTCGCTACAGGGGTCTCCAGGGTGGTGTTCTGCCTGACGTGTGCTAACAGCTCCTAGGTCGCCCAAACCGCCCGCCAACCCCGCCGACGTAATGCGATAGCCGACCGCCTCGTCCCTTTGACATCAGTGAGCTACATGATCTACAACACGTGGTAAACGGCGAGAAAAGTTTGATCGATTGACAGGGGCTTGCAGGGGCTCAGGCGGGCTATCAGGCTGGATGATGTGCAGCGCCTACCTGGCATGTCTCGACTTCGTGCCGTCAAGGTCGTTCCACGATCTGATCAGGCTGGCCCCAACCCCACGGTGGCCTATGCCCTGTTGCTAGGGTCGAATTGGGCGAGGCCGAGGTTGTCGCCGTATCCATGCGCATCGACGATGTTCTCTGCGGCCTTAACGCCGATATGACACTTGATATTTCGGCGATTGACTCGCTCGCCAACAGACGAGCATCGTTTGTTTCGGGTACATGTTTGTCATTGCAAACTGCAGAGCGTTGAACTATTCCAGCCTCAACAGTAGGTGCTCCATTCTAACTATTGGATATCTCTCGGGAACTTGCGTTTCTATTTGCTTCTAGTCTTCTCCATCACACTCTTCCATCTCGTTCTCACCAGTCGAAGCAATGCCCAAGCTACCAAACGGTAGACGACGATTGTGGCCGCCAGGGCACCGATGTTGACCACCGCGTTGCCGTTCAACTTGTACAGATCCAGTACCTGCTCACCCGTCGAAATAATACAATCACCGTTTGGCAGCTTCTGCGTGTCGTCGCAGGTGAACTCGACCCCTCTCAGGCTGAAAGGTGCCAAGGCTGCCGTCGCATACTTCAGCGGGCTTAGGTAGTTGAATGCTTTGAACAGTTCCGGCATGTCGATCGACATGATACCTGCCATGATCTGCGCGACACTGAGCAGAACAGAGATGACGTTGACTGCGAACCCAGTGTGGTTGAACAGGGTGTTGAACATGATTCCCAGGCTCTCGCCGCAATTGACAATCCCAAAGCAGCAGAAAACGCAGACAAAATACATCTCCACTGTCCTGGGGAACCCGACCGCCAGATCGGCGAGCACTCCAAAGATCAGACACGAAATGATCTCGAATGGTATTTCAAGTATCGTATACGTCGCAAGGAATGCTTCGATGCTGTATACAGAGTCGTCATCCTCGCGGTAGAAAACCTCGCGCTCGGCAGGGTATACTGCCACATTTTGCAGCATCCCCACGAAGTAGAATGCGCCCACCTCTTGAACAAAACCCACGCGGTTCTGTATGCTAGGGTAGTCGTTATGAAGCGGTGCAAAGAATAGCGAAAGAACCAGTGCAAGGCCAAGTACTTGCATCGTCCGTGCAAGAATCAATGGAGGCTGCCGTCGGATATTTATCGTAGCTCGATGCAGGAGCAGGGGCAACGCAGTCGTGAATGTAGCTCGCCTGTGTACCATTGCTCCAAGCTCAGCCGGAGTTGCCAAAGCTGTCTTATTGAACGACCTGCGAGCAGACGACACAGGTGGCTCCGCGAGCTGATGATGCAGGCCGCTAGCCTCGCCCTTCTCAGATACTGTATCAGCATTAGCCTGAGATGGTCCCAGACTCGCTACTCGGGTATTGCTTGTCTTGGGTTCGTTTCCATCTGCCTCTCCGACGTTTGAAAGATGTTGGGTGGTATGGACCTTCGCGGCGGAATCTGTTTGGGAGTGTGTCTTCCACGATTCCACAAGCTGTTTAACCTTCTCTCGGCTCTCTACCTCCTTATTTTCTTCCTGAAGATCGATAGTGATCAGATCCAAGGCAAAGTCGGCGGGATTCGTATGCTTAGGGCACTCGTAACCAACATTGCCGAAGTACGTTATCATATCTGTTGCCGACCCAGCATACACAGGTGAACCTCCACGTGCCAGCAAGAGGACATTGCCAAAGCGACTGAACAGATTTGACCTAGCTTGATGTATGGTCAGGATTAAGGTGCGTCCCTCGTTGGCTAGCCCGTGCAACACCTCCAGAATACTGTTTGCGGTAAAGGCATCCAGACCGGAAGTAGGCTCGTCAAGCAGCAGGACACGGGGATCTGTAAGGATCTGAACCGCAATACTGACACGCCTTTTTTCGCCCCCTGAAATGCCTTTTACCAATTCACTACCCACCAGGTTGTCCGCACAATCCTTCAACCCCATTTTCAGTAGGACTTCTTCAGCTCGCTCGTTTTTCTGCTCCTTGGTCAGGAATGACGGCAAGCGCAGCCCGGCAGCGAAGCGTAGAGTCTCACGAACCGTGAGTGACGGCAGTAACGCATCATCATCTTGACAGACATACGAAACCACCGATCTGGTAACGGAGTCGGATGGGACGGCACCATTGAAGGTCAACTTTCCGGAAGGCAAGTACCGCGTGCCCACAGAACTGTTGAGGCGCTGGGCCATCGCATTCAGCAGAGACGTCTTCCCACTACCTGATGGCCCCATGATAATATTGAGCTGCCCTGCGCGAAAGGTTGCATTGACCGGGTTGAGAATAGTCTTCATTGGTAGCTTCTTTCCCAGCGACGTTCGCTTTTCGAGAGCCAAGGCAAAGTCGTCAAGGCCAACATCTATGGCTCGCACTTCCTGGATTGATCTGGCATTTATCTTCTCCTTGCCGGCGGAAAGATCGGTATCGGATGTCCTCGATCGAGCAATGGTCATCTCAACATTCAAGAATGCCAGCCCGATCCAAGCTGTGACGCAGAAGAGACCAACGAATCCTGCCATTGCCCATATGGGTCTCGCAATCCAATTTCTGGGGAAGCCCAGGTTATCCATTATGTAAACACCCGTGTAGGATACACATGCTGGATTATCAGCGCCTCCTTCCAAGGGGCAGTCATAGAAGCTATCTTGAAATTCATTGCCGCACAGCGCCCCGAAAGCATAGTACTGGTTCTTGTCAATGGACTGTACAATTCAATTGAACTGGGGTGCGACGTTACTCACCGTGTATGTCACATATTTCAACCAGCGCACATAGATCGGGATGGTGTTACTCTGCACAAAGTAACCGCAAGCCATACTTTGCAAGGTATAGGTCAGGTTCCCGATCAGGCTTGCGCCCGGGAAATGCCTGACCGCAGCCACCGAAGTCATTGCCAGCGTGACTGCGATATAGTGATTCAAGAGGATGATTGAGAAGAAGGTGAAAAACTTCTCTACATCTCGATCAAAGCCAACCATGAAATAGTAAATAACGCTGTACAAAAAGGGGACGGGGATGTCCTCTGTGAGCAATCGTGCAATTCGGCGAGATAGCATGAATGGCAACGCTGTGACACAGCCTTCGCTGTGTTCACGGTCAAATGTCGGTATATCGATGGTAAGACGGTACGTCTCAAACATGAGGTATAGATATCCCTGCAGACCAACAGACGTGTACAGGGCTCCCTGTCGTGATCTGATACCAGGCTGATCTCTGGCGAGAGCGTAGAATATATAGCCGGTGATGATTGCCATAAGGATGGCTTCACCCACTGAGCCTGCCATGCCCATCGGGTCTCGTATTGTGACTTTTAGAGTTCGGTCTGTTAAAACACGGAGCTGGCGGAAAAACCCAGCATGTTGATCGTGAAGCTGTTTCTTCGCCCCATTTTCTGGTTCAGCGGCTTTGGAAGACGGAATAGCAGCAAATCTCTTGGGCGTTTCTTCTTGCCAAGCAGTCGCCAATCCCTCCACGCGCTGTGTCGACTCCGCCTCGAGCTCTGGCGTGCGATTGTCGATAGCGGCGTGATCGATGTAGAATTCAGCAGGGTTGACAAAAGGCGGTAACTCAAAGCCCAAGTTGGAAAACCATGGGCTACATTCCCGCAAGGGGCCCGAGAAAACAGGCTTGCCTCGAGATAAAATAACTAGATTGTCGAAAAGATCCCATATCTCCGACCTGGGTTGGTGTATTGTCGTGATGATCGTCCGGCCTTTCTGAGCGAGTGATTTCAGAGTCTTGACAAGTTGATGGGCACTGGTGGCATCTAGGCCAGTGGTCGGTTCATCCAGAAACAAGATCGACGGGTTAGCAAGTAATTGGACGCCAATACTTGTTCTGCGCTTCTCCCCACCAGAGCATCCTCTATGCTGACTGTTGCCTATGCGCGTGTCGGCACACTCTTTGAGCCCTAGTTCGAGAATGACCTCCTCAACTACGCGTAGCCGCTCCTCATGCGACACGGACGACGGCAGTCTCAATTCTGCGGAGTATCTTAATGTCTCACGAACTGTCAACGTCGGCAGTAATATGTCTTGTTGCATGACGTAGGCATGCCTAGCCGTGCGCACACCCTCACGCCCATTGAAAGTTGCAGATCCACTCTGGGAGAGCCGTCCACTGTTCATGCGCTCAGCAATCGTGTTGAGCAGTGTCGTCTTGCCGGAGCCACTCCCCCCAAGTATTGCTGTCAGAGTCCCGGGTAGGAGGGAAGCATTCATGGAGCTGAGTAATGTTTTCGTACTTGGACCACTCGAGCTCTTACGGAACAACCCAGTAAAGGTGGCTGGATCAAGTATAGACGGCGAGGTGTCAACTTTGACCGTAAGATCTCTGAGTTGAACATCAACTGGCTCAACATCATCCAACGATAGGTGGCTTCCGACAGGTAGGGATGCCCGTTCCTCACGCCCATGCGGCCCGTTATCCATCGAAGTTGCAATTGAGCTCGCAGGTTCGACTTTTTCGACGTCCAGCAGTGAAGGAGCCTCTTGAGGCTGGTTGGACCGTGCAGCCATAGTGGAATCGCTTTTGTTTGAGGGCGTTCGTGGTATTCTACGGCTCTCAAAGTTGCAACAAGAACGTTTCGCGGGGGTGGTACCCTATAGAGTTTCTGGTTTGTTCGTTTGCCCCCCGAGTTTGTTGAGACCCGGACCAGACCCTGTGCTTTTGCTCCAATTACTAAATCTTTGGTAGGCGAAGAGACTCGTAAGAGCGCCTACCGATGTGTCAAGCCATCGTGCGCGAGAGAGACATTTTTACCCAGAAGATCAAAAGTGTAGAGTGGTATGAAGGTATATTTATGACGGGTCTGGCCAGAGTTGGTCGAAGCTGCAATGGAGGAATCGCCCAGAATCGTGTTCTAGAAATCTTCCAGGAGATGAATGGAGCCGGATGATCGACCAACGGCGTGATATCAGCAGCGTTGAAATGGGGTACCGATGTCAGGAAATGCAACATCGAATCTGGAACCAATAATGCGCTACAGACGAACAGGGCCTCGAAATCTCGAAGCGACCCAACACAAGTGGAGACACGATGCTTGGATGTAGAAAGGTGCCAGCGCGCTACGAGTTGCAGTGCCGAGCCCTTTGGAAATCCTACTTCACCTTGCTACTCTTAGGGACTGCTTCCCCAGCGTCCGTCTTCGCCCTCCGGACGTAAGCATGGCACCTTGGGCATCCGAGGCACAAGTAAAGGAGCAAAACCCTGCATCTGATACGGAGCGTGCTGACTGTGTCGTTAAGTGTAAATGCAGGTTCCGTATTCCTGTGCTGGCAAGGCTACGGACAGCAGATTGTCGTCCAAGGGCTGACCAACTGACCTCTGGATTTAAGCGAGATCCATCCATCTGCATGACAGGGGTGGTGCAAAAGGCGCCCATCCCTTAAAAATTGGGGGCAATGACTGACCTGCTCGGCAGGCTTGTGGGGTTGTAAAGCATTCGCGTGCGTAGCGAGGTACTGTATCTAACCATGGATTTGCTTCTTCAGGAAAACGTTACGAGGTTCCCCAGTTGTCAAAAGAATCGTTAACGGAATCTGTGAGCCCCGAGCGCCCAATGACACTCTGGAGCAACCCCGAGATGGTTGTCGGCGGTCTAGTTAGTCTCGGGGCCAAGAACTCTCCGAAGGCCCTGAGGCTCGAGCCCTCCATATTGCCTAGGCGAGAGGTGGTGGTCGGCACGGAGGAACTTATTGTGCCAGCCAGATGCAGGTATCTCCCGCACGTAGGGGAGTCAACAGGGCCGATGTTGGGGGTCGATCCTGCGAATGTCTTACCCGTAGGTCTGTACTTAGACAACCCATTCACGAAGAGGTGACTTCTTGAAGGTCGCTACCAAACCATCGACTTTTTGGCACCGATTTGATGTTTGACTGGGGGTTTCTCTGGGCTGGAAGGGTCCGATGGGGACATGCTGCAGGGGCACCTTTGAAAGCGGGTGGCGCCCACTTTTGAGGAAGAGTGCCTCGAAACACCGCTTTCCCACAATCCTAGCTCTCCCCAGCAGCCCCCAACCCGTGGCCCAGCTTAGCCGAGCTGCAACAGTGTGACATCGCGTCGGCGATTAAAGCTTTGGTGACAGACGGCAACTCCAAACGCTTGCTGCATACATGCCTAGGTAGGTACAGAGGTGAAGATCAGATGATTTGGCGCGTGGGCGACACATGGCAGCATGCGTGCATGGCTATCTGACACCCGACGCTTCACACCACAGCATGCGGCACTACCAGAGTATGCCAAGTCGCACGAAACCCAGCGGCATGTGACCACCAGAGAATGCAACACTGTTCTTGAAAGCCGAACACGACTTAGGAGGGTACCTGCCTGTTCCAGGGTGGACGGGAGGAATATAAACTTTGGGGTAACGCCGGATATTGGGCTTTGCGAGATACTTACCACAGTACAAGCCAGTCGTTTGAGTCCTTACCTGTTGATGACTAGTTCAAAGTCGAAAGATACAGCTGACGAAGACGTGACTTGATGGAAAATCCATATAGATTTTAACCACAGTGAGGCTCGGGATGGCACGGAAACTCGGGTAAGCAAATTGCCTGCTGTACACAACATGGGCAAACCAATGATGCTATGATCGTTCAGAAAATCTGCGTCAATACAGTGTGCAGATCTGGACAGTTGGGACACGTTTGGCAGTCGTAGCTCAGCATGTCTGGCCAAAACGATATGGTATGTTGGAGTCCATGCATTTCATCTCCAGACCCTGTCTGAACGACTTCAGGTGAGATTTATGTTCTTGCGAACGCATAAAGCTACAGTATAAATACACCGATCATGAAAGAAATGCTCTGCTATCCCTACTTCGGATCCATCTAGTCGAACTCCAGTCCAAACGCCGCCGCAAATCCACGCCTCACAATCAATTGGTAACGCCTTGCCGTTTTCTTCCTGAAATATCCTTGAATGGCTCTACCGGGTGTCTTGCATGGATGTTCTCCCTGAGCTGACGGGATAACCAGTCCTAGGGGAACTGTGGTCACTCATCGACGCAACAGTCGAGAGAGCCAGTGCTGGGTTGTTGGCTGCCGGATAACCAGCACGCCTCTCTTGGTCACTATCGTCAGGAACCGAAGACGCGCTGTAGTAGCCGCCCTCTTCAGCCTGGCGGCTAGGGTCTGCAGCAACGCCAGGGTTCTGGAATCCCAAAGAGGCGAGAATGCGTGTAGTCACCTCGCGCTGCTTCTCTCGCAGCTCGTGGTTAGGGTTCTTGGTCGGGTCGTTCAGTTCATCGCCGTCCTGGCCGGGATTTGCCATCTCATATTCGAGGGTTTTGATGAACTTGTAGAAGGCAATGGCGAAGATGCAACCCACAAGAGGACCAACCCAGTAGATCCAATGCTCAGCATCGAAGGCGCCGGTAACCACGCAAGGGCCGAAACTGCGAGCTGGATTCAACGAGCCACCCGTATAGTATACTCCAACGAGCTCGGCGACGAAAAGAGCCAAGCCTATACCGACGGGAGCAATAAAAGTGGATCTGTGTTTTTCCTTGGCCAGCATGAGGATTGTGAAGACCAGTTCAGCCGTCATGAATGCCTCAATGAAGACACCCTGTGCCAAGGACGTGCCTTCGCTTAGTGTGGTGCGGACATTGAGTGGCGTAGGGAAGATGGCCAGGACCAAGGCTGAAGCGGTAATACTGCCTACGATCTGAGATATGAAAAGAATTACACCTCTCTTCGCATCAATGGCACGGGTAGCCCACAGTGCTAGTGTGACCTATCCCACATGTTAAGTATGCAAGTTTACTCGTGGGCTGGGTGTGACTTACGGCAGGGTTGAACAGTCCACCGGAGATACGGAAGAAGATCCAGACATTGACCATGAGACTGAACCCGAACGAGACAGAAATATAGAGCATAACGACAGGGTCGAAACCAGTTGTTGCATTGGTCGTCGTTGCCTCAGCGGGTGTCTTGGAACCGGCGTTCGCAACTTGCGTGCCGGCGAACGCAAAGAACAAGAACATGGTCGTGCCAACCCATTCGCCCATGGCTGCCACAAAGAGGTTCTTGACTTCACTGTGCATCCACATCGTCCAGGGCAATCTCATTTGGGAGAAGTCTTCCACTTTCGGGTTGGTGCGTGGTTGCTGCCGGCCCATATTTGGCGGCGCATAGTTGAATCGGTTATCTCCAATAATGTCGGCATAGTTGTATGGCATCTCTCCGCTGCGCCAGGAGTGCCGGTGCGGATTCATTGCCGACTGTTTCGCCATCTTGGTCTGCTCTTTCATGTCATAGAATGAAAGTGGTCTACCCCGGTTGGCGAGAAACTGCTGCTGTTGGGGTGCATTGTCAAAGTATGACCCGCTTGGTTCCCTATCTGTCTCATCCGAGTCATCGGCTGGCGCGAGATGGGTGTGTTGCGTATGCGTTGTGTTCATGCTGTTCGTTCGCCGAGCCGGAACAGGTTTCCTGGACATTGGTGTCCTGTTGTCCAACGACCTGCGGTCATGTATTTCTCTTTCCTCGAGAGAGGATGCATAGAGAGGATTCCGAACTCCAGCCGTTGGTGTAGTGACCTTTGTGACTGCCGAAGGTGTTCCAAGGGCTGGGCGTTCCATTGGCGGCTGCATGGCGTCTTGCGTGTTATTGCTGCTCCTTACTTTCTTGAGAGGTGTTGGTACTAGAGGTGGGATATCGATGTGTCGGAGTGGCTCGTAGCCTTGGTTGTCTCGATTAACACCCACCATCGTGAAGATTCACCCAGCGGAGGTATCTATATATTATCAGTTTCACAACTCAGGAGAAACAGTCACCCACGTCAGACGGCTAGTATGGTTTGGCTCAGGTGGCGATAAGCTGAAACGGGTCTACCGATATCGACGGTTGTTTTAGGAGGTTTGGTCGAGCCATGCTGGAGAACGATCCGTGTGGCGAGATTATATACATCAAATTTCTGAACATCGGCTTGTTTCCTCACAGGGCTGCCTTCCACGTACACACCTGATTCGCATTTTTCATCGAGCAGAGCAGTAAGTTAGGCATCACCTCATCAGAGATTTCTGTTGCTACAGCATCCCGGGCATTAGGCGACTGTAACGGCATCATACTGGAGCCTTTTCGTGGTCTTGAAGATTCCTCCCATGGGGGCCGCTGTATTGCATGGGTGGACGGGAAGAGGCTAGTTGCCGCGAGGCATGGGAACCCTCGGCACTTCCGAGCACGGTCTCCATAATGTCACGGCGTGATCTGCAGCAGCCCACGATACGGTTCGACGGAAGCGCAGACTTAAGACGACACTCTGATTTGGAGCGCGGCACATCAGACGGAGCGCGTGTTCGGTCCCTGATCTCTTAGTTTCCCAGATTATGATGAGCAACAGACTTGACGAAACTGCCTAGAATGGTTGGCAACAGAGCCATGGACCCATTTGTGAGCTTGTGTTGGCGATGTGCTGAAGAGATGATGAAGCGCTCCATGATGTCGCGCTAATCGATGCTAGGCGTCAGCAGACTGAAGCACCAGAAGGGTTCCGAGGGCGCACTATCAGCCTCGCAATGATGAAAACTGGGCCTTCCTGAACGTGTATCCACAAGTTTATGAAGCTGGCAGTATCTATCTTCGGCTCACGGCAGGACACATTGGGCGCAGACACTGCTGTCGAGGGTCATGTCGTTGCACCCTAGCCGCTTCGGCCGACTCTGGAAGACCACCCCGCGGTCCGGGCCTCAGCTAGGCGAAACCGCCGGACAACAGCATCGAGGACCCTCAATCAAAAATAGCCTCGAGATCGCCAGCCATTTTGCGTTATTGCCAGGAGGCGCCAAGGCTGAATGCACCTCCTAGGTAGGAGCAATACGCCAGCCAATGGGAAACGTGTAGTAGCCGTTTTTCCCACAGCTGGGAGTGCTAAGTTTGGCTGGCTTTCATAAGGCGATTGACTTTCTGAAGAATGAGGCTGTCGCATCTGCCAGGTGTAGCGTCTAAAATTTTAAATAGCACGATGGATTCGGAGCTGCGGAGATGGCCCCTTCGAAACCATCTGTTTCCTCCCTGACTATCGCTTGAACTTCACGTACTCAAAACCCCCGTCACCCATATACAGTGCTTCTTGTAGGTCAAGTTATAATAGGCGTTCGATGCTACCATATGCGGATCTGAACAGCCCAGCATCTGGTGAGGATTTGATCGGTGGGCGACCGGAGCGTATCGCATCACACGGACATCAAACAGAGTGAGGTACCATCCAGGATCAACCTGTGTGACGGGCCCCAATGAGCGCATGTATTCCAAAGATCGACAGCGCCCCAAATCGAGATCCCGTGTGACGGCGTCGGGTATCTGTGCACGCCAAGGGGCTCTTCTACGCTGTTTGACTGCCACTCCGGCTCGCGCGAGACTCTGCCGTATAACAAGGGTGTACCGTCCATACACACAACCATAAAGTAATGAGAACTTGATGTTGAGTATGGCGTATTCAGGGGGCTCCCAAGCTTGGTAGTGAGTAACGCAAGTGATGGGATTGATATCACATCCTTGTCTGAGATTCTACCACATCTATGTCCGCTTTCAAGTACTTGCAAGCAGAAACAATGAAACATCATCGGCTCATGTTTTATCTCATGGGAATGGTTAATGTCACAGGCTGCGTTACTGGAGGCTTTATTTTCCGCTTACCAACTGCCGAGTTTATGTGTCTAGATGGTTACAATCCAAGGCATTGGACTACTTAGGTAGGCCTATCCATGCCAACTTAGATAACCCTAGACGAACAGTTGCATGGAAGCCCTGTTCGCCAGGGGATTCCGGAATCGTGTATGTCGCTACTCCTCCGCGATGCTGACATTTAGTTGGTGTTGGCCAAGTAATCCGCACCTCTCACCTGTCGTCTGAAGTTAGGGCCAGGGTATAGAATCAGGCTGCCTGTCCACCAATAACGGCGACATTCTCCCCCAGCCATTTCTCGTGAAGCTGAAGAAATTTCACATCCTGCGCCTCCCGACTGGGTTGGCTTGTGTTGTATTTCCATTATGGTAGACCATAGACTACACCCATGCTTGCTCGCGAGATCAATGGGATAATTCCCACACTGGAATCGTGTAGGTCGGCAACGCAACTATCAATACTCATCCAAGATGGTTTGAGTCCAAGCCCATAATTTCTTCGCGAATTCGGGGCTTTTGGCCGTTTTGTCCAACGTGTGGTTACTCATGACTCCCACCGGCAAATAGAGAGCCCCGTTCACCAACTGTTCCTTCCTGGCGCCTGCTGCCGCCCACAACTGACTCAGTCGACCCTGCGACGGATCCAGCAAACGATTGCCCAGGATAGCTGAAGTTGCCTTGACAAAGTATCTCGTCGCCGTCGAGAGGCCTTCGACCAGATCCGTTTTGACGACTCCCGGATGAACTGATACAGCTGTTATGGCAGGATAACGGCGTGCAATTTCGGCGGCGTAGACAATATTCGCCAACTTGCTCTGACTGATAAATCCGCGGATTAACTTCACTCCTCGAAACGGACTAAGTGGAAGACCAACCCGTATACCCGTTGAGACTCCCAAAATCCATCTTGGGGTCCGCGGACCGTTGAAAATGAGACCCCATCCCTTGGGTGCATAGCCCAGCCAAGAGAAGTCAAGTTGATCAAACGGACATCAGCCTCAGGCTGTTCAGCAGTTTTCAACATGACAGGCAGGAGTTGCTGGGTGAGCATCGCGTGCCCAAGATGGTTGGTGGCAAAGTGAATCTCGTAGCCGTCAGCACCGACACCAGAAGGTTTTGACATGATGCCAGCGTTGCACCTATATAAGCCATCCTTTCAATAGCTTGTTAACACGCTCTAGCGATGGTAAGACTTACATCAGTATGTCCAGTCGGTTATGTACGAACTTAGAACTTGCTACTTTGACAGCCGCCAAGGAAGTCAAGTCTAGCTCCACAAAGGTAATACCAACGCCGGGAGCAATATCTCCGACTTCTCTCAAGACAGAGTCCGCGGCATTGCCATTTCTTCCGCTGAAATAAATGTGTGCCGGCTTATGTCTAGCGAGCGCTAAGACCGATTCTTTTCCAAGACCTGCAGTACCTAGATATGTAAGCTACGTCTATTTTATATTTTCTCCAATGCCTTACCTCCTGTAATGAATATTACCTTGCCCTGAAGAGAAGGGATATCTCTTTCCGGGTTGAAGTCCACATATCCTGCAACCGGCGGCATGGCAGCAGGGACGGACACGCGAGATGGTCGTAGTTATTCCAGGCCAGTGTTTATTTTAGATATGGTTTAAAAGATATTTTTTGGCGGTGGACGCGGAGTTGATGTCTGAACGATCCATAGCAAGTTGCCAGACTCCAGAGAACAAGAAGATCGATACTTATACTCGAAGGTACCCATGTCGATATTTCCATCATGAACACGTTCCCTGAATGCACGGAGTCTTTCCTGGTCAAAACAACAGAGAATTCACCCGAACGGAGCTTTTCGAGTCCCTGAAACGCATTGCACCTATCTCTCCTAGTAGTTTCCGTAGGATTCTTGTAGTCCCTCCACCACTGTGGTACTCAGTTTGGCCAAGATTGGCCTAGTGTCATGCAGGATAAGCAGATGGCATGGGTCTCCACAGCTGAGGATCGTTCCAATCACACAAAGACCACGCAGGCTAGACACTGGCTAGGATCCTATCGTATGTCTCCTTTGGCGCCTCGAATGGTAAGTGGAGGAGTGAGCGCAAGTCTCGTTCCCAATTCCTTCTATTGCTCCCATGATCCACGGAGCGGCACCACTCAATGACCCGCTTCGTATCACCTACCATCAGCCAGTCCCAGGCACCATTTAAGGCACCATAAGCAGTGTACATCGACAAATCGGGGTGTCAAATGGTTGTAGCTTGGTTTCAATCCTCTTAATCCGGCTTCGAATATGGCAGCATTTGCCGTCAAATATCGTCTTGTTGATAAGCCAGGGTTGTACGAGGTCAGTCATGGAGCCTTCCTCCGTTTCGCGAATCGTAGGAACTAAGCCCACACCAGGCTCGATCCGGAGACGATGACTGGACTGGTCTCTCAGATCCTGCAGAGAGGAGAAGAAGACAAAACAGACTGGCCCAAAGAGCCTGGCGTGAGTCTAACATCTTCAACGAATGTCGCAATAGTGAAGTAACGAGATGCTCTTGGAGGCCGGCGAAGAGAGCAATGCCAGGAAGCCGAAAGCATGCCTCAGTCTGGCCGGTTCCCAAATCACGCAGTAGATATACCAGGACCCAGTCATCTCGAAAAGCAAACCGCGCCTCTGTCCTCCATCGACAAGTTTGTCAATTGTCAGTTGACACCAGATTGCCGACAGCCCCTAGCATCACAAGTGCCACTGTTTCCGTTCTCATATTGGGAGCACTTGAAGGTAGAACGTGAGCTCAGAGAATCTTTACCCCTATTGCGGTAAGTGAACGAAAGCGACTCAATCACTATATCGTTGGCCCTGTTATCGACGATGTCGTCGATATGGTTCGGCCCGCCATCCCTGCAACCAAGGCGAGAGAAAGACAACGCCAATCGGCCTCCTCGTGCAAGAGGCAGTCTGCAATAATGGTCTAACTGGGCCTTTAAACAGGAAAACGTTAAAACCACCGAATATTGAGGGCATTGGCGCTCTGGGAACAAGTTTTTCGGGTCATGCGAATCGGGCAATCCCTCCAGTGATACCATATATCACTGACAATCCCCTCGAGGTGAATTTTCCGCCTCTTGATGGATTGATGCCACAGGGTAATGGCATGCTTCCTAAATTCCTGTTTCCTCTTCCTGCGGACCATCGTCTGCTGGTCTTAATACAGTTCAACGTTTTCCGGGCAATACTTACAAACATGTCCATCCTCGATCTGATGCACCGTCTTCCCATGGAATGCGGTGCTGCGCTCAACATTAAGGATCTTGCACCGGCACCAGCGACCATTCCAATCACGCTGCAACCTACCACGATCCAGCGAACAGTGCCTCACGATCCATGGATCGACATTATGCCGTGGCCAGCAGCCAGGGACAGCTTAATTCTAAACCAGGGTCTTTATGATGAAGACGAGTTGTGCACGGACATGATGGGTGGGCTCTACGAAGGCTTCGACGAGATCGAAAGCCGAGGAATCATTGTCTGGGGTGAACCATGGTCGGTTTCTGGATGGGAAGCGAGCGAGGGGTTCGTGAGAAAGTGGGGCTCACTTCTTTTAAAAGGGTGCACGGAGTTGATGGAGTCTACTCAAAGGTATAGAGAGTCTCGTGGTGAGGAGCGAATTACGATAGAGGCAGAAGGGTGGCGGTAAGAGTATCTAAGGTGCAGATATACCTTGGTCTGAAACCGCCGGCCAGTGAACATTGCGTCAACTTCGTCAGCGCCAAGCACGGCCTGGAAGCATGGAAGGCAGCGAATAGTGTGATTGTCTCATATTAACGTGAAATTGCAAAGAGAGGCGCCGATTCTCTCAATAAAGAACAAGTTCCCCCCGCAATGCCAATGCCGCCATTAATCATTCATAAGTCATCGCACGCCATGCAGTTTCGAAAAACAGGTCTAGTTGTGCGCGTTGTTCTGTTGCAATTGGCCACCAGCAGCCGATCCGTGCATAGAGCAACCCCGCTATCACCTCACGCGGCGCCCATCTTACGCGGTCCTCTTTTCGACAATTGCTTCGCCAACGGGGGTTGCACAGACAAACCCGTGGTTCAATCCGCCGTGCTCATAGATCTTCTGGCCTCGCAGCCATGTCTCCTTGACTCGGCCCTGGAACTTGTGGCCTTCCCATGGCGAGCACTTGTTCTTCCAGTGCATACCCTTGCTCTGCAACATCCACTCCTCTGCGTCGTCAAAAACGCAGATGTCGGCGTCCATGCCAACTTTGAGTGCACCCTTCCTGTGGTATAACCCAACCTGCTTAGCTGTTGCTTGGCAGCAAAGTCGGACCATGTCGACGAGGCTTGGAGCCTGGCCCGTTTGCTTTGCTCGCAGGGCGGATGCGGTGTGCATGATGGGAAGGCCAAGGCCAACAGATGAGATGCCGCCCCATGCGGCGAAGAAATCTCCTGATGACGCAGCCGCCGTTGCCTCCTTCTCTAATGTGGATCGCTCCAGATCTGCAGACACATCGACACCGGAATCAGAGTGACGAATGTGTGCGGTGTCCATTGTCTGCAAGTGTGACGGCAGCAGCTTCAGTTCGGGCGTGCAGGGAGAGTGGTCCGACACAACTGTTCTGATGCAGGAATCGGGCGCAATAAGCTCGTCCCAAAGCCCGTCTTGGTTGATCTGTTCTCGAATCGGTGGGCAGCACTTATACCGGCAATCTCCATCCTCAACGCCCTCGGCTGCTAGTCCTAGATAGTGGAAGCAAGTCTCGGCAGTGATGTTGACACCCTGCTTTCGTGCAGCCTTCAGAATAGGGATCGCCTGAATTGCCGAAAGGTGGACAATGTGCAGGTGGAGGTTAGACGCCAGGTGGGACAACGAGATAATTTCGTCGATCGCACAGGTTTCGAAAACCGGCGGGCGAGATTCCAAAAAGGTCTGGTACGTCTTCAAGTCTCCGTGGGGAGCCAAAGGTGGCTCCGAAGCCTGAACAGCATCACCGACCGAATCTGAAATCGGTGGGATCATTTCAGCGTGGAACATCAGTGTGGTAGGGGTCCCGTTCAGAGTCTTCATTGCGAGTGCAATGTCGTTCGAGGAGATTGCTGGGAACTCGTCCACCTGGATGGCAAGTGTCAGTATGCGGGCTAACACGTGAGGTTTTCAGCTGGACTTACACCAGACTCGATCAAGAATCCCTTGAATCCTCGCACACCTGCCTCAACCAGAGGCAGCAAATCATCGGCGTTTCCTGGAATAACACCTCCATAGAAGCCAACATCGACCCAGCACTGTCCTTCACTGGCAGCAAGCTTCTCTTTGAAGTTGGCAACAGTGGTGGTCGGTGGGATGGCGTTGAGCGGCATGTCGATGACGGTAGTCACGCCGCCAGACGCAGCTGCCCTGGTACCTGTGTTAAAGCCCTCCCACTCTGTTCGGCCAGGCTCATTCAAGTGGACATGAGCGTCCACCAAACCGGGGATCAAGAGCTTGGACCCATAGTCGATGTACGTTGCCGAAGATGGGAACGACGTCTTGGGCAGGACCGTGGGCTCCACGGCAACTATCTTGCCAGTCTCGGCCGAGACCGTGATGGTTGCTGGTGTCAGGACAAGGCTGTCGTCGGGAAGGGTCAGAACAGCCCTGGTTGTGGCCAGAACCGTAAGCGGCGCTGAGTTTGGCATGGCGTCGACGCCCATGTTGCGAACGCAGCCCTACAAAGCAACGGTTGTTCTGGGGGGACAGGGGCTTAGGGGGGAAACTGATAACAACGACTGCAAGGGTCGCTGTCGATAACGATCCAGAGTGGCTTATCACACAGGCTGTGTTGGTGGGGTTGAAGAGATGCAATGCAGGGCAACGTGTGCCTGCAAGAGAGGATAAAGGAGCGTCGATGGTAGAAACTGCTATCGGTGGTTGACTAAAGAGTCGGTGGAATGAGGCGGCCCACGGCTTTGTTTGGGCGATGTGCAAGGGACGGGTTTACTAACAAAACATGCGAGAGGGTATGGGAGGCTCAAGTCAGTTTGGATGAGGTATGAGGTGAGAGAAGAAAAGAAAGAAGGGTCTCTCGAGATCGCGCCTCGGCTCCCCGTCACTCGCCTCATTCTCACCGTCCCCCGTTCCCGTCAGACGAGGGCACACCGGATGCCATGCCCCAGGCCTCCAGCCGTTTCGATGCGGTGGACCCATTCTGTGGGGTGCATCTACGGCGCGGCTTACTGGAGACGGAGGGCATAGCTACCGTAGGCTATCAAACTGCACTCTCGCCCGCATACTTGCGCGATAAGCGGCAGGAGCATGGGAATGAGTCCAGACGTCGTGTGTGGGCTTGGTCCTGAATCTATTTCCAAGTCTTATCACGGCGCTCTGATTCGCCAGCGCAGTCGGAACTCAAAGACTTCTGAGATCGGTCTAGCGCCGGCCTAGAAGGTTTTCAGGGTTGGTTTTGTCCACTGGCTCGACTGGGGGATTGGACAAACCCGCATTTGCGCATCGGATCTCCCCGATGGCAGTCAAGGCCGTCATGGGCGCTCCACCAGATCGCCAGGCTTCGAGGCTCGCCGACTCGCTGTTGGGGCTGCTAGCCGTGGCAGAGCGACTCATCGTCCCGACTTTCCCCTGGCAGTCTCTCCTGAACCTTCCCGAATTGTGCCTAGCAACCCAACCAAACCGGGTTTCCGGTTAGCTCGAAGCCAAGCCCAGATTACCATTGCTCGATGCTATCGAGTAACAGACCAAATCGTCATGTAAATATCGAGTAAGAATAACCTCACTTCAAGAACCTATTGGGCAGCGCCTTAGCATCCTCCTACCAAGTCCGACTTACTCCCCGATGCACCCGGCTCACGAACTTCCGCCGTGCCCCACCCGTCGGCGGTCAGCAGTGGCCTTTCCCGAACCAAAGATTTACCCTGTGCTAGCCCGGCCCAGAACCGCAGTAGTTCAATTACGTGAGTGCAGGCGTCTCACGAGGGGCATGCTGTCGACAACGACAGATCACACGATGCCAGGTAGCTCAACCCGATTCTATCTGCGCCGGATTCTAATAGGCCATTCCAATAGCTATTCAACTGGGTATTCAAATAAGTCGTTTTAACAGGTGCCTCCCTCCCATAGATCCTTCTAATAGGTACTTCTAACAGGCACTTCTAATAGGTCCTACTAATAGATCCTTCTAATAGGTCCTTCTAATTGTCATTCTAATAGAACATTCTATTAGGTCATACTACCTGCCTTTCTTGGCATTCATCAAAGAGAGTGTCTCCGTGCTTTGCCCCCAATACATGGCAATAAGCCTCATGAGAAGCACCTGCTGCCCCCTCCAGCATTTGGGTGCAGGATCATGATAGACCTGAATGCGAGGTCAGTGGTCGACTGTTTGATGCTTCTTTTCGTCAAAGCAATGTTCCTTGTCCGGGAGCATGGCTGCCACGCAAGTTCTGGCTTGGTGCACGTTAGGCATGGTCGGGTCTCATCTGATCTGATAAGACTCGTCCATAACACACATCGAAATGTCCCCTCCATCTCTATGTAAACATTCCACTAGAACGCCAAGAGGGATTAAGTTCAATTCTCCCTTTTCCCCAGCTCCGTGACCTTCGGTTGACGGAAATGTCATTGTTCACACCATGGCTGATTCACCATTGAGACTTTGATAATATTCGACCGCTTGCACATATGTCAGGGTTATCAGTTAAGGAAACTGGGCTCACGTCGATGATTGCGTCTCTATTCTTGAATAAGCAAGCACTGTCGAGGGTACACCAAAAGGAGCCTATCTCGATCTTATATGTCGGTGTGTCGGTGATAAATTGTGCAGTACCTTGTCACAGAAGAGGAACATCTCGAATAAATGAATGGGCATCCTCTCAGTCGGAAACTTGTAAGGAATCTGTAGCCATTCCTTGTTCAAGCCACCTCTAAAATACATGGCCGCAAAGCTCAAACGTACCCCAACAATGATGATCTACAGCAGTGGCAGCGATCCAGGACGACCAGCGACGAGCGTGGATACGTCTTAATACCATGCCTTGTAAATTGCGACGTATCGCATGCTTGGCCAACAAGGTGGATATTGATGTGCTCGGGTACGACTCGGTTTCTCTAGCCAGTAGCATCAAGTAGTTGTCAAATCCTAGCAATAATTCATATTGGATCAGTCTAAGTCAAAGCGATTGCTGTACACGTAACTATAGCTTACTAGAACCGCTTCTGGCCTCACGCATTTGAAGAAGGCTAGGAGAAACTGCTCACAAAAACAGACTTGTTATTTTGTATGATCCAAGCAATCGCACTGGCAGTTCTCTGCACCCATAAGCTCGTCAATTAGGAATGGGGCAACTATACTTCGCGAACCTTTGCCGGTCACCTTCGATAAATCTCATCTGTAACTTCAAGTTGTATTTGAATCCTGTTCAACATTTACACTCCCGACATTGGCCACGCGCTCCTTGCTTATGCTATCTTCCGGTTTCAAAAAATCAAGCCATGTAAAATCTTCGCCAAGTCGTTGTTTCTACCTCCATTGAGGGACTTGACTTGACATGTCTCGATCCTATGATCGTTTTACTCGTGGATCGCTTGGAGGAGAAGTTATAGTAGAGTGATTGCTCACCCTTCAGCGCCCACGACTTGGCCCTAACATTGAGAGTATATCCTCTGTCGAGTATCACAGCTGCAGGCGCACGCCTCGTATCTAACAAAATAGGATAAGTTGAACTTCTTCATTGCGCATTAAATCACTTACATGCCCAGAAATAGGCCAAGCACCCTGCGCAGGCTGCCTCATGATTCTATGGATTGCATCAAGTATTGAAGGCCTTTGGTGGGGATGTCTGAGAGCTGATAACTCATGAACAGGCCAGTCTTTCGATTTCAGCCAGTCTTAGATGGGCGCTATTCAGGTGATAAAATCGTGACGGTACTGTCGGAATTGGGTATGTGCTCACTTTGTGTGTTGTTAAAAGCCCGAAAAGTTGGCAATTGGAGTTTTCCCTACGTGCCGCTCAGGGACTTCGGCTGTTTAATACCCCTACTAGCAAATCTTACGGCGGAAATGCAACAGCGTCAGGTAGATCACCCGCATTGAATCCAGTGTCCCACACACAACAGCCATATTGAACATATCAGCACTGCTTGGCAAAAAAAGCCGGCATTCGCAATTCCCATTCCCAAGCTATGGGCCTGATAACGCAAAGCTATAGGTCCTGTGGGCTTGGCAAAGTTCATGTACGCGCTCTCCCAAAGTTCCATTGAAGGCACCCCCGCCTTCGCGGTCCTTTCTCTTCCCTTCCCTCCCTTGTCTTTGTCACGCGGCTCCATGCCGGTCGCAATCTACTACGCGTGCTCAATACGACGCTGCGAGCACAGTCCAGCGGCCATGATATCACCGGGCTGCACTTGCTGCAACATGCCGCTGCAACATGCGCGGGCGTGACTTCCCACATTACCGGCCACACCAAATTGGTTGGTCTCCAGAACAGGTCAGGAGTCACGATATCCCACCTTTCATTATCAATAGCGATCGCGCGCCGTGGTTCATCTCTACTCAATCCCTGCGACACGGCAAAGTCAACTGGCCTGCACGTGTACACCCTCAAATAGGTGTACTCGCCCTTCGTGGAATTGCAGTACTAGAATTTTCCAACGAGCGGACCTCTTGACATAGGACGAGCGCGTCATCAGAGCCATGGAGAATTCCTTGCTCCACAAGCTCCTGCTACTGCTCGCTGGGATCCTACCAGTAGCCTTATGTGAAGAAGAAGTTTTTAATCCTCTGCCTTACGTGGACACACTTATCGGATCTACGAACGGCGGTAACGTGTTTCCTGGTGCCACCTTGCCATATGGTGTAGCCAAAGCTGTTGCCGACACGAACAGCTCGTCAAACCAAGGGGGATTCACCCTGGATGATAGCCCTGTGTCTGGATTCTCTGTACTTCATGACTCCGGCACTGGCGGTTCACCCAGCTTAGGCAATTTCCCTCTGTTTGCCTATGCTCAGTGCCCAGGGGATGAAATTGATCGGTGTACCTTCCCCAAGAAAGAGAGAGTAAAGTACGGAAGTTTCACCAATACCAGCGTGTCTGCTCGACCAGGGTACTTCGGTATTACTCTCAACAGTGGTGTCAAGGCAGAAATGACAACGGCGCAGCATACTGCCCTCTTCCGCTTCACCTTTCCCAAGGCATCTAACGGCAATGGCTCATATCCACTCATTCTCCAGGACCTGAGCGATCTTTCAGACAGTAGGCAAAACAATGGAACTGTTGCTGTCGATTCTGCGACAGGAAGAATCACGGGTGGTGCCCTGTTCGTACCGAGTTTTGGTTCTGGGACATACTCCGCCTATTTCTGCACAGACTTCTTTGGTTCTACAATCCAAGACAACGGGATATTTGTAAACAGCCGAGCAAGCACCGATGTAAAGAACCTGACCATATCGCGAAGCATCAACAACTACCCCCTTCCCGGTGGAGCTTTTGTGAGATTTGAATCTGCTGAGACGCCTATTCTCGCACGAGTCGGCGTAAGCTTCATCAGTGCTGCTCAGGCTTGTTCAAATGCAGAGACTGAGATTACTGACTTCAATTTTGACACCACATCCACCGCGGCATCTAATGCTTGGAAGGCCAAGCTGAGCCCAATCGTGGTCTCTACTGGAGGCGGTGTTGATCAGGCACTGATCACCAACTTCTACAGCGGAGTCTATCGAACCATGGTCAACCCTCAGAATGTAAGTGAAGTTTCTGCGCAACGGAATAACGGCGAATGACACTGATCCCCTTCAGTATACAGGAGAAAACCCAATTTGGAGCAGTAGTGAACCATACTTTGACTCATTCTACTGGTATGCAAGATACATCATCCTAGTTTCTGCTTGCTAAAAGCAATGACAGCCTATGGGACAGCTTCAGATCTCAAATACCATTTCTGACTATCCTTGACCCCTCTGCTGTTGCCCAAATGATTCGGTCTCTGATCGATACCTATGGTAAGGATAGGTTTTATTTCTGCTTTTCAACTCATAGCTCCAGAAAACTAAGCAGCCTTTAGTCCACGAGGGTTGGCTTCCCGACTGTCACATGTCATTTTGTAAAGGATATACACAAGTGAGTCCAAGTCCTCACTCATTGAAATGCTCCAAAACTAAGTTTTCCTAGGGTGGATCCAATGCTGATGTCGTTCTTGCGGATGCTTTTATCAAAGGGTTGACAGATGGCATCGATGTGAGTGCTTCTCAGTTTATCATACTCTGTGTGGCTAAATATGAGGCAGTGGACCCAAGGCTACGCAGCTGTCGTGAAGGACGCTGAAGTAGAGCCATTTGACTGGTCGAATCACGGCCGTGGGGGGTTAGACAGTTGGAAATCCCTCGGATACATCCCTGTGCAAGATTTCGATTACAAAGGCTTTGGTACGATGACACGGAGCATTTCAAGAACGCTGTGGTACGTATAGGTCTCTTTCCCCGAGGCTGAAGCGAGTTGAGAAAACGTATTGAATTCGTGCCGCTAATAATGTGTCAGAGTCCCTTCTATCCTTTGCCTAAACCACGACCCTTGAGGCCAAGTCACAAGGAGATTTTGCGGACCGAAGAGAGTGCCGCTGAAGGCAAAGCCTTCTCCGCTCCAGTAACTCATATGAAGGGGCAGCGACAAGTTGCGAATCCAAGCCGGCACTGTTCACGGCTCCAATGCTACCACTCGGTGTTCATATGAAACAAACCCAAAATTTTGTGTGTGTCCATGGACGGAGAAACGCGTGCTAACTTTGATACCAGGGAGTACAGCTACAATGACTTCTGCATCTCTCAGATGGCAAAAGTCTTGGACAAGACCGCCGACACCGAGAAATACTTACGCTCTAGCAACAATTGGAAGAACTTGTACAATCCTGCGCAGAGATCATCTTTCGCTACCGGTGTAGACACAGGATATGTGGGATTTTTCCAACCGAAATACCTAAACCAGACCTGGGGTTTTCAAGATCCTCTATTGTGCAGCAACATTGACAGTTCAGGGATCGCTTGTAGTTTGCAGAATACCGGCAGAGAAACCTTTGAAAGCAGTATTTGGGAATACGGCTAGTGAGTGAAGTAGACATATATGCCTAGGTTTGCAACACTCCGCTAACCTAGTCCAGCTTTGTGCCGCATAATCAAGCTGACCTTATGTCACTGTACGGCGGTCCTGATCAATTTGTGCGCCGTTTGGACTTTCTACACGATACAAACATCACTTGTAAGTGTTTCAGTTGTCTTATTTACTCTTCGGTATATGTAACGTTTGATGTAGAGGAGTTAATATTTAATCGTGTTCCTAACGCAACTTTGCTAACGGATACGTGATATAGATATCGGGAATGAGCCATCTTTCCTCACAGTTTTTCAATACCATTACGCAGGCCGCCCAGCGCTTTCGGCACTTAGATCACACTTTTACATTCCCAGATACTTCAACCCGAGCCCAGCTGGTCTTCCTGGCAATGATGACAGTGGAGCAATGGGGTCTTTTGTTGCATTCTCAATGATGGGACTGTTTCCCAACCCTGGACAGGATGTGTACTTTATTACTCCGCCTTACTTCGAGTCTGTCAACATTACACATCCAAGCACAGGCAAAACCGCCACAATCAGAAATGTAAACTACGATCCGAGCTACCAGGCAATATATATCCAGTCAGCAACTTTAAATGGGCAGCCATACACCAGGAATTGGATCGACCATAGCTTCTTTACAGAGGGCAAGGAGCTGGTCCTAACGCTTGGCAGGAATGAGAGTAGTTGGGGCCGAGCAGTCAAAGACCTGCCACCTACCCTGGGAGAGTATGTTGGCTTTAATGGAACGTTTTCGGCTAAAAGGCATCTCCCAAATGCCGGGGTCAAATTCCAGGACGGAAAATGGAAACCGGTGGCATCTATGTTTGCGCTATGAAGCCTCCTACTTTGGAGCGGTATCCACACGGGAGTTGATGGATGCAGGAATCCTAATGCCGTCTCATCCTCGTATACATAATAATCAGACAACTATCATCTTGCACCCAAGTTCGGCAGATAATATTCCCTACGCTAGGCTGACGAGGTTGCATCTATCCGTAGACATGGCCTAGCTCATCCCTTGCTTGTTAACTTCTTCCCCGCCTCTCAGAGAGCTCTTTCCTGGGCACTAACACCAGAGCAAAATTCCGGTCTTCTCTCTTCGTTCTTCTCAATAGATTAGAAAATTTGCTTCGAGTCTATAATGGAGTGTCCGCAAGCACCGCAACTCATATTCGGCTACGGCGGTATCAGCGAGGAGTTCAAAGGGGAAGACTCGTAGGAGATCTCTTGAACACGCTCAAGCAATATGGCGCGCGACGGTTGGACACTGCAGCGCTGTATCCGCCAACGGATCCCGATAATTCGCAGCAGCTTCTTGGCAAGACGAGAGCAGCGTGCTTGGGGTTCACCATTGACAGCAAGGTCCTGGTCAGCATCCGCAACCAGAGACACACTCTTGAGCCGGAGAAGATCGAAAAGTCCGCTGGGGAGAGCCACAACAAAATCTTCAATTCGGTGACGGCCAACGAATGTATGTCTTCTACGCCCATGCTCCGGACGTGGTGACACCGCTAGACGATCAGGCAGCCGGATTCAATGCACAGTACAAGAAGGGGATATTAGACAAGGTTAGAGCTTCTATTGGCCATAACATGATGTAAAAGTCTGACTCGTCTGACCTTTGTTCTCTTTTTAGTTGGGCGTATGTAATTTCCCGCCAGGCATGCTTGCTGAGTATATCGATATTTGCGAGCGTGAGGGCTACGTCAAGCCTACTGTGTACCAGGGCCTCTACAACCTCATCGACCGCCGACACGAGGGGCCACTGCTTGATTTGGTCCGCGAGCACGGCATGATGTTCATAACGCACAGTCGACACGGGGGCGGGTTCCTGCACGGAAAACTGACTTCGGGCCAAGTTGAGGGCACACGCTTCCCCGAGGAAACATCATGTCCATGGATGCCAGGCGGTACGATACTGACAAACACCACGAGATTATGCGTCCTTTTGAGAGGGCGCTTGAGCCGTGTGGTATTCCCACGACGAACGTGGCGTGGCGTTGGCTTGCCCTTCATTCCAAGCTCTGCCCGCAGGATGCCATGATCTTCGGCGGGAGCAAGATCAGCCAGGTTCATCAGAACATCGCAGCAACCTCTCAAGGTCGTATTTCTGACGATGTGATTATAGTGCTGGATGGTGTCTGGGATACTTGGAAAGTCAGGTAATCAAAATCCGTGGCGGCTAACTATGTGTGACTTTTGTGTTCACCTGGGGCGGCTACGCCATCGTCATTAATTGTGACATCTAGTTGACATCGAGAACATTTCAATGAGACCTTCCCGAGTTTGGGGCTTTCTACCCTTTAAATTTCTATTCAGAAGCTAGCCCCGGGCTCATCTGGTTTACAGGATCCCTCGATAAGGTTCTTCGGGGAAATGGCTTCGTAGTCACACTAAATGCAGTCTAACCAGAGTTGCGGCATGGAGGCCAGCTTGGCCTTTGGACGACCTCGTCGTGGCCGCTTTGGCCACAGTCACGGGACCAGCCTGTTGTTCGACATCGTGCCGCTTATATGACGATAACAAACCTTCAAGACATGCACCACCGCATATCATTATTAACGCAATAAGGGGCGTGTACTGTTGGCATCAGTAATGCCAGTGTTGTATTATAAAAACATATATATATATTTTTTTTAAAAAAAAATATATATATAAAAACCCTTTTCCTTTTGGGATACTGTAGGGCGATCTTTCGTGGACGCCGATCCCGTCGGAGAAATGGCGGACTACGACAGATTCCCAGGAGCCAAATTTACTGAAAGGGAGGTTCGTAAACTAGCCGGGAGAAGGAGTGATCGGGCTTGAGAGGTGACTGCGTTCTGACAGGGAGCCCTAGCCATGCCATATCCCTGTCCTTGTTCTACACAGGGATTAAAGAATGTACCATAGTATCACAGAAGAAGCTAACACCAGAAGCTAACCCGTCAGACCGGAAGGTTCATCTGATACAGGCAGGAAAGGAAGTGATCGGCAACTATGGAGAACCTCCGAATTACATTCTTCAACAGTGTGGTCACAGTGCGATGAATGCAAACACAATAAAAATCACCAACGCGATGCGAACCTATCCAACGAGCTTTGGAAGAACCGCCACGGTCCCAATAAATTGAAGCAGCGCCTTCTTAGAAAGACAGAGTTATACCAAATCGATATACTGATCACCACTAAATCTAGTCTGGTCTGAACATGACGGTTTACAATGATGGCAATACAGTTGCGGTACCCCAGATTGATCTGTTGACCTTCCTTTTCGGTAAATGCAGTTTCAAGATGGCGACAACCGACGGTCCACTCACGATCCTACAGAATCTAGACACTGCGCTGCAGTAGAGACCACGCCGTTACATGCGGACGCCAACGACCCTGCCAGAGTCATTACGAAGTCCGAGGGGCGGGTACTTACTCAGCAGATTGCCTACTTCCTCCGCCACCGATACCGCATTGGCAAGAATGGTGGTCAAGATGTGGTTGTGACGTTGTCAACAGGCCAGTGTGGTCTGCCCTGCTTATTCTACGGAGTTGTTGCGGCCGAAGGTGTATACTCTGCCGCAAGCCCTGCAGCGACTGCCGATGAACTGAGCCGCCAGATACGCGAAGGAGCAGCCAAGCTGCTTGTTTGCAGCCCGGATCTCAAGTCACTGGCAATTGCTGCGGCGCGACTGGCCGAGTTGCCACAAGGCAACATTCTCATCCTCGAATCGACACCAAGGTTGAAGCTTGCGAGCATAGATGGGAGCATCAGCTGCGGGTTTGAGCATCAACTCTTATGGCGAGTTATCACAGATCAAAAGAAACTGGAAGAAATTCCCATATGCATTCTTTACTCATCTGGTACTACGGGGTTGCCCAAGGGGGTATTGATCTCCCATGCCAACATGGTTGCTGAGGCGTTCTTGCCAGCATCAATCAATCGGCCAATCTGGCAGAATTGGGCTGCTAAAGGCAAAGCTTTCGAATCTCGCACGATCGCTCATTTGCCAACGCCGCATATCTCAGCTGTCCAAGGATACTTTGTGAACCCTTTTTTCGACGGCGGCATTGTGTATTGGATGCCCACATTCGACTTCGGGGATTTCCTCAAATACAACTTGCAATTGCGGATCACCACTTTCTTCAGCGTGCCCAAGATATACTCGGCTCTCGCTAGACACCCAGCAGTGACAGATCAGCTAGCCAACCTCCGCATTGCATATTCTGGAGCTGCTCCACTATCAAGGGATGCCATAGAGAGCACCAAGTTTGGAGGCCATGGGGATGAGAGGACTCTGCTCAGCGAAACGTGGGGTTCCAGCGAAACAACCGGGGCCGTAACACATATGCCGCCCAACAGACGCGACACATCCGGAAGTGTAGGGGTGATACTGCCAAACATGGTGATGAGGTTAGTCTTCATGGCTTCCTATCATGTGGAGAACAACATGCTTACGTTTGGAAAGACTCGTCGACGAACATAACAATGATGTCCCAGCAGGTGAGGTTGGAGAAGCACTGTTAAAAGGACCAATCATCACAAAAGGTTATTACTGCAACCCGGAGGCCAACCAAGTTGCCTTTACCGAGGATGGATGGCTGCGCACTGGCGACATTATCAAGATCAAAGGCGATCTGCTATATGTGGTGGGCCGACGAAAGGTATGGCTTCTAGTGCATTTGGGCAGGGAAAATGCTAATCCATATCTAATATCTAGGAGATCATCAAATATCAAGGGTATCAGGTCCCTCCGGCCGAGCTGGAAGCGCTATTATGCACGCATCCAGCCATTGTAGATGCGGCAGTCATCGGCATTCTTGCCGAAGAAACAGAGTTACCAAGGGCATTGGTAGTACTAAAGCCGCACATCCGTCTCGGAGAAATCTCTGAGGACGAAGTTGTCGACTTCATTAGTCAGCGGGTCTCTGAGCACAAGCAACTACGAGGTGGAGTAAGGTTCGTGGAATCCATTCCGCGACTGTTATCTGGAAAGATCTGGCGGGCAAAGTTGAATGAGCTGGCATGGGAGATCGATGATAGCAACTAATCTCCATAGAGGAATTGTATCTGTCATTTTGAGAGTACCCATTAAGACGAGCCTTCTAGAAAAACTCTGTTGTTGTAGTCCCCGGCAAGAAATGGGCTTCGCCCGGGGCTGGTGATTGAATGCCCACTACGAGTTGACATGGGGTGATACGGAGTTCGCAGTGGTGCCACAACACAAGCTAGGACATGATACGTACTCGTACCTCGTACTGGAGTAGGGCGGTCAGCCGTTGAATCCATACCTTGAATGTATAAGATCGACCGCCGATCAAGAGTGGATCATCAAGGTGCATACGGGACCGAAATTGGGACCATTTCACTTGAGAAGTCTCGCAGTTGGGAAGATACTGCTTAGGAGATGATGCCCAAATCACGACCACTATGGAAGAATACTGTGGCTTAATGAAGGACTGTTAGACTATGCAGGTGTCTATATACGAAGCATTAGATTTTGATGTTGTAAATATACACCAGCCGAGGCTTCTGCTATATCTACAGGCAACGCTATGCCAAGCCAAGTTCGAGAGATTTCGATATAATTCTGATTTTATGAGGTGGTGGCATCAGCGATGATGACATCGGCGGCCTTTTCACTGGCCATGTAGATGGCAGAGACAATGTACATTCCAGGAATCTTCGGGAAGATGGAAGCATCGACAACACGGAGGCCATCAATACCACGGACCTTGAAGTTGGAGTCAAGGACAGCCAGCGGATCATCATCAGTACCGATGGGGGCAGTGCAAGAGGCGTGGTGGCCCCAAACTTCGTCACGGGCAAACTGCTTGAGCTCCTCCTCGGTTGAGACGTTGGCAGGTGGCCAAACACGTGTGAAAGGTCCATCCAGAGGAATAAGACTCTCAAAGGCCTTGATACCGTATTGCATACCCTCATAAATGGCCTGGAGATCTTTCTCGCCACCAACGCCTTCGCCAAGCGACCGGAAGACTATCTTGGGCGTGTCACGAGGGTTGGTAGAGGTGATGTTGACAGTACCGGCGTTGTTGCGCGAGTGAGCCTTGAGAGTCAAGAAGGTCCAGGACTTCAAGTCCTCAGTCGAGGTGAGGGAGTAGCCAGGCTTGTAGCCGTTCAAGTATGCGGGAATTCCGCCCAGGAACAAATCAGGGTCATCCTCGGCAACCGAGGAGTGGTGGAGCCAACCGAAAGCGATGCCATTCGTCGTGTAACCGCCCTTTAGGGCGCCGATATTGTTGATCCAGTTGTCGTAGCAAGGGTCGTCGCCCTGGAGGAAGGTGCACTCCTTCAGCAGAGCGAATTGAGAATTGGCCTGTCCAACGACACCGAACTCGTATCGGTCTTGCATGTTGCCACCAACACCAGGAAGATCTTTGACAACGGGAATATCGAATGATTCAAGCTCTGCCCGGGGTCCAACACCACTGAGCTTCAGAAGTTGGGGAGTGTTGAACGAGCCAGCGGCCAAAATAACCTCTCGGCTGGCAGAGACAGCGCCAGAGATACCGGAATCCTCGGACTGACTAGAGAAAGGGTCGGCGCGGTACAAGTGGCGGCCTTGGAGATATTCAACTCCGCTTGCCTTGGGTGTAGCTGCGGTGGTGTCAAACTGAACCTTGGTGACGAGAGTGTTGAGAGCGATGTCGAGCTTGTACTTCTTGGTGCCGTCGGCGTTCGTGGCATTGGCAACGCTGATGACGAAGTCACGGGGACCAGATCGAGCATAGTTTTCATTAGCAGACATGGGGATCTGGTAGATCAGCTCACCATCGTCGCGTGTGCTCAAGGGAGTGTTGACATCCAATGTCAAGATCTGAAGTAGACCAGTGACAGTAGCAGTCAGTGCGCCCAAGAGACCCTTGCCCATGGCAGTGGCAGCAGCGACGACAAGAGATGCGACCTTGAGATCCTCGGCAATCAGAATGACCGGAGTCAGACGGGTCTGGAGCCAACCATTGAAACCGTGACCGACGACGCTGTTGGGCAGGTATCGGCAAGCCTCAAGCTTCTCCCAGTAACGATTCATGTTCTTGTGGTTCCATGAGTTATCCCCGGTAAGAGCAGCAATGTCGTCCCAGTCCTTGTCGGTAGGCTTGATCGTAACAAGAGCATTGTGTTCCGTGCAGCCACCAAGAGCACCAGTACCTTCCGGAGGTTAGATTGTGCTATGTAAATTAATTGACTGGGAGACGTACGAGGGTAGTAGATTCCCTGCTTCACCGAGCCCTCGGGTGGGTAGAGGCCAACGTAGTAGTCACCATCCGGAGTGAGGTAGGTCATCTTGCTGTCTCGGTTTGCCTGTGTCTCGTTCTCATAGTGCGTGACAAAATAGTCCCACCTGATAGGGTTGTACTCGCTAGCAAACCCGTTCAATGCTGGAATCTGAACTTGCTTCTCCATGTGGTGGTCCTCGCCAGCATCAATGAGCAAGACACTGTGGCCAGCCAAAGCAAGGCGGGCAGCCAACGGAGCACCGCCAGCACCAGATCCGACAATCACGTACTCGTAGGTCGAGTTTGCCTCGGGTCCATTCGCAGGCCACTGCGGGCCAAGGGGGTCGGAGATAGGCTCATCCCAGATGGTGGGCGTGGTGAACCTATATCGAGTCAATAACACTGCATTCTTGCTACGACTCGAAAGACGTATAGGCCAACTTACGCCGCAGCTGTCACCGCAAGCGCGGCGATAGAGCCAATAGCCTTCATTATGATTATGTCTAATAGTACGAATGCTGGAAATCAAACCAAGCTGTAAGCATGAATGAATGGCGAGTCGCAAGGTTATTTGAAAAAGAGTGACAAGGCAACAACTGCACAGCTGATCGACTGAAGTGGTAAAAGAGCGACACAGTCTGCAAAGGATGCAACTGGATGGTGTGTGGGTGGCAAGTCTCACAACATGTGCGTGGTGAAGCCGTTTAAAGATATTGGAGATGGCTGCATGAGCCGGCCATACCGAGGCGAATGGATCTCCAAACCGTGATGCTCAGCGGGCCGCCATAGATTCGAGTGGCCTCCTCCCACGAAGGACTAGCCAAATCGGATGTATGATTTACATGACATTTACCGGAACTGTCTACGCACCATATGAATCTCAGGTCCGCAGTTGGACAGGGAACTGTCATCCACTGTGTATACTGTCCCTGCCTTGCCTGCTTTCTCCCTGACTTCGCAACCCCTCTTACCTCCCCAACGAGCACCCAAAGTGTCTGGCAATTGGGGGCGGACATACCTGCAGAACCGTGCTCTTTGTCATTGTGGAGACTACCTCATTGCTGGGACAAAGCCTGACAGCAACATCCTTGAGTCTTGCAGGGGCCTGGCATGGGTCCTTCATTCCACGAATCCTGGCATACCAGCATTGGAGCAGGGTCACTATGACAGTGCGATATAGGCAGGGAATCCTGCGATATGCTCGCAGCTGGAGACAGGGATTGACGGAGTACCTGCAGTGGCCAACTGTACTCCCAATTCTCACTCTGGCTCGTATCTTCCAATTGACTGATATACTGATGGTCTGGTAAGGAGTGTATGAAATCAAATCACTGATCCGGTGCAGAATCCATAGTTGCCCCCTTGAAAAATAACGGTTGTGGGTACCGCTTTGTCGGAGTCTTAAAATGTGGATATTGACAGGCGGGAGCCGGTAGCCGCGCACGAGAAATAAGCAGAAACTCAAGGACCCTTAAGTAGTACAAGTTCGTACATATGTAATGCAATAGCACTACTGTACAGTATCCAACCTTACGCAAACTTGAGACGCGCAACCAGCGGCGATATCCCTGGCTAGAAGGCCCTCTGTTGGGACGTGTTCCTCCACTCCGCTGGATTCGTCATTTCCTACTCCAACTCCAATTTGATCGGGCGATACCTGCCAATCTAAACTCGCTTCTGAGGAGGTACCTCGGGTGTCTCCCTGCGACTGCAAGCGACGAGTATGTAAATGACTCAATGACTCGTGTGCTGTGGGTGAAACAGTATACCCATAGCAGATCAATCAGGCGACAAGTGGTGCGAAGAGAAGACCAAGAACTTTGTTTTGTAGGTCCCACACTTGGCATCAGATCCTTCAGGGAGTGATCGTCATCGTTCGGCACGTCAAGCCCATTCTTTGGTTGACAAGGTTGCAGTTGCTACACTAATCCACAAACAGCCGCCATTAGCGGACGTCAAACTACTGGACCTGGGCAGGAAATATTATCCTTGGAAAACACGAGTCCTTTGGGAACCAAATCTTGGCTCTGCTATCCCTGTCATGAGGCTAACTCTATCTTTACCAAATATTCCGCCGATCTCAATAATTATCCATGTGCCGTTGAGCTACTTGAGAAAGCCGGGTAGTTCCAGCCCCGCTGATTCGTGCAAAACAGCTAGGGTCGACCATCCACTAGACTTGGCCTACTGTTCAAACAGGGCTGCCTTCTTTCAACCTCGTCCCCGCTTGCACGGAAAGCCTTCGCTGCGACCGATCTGCACTGTGTCGCGGTTAACTAAGAGATAGACGGATTATGCCCGGGAGACGTGAGCCGGAATTCCAGGGAAAGCCAAGTACCTCGTCGAACTAGGGATCCTTCCGGTGGCTGATCTGACCCCCTAAGATATTCCAGCAACTTGGCTGCAGTTTCACAGGGGCTCATATCATGACAAGACAGGCCACCGATCATATCTGCGGGTCAGTCACCCATGACCATGCACTTTCTTGTGGTAGATTGGCATTGCAAGTCACATTGAGCCTGTTTGGCTATGAACAGAGAACAAGAACGCTCTTGAAGTAATGAAGTGTAACTTAGTTCTACGTTGTAGAACGTTCGAGTAGATGTCGGGGTAAATACTGCTCTGCAGAGCCCGAGCTCTCGGTGATCTTTTCGACGCCGTGAGATCCAAGAATCCAATGCGCGCTTTAGTAATAAGAAAAAAGAAACCCCTCCAACCTTCAGTATAACATGGCGGGCACTCTCCTCTACTTGAAGGATCGGCCTTGGAAGTTGTGCGTTCCAGTCTCGTCGTAACTATCTGTCTCGCTAACGGCTACACCGAATTGCTTGTGAGTGGACTTGTTGTCAGGTACGTCTACCAACGGGATGAAGTCACCTTCGTCACCATGCTTCGGAACACTCTGAGACTTTTCGCCCGTCATGTTGCCACGTCTGGCGCTTGCAAGGTTTGAGCCGCCAGTAGCGTAGCTACGAGACTTGTCATTACTGGAACCGAGGACGCGGACACCGAGGTTGATGAACAGAGATCGTAAGCTCGGAAGGCAAGCACAAACGATGCCGACATGGAGCTCGACAGTACTCCACCAAGCAGCTTCACTGTAATCCCCTAAAGTATATAGTTAGCTTGTGAACTGGGGCAATGAAAGATTAGTAGCATACATGTAGGATTCTGAGTGTTCGCAAATACGATCAAAGAACGCAATCTGATTACACTAACGATTGTGACACTAGGCGAAGTCAGTTTCTCATCTTCCAAGCTTTTCAAGCCAACTTACAAGATACCCAGCGAGAACATGAACATAATCATAATCTTCTTCTTGAGCTTGATCTGAAGCGCATACAAGTTCTTCAAAGGTAGGATAATAATGATAATGTCGATGACAATATTGCAGATCGCGCTCATCCATCCTTGAAGGTGGATATTGTTGCAGGTCCCTTCGACCGTACTGTCGACCTGCAACCACGAGTAGGGGATTGGGTTACACTGGAATGCAGTTGCGACAATGAAGCTTATTCCATATCCCACACACAAGCCGCAGACCACGAAGACAATCTTTCGAAACGCTTTGTCCGGAAACACTCGGAGGATGAACAGCAACAGCGAGATTTTGTTCATCGAAAGCGCAGCGAAGTAGAAGATCTCGCCGAGGTAGTAATACTTTCAAAAGATGTTAGTTAATGCAAGTCATCGGCGTATTTGAGACTCACGAAAAGCACGTTTTCAATGTTCTTCGGGGGCAATGTCCACATGTCTTTACCAAGGCCATTTTTGGATAACAAGACCGAGAAGATGGTTGGTGGCGCGGCAAAAGCAACCGTGATCGCCATCGTCCAGTCATCCCATCCAAGTAGACGACCGCCTGTCGGAAGGCTCGAACACATCCTCATAATGAAAACTAGTAAAGCAACTGCTCCTCCGATGACGCCAACTAACAAAGGGGTGGCTCTTTCGTCGCGAACTGGGAGGCCGCATATCGTGTAGGTACCGTTCTTAACCGCTGTTATTGACTGGGTTAGCAAAGTTCTAGCAGGGGAACTCATGTCTATCCAGTGTCTACTTACCCAGGCCCTCGTATGTTGTGCAACTTTTCAGGACACAGCCCGTTATTTCAGCTTGGAGTGTGGTGTTGGTACACAGGCATAATTTGTTTTCCGCAGGGGTTCCTGCGAGACAACCGGATGGTGGCACAAACTCTGACAAGCAAGGTATCTGAGAGGATTTTGCGTCAGTGTACCAGGTCTTCCAGATCAATGAACGGGTGGAGATAAATGTCAGTAACCTACAGCACAGGAGGGGTAAAGAGCCGCAGCAGTCTCGAGGAGAGAGGCCGCAATAGCATGTCCAGACAGGACGGCTAAAACCGTCAGCAGGCCAGTGAAGAACTTCATGATAGCCGCACTATAGGCTCATAGACAGGCTGAAGAGGTCCTGCTCGAAAGAGAGGAAGAGGCGGGGAAGGTGAAAGCTTTAAACAAGTCGAGATATCCAAGACCCAGGGTTTCTACCTGGCATGTCATGCAATGCCGAAAACCCACAACTGGTAGAAAGACCCGCAGGCCGGGCGAGAGGTTCACTCGGCCGGTACCGAGGAGTTGGGAGGCAAGAAGACGAGGGTCTCTTGCAGCTGTCACGGATCTCGCGAGGACTGGGTTTCGAGAAACTTTTACGTGCTCTTGACCGGACAGTATATCGGTCCATGAGAGGGCCCAGGCCATGGTTCAGACGCAAGCCACAACAGTGCACAGAGTTCCCTATTATCAGACCCATACTTAGTGCAGGGTTACGTCCCCGGCAAGTATGTTTTATCGCAGGGTAACATTGGCAAGCATGGGCAAACAGCTCTATCCTTGCTGGCATCGTGAACCTCATGGACTGTGCAAGGTTCACGACGCGAATGCAATCCGTCGCTGTTCGTTTCCTTTACAGTTCGAATTCCGTTCTCCCCAGTGATAGGCCCACCAATGATCCACAACCGTTTATCCCGCTCCGATGATACTTCTTCGACGCAATCACGGACGGCCCGGATCTCTGGGACGGTTGACGATCATACTACGTACATGTATAGATATGTACACAGTAGCGGCCAGCAGGCACGTACTATGTATGATTTCTTCGCAACATCACCCAATCCGGGTGAGCCTCCTTGCCCAGGCTCAACATGGAGACCCTGGAACCTGTTGAAGCAAGATCGATGCAGATCCACAACTCAGCATTTTAAACCGCGCCGGCCCCATGCTGGAACATGGCCTGATGGTTCCAAGGAAATCATGGTCACGGACTGGAGCCGGCAGTCATCCTCGAGAGCTAGGCCCTAGGTACCAGTGTCCGACACAATTCCTATTGGGCGCCCATGTTGACAGAATCGTGGGTGCGCTAAGTGCGGACCTAAACCTAGATTTCTTGACGCTCTCGTGGAGTCTGCATATTTGTCCTCCCCACCTAGAGATCCAGGGCAGCAGGGCAGATACGTACCCCTGAACTTGGAGCCTTTCAAAGCTGCAAGGGTCTCCTCGTCACCCCCACACTCCAAGACCGTTGACGGCTAGGAGGATAAGAACTAGATGACAGTTCCCACTTAGTGCCATAAGCTAACCCTGACTATACAGGGTGTCGGTATTGCATCCTTGCCTAGGAATCCCAGCCGGCGAATGGCTTGTGAACAGACAATGGGGCGGGGTTCCTGAATGAAGATCTTGGCCATTTTCATCACGACGCAATCGACGGTCTCAATTTCTGCGACGTTTGCTAATGAAGCCCGCCCTCACGAGGATGCCTTTCCTGGGGGTTTCTAGTCATGATGACCGCGGCTCAATTGACAATTTGAAGCCATCCGCGACGCCGGGAGCTGATTGACATGACCCGCTTTAGGAGAATTATCTAGCCTCTGTTGAGCCCCCAATTATGAATGACTTGCTTGTCTGCCGCAATGTCAACCTTCTGGATGGTTTTCATCCCCAGTCGCTCCTTTAACCTTACTTTTGCATTGCGTATACACGAATTCCGCCATGCGATCATTCGGCCTTTACGCCGTGCTTCTGGCGCCATTCTCGGCCTTGGTCCACTCTTTCCCAACGGCCGACAACTTTGCCAAGCTCGCAGAGCGCGGCTTTATAGACAGCTCCGATATCTCTCCACAGAAGTTGCACGACAGCCTGCTGCGGATCAAAGAGAAGCGCCTGTTGTTCGATCCTCTGACTGATCCCATTGACGGTTAGTTGCGGTTCACCTTTTCAAACTTGCGGCTAGGAGTTAACGATCATTAGTTAGCGGTGACCATGCGTTTCAGCCCCCAAATTTCCGCAAAGGGGATCAGAGAGGACCATGTCCTGGCCTGAACGCTCTGGCGAACCACGGCTACATTCCACGTGATGGCGTGGTAGGCTTCTTGGACCTTATTGAGTCCGTGAACACGGTCTACGGTATGGGCGTGGATTTGATCACTGTTCTTTCAGTGATGGGAACAGTCGGTGTCGGTAACCCGCTCTCTCTTAACCCTGGATTCTCCATTGGTGGCGAGACTTCTAAGGTTTCCAACATTCTTGGCAATCTTCTGGGTCTTCTTGGTACTCCTCAAGGTCTCTATGGCAGTCACAACTGGATTGAGAGTGACTCTTCGGGCACTCGTGACGATCTCTACGTGACCGGGAATGCGTGGACCATGAACATGACGCTCTTCCTGGACATCTATAACTCTATCGACGGTGCCTTGACGATGGAGAACATCGGTGCCCGTGCTTCTCAGCGATTCGATGAGAGCATCGGTATCAACCCGTACTTCTACTACGGCCCTTACACTGGCATGATCGCTCGCAATGCCGGTTACGCATTCGTGGGCCGACTCCTCAGCAACCACTCAACAGAGTTTCCTCAGGGCGGCAACATGAGTTAGTCAAGTGATCCCCATCAATATCGTTGCTTATTGCTGATTCTCTGTCTAGCTAAGGAGGTCTTCGCCAGCTTCTTCGGCGTCTACGAGGAGGGTGGCGAGTTGGTATACAAGGAAGGCTGGGAACAGATCCCCCAGAACTGGTACCGCATCGCGGTCGACTATAACCTGGTCTTCCTGAATCTCGATCTCATCGCTTGGTTCTTGGAGCATCCCAACCTGGCGAGCATTGGTGGCAACCTCGGCAAGACCAACTCCTTCGCCGGTGTCAACCTTGAGGATGTCACTGGTGGCTTGGTAAACACAGCGTCCCTGCTGGAGGGCAACAACCTGATCTGCTTCGCCCTTGAGGTTGTCAAAACTTTTGCTCCAAACTCGCTCTCGAACCTTTTCAAGACTCTCGAGAAGCCCCTCGAACTCGTCAACAACGCGATTCTTGACCCTCTTCTGGACCTGTCCTGCCCCGATTGGTCGGACTTGACCGCCAACGGCACCGACCTCCTGACCCATCTCGTCGACACCTACCCAGGCGCTAGCAAGGGTAGCTTTGCGTTGTAGGACACTCAGCATGGTTGGAGTGCAGCTGCATGATCCGAATGAACGTGCTTTTCCACGAAGAAGCCAACTGTATACCATAATCTGTTGCTACATAGCCAGTGTTCAGCATACTTGGTAGTGACGTCCCAGAGATACACTGCCTGTAATGATAGTTTTAATTCTTACGCTCGCTTCCAATCTTCTTTTAATCAAATGATTCATGAAGTACCTAATGTCCCTTCTTATGGTGCTGCTTATTGACTATGGTATACAAATGCAACCAACAATAGTACCGTATAAGACGGCAACGTGTAACACAAAACTGCGCCCAACAAGGCTGATGGCAGCAAGCATACGTTACGCAATTGAAGAAATTCAATTGTAGCATTCTCTTTCGTGAAAGTCGCTGTCCGCTGCTCCATGCTTCACAGTTGAGTCCTGTGGGTTTATCCATGCTTGTTTCTCTGTATATGGTTTCGATTGTCCGCTACTGGTACCTTAGATTGAGAGACCCAGAAAAATAATGACAAGTGCTTGATCTAAAGGCGCGTCTTCAACAGGTTCATACTTATTTGACGCTCTAGCTCTAGCAGCTCGCTGCCAGCGGGAAAGCGTACTGGCAACAGCTGACGCAGAGCCTACAACAGCATACGTTACTTCCGACTCTAACGCCAGGATTCAGTTCTCTTAACTTGATGATACTTTCCGTTCCATATTGGAAATGTTGAGGCACATGATTAGTTGCCTTCAAGACATCCGAAATAGGGGTTCTCCCCCACGTGCCGCTCGTATCGACGAAACCTCAGCAACCAAGCCACCGCGCTCGTCTATGAGCAAACATTCCATTGCCGTAGCAAACATTTTAATAGAAACAAACGTCATTGGCCAAATTGACTAGTCCCATTAGCCTTACAAGGTGCAATAGAGCAAGACTTCCCTGCCCCCAGGGGCCTCGTAGCTCGTAGGCGGCCATTTGGCCGAGTTGTAAAGTGCGCACTTATTGTAGACATTAGGTAGAGCCTGACTTAGCTATTCCGCGTAGCAGTAGAGCCTTCCAGTGTTCCACAGGTGCATGGCGTAGGTGTAATCGTAGTAGAGACGTAGGGCATTCGTCCCCCTACGGGGGTGCGGTGCCCGAACTCTTTTGCCAGCTTCTGGAGAGACCAACTTTTGCGACAGTTTTCTCCAGGACTAGGGTTCAAATACTGGTCGAAGCACTTCTTATTCGCTTTTTGTTTGGTTATCTCTGTTTGATAGCAATGCTTCCCTAACGTGCCAAGGCAACGTTGACCTCCCTGACCTGCTAGGTCATATTCATTATGACTAGTGACTCATTACGATGCGTGGTTCTCATAGCCGCGGACTATGTATTTCGAGGGACGCAGAAGTGAAGTTGAAATGCACTTTGATATTTTGTAGTGATTCCATGTAAGTACTTTTGGCCAGTTAAGCTTCTGCTATTATACTGTGATAACTTACTATCGCTCTAGCTTTGATAAAGATTATCAGACACAGTTTGTGTCAGTGTAAATCTTGCAAGGAAGGGTCAGTACAGTTGATCCTTAATAGGAGCTCGCCCAGCACCGTTCTACCTCCTCAAGGTCGTTAGATGCTGGACTATTCTCCGAGACGACACTCTCGACTTATCGACGCTAGACGCATGTCTAAGAGGGGCGGCCTTAGCTGTTCACAAGCTGTATTATGAACGAGGCCTTATTATGTGAGGCTTAGCGTAAAATTGATACCTCAAAGAAGCACTTGAGAGATTTATAAGCCATTGAAGATGGAGTCATTACCACAATACCAAATATGCGGTGAATCGTTAGAAGAGTGTAATATCACCGCGCTTGTCAAACCAAGAACTTGTCTCAGTACTTGCAAGGAGAGCGATCTGTGTCAGTAGAAGTTCAGTATAAGTCATCAAATTCATTTCGCCAGTATTGTCAACTCAAGTTTCCTCGCAAGTGACTAAAGAGTTTGGTGATTCGCACGTTGCTCTGTACATCAAAATGACGTGTCATAAACGTTTGTTGTAAGCACCTTGTTCCCTCCTTACATTGGGAAAATCAGGGCGCCCGATAGGCTCCTTGGTAGTCGGGGCTGGCTGGATTTCTAAGCAACCAACTAGGGTGTTCGGAGACTTACTTCTCTCGTCACATGGCGTGATTCATAATGCATGAAAGCTCGTGGGCTACGATTGGCTCGATGCTGTAAACAGTTTTCTCCGATTCGGGGCTACTTTGACGAAACCATCTAGCTATGGACCTGGATTAGACATTGTGCAGCGCACTGATTGCTGTTGTTCCTGCGAGACGCCATCTTGATGGGATCCGGGGCATCCACAAGAGCGAACCCCGTTCGACGTCCCACTATCCGCGCCCCTCAAACACCATCAGCGCCGTGGCAAGAGGCCATGTGGACTTGAGCCAGGCGATAGCGTGTAACACATCATATCATATACAAAATCCAAGAGAGTTCTTACGGCGCTCGACCAGCATCTCAGCTATTAACTATCCTAAATACATAGGACCTAGCATCCGCTGCCGTTCACCAAACACCTCTCCACCAAAAGAGCTTTAGGCCTCGCGATACAGTCTCCGGCTAATTATATAATCAGAGCTTCCATCAAGATAGCCAGATCACAATGGTGGCCATCTTCGTCGCCGGCGCAACCGGGAAGCAAGGCGGCAGCACCGCCCGCGCGCTCCTGGCCGCCGGCCACACGGTCCACGTGTACGTGCGCTCGCGGACGTCGGCGGCGTCGCAGGCCCTGGCGTCCGCTGGCGCGGTGCTCTTCGAGGGCGACTGGGACGACGGGAAGGACCAGGACGGGGCCTCGCTGCGCGCCGCGCTGGCGGGCACGCGGGCCGCCTTCTTCATCTCGTGGCCGTCCTTCTCCGACGCCGACGCCGAGGTGCGCGCCGCGGGCCGGATCCTGGCCGCGGCGCGCGGCACGCCCTCCGTGCGCCACGTCGTCTACAGCACCGTGCACGCCATGGGGCTGTACGGGGAAGACGCGCCGGGTCTGCGGCGCAACGCCTTCCTGGCCGGGTACTTCCGCTCCAAGGCCGCTGGGGAGGAGATGGTCAGGGGATTCGCTGACGAGGGCGGGGGAGCGGGAACCCAGGGGGCCGCGGCGAGGACGTATACGATTCTGCGCCCGAGCGAGTTCATGACCAACTACATCCAGCCGTGGGCCGACTTCCAGTTCCCAGACCGTGAGTGACAATGGACTATCTCTCTTAACCCCTTTTGCTGTTCTGCCGCTGAGGACATTGGCGGCAAGGCTGCTCCAACAGGAAGTAATAATGTGACAGTCGTAGACGGCTAATCTGCGTATCAGTGATCAAAACAGGCGTCTGGAATACAGCATTCCCGCCCGACTTTGGCATGCGGCTCGTAGACCCGGAGGACGTGGGGAGGATCGCCGCAGAGGCGCTCCTGCATCCCGGGGCCTGGGCCGGGAGGGTGGTCGAAATCACGGGAGAGGTGCTCCCGCTGCAGGAGGAGTTCCAACTGCTGGGCGAGTTCGCGGGCAGGGAGCTGGGCGTGAGGACGTACGAGCGCGCCGAGGCCGAGACGATCGCGGAGCAGAACCCCCTTGTGCAGTCGCAACTCCTGCGAATGGACTGGGGAGACGGCCGTGAGACCGTGGCCAAAGATGACTTGGGACTGGGCTTGGGCTTCAGATTGACGTCCTTCAGGGAGTATCTAGATGCCAATAGGGCAGCGGTCGTGGACACGTACAAGAACGTGCCTATGAACCATTAATGTGTTGGATCGCCGGGTGCGTCTGAGCACAATGGTGAGCAGCCCAATCCGTACACTTATTCTGCGTACAGATATTGCCGATGTCGTGGTGCTATCTTGATGCGATACTTCCGCCCGTCATAGGTGTTTGGCCGTTTGCGAGCAGGACACTCAACGAGTCAGTAATTAGTCACCCACGTTCGTAGAATGGTTGTGTTGTCGCTCGCAGAGCCGTGCAATGTATGTCGTTACCACGCAGACACATCGGTTCAAGATGGCGGTGTGCCTCATAAAGTGCAGCTCCCTCGAATGCTGACCTCGAATGCTGCTTAGTCCTGACCGGTGTAGCTATTCATATTATAGACCTCATTATCCTCACAGAGGACGGCATATACTGCACAATTTGATGGGATGACCGCGAACTCACGACAAGAAACAGTCGTCTTGAATGTAATCTGTATTCAGGGGTATCATAGAATTCTAACGTAAATATTTCCAAGGCGCCGAAGCCATATTCAGGCTCGCCCAAAGCAACTATGCCAATGCTGATGTACCAACAACTCAAACTCTGACCACTGCCTTGTTCGTCTGCTTCGACTTCAGCGCGGCGTGTCGTCTCGCGTGCATCTTGACATCTTTCTCGTGGTACGGGTTGTACAGCATGTTGCATTCTGCGCATTCCTCAAACTGCTTCTCAGTTAAGGACAGACTCAGGGTGGTCTGGGTCGTGTGTTTCGACTTGAGTCTCCTGGCGCCACCATGCTTCTCGGCTTCCGACTTGCCGACTTCCCTGCCTCGCTTTCGGTTGAGGGAAGTGGAGTTGGTAGGCTGTAGGACCATGCTGCCCGCATTCAGCTCCTCTTGCTGGGGTTCGTTTGACTTGTCCCGGGCGACTTCGTGTTTCTTCTGCTCGGGACTTTCTGAGCGGTGGAGAGGCTTGGTCGTCAATCTTCTGGGTTTCTTGCGACTGGCCTCGACCACTGGGGGGGAAGACGGAGGAGTCGAGGAGGGAATGACGGGCCCGGATGACATGGCGCATGGCGACGAGGAGGTGGCGGAGGAGGGCGATCGGACCTTGAAGTAGCTCAAGATGGTACCTTTCTTGGGCACCGGAGCGGAAGGAAGAGCGGTAGGCGGTGGCATTTGCGCCTGGATTGGGACACGAGTGAGAGGCTGTGGCGACGATTCGGTCTCGATAGCCCGTTCTGCGGCAGGGTTGGAAGCGTCCATCCTCACAGGGGCTGTATCTGTTCGGCGTTTCTTCGTAGGTGGCTCTGCGCAGGCGGCCATATTATCGCGCTTGCTGTATGTGCGGAGGGGAGGCCTTGAACCTCGAGCACCTCGTGCTGGTCTCTCCATGGTGATCGCGATGGTGCTGAAAGGGCGAGGAGGCGAGTGAATACACCTGGTCCAAGCCGACAACGGTTGGAATAGTATCGAGATACAACCTGCCTTTGAACAGTGCGGAGAATATCGACTAGGTGCTCAGTTTGGTGTGCACCGGGCTGTCTCTATGGCCTCCGCGTCCGAAAGGCACCTGAGGTTAAAGAGTGTCGCGTCTGGGGCTCTCTGGGATACGGCCCAGGGCTCCGAGGTTGGTGGACGCGTCTTGTCGGGCCTGAGACGCGTCGGACTCCTGGAGTTAGTGGGATGGTATGGTGGGGCTAGGAGTACGCGCTGCAGGGGCGCTGGGGGGGCCAGTAACAGTAGCCTGTACACGGCGGCCAGTGGACGCCTGCAGCTCTGGGCTGGTCCACTGAGCGGTTCAGCAACCACGTCAGGGTGGGGCCCAGTGCCCAGCTGTAGAAAGTTGAAGCTGTCGGGGTCACCAGCAGCTTAGCTCACGGTTATGTAGGTACGGCACATGAACGAGAGCAGAGAAGGAAATATGCAATGCAATTGGTGTCCGGGACCTCAAGTCGGTGCAGCGATGCGCTTTCGTAAGGTGCTGTCGTTTCCGCCATCTTTGGGCTGCAGCAACACGGGCTCTTTCCCTTCCTCTGCAGCCTGGCCAACATCGTCGTCCTGGCCTTCGCCCTCGCCCTTGTTCTCGTCGTCGCCAATGACCCACGTCTTGACAATCTGCCGCACCTCCTTCATGTCGCGCTGCTTCTTGTCGCCCTCGGCCATGCGCCAGCTGTAGGCCTGGTACACGGCGACCTCGGCGATCGCTACCACGATGCTGCCCCCGAGCGTCAGGAACAGCCGCGCCGTCGTGCTCCACCAGCGCGCCACCATCCAGATGGCCGCGGCGCACCCGGCAATGCTGACCAGGAAGTTCACGATCAGTGTCACCTGCTTCTGCACCTCCCCGTGTGATATCTGGTCCTCGCCCCAGTCCGACTGCCGGCTCGGCCTGTTCGCTTCGGCAAAGGAGTCGGCCATGGACATGGGCGCCGTCGGGAATCGCTGCGCAAAGGTTTCGCGCGTCGAGGACGCTTTCAGCATGCGCTCGTAGGATCGCTCTTCTTCGTCGCGGCGTAGTCGTGCCATGAGCTGCTTATACTCTTCCGACTGCCAAACGGTTAGCAAGCGCCGAGCGCGGAGACGGACGAGATGAAGCATTTGCATACCGGTTCAGGTTTTGGCGGAGGTGGCGGAACGTAGATTGTCGCGCCGCGTAGAAGACCTTCCAACGAGTGATTTTGATGGCCCTCAGCCTTCAGGCGTCTCCATATGTCGATGATCTGCCCGTGGGAGATCGGGTTTCCCACTGTAGCATCTTGCAAGGAGCTTTCATCCGGCGGTGTTGCTGGATGCGGCGCTGATGGCCCTGACTCCTGCGTCATGTCAAGCTCCTCCAGTTGCTGCACGGCCTCCACTATGGAGGTCGTCATGGCGAGTAAGACCATAATTGGGTTGGTGTAAAAAGGTATCAACGCCTTGCGTCAACAAAGCCAGAGACCGGTCTGCTCGAGGCAGCGAAGATACGCTTCATGGGATGCCTTGAGACGCACTCAAGCCACAAGAACGCCGCTGGGCCTTTTTTTGGCATGTCCCCAGTCCACCCCACCGGGACGGCCGCTCGCTCCAATCACCACTCTGGGCCTCCGGGAGCCGGCAACTCCTACAAAGGAAGCAAAGGAAGGGGATTATACACGTTCAAGTTGGCGGATGCACAACCGGTTCTTCTCGTCCATGGCTGGTTCTCAGTTTCCAAGGACGGTCTTTCTTGGACGTATGACAGCCGCATTGTAATGATATCCATTATTGACTCGTCCACTTTGCCTGCACACAGGTAGATAGCGACCGATATACTGCTGTACAAGCGAAAGCTATTTGCCTCGCCCAGCTACTCACTCGAGTCACCACACGTCCGATCAGAGTAATGGGTGCAGAGCTCTCTGTAGCAGCGACTGATCACTATAGTCGTCGTTGGTAGATAAATGAGTTCATGCGGATGAAGGGCAGGTAGCAGGCATGCAGGTACTGAGTACCTACCCTAGTAACTTGAGCGCGCTGTGCCACAGGATCGGCGTGAACCGGGGCCCCCGCGGGCCCAGCCAACCAGCAGGCCCAGCAGGCCCAGCAGGCCGAGGTCGCGCCACAGCGAGACCAGCTAGCTCCAATGGGCCAGGGTCTTTTTCGTCCGGTCGGGTCATCATTGAGTGAGGCTCGTGAATTTTTTCGAGAGACGTCCCCAAGCCCGCGCCATCCAGTTGCGACGCGACCTCGCACGAGACCGACGCACGCCGAAGACTCGCAGCGCCGGTGCCGATGAACTCTACACCGTAACCGGGACCTTTGCAGACTTAATTGGGTCCCAGGACAGACCCCATCCGACAACATGCACCTGCGCCCGGGGGCTTCGCTGCTCGCGGAGAGCCGAGCTGCCGCCGTCCGTCGGCCCTCGATACTCTCGCCCCCGTCAGACTGCCGCAGAGCCGCCTCGCTGCACCTCAGGATACGCCACCAGAGAGCCGCCTACCACAACTCGCCGAGACGCTCCTCGGCATGGGGCGCCGCCGTCCAGGTCGCCGGCAACATCGTGTCCAATGCCGTCTCGAGAGCCACCTCCAAGGCCGACAGCATGCAGATCGACCCGCTGCGCATCGTCGCCAAGGAGATGAAGTTCTTGACGGGGAACATCCGCCAGCTGCTGGGATCCGGCCACCCCTCGTTGGACAAGGTGGCCAAATACTACACCCAGGCCGAGGGAAAACACGTCCGGCCCATGATCGTGCTGCTCATGTCCAGGGCCACGGCCCTGTGCCCCAAGGCGCCCCAGCTCCCACCTGCCGACACCACTGAGAGGATCAACACGTCCATATCGCCATTGGACATCCTGAGTGATGCCAACCCCTCGACGCCCCTGACCGATTTCTCTTCCGACCCGCAGTCGACTGAGAGCGATATTCTTCCTTCCCAACGGCGGCTTGCTGAGATCACCGAACTGATCCACACGGCCTCGTTACTCCACGACGACGTTATAGATCATTCTGTCGCAAGGCGCGGCTCGCCGTCTGCGAACCTGGAGTTCGGAAACAAGATGGCCGTTTTGGCCGGGGACTTCCTGCTCGGGCGTGCCTCGGTAGCCCTGGCAAGACTGCGAAACGCCGAGGTCGTGGAGCTTCTGGCCACCGTAATCGCTAACCTGGTCGAGGGCGAGTTCATGCAGCTGAAGAATACGGCGCGCGATGAGCGCAACCCCAAGTGGTCCGAGGAGACCATGACGTACTATCTCCAAAAGACGTACCTGAAGACGGCCAGTCTGATCTCCAAGTCGTGTAGGGCATCTGCCCTGCTAGGCCGCGCCGACGCCACAACGGTAGAGGCAGCCTACGCCTATGGCAAGAATCTCGGTCTGGCTTTCCAGCTGGTGGACGACATGCTGGACTACACTAGGAATGAGAAGGATCTAGGAAAGCCGGCTGGCGCGGACTTGGAGCTGGGTCTCGCAACCGCCCCATTGCTCTTCGCTTGGAAGACGAACCCGGAGCTGGGCTCCTTGGTGGGTCGAAAATTCGAAAGAGAAGGCGACGCTGAGAGGGTAAGGCAATTTCTTGTCACATAACTCACCACGCAGCTAGGCTAACGGCAACAGGCCCGAGAGTTGGTGCTTCAAAGCGACGGCATAGAACAGACCCGCGCCCTGGCCGAGGATTACTCGCAGCAAGCCATTGCTGCGCTCAACACCTTTCCTGACAGCGACGCCAAGGATGGCCTCATCGAGATGGCCATGAAGACGTTGAAGCGGCAAAAGTAGATTCGCTGGTACAAAGCGCAAACTGAAGCAAGTTCGAGTCACTAATCAAAAAGAACACAAAGACAAGACCAACCAACACGTGTATCATCACGGATTTCGCAGGCGACCAGCTCCCACATAGAGTGGCCACGAAAGAGGCGGTCAAGTGTACACTCCTGTAAACGGGGCATTATCGGGGTAGGGGCATGGTATTCTGTCATCATGAGGCCAACACAAAGAGGCCAGCATCTTGGTTGTCACTGTATCATTATGTACAAATCCTTGTATAACACGCGCATGACGGGCATATAGACGATGTAGAGGCTACTACCAAACTCAGCTATGAGATGGCGATCTTACGCATTGCAATCCATTCGCGGCGACAGGCGAGGTTTATTACCAGGTGAATTGGTATCAATCATAACATAAGCCGCGATGCCTGAGAGGAAGGGCCGTTTCGGTTTCGGTTCCCATTGGGTATTCTCGGTGCGATATTACCAACTTGCGAAGTTATTCATCCGCCGATCGCCCATTGAAGATACTTCGCTAGTCCGCCGTGAAGACAACCGCTCCAATGAACCCGATGACCACCTATATCCCTTACACCCACAAGCATCGCAATGTTTCTCTTTACTGATCTTGGCAGTATAGCGATAACAAGGGGCTCTACATCGTACTTCAAGTCAGCCAGGGATTTCACGTACTAGCTCGCTCGGGGGGTCGACCTACCAACGCCGTGACCTGACAGCAAATCTTGACACCAGGACATTGATCCAATTGGTTATCACCTATCAAGATCCAACGTCAACGATATATTCTCTCACGGGACTCTACGCTTCAAGGGCACCTGCGTCTCCCCAGACGGAAGAGCTCCGGAGCGGTTCACTTACAGACGAGGCCGTTAATATCATTAGGGTTCAGCTTATATCCGTATACCGCAGCCAGGAACACCACCAACGGCTGGTCGCCCGCCAGGGTCCCGCGGCAGCACTGCAGCTCGCCGCCGTTGACGGCCGCGCACTCGGGCGACGGCCTGGGCGTCCACAACAGCTTCGGCGGCGGCGCGTTGCCGACGTTGCCCACCAGCGACAGGAGGCCCCCGAGCAGCGGGTTAGACGTCAGGTCCACCAAGCCCGCCACGGGTGTCGCGAGGACCGGGAGTATATTTAGGAGGAAGACGGACAGAAGTGTGAGGATATGCATCGTCGCCGTTCTGTGTCAGTGCGTTTGTCGATACTGGCGCTCTGGGCTCGGTCTACGTTAAGGGGGGGGGCCAGCTTTGAGAATTTATCAACCCGGTTTCTCAGCACGACCCAAGGACGCAGGCACGCGTAGCCACACTATTCTATCCATCAACAATATATTTTTCTACACGAGAAAAATACGCGCTGGCGCACCGGTCAGCATGGTGGATTTCTCATCACTCTCACCATCACGCCCAGCCGAGCAAGCCACTGCAACGCTAGTTGCTACTCGGGACGGAAAAGCCAGACGCTAAATCGCTGGTGTGCTGTAGGCACTTTAGCGAGTGTGTCGATCCCATTTTCCATGCCCATGTGTGCGTGTTCTGCAGAGATTCTGGAAAGTCTTGCCGAACCTTCTTCGGCCGGGCCTTGGTTGTCTCCCTCTTTTTTGCCATCGCTCTCCCGCTGACGCCTGACTCACGGCTTTTCCTCTTTCTGGCTCGTCAGGGTAGGACGTAGGACTTGTGGTCGCCGAGGCGCTGAGGTGCCTAGGCCGAAAAGAAAAGCTACCATCTCGTGTTGCACGGATCTGAATATGTGGGAGGCGGAATATATAGGTCAGAGCGAATATTGACGAAAGCCTTCCCGCCCGAGCCGGACCAACCACACGCTGCGGGCGTCCGCCTCAGGGTCAGATTCTAGAGTTGTTGCACAACGGCGTGACTGACGGGTCTCACAAACGAACGGCATGCGAGATCGATAGGGGACTCGCGCTGCGCGCGTGGACGATGCATGTCCCAAGTTGCCCCCAGCTAGTTGTCTTGCATTAGTGTTCCGGTGTAGGGGGGCTTTCTGTGGCTTGGCTACTTCCCGTCCATGACCCTTGCCCGGTATTTATTGACTCGTCGTCACATAGAAGGCTATTGCCAGCGGTTCAGGCAATATTGCGGCAGTCCATTGGTGCTATCGTATCCCACAATTCCGTCCTCCTGCCCCGTGTCTGTGACTCGGTGGCATAACGCAACCTTATTTGAAGTACGACCTATGACCACCGACCAATGCCGCCTCTCCAGCCCGCCCTCCTTGGCCTAGCAAAAGTGTGAGTTCAGGTTCAGCTTGTGCACCCCAGTTTACCCGCAGTATGCTGCATGTCATAGGCTCCCGGACTGAAGAAGCAGCATCCTCGGCGTTGGGTTCCTGGTGCGTCAGAGCAGGCACCCAGGATCCTACTTAGTAGATCAGCCACTCAATCTGAACTACCATGGCTCAATACCGATTGGTCCATGATGGCAGCCATTAATATCATGAATCCTAGAAATCATCTCTGCCAGACGAAGCCCCGTTGAAATACCTCCCGTGAGCATTGAACTTCGGTATAGAACACTGGTCGGGACGAGATATGGATGTCGATTAGCAACGTTGCAACCACCGGCCGGCGAGCGTGGACAGCTTCATTTTTCTGCCTGAGAAGGGAGCGGCGCGTTGGGTCGTGACTTGACTCAGCAGATTCTCGGCCGAAGCTAGCATGCAGCGTGCTACAACCATTTACAACTTGCCCGGCCCGATCACCTGGGAACGCCCGACGCCGTGGGCAGAGAGGGCGTGCACTGCGTGACGCCAGGCTCGCATCGGAAGAGCCAGATCCGTGGCTACAACAGTTACACATGGTTCGTCGTCCGAAGAACCGAGCCACGTCTACAACCGATAACATGGTGACTCGGCTGCTGCTGGGGCGTCAGGTTGAACTCCCTCATCCCAGTCAGACCCATAAGAACTAGCTGAATCCCCGAAGCTACCAGGGTCGTACCGCCGTATTGAGTAACTGAAGGAAGACTCCATGATCTGCTACCACTAGACTAGTGTGTAACGCCGTGACTAGTTCTTTGGACAGTCCTCTTCCTGCCTGGCTCAATCCAGTATTATCCTCCCGCACCGTACTTTCTTTCCTTCTGGAAAGATCGCACAGCAAATTCGATATGGTCAAGATCCATAATGGATGAACTTTGCACTTTGCTTTTCGGCTTACCAAGGATCCAGTACGGGTGCTACATCGGACGACTGACATGAACTTTGCTTTATACCATCACCAAAAGATCGACTGCTGCTCTGCCCCAAATCTCGGACTTTACGCCTCACTGAGACTTGCCGACGTGCGATGTTAAGCAGAAGCCTCCCAACGCATGTTGTTCAATTTCAAGCTATCCATAGACAGCAATTGGTGATGGCTCTACTGTCCAAGCCTTGACCAGCTTAGCACTTCTCAAGTCTTGTCTCAGTATGGCTTTATTAGGCTATATGACGCCGCTCGTGCTAGTGGCCACGTATATTGCCATCCCGACGATTATTGTATTGAATCTAGTCCGCCGTCTATTTTCAACACACGCATTACATTCCAGTCTACCATGGGCAGGTGTCGGCGCTCACCACAACTCAATCAGTCTAGCTCGAGCCAATCTGAATAGCTTCTTTAACCTGCAGGCTTTGCTCGACGAAGGCTATGAAAAGGTGCGCCTGTTACAGAACGTTCCTCTACCACTAATTACATAACTAATGGTCGTAAACAGTACTCGAAAAATAATAGGCCTTATGTGCTCCCCTACTTCGTCAATGGGCCGCAGGTCATTCTCCCATCCTCTGACATCCGCTGGCTGCTTGACCAGCCAGACTCTCGTCTGAGCCAGGAGCATGTGAACAGACAATTCCTCGAAGCGGACTATACTTTTCTGCATGCCAATCTAGTGAAAGACCCAGTTCATCCGGATATCATCAAGTATGAACTCACGAAACAGATCGGCTCTTTCGTGGAAGACATAGTTGACGAAGTCGAGCTCTGCCTACGTGATACGTGGGGTACGGATACGGAGAATTGGCGAGAGGTCCGATTGTACGATACAATGCTAGAGGCCATCGCTCGCATGTCAACCCGCGTCTTCATCGGTCTGCCATTATGCCGGGATCCGGAGTTCATCACGACGTGTCGCTCATTCAATAGGAATGTCGCCCTTAGTGCTGCTGCATTAAGCGCCTTGCCGGCTTTCTTGAAACCGTGAGCCTGGACACCACTTCTACTGTGATTCGCCAATTACTGACGTACGGCCTAGTCTATTTGCCCCTTTCGTTACATTCTACGACTATATTCAATATCTGCGGTGCTCGCGGTTCGTCATGCCTCTTATCAAGAAGCGACTAGACCAGATTACTTCTAAGGAGAAGTTACCCCTGTTTGGCTCAAATCCTCCAGTAGGTCTACCTGCTCGTCATTTCACCGTCTACCATTTCTGACAACCTTTAGAACGACTATGTGCAATGGGCAATCAACCATGCCTTAGCCAAGCCAACACCAAATCCAATGGACTTAGATCCCCGGGTCATCGCTTGCCGATTCTCTGTCCTTTGCTTCGCAGCCATTCAGTCATCAGTCATCACCATCACCAACACACTGTTTGACGTCGCTGCTTCTCTAAACTGCGAAAAGGCTTTGACTACAATGCGTGAAGAGGTAGCACGTGAGATATTCGAAGGCGGCGCATGCACCAAAGCCTCCTTGGCACGTATGACACATGTGGACTCTGCGCTACGCGAGAGCCTCCGTCTCAACGGATTCATTGAAAGGGGTATTATGAAGATGGTTGTTGCACCGGAAGGGGTCACTCTGCCAGATGGCTCCCATATACCATACGGTGTCAAGGTCGGTATATCCGGCTACAGCGTGCACCATGACGAGGAAAACTACACCGATGCCACGACCTACAACGCATTCAGGTTCGCGGGAACAGATGGCGGGAAGCCTTCTGCGCTCGTGAGCACCAGTGAGAAGTTCATGGGCTTCAGCCACGGCTCGCACGCTTGGTAAGTTCTCATCTCGTCAGAGAGTTCTAACGGAGCCTCACGGAGTATAATCGAGAAGTTAACTATTATGCAGCCCAGGCAGATTTTTCGCCTCGAATCAACTGAAGATCAGTTTAGCTCATATTGCAATGCATTACGAGATCGAACCTATCCCCAAGCGACCTGTGAATATGTGGTTTTTTGGACATATAGCACCTCCCCTCAACGAGACCTTGCGAGTCCGACGGAGGAAATCTTGACCCGCTATGGATTACCCGTTCCTCTTATCGTTCCCTTCTGCGATGTTGCGATGACCAACAGATCCTGCCAAATCTACAAAGAGAGCTCATCCGACGTCCGCCTGAGCACGTTGCTTCTAAAATAGGGAGAAAGCCCCGTTTGGCGTAGCTTGGATACTTCGGTTCGGTTATACAGAATCGCCTTGGCATGTGGTGTAGATATCATCAGATATAGACTGCTGAGTAGACTTCAGGGCACGAGTTCATTATCTATTATCAATGATAACGTGTCTTGACAAGACTGGCACGAAATATGTTATTCATGATGCTATCGCATTGTCTCGTGCAGCTTTTACTTTCTTCTTTTCTTTTTCTTTTTCCTTTCTTGTGGGTGGGTGAGTGGGTGGAAGAGAAGGGGGGTTTACCCAAGTTGCGTCAACTAATGTTGGGTTGCCCATCTAGCATGAGATGTGTTACGGGTAATAAACTTATGCAAATAAGATATAGGAAGTATTCTCATGCATCCATTACCGATAATGACGGTCAGATATCAAATAGTGCGACTCTGCACCCATGGGCGTTTTTTGCCGTTAGAGCCCACTCGCCAGCCCAGTTTGGGTCATCTCGACTCTCAATTCTCTCATATCTCAAGGCAAGTTTGATAATAACGTAAGCTACCTCCGCTAAAACCTTCTGTTGCCCTAGACATCCTCGTGGTCCATTACTAAAGGGTAGGTACTCCCAGGGTCTTGGTTTGATGTGGTCCCACCGGTCGGGACGAAATGATTCTACACCGTCCCCGAAGACTTTAGGGTCGCGATGCAGACCGTAGAAAAGTGTGATAATTCTGGAATTTTTAGGGACAAAAATAGGAGCACATCCATCTGGTCCACCGCCCCGTGGTAGAGCGGTATCTCGGAGAGAAGTCCGTCCAGATGTGGCGAAAATAGGATAAAGTCGAAGACCTTTCGCGAAAATTAATGAAGAAAGCGACGGGTTTACCAGCACGACTTACTTTCTTTTAGAATGTTCTGTAAAAATGACATACCCTCTAAACAGTCTGTAGTGATTTTCGAAATAGCTGTTCCCGCAACTTCTTCCCTTAGACGCGTCCAGATGTCCCCGTGGCGTGAGAGCAAGAATATTGTGTTCGTTGCCAAAGTCGATGTAGTCTCCTGCATACACATAATCGATTGAAGAAGTTGAGAACGAATTAAGTACCTATCGTTGGTGTGATCGGTGAGAATGCCCGCCATTCCAAAAGTGTGGTGTGCGTTTTGGACAGCGATATCAGCTGGCGGCACTTTCAGGTCGTCTTGACTATTTTGACCTGATGCCAGACTTACGTAGTGGTCCAGGAAGGAATGTGCCGTTTGGCAATTTCTGTCAAAGGCTGGACTCGGGATGTTGCGGCTAACAACCCCGAAAAAAACGCGTACTATTAGCCAACTGAGAGCACCGTGGAAGGCATCAAGGAATTGCGATGAACTGATTGGAGGAGCTTTCCCGCAAAGCTGTGATATACTACTTAGTCTTTTACCTAGTAGGAACTCCCCGCTCATATCTAAGAACTAAATATGATTATCGTCAGTGAAGATTCAAACGCAACATTACCTGAAAGCACTTACGAAATGGTAAAATAAGGGGGCTAAATCAACGGATATACCAGGCTGTATTTTCTCATCGAGCAATGTGTCCAGGGATTGGCCCAAGGAAGTTAAATTGATGATGTGTGTTCCAGTGAACGAATTTCCCACCATATCTCGCAACACTTGCCAGTCGTGCCTGTCGGTATTGATCAGGCCGCGTCCACAGAACGGCTCAAGAGCTTGTTCTCTAGCTGGTGCAACGCCCCATTCCTGCCAGTTCGATTCATACACCGTTCTAAAGTTCTCTGGGTCTATAGTATGAAACACATCTTGTGCTACGGAGTTGACTACGTAGGTTTTACCCAGTGTCGTGTGCCGGTTTGCGAGTGCTGGTAGAATGCAAACCTTTATCTCAGTGGGAGGCAAATGCAAAGCAGATGAGTGACTGAAAGACGAGAAAAGTTGGGAGCATTCAGGCTTGACTTCGTTGATATGCTTTATACTTGGCATGAACCCTACATTGGCTCGGTGTTTGGTCTAGTAACTGCTACCTTGCACCCATGTGCGCTCTTGCATGTCATTTTTAGTTCTCCTTTCCACTGTCGTTTATCCCTACTGTTCAGGGTCACTATGTCTTGAGAAAACCGAGCGAGAACATACGATGCCTCCATCATAGCTTTCTGTTGCCCTAGGCATGCTCGATTACCTCCACCAAATCCCAAGTACTCCCATTGTGCGGGCTTGATTGCATCCCAGCGCTCAGGTCTAAAGGTCTCTACATCTTCCCCGAATACATCTGGGTTGCGGTGTAATGCATAATAACCCATCACTACAGTCGAGCCTTTCGGAATAAATATGGGAAGATCATTATTAGGACCCCCTCCGACAGGAAGCTTCGCATCTCGTAGTGCTACTCGACCTAGAAGTGCGAAAATAGGATAAAGCCGTAGTGCTACCATTAGATAATCAATAAGAATCTATCGCTATGAAAAGAATGTAAACTTACTCTCATGCAAGATATTCTTGGTCAATCGGGACGACAGAAGACTTTCTGGCAGAAGCGCATCTTCGGGTTGACCGGCGAACTCAGCACGAAGCTGCTCCCAGTACTGAGGGTGCCGTGCCAAGAGATGCAGTGCATTAGTAAGAAGTTCGGATGTTGTATCTTGCGCTGCCATCATCGCTTGGATAACTTGACTCCTGATTAGTATAGCATCGTTCGTCTGAGCAGATAATCCCTGTATCAAACTCTTGTTATTTAGAGGAGCGCGATCTGACAACGCTTGGTTGATATAGTAGTCAATAAACTTGTGAGCCGCAGCACATGTTTTGACATATCCTCTGTGTGGTACGAAGTTCCAAAGTCGACCGAGGATTACCCTAAACATGCTATAAACCAGGGCGCCATGGAATGATTTCACAAACTCATCCGCCGTCAATGGTGCGCCCGTCGACTGCTGCAAAGGATGGACACCCAGGACGAAATGCAAGGCTAAATTGAGAAACTTCCCGTCAGAATTAGCGAACAAACGAATCGCCATGTTCCTGGAGTGAGCCTACCATGACATAAAGAAGAGGTTGCAAATCCACGGTGGAGCCATCATTTGGTAATTGGTTTAGAAGATTAGAAGCTTCTTCCCTGATAGTAGAGAAATCTCGGATGTTGGCTGAATCAAATGACGGCTTTAGGAGCTTTCTAGACAGGTTCCATGTGTCTCCATCAGTCGTAATAAATCCCTTCCCGCAGAAGTACTCCATGCCAGGAAGTCTCATGGGTTCCACGCCAAAGTCTTTCGACACGTTTATTTCTCGGATGTTCTCCGTAGCAATTGTGCAGACCGTGGGCAGAGTGACCCAAGAGCGAGTTCGGTACGTATGGCCATATTTTCGGTGTAATTGGTACAAAAATGGTATATTCGCGTACATCTTCATTTGGAAGTCAAATCCAAAGAAAGGCTCGGTAGATTGGTGTTGGACTGGTTGTCCGCAGCCATGGCTTTGTTCAGCCCCGATTCTTTGGCGTTGGCGCTGATAAAGGAAGAATGCCAGCAGTCCAAGACCCAGAAGTAGAGAGTTGCTTAGGTAACACATCGTTTGCATTAGAGAATCGTTCAAATCGGAGGTTCAAAGTGAGGACGAAGGCCAAAGTGAAATGGTGTAAATCGGGGCAGGTGAGCAGGGAAGCAGATCGAGGGTCTTTTTCGAAACGGAAATCGAAGTTCGGGTTGGGAAGACCACCGAGGGCGCCCGTGCGTCCCATTTTTGTTTGTGCATGATCCTGGATCACTTCTTCACTGGTCTCGCTTGCTGCGCCGTGAGACGTTGGCTTGGTCTGGATATGCAACAAACCCCAACGAATTTCTTTTCGGTTGCATGGCACACGCAGTGTGATTACTCGCAAGTCTCCTCAACGTTCGTCTTTTGCACACTAGGCGGAGCGTTAGACGATTGCGTTATTTGGCGACGAATCATTTGCGGTAGATAAGTCTTGTAACGTCTGGCTGCACGCGAATTTACCACGTAAGGGTAGAGCGTTGCGTCTGCTAGCAGTGTATTTGACTCTAGACCACAGCTGTAACTCCTACCAATCAATTTCCCTTGCTAGCTCCCTGACTTGAGTCGCTGAATATTTACCCTCCTCTCGATTGAAGTGTAGTTGAACTACATTGCGTCAGTCTTAAAAGTTTGGTGGAGTGGCATATTTATCAACAACTTCATTGAAAACAGGTTTCTTACCTTGGAAAAGCGTGTCACTAGTTTGGCAGCCCTCCTAGTACTCAAACATTGATTCTGATAGGATAGATAGCCCATATCTGCGATATAGAACAGTGGCCAACTCTTTCAACACTGATCCACCACAACGCCAGTTTGCAGCACATCACGGGCCAAATAGCCTTTTGATATATCACAAGATGCTGAGAAATAATTTTTACTGCCTTTGTGTGGTTTGAATATTTTGTGTAGTTGAAGGTCTTCACACCAGCATTATATCAGAGCTCCAATATAGAATTTCTCAAACCAAGGCATTGCCTCCATACCCTCAATGATCCATCTGACTTGTCAGGGTATCATGTCCAACCCGGGTCTTGTGGCAGTATTGCCCGCCGGCTACCTCATCCTCGATCCTAAAGTTCAATAATTCGAGCAAGCAGATCACCAGCGGCAGCACAACGCAAGTGCCCAAGACAATTGCCGCGGCATCAAGAGCCATAACCCCCACCAAACCCAATGCTGCTGTTCCATTAACCCAAATTGGATTTGCCCGTTTCAAAAAATTGAACCAAAATCCCGTGGTCTTCGCAGTGGCCCTCATGAAGGTGATGCTCAGCCAGTAAACCTCGAGCAATGCTGCAACTAGAAGGCATATGTAGAGCACAGTGACTATCGCCTTGCGATAGACGTGACATTTCCTGTGTGAGAGGAAGGGGGCGAGCCAAAACGTGTATCGCGGTTGAAAGTGACTCCCCAGTGATGTAGACATCGTCACATTTGACGCCGCTGATGTCTGGCTTCCCGGATTCACTGACTTCTCTTGGCCAACGATCAACGACTTCTGCGGCGATAGTGGATTGCCGCCGGTGCTGTTGCTTGCTGGAGCCTTATCCCATATAACTGTCGTCCAGGTTGTCGCAAGAAATAGCAGTAGAAGCCAGCATCTGGTGTGAAGGAGCGGTTCATAGACATAGCGGTCGATGCCGCGAATACTAGCCTGATAGAGTAGTGAGGTCATGGCCATCACAATGTAGGATGGGACACGTATTCCTAGCCACCTCAGCGCACGAGCAGAGCTTTCAGCTGAAGCCATCCGCTTGTTTCGGCTGCATGAATATCGAGCGTGGGCGCTCAGAGTCGAAAAGCACTTGGGAATAGAGCAGGAACAGCCGCTGTGCTTTCGCACATTATGTAGGCAATTGAAGTATTCTCCACTTCTGCCACTGGCTAGTAATGATTCGGCTGTCAATAAGTATAGAAGGTTTGCGAGATCACGATTAGGTAGATAGCACATCCAAAAAATATTATGCTCAAAGCGGTTCCTGTGGATTACCGAGAAGTATTGGCGTTCGACAGAATACGGCTGGTCGTCTGACTCTTCTACAGTAAGGCAAGGCAGTGGAGAGTGTCGTCCTTTCTCATTGCCAATAACAGTCAGCATAGTGGCCCCATCAGGTTGACAGGAGAACCACCAAAAAATAACTAAAGGTGGTTCAGGTCAGAACTGCACTTGGCGCAGGCAGACATGTGTTGGGAGCTGCCAAGAACCAGGTTTTAGCCGAGCCACGACACAGAGTACTGTGAAGAGAGAGCCTCGTCAGAGTTTGTTTACGTCTTAACGCCTGGCCTTTATATGTATGTGTGCGCAAGGATTGACGTCTTGTCCTGGGCCCTGGAAGCAACGCTGGCTTTAGATTGGGTATGGATGATGAACGGCCGTGCAGTAAAGAGATCGTCTCTGGTACATGCGATCCTGGTGTCGGAATTGCAATCCAGATTCTAGAACGTGGGAGATGAGCAAACCTTAGCCAACAGATCGACTGCTGTTCCGACACGTCCCCGGTTGCCAGCAGCGCGGGAGCCGGGCGACCAGGCGGGCGCGACGTCATTGGGCCTGCGCTAAAAATGCAGCTGGCTGGGGTTTCACCAGCGGCCCAGTAACCCCACCGGCCAGACAGATGCTCCCCCAAGCCCCCGAGGCGCCGCTAACGCAGGGACCCAGGGGCGCCGGGGCGCTAGGGGCAGTAGGGCGCTAGCTGGGCGGGAGCTGGAGCGGATTGGGTCAGCACCGGGGCTCAGCTGTCTTGGCCAGCTCCCCGCGCTACGGTGTAGAGCGTACCGGTCGCTTAGCGCATCCCCCTAGCAACCGATCCCAAGTCAACAAAAAGCCGATGGCTGGGCGACGATGACCAGAAAATCAAGAGGCTAGACCAATGACACATGCACACTCTGCCCATCATTGATCCATTGTTTCTGCATGTCGGCCTCATAGTCCAATAAGTCAAACGCAGATACCTACTCCCAGCCACCGATCCGAGAGCAGCGCATCAGTCGAGGCTGCCTGCTGCATCCACCACACACCGCACGCTTGAAGAGCCATACTCGGTATCCTCTTCTCTTCATACATCGTCAACGTACTGTTGGAGGGAACATACTGTCAATCAATCAATCTACTTGCCTAAGTGTCCAGCCCACCTGAGCAGCCATCACCTCCTCCTCATCCGCTCACCAGACTAATCTTCACTCACACTCACTCACTCACCCAATCCCTTCCATACACCTCTCTCTCAACCTCTCTCTCATATCTCTTCCCACCATCACCAGACCCATCTCAACCCTGGGAATATCTGACAAACAGGAAACGATCCGATCGCGGTAATCGACCGTCCTTCCTCTGATACTTATACTCGCCTCACCGAGACGTCATCCATTCCGTCGAGTGTCGCCGTCAGCGCGCGCATTCCAACCCACCGCCAGCAGGCGCAACCTCCATTCCATCTACTGTTGCAGTCCGCTACCAGCGACACCCGACCGTCGCTCCGACCAAGCGGAGGACGGGAGAGGGTTCAAACCGAATCGAGAGCGCTCGGGGAACTGAGCAGCGGTGGAAAGAGAACGGGGTCAGCACATAGACACCTACAGCAATGGCTGAAAGGTTTCAAGTCGGATGGTATCGTAAGTGTCACTTCTGTATCTCTTCCGCCGCCGTGCTGTCGAACGACTGGGACCAGAGATCCAGTCTAGCTTGCCAGACAACGCTAACCCGTGCTTTATAGGATGGATACCGTTCTTGGGATACCACCATGTCTTGATGATACTCATCGCAATCTCCATCATCTTGCTTTGTACGTTTACGCCAACATTCCAACGCCGCTGGTATGCACACGCTAACATGATGCCACAGCGCTTCTACTGGCAGGATGCTCTTCCTCCTCACCCTTAATACCCGACATCTTCTTGTTGTCGCTATACTACCAAGACTACACGGCGGTGCCTGACACGGCGCAGGTCGACTACAATGGCTACCAGGCCATCAGCAACATCGTGGGCAGCGCACACCTGCAGGCGCGGGTGGGTTACTTCGGCATCTGTGTCAACCCCGACGGCGGCGCATGGCTGTGCTCGAACAACGCGACCGCACTCGCCAATGAGGTCTCGGTAGATCAGGACCCTCTGAACCTCATTTGGCTGGCGAGTCAGTTCAAGGACATGATTGTGTTCCCGTATCTGATCATCATTGCCATTATCTTCGCCTTCGTCTGCTTCCTGCTGCTCGCTACCTTCCCAGGCTGGCACGAGGAGGAGGACAGCGAGGGCTCCGAGCGTGAGATCAAGCCCTTCCCCTCGCGGCCCGTCAGCCAAATCGCCCTCGCCATCATCTTCATTGCCAGCATCTTCGTTCTCGTGTCTGTGCTGTGGCAGCACACGGCCTCCGTGGCGGCCTCGATCATAGCGCAAGATTTCGGTAACGGAAGCGTCCTGTCCGGCGTTGGTACGAGCGCCATGGTCTTGGGTTGGTTCAGCTTTACGCTTCTGATCATTGTGACCATCGGACTGCTGGTCATGATTCTGAGCATACGGGTACTGTCCCAATTGGCGGACTGATGAAGATGACAATGATGATGACGATGACGATGTTGGTGCACTTCTCGCGACTGATTCTCCGGGATCAGCATTTGCTGTTTGATAAAGGAAGATTGTATGGCCGAACGGGGCACGACAAGAACATAGACGGACGGAAGGTTCAGCCAGGATGAGGCGAGCCCTGAAGGAAATTGTATATGAAACGAAGCATGGCATCAAATGGAAACGGCATGATACGGCACACGAAATCTCTCGGTCCATCTCCAGGATGACGAAAGGAGGGAGATCGAGCGCCGATTGCGGTGGATGTAAACGAAATGCAGCATCTGGGACCGGAGTTAGCGCGAGAAAGATATAATACTTGTTTTGGTTTGGTTGGGCTTTTGCTGACTTTCAGCCGCATCTCGCAATGTCGATATTTGTTCATTCCCAATCCCAGGTTTCCACGGGAATTCTCCTATACCGGTGATTTAACGATGCGCGTGCGAGAACATATCTGATGAGTAGCCAAGCTGGGAACTGCTCAGTACTGGAGGTGCCGGTCCTGATGAGATGCAATTTGGTATATATGTATTTGGGTCTCGCTTCAATATAGACATGCTAGGGATATGGAAAATAGAGAATGGTTGAATTCTGAAATGTTGCCTGCATTTGAGGCTGCTCGTCCACCCCCACTCTGTTGCACGGAGAACGCGATGTTCAACTGGACTTTCCTTATACTTTGGGGCGACCACGACAGCATAGCGAAGAACAATGAGGAGGACAAATCAGTTGCTTAGTCACATCATAGAAACTCCAGTCACACTTAGAACATTCCCTGTGGTATTTACTACCTCGAAACGCCAGACGCCAATATGTCGTAATCAAGTTCCTTCGCACCATCCAAGCGGGTGGACAACCGTGCGACTTCTGTATATACTGAACGCATCGTCGCGCGTCTCTCTACACTCTAGACGTGATGTAGATATCATGCCTCGCCTTCGTGATTTATAGCGCATATGCGAGTTTTGCTTCGCGCTGGGGCCCACCGGCCCCTGTGGTTTGGTGGTCCTGCGACGGCGTGATGACGACGCGTCACCCTTGGTTGCGTATGCAGCGGCCCCACCTCGTTTCGAGCCAGCCGGAATGTGATAAGATATATACAGATTGGGAAACACCAGACCTTTGGGTCGGGGTTCTACGCCCGACTTATTCACAAGTCATTGCACGTCTCTATATCCTTCTACTGGCGGCCTCTGCCGCTATAGCCGCAGATTGGATTCGAGTACCCTTTTCACGGTTGCGATCAAGCAGTCGTCGGCCGCTTGAAGGGATGCGCCTCCGTGTTCAGCACCCAATCGTCGAGGCTGATGACATCGGGCGTGCTGTATAGGAGATAGAAGTACTTCAGGGTCTCGGCGAGCCAGAAGCTCTCCATCTCGTTGGACTTGGAGGAGCCCGGCGTCAGCACATCCTGGACCGCACTGTGGCCCGCCTCGGTCTGCGTGGCGGCGATGATGGACTCGAACATCCTCCAGCCCTTGTCCTGCCACGTCGTGTCGCCCGTGATGCGATACATGTACCAGACGGATTCGATGGCCTCGGGTCTGCGAGCGACCGACGTTAGTTCGGACGCCACCAAAAGGAAGAGGTAAGGGGTGCCAAAGGCCGATTTGTTACTTACCTAAGGATGTAGTGCCTGTGGTTGATGGTCACGAAGCCCCCGGGGATCTTCTCATTCTTAATTCGAGTCGCGATGTATTCCTCATGGCTAAGAGGTTTGTGCGGGTCCGGCTTCAAGGGATCCTCCTCGTCTTCATCGGTCAAGGGAATCTGGGCGTTCGTCTTCTTCACTGGTGCGCCGACCCTTCTAGTGCCGCCTGCAAGGTTGAAGTCCAACGAATCTTCGAGAACCAGCTTCTTTGTGGTCTTGGTCGGCGGTGAGTTGTCGTTCGAGCTGGTCTCAAGTTCCTCGTGGGGAGTAGTACCCAGGCCTCGCTTCAAAACTTCACTCTCTCTTTCAACCGTCGCTTTGGACACCTTGGTATCGGTCTCGCCGGCAGCAGGACTTTGGTGCATCGTGCTATCCCCACCGGAGGCTAGGGCAGCGTTCTCTTTGGCTTCGAGCGCTGCTTGTTCGGCAGCCTCCTTTTTCTTCTCCGCCTTTCGCTTGTAATAATCCTCAATCTGCACCTCGCGTGTGTTCCACAGAGGGTCCAGGTACTGGTGCCATAGGGTCTCGTTCCACTTGCAACTTCCTGCATTGGAGCATGGGACGACAGTAGCACCCTCGGGCATGATACCGGTCGGCATCGTTTCGTATGCCCAAACACATCCATCGGTGAGCTTCTTGCCAATCTCCACGTCCATGGGGTCATCGAAGATCTTGCCAGCCATGCCGAACATGCCACCGAGGAAACAGGTCAGGTGCGTCACTTCATACTCGGTCAGAGCATCCTCGAGCGGATTTCCCATCGTCGTCAGCTTCGCACTGAATAAGATATCACGGTCACCGGGGACCATGGGACGGTAAAGCAGCCACTTCTTGACAGCCTCTGCAACTTTCAGATGCATATCCCGATATTTGGATTCCAGTCCTCCCAACAGTAGGTACTGTTTGGGGAAGTACTCGTACGTTGAATCTTGGGAGCCGCCCATGCTGAACGAGTCTCTTCCCCATCCCCCGGAAGTGAGTCCCTGCGGATAACAGACTTCTGTGCCGAGTTCTGCGATGGTATAAGGCTCGGCTGTGACTTTCTCGATCATCATCTGCTGGTAGAGATCTGGAGCTGACGGGATCTCAGGTGCAGTTGGCTTCTGCTTGATGGCAGCTGCGCCAGTCTTCACTGTCAAGGGACGATCTTGCGGGTCCTCGTCATCATCATCAATCGCTGAGCGCGAGTTCAGAGACTTCGGCTTGCCGGCGCCTGTGCCACCTGTTTTGCCTACATGAGAAGAATCGGAGACCTTCTTGTTCATAGCCGAAGCTTTTGACTTCTGGCTGTATTCCCTACCCGTGTAGTCATCGGGAGTATCCATGACACTCTGAACCTTTTGGGCCTCTTCCTCACTAAGCCGAATTTCAGCATCTCTGGCAGCTGTCCTGTTGCAGCCTGTCGCATCCACGCTTTCCGGGAAGATGCCAGGAATTGCAGTCCCATTAGGCCTGCTTTGCCACTCCTCCAGGGCGTCAGTAATACGTGCAATAGCGTCATAGTACTTGTTCTCCTGGGTAAGCTGCGCCAGCCGCGTGAACTCCATCGACAACGAGCCCAATTCAGCGAGATTGGCACCGGCCGCTGCACGCCTCGGGCGTCCAGTAGACGACGGCCTCCAGCCGTAATACAGGATGGGCATGCGATTAGGGGTGTCGAAAACGCCCATGAGGATCTCCGCCAGCTCGACAGCCTTTTCGAGCAAGATTTGGTAGCCACCCTCGTGGCCGCCGCTCACATCATAGGCGCCGAGAAAGCCGCCCAAGTATCTGATTGTCGTCTCAAACACAGGTATCTCCATCCGCGAAGCCGTGGTGAAGTCGATCTTGGCAGCAGCCTGCACGGCCTCTTCGAATTCTTCCTTCATCCCCATGATCCACAGAGTATCGAGGGCATCTACCAAGGTGGCAGCCCATCCACAGAATGGATCACGGAATTTCTGGGTCACCGGCGACAATTCGTCGTGCATCCATGCATAGCTTCGGTAACCGTCCCATGCGCGCTTCATCTCGGACTTGACCTTGGCAAGGCGACCTTCACGCTGATCACGGGCCTCTGCGGTCTCCTGCTTGAATCCATGCTGCACCTTGGGGATCGCCTTCGGCTTGCCTGTCGGCAGAGAGATGATGGACTCGGGGGCAATGGTGAAAATCTCCGTAGGCTTTTGCCAATGTGCGGTGGTGGTAGTGGTTGTCGTCGCCCTTGTCTTTGTCTCGGCCGTAGTTTGCTTTTGCTGGCCATCCTGACGCAGCTTCTCTTGTTTCTCTAGCTCTGCCTGCTCCTCCCAGACCTGGTGTGGCGTCTTTCGATCGGGTATAACCACGACAGGTGCGTCGGCTGCCGTAGCGCTGTCTTCAGAGGGCAACTTGTCGACGGACGTTGGCTCGGGTTTGGATCGGGTCGTCGTGGGCAAGGTATAGTCGGCTTGGTCGCCATCAACAAAAGGTTCCTTCAAATCCGGTATCTTAATCTTCTCCGGCTCTTTCTCTTGGTCCTGGAGAGGTCTCTGCCCTTGCGGCCGTTTCCGTTGCAGGTCGAGTGTCTCGGGGAGGTGATCGGTGTTCCTCAGCGGTTCGGAAAGTGGTGCCTCGGACTTGGACTTGGCACCGGCGCCATAGTCGATTCTCATGGGCAGTCCTTCCCAGTCTGCATCTTGAGACATACGATACAGAAGAAGCAAGGCGACCGCAGTGATGATCAGATAAACCCGGTATCTGCGAAGTCGTAGCATGGCGGCGGTTGTGGTAGCTCCCGAGGCAGCGCCTCGAGTAGCTGTAGCACAAAGGAGAATGCGGACGAGAAGGAACACAGCACGTTCAGCGGTGAAGTGGGCTCGAATCTTCAAATCAGAGGTGATTATTGCATATTCAGCGCCAGAAATCTGTTTCCTGACCGGGTAAATCAATCAAGTCAAGCGGCATGTATGCACATCAAGCACAAGACAAGTGGCGACTTGATGGTGATGACGGACTACCCAAGACGGCCAAGAGGCCAGGAGCAGGATCGAAGCAACGCACGCACTGGAGGAAGACGTCAAGGGAGCCCGCGCGAGAAGAGCGAGCGAGGCAGGTGAATCTTGGCTGTCACAGAAGACGACGACGACCGTTCGCGAGTCGTGAGAATGTCAGCAGAGCTAGAAGGTGGCACCTGAGAACCTTCAACAACGGGTCTGGTCAATTCCCCATGCATCGCACTGCGGCTGCGACTCAAGGATCCAACGGGGCTGTCGCATGCGAACCTCAAAGAGGAAACAGCCATGGTGAAGTAGCGTCTTGGCATCAGCATTGTACAGTCGCTGGGGCCATTGTCTCCTTTCTCCTCTTGTGGAGGATGAGTTGTGTCTGCGGCTTCTTGGCGGCGTCTCACGGAGGTTCGCCATAGGGGATTTCTTGGCCCGGCTGAAAGAGGGAAAGCCACACACTTTTCCAGCTCCGCACCTCTCCAAATAGTTTCCAGCGCTGTTATAGCCGAACGCCGAACAGAGGACTACACGGCGTAGTGATGAGACCCCATTGAACTTGGCAAAAGCTTCTGCGGAGTATATTACTTATCATGCCTCAAAGGAAATCCCACCACGAACGGACCGAGGACTTTAGACTGGCACGTCTCCCCGATGAAAAGCTCGACGGCTTCTATGGCGCCATCAAGGTTACCATTCGAGCAGCCTCAGAAAAGAAGCTTGAATTCACCCATGCGCCTGGCGAGCTTACCCCAGAAACTGTCTTCGTTAGGCGCATGGGTACCCTGCGTCGCTCAGGGACCTTTGACCTGCCGGGCTAGCCGTCCACCGTTAGATCTCTCTCCAATCTGCGAGCTTGCACCCTGTAGATTGTCTTGAATGTTGAAGAGTCCCAAGCCAAATACCCCAAGCAAGGCGGTCGCCGTTCGACATCAGCAACTCTTCAGCCTATTCACGGCAGTTGCTATCTTGACCGGCAAGTGAGAACAAGGAGTTCTATCTACAAGTGCATCTCCACTGCTCCGTACATAGTACATTCACACGAGACACGTGCTGGTTTTGGAAGGTCAGTCCGGGCCCCAAGTCCCACTCAGTTGAAAGAACACTTTCAAAATACGACCCTACACTGGGTACTCCTATTGAATTTCCATTGATGGGAGGCCCAGAACTCCGAGGCAATCTAAGTTGAGGGTCCCGTTGATTCGACACTACGGATTTTACCCGCACAATTCTCCGTGTATGCAGGGTCGCTTTAGCATTTAATCTGAGCGGGAATGCAGTGGTCACGCGTCGATAATGCGCAGGGTCCGACACACACGTACCAGGCAAACACTGTGGTGGTCTGCCAGGCCAGATACGCGAACATACTGTAGTCCCTAGAATGAAACACCAGATTGTGTTACCGCTTTACGGTAGATCTATGGGTGCGCTATGCGAGATGCTCCAGTGTGATGGTGGGGTTTCTCGCCGTATTCCGACACGTGTTGGTCCAGTACCACCAAGCCTTCAGGGCTCATTTGCTCAATGGTGAGTGATCGCCAGCACCACGATAAGGCGTGTGGCAGTCATGGCCTGGTCATCAAGCGGATCATGTCGTCCATTGGAGTTACTAGAACGAGGCATTATGTGCCTTGAGCCTTCCGATCAATCGTCGTGGGAAGCTCAGACCAATCTCTGCAAGGCGATGAACAAGATTAATGGTAGGCGGTCTCCGTTCCCTCCCAGTGAACGCAATTCGCATTCCATCCACTCCCGAGTCTCAGCTTTGCCCTCGCGAGAGCAGTCAAGCAAGGAAACGTTGTGGTTGCTACAGCTGGGAGCTCTTGCCATGTTCGGGTCAGAACAAGGTATTCCAGTGGGGGGTCGATCGGAAACCGCGCGTCGATCATGGTGAGGCTCTCGTGGCAGCATGACAAGCTGGGCCTGCATGGCTGACATCTGGCGTGCAAACAAGTTTCGCAGTGCACCAAGTCTATGATGCTATTCTGGAGCAGTCCCCGCGCTAATTTAGTAGCAAACCGCCAACATGGTTGGCAGATAGCGGGATGACCCGATTGCTCCAGGCCCGCCATACATCGAACGTTTACCTATGCGACAACACCGGATATTAGACAACTGGGCTGAGAGAATCTCATCGAAAGGCCATATTGGTTGAAATCTCAGAGAATATTGATTGGGTCGGTCACAACTTCACAGCCTTCTAACTTAGACGTTGAGCATGCCTTCCCTAGACCCTGAGCGCCAGAGTCGCATCCTCGTCACTGGCGCCAATGGCTTCATTGGCAACCATATCATCAAATTGCTTCTGGAGAAGACGCAGCATCAGGTGCATGCAGTAGTCCGAACTCCGGAGAAGTCTCTCGCCTTACAGAAGGTCCACGGTCACAGTCCGCGGCTTACGGTGCACATCGTCCCAGACATCACAGCACCGGACGCCTTCGTTCAACCAGCGCAACTCTGCCATGCCATTGTTCATCTCGCGTCGCCATTTATCGCTTCAAGTTCGAATATTGAAGAAGACCTGTTGATACCCTCCATAAGAGGAGTCCAGGCCATCTGCCACGCAGCTGATGCCAATGAGACTGTGAAGAGACTTGTCTACTGTAGCAGCTTCGCGGCAGTTTTCAATCCAGCTCCAGAGGGGTCGTCACCGAGCAAGGTCTATACGGAGGAAGACTGGAATCCAACCACGTACGATCAAGCAAAAAATGCACCAGCGTTGATTTACGCCTACCAGGCGAGCAAAGCCTTCGCTGAACAAGAAGCTTGGAATCTATCGAAAGAACAGAACAGATGGGACATGGTTTCGCTCTGCCCGGGGGTTGTGTTTGGTCCTCCAGTCGAAGGCACCATTTCAACCGTGACGGAGCTTGGGCAAAGCAACGGCATCATTTGGGGTTTATTCGACCAGGAGACTGTTCCAGAAACGAAGGTGCCTGGTAAGTCAGTAACCTTTATGAGCTCACAAGGTACTGATATGATATGCAAACAGTTTGGACATCCGTGGCTTCACTCGCCGAAGCTAACATATCTGCTTTGACAACCCCCGACGCTGGCGGAGAACGTTTCTTGCTCGTGAATGGCAGCTACGAAAACCAGGAGTTATGTGACTTGATTCGAGCCTCGAATGTAAATCACACTACAAAAGATCGCCTTCCTAAGGGCGACCCTGGCCATCGCACCCACGAACTTTGGCGGGCAGATGGTAGCAAGGCCGCTCAGTACCTGAGTTTCTCCCAGCCTACTCTCGAAGAGACAATACTTCCGCTGAAGGATTATCTCTTGCGATTGGAAGGTAAGCCGTAAGGCAGGTCTATGAGCGGCATGGCAGAGCAGTGAGTTATCGGCGAGAGAGGAATAGTCGGCTGGTAGGAGGTTTGAGTCCTTGTTATATCATGGATGAGATACTGTAGCTCTCCCGGACATGATAATTATGGTGAATAAAAAATGAGCTCAGCCAATGATGCACTGCTGCTGTCAGGCACACTCTAAATGAGAGATTTATCCGAACTCCCAGCATCGAAAGCCGAAGGTCTTGGCAATTCGGGGGTCAAAAAGTCAATTTGACTCTAACTAGATCCAGATCAAGGATCACTCTAGGGTTTCCTGCAAGAACAACAAGGCAGATAATACTCTACGTAACTTAGTAATGTCCCTCTGCCTACCCTGCTTGCATCCAAGCTCGATTGTGGGATCGCCATAGCGAATCGATCCTCCCCGCATCGGGCCTTGGTAGCCCAATTGGTGGGAGCGTGCCGTCCGCAGTGGCTCCCTTGGCATACGTCCTCCATTGATGTTCAGTAGCACCCTGGCACTACGTGATCCCTCCTTGAGCTTAAGCAGTGTCTTACAAACATGCTTAGCAAGCTGCCAGCTGCGGAAATAAGACCTGGAGCCGGAAGCCGTGCCTTGATGTTGCCATCGCAGACTTATTGACATACTGTAGCTGATAAAGCCGGGATCCCCTCCCAGAACTCCAAGAGCTCCGTCCCTTCCAGCGCAAGTACTTGTCCAACTGTACAATTTTCACGTAGACAATGCATTTTCTCGTATCTACCCTAGCCCTTATGGGCTTGGGCTCTTTTGCCAGTGCTTGTAAAGCAGCCGCGACGAAATGTCCAGTCGCCGACGTATCAGTAATTGCGCACGAGGGAACACCAGTTGGTCGGGAGGAAGTCCACGACGGCGGTAAGCTCCCCACTACGAGCTACAATTACTCCGACGGCGGCGAGTTCAACGGCTGACAAAGGCTTCAGTGAACCTGTACATCACCGGCAACGCTTCCGGCACTGCCGTTCTCTACCTCACGGACGTTTTTGGCATCAATTTGACCCAGAACCGACTGTGCGTTAACTGAACCGCAATTGCACTCAGACAACAAAATGTCTAACTTGTAGAATACAGTTTGGCAGATAGCTTTGGCCGTGCGGGCTTCCTGACCGTGGCCCCAGATCTGTTCAATGGCACACCTTCGCCAATGGACCTTAACGAGCCTGGCTTCAACATCACCGACTTTCTAGCTAAACACGGACCGGAGGCAACTGACCCTCTGATCGACGTCGCGGTCAAGTATCTGAAAGGGACACCGGGTGTGTCAAAGATTGGAGTAAGTACCCGATATTACGACACTGCGGTTCTCCGTCGGCCGCATGGGCGTTGTGCAGATCACTGACCTTGAGCCAGGTGACTGGGTACTGCTTCGGTGGGCGCTATGCCTTCCGCTACGTAGCAGCGGGCAAGGGCGGCGACGCTGCCTTCGCGGCGCACCCGTCTCTTCTGGAGGACGCCGAAATCTCGGCCATTGCGGGTCCAGTTGCGGTAGCCGCCGCCGAGACCGACAGCTCCATGCCGCCGGAGCGGAGGCACAACATCACAGCGCTGCTGGGCCAGACGGGCAAGCCATACAACGTCGCGCTGTACAGTGGAACAGAGCACGGCTTCGGTGTTAGGGCCAACGTAAGCGACCCCGAGCAGAAGTATGGCAAAGAAAGCGCTTTCTTCCAAGCTGTGAGATGGTTTGAGAACTGGGTCTGAAGTTTGGGTACGCGGTCCGTCCAAGGATATGTTTAGTAGCGTTCTAGCGTTACTATCCAAAGTAAAGGCTTTGCTCCTGTCTCAAAGATATAATGTGAAGCTCGAATATATTGACTGTGAACTTCGACCCCCTGGAGTATAGCCGCGGGACCTTTCGACTGCATAGTTTTGCTCATCAGCATACACTACAAGGACTCCATAATTATTCACTGGTCACTATTCACGAGTGTAACTCCAATGAACGGAGAAGGCCAACGAGCGAGCAAGATATTTCCATTGTTGACATAAGTCGCGTCTGCATTCCGTATCGAGAGCGATTGCCAGCCGGTCATATGTGCTGCATAATGCCCTCTAGTTACGGAAACCAAACAACTTTTACGTTCCACAGTTGATGCATCTTCAGTAAGCCGCATTATGTATAACGTCAGCACTAGGACATAAGTATGCAGATGATTTATTAGACTTCATACCAAGGCGTTCCACCTCAGCAGTCGGCCATGTACGCAAGAAAATAGGGTTAATGGCGAGCGAAGACCACAAGGCCTCGTCCTGGGACACAAGACCCCACCTCCAACCATTGAATAGATTTTTCAGTGGTCGCTCCTCCTTTCATGTCAAATGACAGAGATTCCGACCTCCTTGAAGTCCCTTGAGAGGAGAGCAGTCAAGAGATCCTCGACACTCTCATTCACGAATTGGAGTACTTGGAGGCAGATGACAGACCAACGAGGGCTTGAACAGCAAGTTCAAGCCACAACAATGTCATCAATGCCACTTTCGAGTAAATCTTACTTCCTGTTCTCATGTGTTGCTTTTCACGACGGCTCTTGGTTTGATGCGCCCAAAAGCCGGCTCGAGTCCAAATGATTCAAGGCATTGACTTCGAAACACCCTTCATTGGGAGCTGCAAGTTAAGGGAAGACGCTTTGGGATGATGTTGAAGCGCTTCATCACCAGATGTCTCCTTATATCGACGAAGGCGAAGAGTTCATCTTAGTCGGTTACTCGTACCGGGGGTTCCCAGCGCAGTGCAACCCAAGATTGGCCTGTCTTAGAGCGCACAGCAGAAGGAAAGAAAGGTGGTATACGGGCTATCGTCTTCTTCTCGGCCACTGTTCCTCTCAAGCCAGGTATGATGGCGATTGGCGTTTATGGGCCAGGAGAAATTGTCTAGCCCCTTTTGTTGACCACGGACCCCCTGGAGAGAAGGTGCGTTGTTGACGATGATGTCTACCTTTCCCAATCGTCTGGCAATCTCAAGGGGGAATCCAATATTCGTGAATGCAGTGGGTAGGGCTGCATTCTACAATAATGTAGATCCGGACGAGGCCGACCGGTTGGAGAGCTTGCTGCAGCCACACCTCAAGATGCCATGGAAGCCCCCATCAAATTCACGGTAGCGGACAGTCGTATTCCCATCTACTATATCATCTCAGAAAATGATGTAGCAGTACCGGCCAAGATCCAACGACAAGTCGTGGCGAATATTCCAAATTGTGTGATATTTAGCATGGAGGCTGGGCATAGTGCGTTTATCACCCACCCAGATCAAGTCGCCGGGCTTCTGGAGCGCTGCGGAGGAAACGTTAAGGGAGGTGAACTAACTTAAGGTTCACTACAGAAGATTGATCTAGCTATTCGTGCTTTTAGGGCAATCTCAGTGAGGCGCGGTATGATGGGAGTAGTTGAGATCGTTCCCCATTTGGGTTGTGCAATTGGAGGGTTCAGACGGAATGAATATATTGGAAGACAAGTTTTTGGGAGTGCACAAGGAGATCGCAACATTCACAACCAGAAATTTGGCTGGCGATCAGAACCTGTCAAAACTGTGCCTACTTTACAAAAAGAAAAGCAGGCCAGGGGAACGCATAGCCACCACGGGCGCTAACTATCATATATTTCAGCCTTAAATGCAGGGACCGCCTACCCCAGGAACTTAGCTCTTTCGACCTGCGCTAGGGACGGTAATGAATCATCAGTGGCTATGATGCAATGGGAATGGGACCTTAGATGAGAATGACGATTACGCAAAGTGGTTGAGACCAACCATCCGCGCCAATTCCCACAAACAAATAGCAATCCGGAGCAGAGATTTCGGCTGTTGCACTCTCAGTCCACCCCTAGTCAAATCCTGTACTTGCGCCATATAGCTATTAATTCCAACATGGCGAAAGGCGAACCCGAGAAAGGAGACAAAGGCAAGTTTTCCTGAGGTGGCCGTCAGGTTGGCGCAAACCTGTGCTCTAGCTCATTTACAATTCACCATCACTAACTTAGCCGACCTGGTAGTCTCATGGAACTGGGGTGGCGGAGCTCCAGGTGGCACTGTTGCTGAGAAAAAGACCGAAGGCCAAGTTGCGATCAAGTCGAAGCGCGGCAATACCATTAAGAAAAACGCCGAGCCCGATAATCCGGCCGTACACATCGAGCGCTCCGGAAATGACGTCGTGAAGAAGGCTTCTGAGCTCACTGTTGAGTCGAAGGGATCTCAGGGGAAAGAGGGTGATGAACATGGCGAGAAACGGAAAGCGAAAAGCCAGGACGTCGAGGATGACGCCAAGGAGAGTGATGGAGAGGAAGAGAGTGAAGAAGATCCCCATACCAAAACGAAGACTGGGAAAGAAGTGAAGAAAGGAGGTAAGCCACTTTCCGTCTCTATATACCTTTCAGTCGCATTTAGCTGCTGCGCTCCCAGTCATCATGCACCTTCACCATCAGTCTTGAACCGCATCTCATACTTTCTGCGTTTGAACAAGCTTGTTAACACTACACAGGAAAAGCAGCCAACAAGAAGCAAAAGAAGAAACAAGAGGAGGAGGACGAATTAGATAAAGACACGGATGATGGCAAAGAGGATGATGAGATCGACTCTGACAATAATGCCAATGAGACACAGAAGTCCAATCAGCAGACACCGAAGGCGGTTGCCAAAGATTTGGGAGAAGACAGGAAACAAGCGCAAATGAATGGCGCCAAGAAGGATTCAAAGACTAAAACCCTACAGTCGGCGTCGAAAATCAATGGCAAAGCGAAGAGGCAGCCTGCTCCTAGGCAAGAAGGCGACATGCCCAGTACACGCACCCGGAGCCAGGGCAACAAGTAGGCTTTGAGGTAACACCTCATTAGCATCGCTGTTATCTTATTGATACGGTTTTTTTGACCGCTGCGATTTCGAAATAGACGAGAATCTACCATCAAGTTTTGAATATTCACTTTGGACTTGGGCACCTGACGGGGACTTGTTGATTACTCCTCAATGAGCTCCTCAATGAGGCCAAATGCGTACCACAATGTCAGCGGAATGAATCCAACTGATCGCAGAGTTACAGAGGTGTCATGGTATTGCGTGCTAGAAGATCTGGATCGGCTCAAAGACCGAATGGGATGTGCTTGGTACCTGATCCGCCAATGGGAAGAGTGGGTGGGCGAGTAAGCATGGACGTACGGCTACAATTCTAAGGCGGAAATCCACAAGGCATGTATAGAGAAGCGCCTGTGGAAGGATATATACCATGTTAATAAATAAAGAACCTGTTAATAGAGAATTAGAAGTACTTTGACTCGGCAGTTCAAGGAATTTATGTTCTCCTAAGGCCTTACTTCGAAGCCAACTTCTCAGCTAGGACATTACCTTCAACAGAAGCTGCTATCTCGTAAGTGCGAACAGCAAGTATAATTTCCTACGATGCTAATACAATTACGAACGATAGTCGATACAGTCATCAAGAATGCAAGGTTGAGGGCGCAGCTTGCGAAAAAATTCGAGCGCTCAACTGGTTTAGATGCTGAAGACCTTCTGACTGAATATGCATTCAAGATTCGAGAGCTCTTGTGAATGTGTTATTTGAATTTGCACGTACTCACGGATGGGTCGATTCTGCGCAATCTTAGGCCGATGCTCTTATTTCATACGTCCATCGCCAGTGCTAAAGTAGGCCGATTTCGGATCACGGGGCTATCAACTTCCTATTTGCCAATCGATCAGTGTGCTGCACAGAGTAAGCAAGTGTAATCGGCCTTGGATGAATCCATGCATCTTGAATCACAACAGTTCTCTAGCTTACCGTTGGAGTCGCGCTTTCTCAAAAGAGCAATATCTACTTCACTGGCTGAGGTTGCAGACAGCCCACAGATCGAGATGCCTTAGGCCATGTAGAGGTCGCTGTCTGGGGGTTCATTTCTCACGCCGTAGTCTTACAGGACCATGGCCAAGGTGAAGATATGTCAAGGTAGGTACATTGTCCTTCTCCATCGTCCTAGAGTTTTTGATCCTAGTCTTGAATCCTGACAGAATGCTAAGGCATGGACCGCCAAACACGTTCCTTGCTGAAGTTTGACTTTAGGCGCGGCTGAAAGAAGATTCTTGAATGCTATGAAAAGTTAGGATCTGTATTGTACTGCGCTACTGTCATCCTCTATCCGACGAGGAATTTTGCCTATTTGGATCGACTGGGGAAGCAGGTCCCTTTCAAGCAAACGGCTGACGAGAGTGAGTCATGAGGCGCTCAAGGAAATTATGGGAGTATCATTATATCGATAAGTGCGTCTATTCTGCCGTGCTAGCGTGTATCTGTTAATGTACCCAGAGAAGCTGACTTCCTCCCAAATGAAGATCAGACAGATACCTTAAACCACGTTGAACACCGATTTGCCTTCCTCAGTGAAAGTGAAGGACTCGACGATGGTGATCAAGATTTGAAGCTACCGCAAGCCATACGACCCATCCAAGGCGATCTAGAAGACTTTTTCGCGTGGCCCTCTGATATGAGTTTGTCATCCCAGTCCTAATTTTGCAGCTGGTGGAGTGGCATTCACTCCAACAACTCCAAGGCGCTATGAAAGGCCCTACTGGGAAAAATACTGGTAAAGGTGATCATCCTGCTAGCACTGTCAACATTTCGTTCAGTCTCCGCTGTTAATGAGTCAATCTTCGAAATGTCTGAAGTCATAAATGATAGTCCAGGTAAGTGCCGAGCTTCTTGATCACGCCACCACGACAAATGGTTAGCCTAATTTACTGTGACCTGATTGCTGTCTCTCTCATGTACATAGTCAGCTCGTCTTCACCCAACACAGTAGCAGTCTGTGTCGGAGTCGGTATCGTGTTCGCATTTAGTCTGGGCCTCTTCCAATCTTGATACTGCCAGTTTGCGATTGGCTTGCTTGTGAGATTGGTATCTTGTGGATTTGTGGGCTTCAAGTTCGAATGATTCACGCCGATCCAATGCGAGTGGATCTATTCAACTGATTTACCAGTTGAAATGCATCCACTAGCGGATGGAACAAAGGATTCTGAAACCACTCAAACAGGGAGCCATATGTAGCGGCTATTCTCGCAGGCTGCAGTGGCGACTTTGATCACTATTATGAGAGGGTTAACCATGCGAACTCGACCAACTCCCACAACTACGAGGAGAGGAACGCGCCTAGGCACGTGTCTCTTTGCCGCAAGCTACATCAACACCGACTGATACCCAGGCATGCACCTAGGGCAGACAACACTCGGGCTAGGTCTGTGGAGGGCAGGAATTCCTTCACAACGGTCCGTCCCAGGTAAGGCACTAAAGCAGACGGGACGCGATGGTCAGTAGACCGATAGACGACGCAACAAGGAGGATGCACGTGAGCCTCGTTGATTGAATACCTCCACAACCCCGCGATGTATGACTCTGGGAGGCGTGGTTTAACCTAAGAAGAATATTTCCTACGTTCAATAACTGTGCAACAAAAAAAACAACAACACAGCTTCATCACAACTCGCGGGTCTTGACCTGCAGGATGAAGTTTCTCGGCTTCACGAAAAAGTTGTTCGTAGTTTTCCACTCTGCCCCAGACTTTGCGAGCTCCCCCGAGAGTTGAAACTCAAACTGGCGAAGTATAGTCGGGATCAATGTCGACATCTCTAGATGCGAGATGTGTCTGCCAATGCATGTGCGAGAACCAGCACCAAACTAAAATCGCGAAAGTAGACATAGTCAGTTGTGTTACGTTCTTTTGCCCCCCTCCCCCAAATAATTTAGCTAAGGGCTGATACAAAACACTTACTGGCATCCAATGTTCATTCATCATTGATAGTTTCGCTGTGTCTTCGGTCAACCACCTCTCAGGCCGGAATTTGTCCACGTCCGTGCCGTATATACTTGGATTCCGATTCTCGATCCAAGTGTTGATACCAACGACCGACTGTTCCGATAGTTATTATTGACATGATAAAAGTCTGGGAATCAACTTACGCCCTCGGGGAAAAAATGATTGCATATGGTAGCTCCGCCTTCGGGCACAACCCTTTCCAGAGGCAATCCTGTGGCTGGGTGCATTCGCAAAGCCTCCTTGATGGTAGCTTGCAGGTACTTCATCTCTTGTGTTCTTTTGAAGCCGATGTGTTGATTCTTATCAATCTGATCCGCATCATAGACTGCGTCAATCTCATCGCGGAGCTTCCGAAGGACCGTAGGATTGTTTAGCAGGTAGTATATGATTGCGGACAGAGAAATGGCAGTAGTGTCAGAACCAGCCACCATGTTGCTGGTGCAGCCGACTAAGATATGGTAAGATGTGAAGGTATCCGGGTTGTCCCTGTGTTTGGCGAAGAACTTCGAAAGGATAGAGCTCGCTGTCCTTGGGCCGATGTCCTCTCGATTGAACGCCATTGCCTTAGGTGAGGCTTGGAAATCTGTCATACACCCCCTCGTGAAGTTCATGACATATTCTCGGCCAGCGCCAGTCCCTCCGGCGAAGAAGTTCCACGCGGCGAAAAGATACGGGTGAAGCCAAGAGTAAACGCCTATCAGTGCCGCATAGACCAGATTATCCTCAAGAGCTGAGATGACCTGGCCGACGTCCTCTCCTTTATCGAGAAAGCCAAGTCGCTTCGAGTACGTGATACAACCTATGACATCGAACGCGTAACATTGTAACCAATAGCCCATATTGAAGGGCAATCCCCACTGGGCTAACTCGGTGAGTCGCTCGCAGAAAAGCTCAGCACACTCAAAGACGAAGCCCTCATAGGCCACGACTGAGCTCATGCTATAGATATTCTGGTACAGTCTTCGATTTCTGGCGTGACGCGAAACATCGCGGTCTGCAAACAGGCTCCAGGCGCCAGGATTGCTTGATGCATCATACCAATCAGACTTGGTGAAATGATTGCCAAGCCCGTAAATTGCCTTGGAGGCATGAGTATCATTGAAGCTATAGCGATTTGGAGCGTATCGCACAATTGGGCCTGTGGTACCAAATGATCATTAGACCAGGAGATCAAAGAGGTGGCCGTCGGAGAGCAACTCACCGTACTTGTCATGAAGATCTTTATTGACGGCTTCGAAATGGCCGCCTCGAAGCTTCCAAAAGTACCATAGCTTGGTGAAGCGGGCTGGCCATGGTCCTGGAATGGACCAGAGCGGGGACGCAAGGAGCTGGTACACATACAAAATAAGACGAGTGCCGAGCAAGCAGCTTACGAGAGCCAAGCTTGAGAATAGGCGCATCGCGAAGATATTAGCCCAATCAACTTGTCTTTACGGAATCGCGAGCGACCACCTGTGGCAATGCGGTCAGCTGGACGGTAGGGATATGTGTGCGCGTCCTTGCCCTTAGATGAATAGAGGGTTTGTTCACAATTGGCTTCGCGCCTTTCTTTCCTTATTTGGGCCTACCATCTTAGTTTATGTGAGGTGTTCTGCTAGAATATATTAGTAGAGGACCCTTCAAGACAAACCGGGGGAGCGATGCCGAAGCCCCCGGATAGTTCGAAACCGCGACAATAGCAAGCAATAGCAAGCAGGAGCAACGGTTCGATCATCGGGGTACAGATCACTACCTGCAACCAATCTGATGAGTTGACGGGCTGGCGTCCAGCGTATCTCCGCTCTACCCCCGACGGTAGACCTACCGATGGTCATGCGCGTGTGGTCACAGAGTAGTACTAGCGTACCCGGTTGGGGCTTCAGCCCATTGTGCGGAGTTGTGTACTGTATTCAACGTGGGGAACGTCCTTTCTGAGAACAACCCCCGCCTCCCTGAGCGTGACTTCGCAAGATTATGGAGGTTTCTTTGTCTGCCTACTTTCAATATTAGCTTAGCTAGGGAGGCAGGGCAGCCATCGAGCAAGGCTGTGCCGTCACGATCTTGCCCGCCAGGCACAATGCCGGAGAAGTGGCTATAGACTCACCAATAAGAGGGTGCTAGTTTTTTGTGCAGAGCGCCCACTGCAAGCTTGTCAATTTCTCGGAATCCTGTCGATCGATCTCCAGGCGTGGGCTTGCGATGAGGCATGCATCCTCCACGCGCGTGGGTCTGATCAGAAGCGGCTGGCTTTCGTTGTTGTGAGTAACTAACATGTTTGAACATGTTTGGGTCCGCACTTTCCACCGGCAGTCCTTCGATGGTAGTCTTTCTGTTCCCTGCGGATAGTCTCGTTACGCGAATCACGCGCAGGACAATGGCCTTGTAAGCTGGCGGCTCTTGCCTCTCGGCCCCAACATCACCTCCATCTTCCCGCTTGTGTCTGCCTCATGATATCGCATAGATTGATAGCGTGTCCCCTCGATCATCCGCATGACTGATTTTTAAGTCGTAGTTTGTCAGGAGATGTATGATGTCTGGGAGATAAGCCACGGCGAAAGCAGCATGGAGCACGGTCATACCAGATACTCCTCATTTCGGAGAGGCACGTCGTCTAACAACCTTATCGAAGCATCCTTCCGCTTTCTTCGCAACTAACGCGACAAAGAGATAACACCAGCAGAGAGACTGTTGTTCGGTCGATGTGTTTGGTCGCCCATGGTCCGCAGGGCTGGATTGAGTTTTACGTCGAAGCAACTACGCCAATTTCCATGCGGTCTTGAAGTATCGCTGAGGCGACCATATTCATCTCGTAGTCCTTTGAGAACAAATAAGATGAGCTGAAACCACTTTCACCACGCCGAAATGAGATATCTCAAATAGATCGTGTCTCATCTGAAACCATTCTTTTATAGCAATGGCTGTATCGTTCCAGAATCGTGCTCGAAGTGTCTTCTCCGTAGGCGGCGTTGCGAAGCGGACAAACTTGTGCAGTCGAATATAAAGGAGCTGCGCTAGAGCGATTTTAGTTTCTTTGAACAACGATAGAGTAGCGCTCGCTCTCGTGACGTTATAATGAAACCCATTGGAGGAGCTCGATCGGTAGATCTTCCAGAATTGCTATGATACGGCGATGATTGGCAGTTTCGAACCTGGGAGAGCAGTTCAGTCGCGTGAATTACGACGATACAAGACGATTGCCAGCCCTAGGGGGGGAATACTTCCTATATGCTAGAATTTTGTAGGCCCCAGCCGAGACCATGTGCCCCGACACGGCATATAGCTGGCCTCGCCAGGCAGAACGGCGTGTGAGCATAAAACGAGCGAGTCTGCTTTAGATTGGCGTGGGCCACGATGAGCCTCTTTCATGAGCAAGCGCCACAATAGCAGGGGCTTGATTGACATGGTCCCTCCGCAGCCATCACAGCAGCGTCATCGTAGAACACGGACGTATCTAGCCCCAGAAGTATGTCCTGGTCTAAATGATCAAGGCCACAGATCAAAGGTCAATGTTTTGGCTCTGGGAGTTGTAACACGAATACGGATATACGGCCGCTTGATATCGCCAGACTCTTCCAAGTCAGAGAAAAAAAGACGTTACATTATATGAATAAAAGTACGACTGTTGTGTTATACGCAACAGATTCAGAGAGTAATCCCTGACAGCTTAGCGCGGTGGGTAGATAGTCTCCTCGCAGCTAATAGAACGTACATAACCTACACTTCTTACTACATTCTCCGTTGATCTAATACTCACATATTAGCAACGTTCTTTTCAAGCAATTTATTTACGATTTTTAAACGTTATAAATTATAAATGAATTAATTAAATTTAATTTCAAAAGGAGAAAAAAAAAGGGGGGGGGGGGGGGGCCGGGGCGTTGACGCATGCGCCCAAGGGCGCACCTGTTACGGCAGCATAGGTGAATGAAATTCCTGTAGTATTGCGAAAAAGCTAGTTAAAGCTAAAAAAGAAAGAAAGGAAAGAACAGCTCCCTCCCCAGCTGTGGGTTGGACCACCGCTCACTTCCGGTACCCCACCATAGCAACCACGTGTCTAGGCCAATCCATAACAATAGGCGCCGAGAGTATTGAGAGTCTTCGTAGCTAGGAAGAGCCAGTCCAGGACTGTCCCTGCCGTGTCTCGAGTGGAGGGCGATCCTCAAAGTCGTCCAACTGGAGCATGGCCTCGGGCCCAGCATATGCATAGACTGGGTCTTCTACGGACTCCAGGTGTGCAGCGGGGTCCTCGCCAGGCGGAGCTTTTCCAGTCAAGCCGAGGGACGCCTTTTCTACTAAGCTCCTGGCGCATTCCAACATTTTGGCAAAGTCTTCGACTCCGGTCAGGTCCAATCCAGTGGTTCTGTCGGCGCTGGTCTTTATTGCCTCTTTTGCGACGATTACCATACCAACCTCCACCCCAGTAGTTATCTTTTGCATCTTGCTTTTTCGGGCAACCAAATCCTGCGTCCCGGTGAACTTGATGACCTGCTTTGTGGCGTCGGCCGGGTCGTGTGGTGCCTCCAGCTCTTTCTGGGCAATATTTTGAAAGGAGCCCAACAGCTCAGTGCATCTACGAAGGTCTTCAGCCGCAATCTGTCTACCTTTGCTCGTTCCGCCCACGTTATTGAAAGAGTTGACGATCTCAGAAAATGTCTGTTTGAATTCCTCAGGTTTGGCGAGCGTTGGCAGGAGCTCCCCAACCCATGACTGGAGCTCTTCGGCTCCCTTTTGAAGTCTAGCAATCTCGTTGGAGTTGGAAGGACGGGAAACCTGACTGCCTTGTGTAGTAACGTTACGGCTTGTCTGTTTGGCCTGTTAAACTTCGACTCTGTGATGAATCCAAGGGCTTGTTCATCTCTGCGAAGAGATATGGGGAAACTCACAGAAGACATTGTGCTTCCGGTAGATCACGATTAATGGTGCTTTGATGAGAAGGAGCAGTAAGATGACTGAGCCGAAAATGTTTTGAGCTGTTTCTTGGGATCGGCTTATGGAAGACCGCGCTGCCTCTATTTATTCCATTGATGCTCTCTGTTGCCACTTTCAAAAATGACTTTTGAAGGTGACACAACATACCAAACATCGACTGTATTAGACAAAAAATTCCAAGGAGTGCGTTCAGTACACCCAACAGGTCTTGAAGTTTGCGTTATTTCACAGAACGAACCAGGGCGACACAACATATCAGGCATAAAGTTATCTTGAAATTCCAATTTGTGCTTGAATAAACCAAACAGCGCAAAGGGACAAGGACATTGGATAAAGGAATCACGTCACGCGTGGCTACTCTGTGACTTGTCGATTGGAATGCTGCGTTACCGCTGAGCCAACGGTGCAACACGGCGGCATCGGACAGACAGATTGAGTGTCAGTCTCTCTGGACTGGGGTGAGTCAGGAGACACCGTCCTGTCGCCTGCACCGGAGTGAGCGACAAGGTATTTCGATTCGCCGAACGAGGTAGCTACACGAACCAACACGCAGACCGTACAACATGAATCTCAGATTTGAGGCGACCAATATTTTGGGACGCTGGGACCTGGTCAGGATTACCAAGTAAGATGGGCACCGCCGGCCTGCGGGTTTTCACTACACCATCATGGAGGCCCTGGGGATTATCTACAAAGCAGACACACAACCTCCAGAAGCAACGGTATCGACATTGCTGACTTATGATAATATCTAAGTTCTGCTCCATCTGCTTTCGGGGCCTATAGGCATCACAACTACGAGAGGCGAAAGAACAACCGCAGAAATATGTGACGGTGAAGCTTTATATGAATCAGAGCAAGGTTGTGAGATTGAGTGCTACAGGCCACGAACCCGGTGCCAGCACTCGGTCAGTCTTGGTCGACTGCACTCTAGATAGCCAGACCGGATCTTAGAACACAACTCCTCTTCTTGATTGGACAATATACGGCGAGCTCTTCTTCTTTTCTTGCTTGAGTGTAATATAATACTATCATGTAGTAGGATCACGTCTGTCGAGGTTGGCTCCTCCCATCAACGCCCTGGAATGAGCTACGCGCCCATTTTGGCGATCTCCTCCTCCAAATTGCCGTTTAGTCTGGCTTCTCTTGATCAGCGCACTTATAGTACGGATGGTGCATATGTATAGGGCGGTGAAGATGTGTAGAAAGTGTAGCTTATCTTTATATTCATCAAAAGATACATCTCACGACCAAAGATTGTTAGGCGATCATAACGCACTCAGGCATCAGATTACAGGTCGGTCAGAAGAACAAATTGTGGCTGAGCAGAATCCCGGCCCGGAAGTTAACGGGCCTGCGGGGACTGTTAGGCAACTCAGTTTCTGTGTGAGGCGTGAGGAGGTGGCCAGAAACGGCCGAGACTGTAAGCAATCCAGATAAGTCAGCATGCAAGTCATATCTGCGATGTTGTTCTTGCTTACTGTTGCCTAAATCCCTGTTGAGAAACTCCGTTCCGACTCGATAGCAAATATTCGTGTTTGTGTTTATTGCTTGCCTAGACTAAGCTTGATCGGCGCGAAGGTAAGACGGTTTCTACTGGGCCGAATACGAAATAGCTAATGGGCCATCGAATCCTGGCCGACTGGCCAATAAGGAATCCGCCTTAACTTAGAATACATCAAGGCACAAGGCACCATCCCCACAACCCCCTCTTTCTATTTCAATCACAACGTTCTATTCCACGATTCCTGTTGAATATCAGCCAGCAGACGGGTGCAGTCTACGCCGAAGACCGTTGCTGGGCCTTGGCGGCCTATTGCACGACCCACGTGCACATCTGGACAATGACAAAGACGGGGAAGTGCGATACTGTAGGTTAGTTTTCGATCGACGTTTCTGAGGGTGAAAGTTCGGCTCATCCAATTTAGTGTAGGCAACGGAAGATCCGCGTGAGTCGATGCACAGCGAGTTACCTGAGAAAGAACTAGCATAACCAACGGTTGTATACAGTGCTCGGAGGACAAGCCAACTTGCTCTCAATGTCGACTCTCGGGCCGGACGTGCCAATACGGTCTAAAGCTTAGAAAACTGTCCCAGCCCCGTTTCATTAACCTGACTTTGAGGTCAGATGATGCAGTTGGCCCACGGCCTATACCCCATGACTTGGTGCCTCGATGCAAGAAACCCACCGCCTCACCAAAGTGGCAACTGTGTAAATCAAAGCAGGCTGAAGAAGGGGCTGGAGTATTTTATTCCTTCAGACCAGGGAGCCGACGAAAATTATCCCTTCCAAGAGAACCAACTTGTACAGAAGCTCGTCTTATTGCACGATGGGGATATCTAGTGGCACCAAACGGCAGAACAAATAGCCCACTGAACTGTTACGGTCACAACCTATCTTTAATCCCAGACCTTTTCGGGCAGAGTGAGGCCATTCGGACTGCTTCGATAGGCCTACTAGACTCTCTGACGGCATACATGGACCGGGGCCCTTTCAGTCGCCAAAACAGCTATACATCGTACGGCAAAGCACTAAAAGTGGTACGGGAGGCCATACTTGGGAAGCCAAATCTCCGTGAAGTATTGGCTGCCACATCAGAGCTGGTCATAAGCACGGTGCGTTGTTCTGCCCACTGGGTACACCGGCTCCTGTTTGCTGAAACTCTTTAGTTATCCTTCGATCCAAATGCATACGACTGGTCAGTTCACGTATGGGGCCAATACAGATTGCTGAACATCGTTTCCGAACAGGGGACTTTATGCGACGATGTCATTCAAAGCACCTTCTACGCCTGTTATCAAGTCTCAGTAAGACCCCTTCGTACCTGTGAAACTAGAATAATAAAAACGAATGGCAAGTAGATCGTCAGACCCATCGATATGGCAAGTGGACGTGACTCACAATTTGATACTCCTTCATGGCTTGCCTTCCCAGCCCCCAGTGACACTTGGTTTGGCGGAGTAGCTGGTGCTGGTATTGCGCAGCAGACGGTCATGAAAGCCATAGTCCGCATACCGAGGCTATGGCGCCTCGTGCACCGTTTTCGACTTCACCCTGGTGAGAAAACGGATCGAGCTGCTGCAGAGTTAGGAGCAGAATTATTCAAGCTAAGTCTTGAACCTTGGATTGTCAAGCTTATCAACTCACAAGTCTTGATTGTGTCCCATCACGAGAAGCCAAATGCCGATTCTGAGTACCTAAGGCTGTTCTCATTCAAAATCCCATCAGTGCGTATGCTCTGTCTCCTGTTCGACTACTGGCAGTCGCGCATCCTCATCTGTGGTTGTCTTCAAACCCTGTTCAGCCTATCTCCAAATGCGTTCACGGATTGGCCCTTCAATATCACGGCTGTGCAACATGCAGACGTCGTGGCCGCAAGTAATCTCATGGCATGCGCCGATGAGATGTCCGCACTAGGCAACATTGCACCAATTGCACGGTTACGCTTCAGTCCTACAACTATGAACGCCTTCAGTGCTTGGAACCGACTTGAACGGAGGGCTCGCAGGCAGGTAGCTCAGTCACCTGGCGAGGATGCCGAACACAAACGGATTGCACTTGCCGCCGCACAGATGCAGCGGCGTTGCTGCGGGCTTATGAGCAGATGGATAGACTTTTGGAAGCCAAGGGATGATGGGTCTGAACTGGAGCGTTTTCATTGTCAAATGCAGATTCACTGTGAATTTATGGAGTGCGGCGAGGTCCCGGTGTATTTGAGACAAGTTCCTGCGTTGCGGACACAAGACATATCTTAGTCAGACACCGCCGGTGTTGCGTAACTACAAAGTAAAAGCAATCAAATGATAGTATGAGGTGTGCCAACCACTCGGGTTATGTACTATCAGTGTCATTGCTGTGTATCTCACATGTAGGAGGCCCAGACGTGCCCAGACCTCGATAGTAATGGGGCAAGTGCGGCACTATAATATTCACTACCTAAGCAAGCACGGAGGGACATTCCATGCATGCCTTCACTTCTTCTAGCGGTTGCGTGTGTTTTCTATTTTTGATGAGGAAGGTGCTCTTACATTGATTAATTATTTCGCACTCTCCACAACACGACCATCTTGAAAGCCGCAACCTTTATCAACACATCACGGTCCGTCTGTCTACAACTCTTCCGACCCCTACATACGCAGACTACGCAAGCACGTCTCAACAGTACTCAATAATAGAAAACGAACTTCGCGCAAAAGTTTCGAAGATGCACTCCCGCCTGCTTGGGATTGCCTTCATGGCCATCTCGGCGGTCGCCTGGCAGAAAACCTCAACCTCCGACACAGCCATGATTGATGCTGCCATTGACAACCCGAAATGGTGGTTCCAGCTTCATCGGTATGAGAAATGCAACAAACAGGCGTTGGCAATATGGGGAAATGAGCCGATGTGTGACAATGTCGACTCAGCTGGCTACCAGTCATGGAACCTATCGTCGGAGATGCGCATCCAGGCTGGGTTTGAAGTCATTCTGTACTCGGAAGCCGACTGCAAGGGCAACGAACTGGACCATATCAAGTCTACTGATCCTACCGAGATCTGCTACCGAACTTCAGGCGACAGCGTCCGGGTTCATTCCTACCAGGTTGTGAGCAATAGCGATTAATGGGGATGAAGCCACGCAATGACAAGGTTGGCGTGTCCCGTCTCACAACCAAGAAGTCTGACATACTTGATCGCTGATGGCTCTCATTGTAAAGGTTTGAGAAACTGGTACAGGTCACAATGATAGGGTCTAGGGGATCTTACCTACGTAGTCTACTCAGGAGATTACGAAATGTGAATGCAACTGTTATGGAACGATACAATCCACCCGTTGTCTGCTACGTGCTTTTCCAGACTTACTCCAAGATTCAAGCTATCTCTTAGTTGACTACATAGGGACGTTTGCCGAATTTCCCAGTGACTGTCGGTGTAGAGGGTGGCTGGGCATCGCATAACATCAAAAACTTTCACCATGATGGGTGCGACATCAAAATAACTCCTACTAAAAGTGAGTTATCTGTGTTTCAATCTAACCGCATTCATGCTGGGTAGGACATGTACGGCTTTTCTCTACGGTGAGCCTGGCCTCGACCAACTGCGATTTGGCCTAGACAAATCCATCCAATCTACAGAAAAGCATTCCCACTGCCCCCAAGGCCTCGATTCTTTCACTTGAAATGTTCAGAAGACCTAGACCGTAGATTACTGGAAACTGGTGGGAATAATTGACTAGCATGTTGTTCCAGGCTCTTGAAAGCCTTGTTCTAGCCTGATTGACAAACGCAAGTCGCATGCAATCACCCTCACCGACTCCCTCTCGTTGTATATAACCCGTCAGGCGGGTTGAACTTCTCTGAGGATTTCTTGTCACTGCCAAACTCAACATCACACAACTTCTCAAGCAAGGCCATCGACAATATGCACTCTACGCTATTCCTCATGGGCACAGCCCTCATCGCGGCCGTCCTCTCAACAGGATCTATAGCAGGCAACACTTCTACCGACACCGTCGCCGATGCAAACGCATGGAGTATCCGGCTGTTCGAGCAAGATCGATGCTCAGGACGTCTAGAGACAGACATCACCGGAAGTGGCGTGAGCAGCGGATGCCGCGTTGTGGCGCCGCCGTCATACATCAGCGCACGGCCCGACTTCGTCAACATCGGCGGCGACCAGAAGCTCGAGGTCCGGTTCTACCACAGCATGGACTGCTCCACGAACCCCATCTTCTCCGTCTCCAATGGAACGGACCCGCACGGATGCTGGACCGCGGCCGTGGGCGAGGGCATCTGGTCGTACGACGTGAAAGAGGTTGCCGAGAATGCCTGATGAAGGCAATTTGGGGTTTCAGGCTGGGTTCGTGAAGCGTTTCACCGCTATTTGGGCGGAATAGGAAGTTGTGGTACACAGGACCATATTTGGTCGATGGAAATCAAGTGTTAACTGCGATAGCTAGGTAGCTATCGTGGTGTAGTGTGATGGTGAGCCGTGTGGCAGTCACCGGCAACCCCGCCATATCCAAGAGCGTAATCCATACCTCTAGAAAGATCGGACTACCCTTCTACACCACTCTTTTCGAAATCTCTTCCACAAACCGTCAGTGTGGTGACAGAATGCTCCACTCTTGGGAATTCCGTGCCCGTTTGCATTGGATCTTCAGGTTATTAGTCCAGGGCGTCCACTGAATGCCCTGGAAATTGCGGCTTTATAAGGGTTAGAAAACCAAAAGAAAAAATTTTTTTTTTAAAAAAAAAAAAAAAAAAAAAAGGCGTGATCTCGCACCCCTAAGAGCCTTGATATACAATTGACCACTACAGCCCTTTCAAGCGAGTACTACTAATAGCGTCCTCTGAAATTAGATATATTATCATTAGTTGTTCTTGCATTGTGACCTGACGATGCAGAGCGAGTCGTCTACAGTGGTCGCTGGTGGAACTTCTTGGTTGGTTAGTTACGGTTGCAACTATCTGGAACTCGTCCTCGATGCTCCCGAAATAGGTATCATTTCGCAAAGCCTGGTGCTGGCCACCCGCGACATAAGGACTCAGCGCAATCATTTGCCGTTCTCCACCTCGTGGCCGTGCTCTGCATAGCTACCTAAGTTACATCAGCTGGTGAGAAGAGGGTTGAATACCGCATTGAGTTCGATTCTCAATGGCGCCAGGGCATTTATTGACCCTGCGGGGTCCCTCTTTTATCTACCCCTAGAGCAACGGGCATGACTCAGGATAGGACTACCCTCGCGTATCGAACAGCGATCATGAGTCAAGTTTTCATGCACGAGCTGCGATGCCTTGCAGATTATGTAGCTCGGCAAATTGCCGCACGTCGTCGAGTGTTCTTGAATGACTGGTATACCGCCATGGGCACGCGTCTTGCGTCTCCGACTGAACCTGCCGAGGCCGCGTTGCCTACCTCACCCCGCCATGATCGGGCTCAATACCTACGTAGGTAGACAGGTCTTTCCAGCCGACAACTCTACATTGCACGTCTGCCAATCATGCTCTATTATTGACCATTGTTACGATCTACTGTCACTGTGACTCCCTTACCAGACAGCGGAAAGATGCCTACGGATCTGGATTCAGGATTCAGTAAGGAAATTCAAAATCGCATTGCGCAGCTCAAGCATCGTAGAAACGCTAACCCTACCCCCACCCTCTCATGTTCATCAGTTTGAGGTGCAAATTAACTCTGCCTGGAATTCCAATTCAGTTCATTTCGTAGAACTGAAGATGTTTCATCTTACATCTCAGTGGCTGCAGCTCTTTCAAATCAGTTACACTACTCAGTCCTTCAAGAGCCGAATTTTCCAACAAGTTTAAAAGTGACTTCGCGTCCTTTCCGCGAAAAATGCCGACATCTATAGTCTTATTCTCCTCAATTTTGCCATTAGAGATACGCATTGTATCTGGAATGCCCAATGCCGACTCGATTGGCTCAATTCGTAGTTCGAGGAGTCGCACGAATAGCTGACCAAAGATGTTGCGAGGTGAGTGAATCTCAAAGCCGGCAATGGATAGTTTTGGCGATGTATGGAGAATGAAGTTCTCCACCGTCGGGTTCGTCGAAGCTTCATCCAGAATGTATGAGACCAGGCAGTCGTAAACCGATAGTACAGATTTATAACAGGCCAACGAGTTTAACCAAATCTGAGCGTTTATTAAAGCACAGTTACCTGTATCTTCTGGCAGGTCTGCCGGACTGCTCTGATTACCTATCGATTGAAGAAGACGATCAAACTTCGAAATCAAGTCAAACGTGCTGGTCAGCGGGTTGAAACCAGAGTTGTCGTCCCTGGCCCCTGTAAGGCTATTGTAGGTCTCTGCTTGGCTTTCAATTTTCAAGGTGACAGGTACATCCCAAGATGTTGTTTTCAGCTTGATGATCAACTCAGTCAGGCCTTGTTGCAGATGCAGGAACTTCAGTCCGGTACTCAAGGTTGAAAAAGATCTAACTGTCACTTCGCATTGGCTGGAAGGGACACTGGCGATACCGCCCGTTTCTCGATAATGGTACTCTCCAATTCCAGCTTGGGGTTGTTCGAAAGCTGCCATTGAACTATTGTTCATTTGAGCAGTCCCGTACTGATACAGCCCGAAAGGATTCATTGAGATATCGTTCAGTGCCCAGGGCGCTTCATCGTCGAACAGCCCCTGGATTCCCTCCGTATTTAAGTGACCTCCGGGCTCCATATCTGTTTCCATTTTGGAAAGTTGTTGATCATTCTTTCGATAGCGAGGTGGACGGCCTGCTTTCTTCGGCGGGTTTGTGATGCATTCGGTCCGAGAATCGGCGCAGCGAAGACAAGCATTGTCAGAAATTCTGTCATCGCGGTTACATCTTAGCTTCTGAGCCCGGCAGCGTGAGCAAGCTTGTCGTTTCTTCTGCTCTAAGCCTGGAGAATACGGTTGGTTCTGTGTTGGTTGAGACATTAAGGAGTTTGGCTTATTGCATGGGGAGGGATAAAATTAGGCTATGCAGACTTGATAGTTAAAAAGAGAATGTGTTGATTACTTCGAAAAGATATCGAGTTGAACAAATAAAGGATTCTATTGATCTGCCTTCTAGCGATTCCATTATATGTTTGTTGAACACTTGGGGTCTCCTTCAAGCCCATCGAATGTATTACTCACTGAAAACCACTGGGTCACCACTTGGGACCTGCCGAGCTTACCGTAGAGGAAATATGAAGATCGATTGGCCAGCTGCATGGGGATGTATCCCCGGCGGGTTTTCTAAGCATGTAAACAGCACCTTGTACTACATCGCATGATACATAGTCAGAGTTTTAGCATCCATGGCATTTGCCGAGTTCACGGCACGCGAAAAACAGCACAACTTCGAGTAAGTTACAAGCAGCAATCCCGCAAATTTCCCATCATACTATAGTAAGCTCACGCACGTATATTTCTCGGAATACAATATGATGAAGAATCATCATAGCCCTTGCAAGCAGCTTAACACAGACGTGTGCAGTTTTGCATGTGCTAATGGCTTCAGTCAGCAGCATTTACTTCGTGTCCCTTTCTCTCGGTCAAGCTTGGAGGAATCCTTCTTCTCTGCACCGAAACTCTATTTGAATTCAAATCAGGCAAGGTAGTGGTGGTGTAGCCCGGTCCGCGGCCGCCTTGCACTTGCATCAACGGCAGCTGCTGAAGCATGCGACGTTATCGTGGAGAGAGTAACTTGCCACCGCTGGTGAGCAGCTTGATACCGTTTCCAATAAAGTCTGAACAAGCTCATTGGGTGTTATTTATTGCAAGGGTTCGATTGGGTGCAGGTTTATCTGGTCCTGCGCCTTCGGAAACGACGGATGCAGAGATGCATGGCTTTGCCACTACAGTAGCAGTAATTGCATCTGAGAAGATAGGCTGGGCGCGAGTATGGATACATTTTATCAAACCCCAACACCCACGCCAGAACCAGGACTTGACCTTGCTGTGCTGCTGTTAGCCCTTGCAACCGCGTCCAGCGACCTTGTCCCTAGCCGAATGCAGGTGCAACATGGGTTCGCTTCTGGTATGCTCCGCGATTATCTCTTAGATGGGCGACAAGCACATCGTTCGCCAAGCTTTGCCTTGTGGTACTGGGCCTATAAAAAGTAACAAGTACTCCGTTTTAGTGGTATATGATGACAATTTATAACTAACTAATGAGTTAAAGTCGGCCTGGTGTTAAGGCCTTACTGTAGTGGACCGCGGCTCTCATAATAGAAAATCTGTGGTTCGAGGTCTGCATGTACAGGCCATGCCCGTATGCCTTTTCATAATTATGGAGACTTTTTCACTTCGAGACCCTCTGCCGACAGTGAATGCCAGACTTCAGAGGTGCGCAGTCCATACCCGTAGCCCCCTTATCGCGGCAGGGATGAGCACTCTTGGGCTGCATGATAATGAGCTGACTGGTTTGGTTATTCCGCCCGCCCCTGTCATGCAGGCTTGGTCGACAGCGCCCCGTACGCTGTGCTAGCATTGTACCACGAGATCTTCATTCATTCGATGTATCTCCCAAAAAGTGAGATCTCCTGTACTATGCAGCTCGGCGGCCGTTGCACCAAGCTTTAGTTTCCGCTTTTTCCAGGATGGATAATGTCCCAATGCCGCTCAACATGCCCGCATAAGTGACAATTATTTGGCACATATTTTTTCGATTGCTCATTTTTAAGGTTGTTCGTCCACAAACTTTTAATACCGGGACCTCGACTAATCCATGGTTTGATTAATTAATCCACGAACGTAAAGAGTCAATGGTGTTGCAAACAGCACAAATGATTCGGCAAGGAGCAGAAGAACCCCGCGAAGCATGTGCTGCACCGAATCGCGAGCTGCTACGGGCTCTTATTGGTACTTAGGGATAAGCGCGCGAGCCGGATGTGGCCCGCGACCGATAAACCGCCAGCACTGTGGGAATAATCTAACGCCTTGACAGGGAGTGAAACTTCGGGAGGTCTCGCGGGAGGTCCCGCAGGCGGGATGCTACTTTGTTCGAACTGTTCCAAGGAACATTGGCTCGAGCATCGGTTTTCTACTGCAGCACTAGTGCTATCATGTTTCGGCCCCTTGACCATGCTCGAGCTTTACTATGGTACCCCCGATACAAACTCATTTTTATCGCCAACCTGGCCCACATACCATTAAGGAATGTCGTTAAATGCAGTGTGAAGTCTATTAGTAGCATATTAGATTGATAGATCCTTTGGGACTGCGAATTTCACTGACACACAGCTGGATCGCATAGTGCAGCCTTTGTGAGAGTCTCTCGTGGGGTGTGCATCTTCATTACCGATGATGAGGGGTAGTTGTCTCATCGCTGCGTATTGGATCCATACACTACGAAGATGAATGAATTATGGTGGGTCAAAATGGTGCCAGCAGGGTATAGAGTTCAACCGCTATAATGTCAGTCTTTTATGCCACGGTGTATTTACCAACTCCATTGAATGAATTGAAGAGCGAGGTCTATTCAAAACTCCAAGATTATATCGTCAACTTCTAAACAAACTGTTTGTTTGCATTTTTCTAAGCCTCAAAATCTGCTTCGCTTGGGAGGGATGGATGTACTTTACCCCGCGAGCCAATCGAGGACCTTCCAGGTCAGCCTGCAACCCTTATATTACCGACTGAAGTACATAATAGTGCAGAGTGCAACTCGGGTTGGCAGCTGTAGATTTTCACAAAATTACAGGATTTGCAGCACTGTCGCAATCTCCCTGTGGTGCGGTGATAACGGGAACATGGTCCAGCCCAGGGACCGTAGTCATGTTCAGTGTGCCATAGCGTCCCGAGTACACAGTAACCGCATCGCACTCGCCTAACTCTTCCACATCATGATACTAAAGCGGATGGTGTGACCTTCGATCGTGATTTATGAAGCCGTGACCGGAAGTCGGAGAAACAAGTAAGATACTTGGACGAGACTAACTACATTTGAGATATGAGCGCTACTGTGCCATTGTTCAGGTTTAAGGTTCTGTCAGGCCTCTCCGTCCTCAGAGGCGCGATAGCGGATTTTACATCCAATTTCTGTCTCGACCTTGAAAAGCTTGGCATCAATGGCTTTCATTCTGGGGAAATATTCATGGGAAGTGACGTACTTGAGGGTCGCTAATCCGGAAGGGCCGGCCCCGACTATGTCAACACGCATGCTTTGAGGCTGTTTATTTCAGAAGACAGACATATCTGTTATTCCTCCACCGGCAGAGTGGGGAGACTCATGACTTGGAGTTGGAGGGTTGGCACTCGTCCGTAGTCCCAACTTATAGCAGGCTGCATATGCCTTATGCCAAATTGAGCCGTGGCTTTATTTCCCAATTGAGGCTGAGCCGAAGCTGAGGTCCATCACGGTTTGGAACTCATAAACGATTGTAGGCAGATGGATGTTCTATCCGTGCTATAAAACGCCCTTCTTAATTTTTACAATCAAGTTATCATTTTGGTGCCAAATTTGACGATTCTATGTGGTAGATAAATTCGTATGGAGCCTCCTCCATCTTTTCACTCTAATTCCGCGCAGAGTCCGCTCGAATTGACTAACGTAATACAACTTGGGGGCGAATTGTTCAGAGCGGTGCCTATCTATAATGCAACCGCCCTGTCCAACACAAATGAAACTGCCAGATGAGGAATCAAAGCCCTACTCATGATCCATCAACACCTCTTTATCAATAACCGAGCAACTTCCTCTCTGGCGTCCCCCAGAGCCGTCTATCGTCTCTTATAACTGGCACGGCGTGGCGTACCAGCTTCGCGTTGATGCAGTCCCGGCAATAACCTCCAGATAAGAGTCTTTTCCCGTAGCATCCACGGCACGTGTGGACATTTGTGGACCACGTGGTTGTTGTGGAATGTGCGTGGTGGGGGTCTTTCCAGATGCGAGTTGACGCATGCGATGTGTGAGGCTGCACCCACATCGTCGAGCCCGGCCTGTTGTAGATGACCGAGCTACTCTGTCTTAGAGACTTGTCGTTTATGATCAGCGTTCCATCATTGACAATATATTGTGTGGGGTGATGACTGTGGCGCGGCACATCGTGGTAGATACGCTTCACGAGTTCGTCGCCGTAGGAGTAAGTCCCGTAAGGCTGGTGGTAAGACATATTGCCGCGTAGGTGTTTCTTTTCTTGCTAGTCAATCTATCCTATGTGGGTTTGACAACAGTCGAGAAGAGCGATGTTTTTCTTGATTCGATTTTTGCATAAGACTGGAAAGGCAACCACGGACCAAGCGGGACACTCTTTGATTATATGCATCCTTGAATGGCAGTGCTCGGTGGATTTGTCGTCACCTGGGCCGGCGGGCTGGCGATTGACGATGCGCAACTGTTGAGTGGCATATCTGCACGGGTTTGCCTAAATTGGGCTGCCTCATAATCCGGGCGCAGCTACATAAATGGTCATATCACTCGCTGTTTGTCCGATAGGACATAAGGGAGGGTAGCGTGGCAGCCTGCACGGTATCGGTGCGGGGGGCAAGCGATTGGCCAATCGCCGCCACTTGACTCATTGGGTGAGGCTCAGTCGTCATGGCGGCTTATGTGCAGTTTAAAGATGACCTTGGGGGCTGTGTATGATTGCCACTAAGGCTTTATACCCCGGGTAAGCTTCGAAAACAGCATGGTCATCGGGTTCTAGACCTTCAATATGTCATCATGATATGATAGCCTTCCAGTCGGTTTCTATACTTCACTTGTATCTAATCGCACTGGCGCGCAGCGGGCGATATTTGCGTACCAAGATGGACACGAGGTGCATTTTGCAGAGGAAGCATACGGTAAAATGCGCCCCCGGCCAACAATACAGTAGGATCGTGTAATAAAGTGTTGACATGAAAATGCGCTCCTCGACTTGCATGGAAGATTGCCATTGGCAGTAGGCACAATTAAGTGGTATTGGAATTTGGACAGAATAGCGAAAGGCGATGGCATTCCCTTTGGACAATTCTCGATTGACCGATTGACGTTTCGACTATTGATATTGAACAAATTTGAATCTAGCCGTATTTTAATACTGTCTGCAAAAGATGGAGTTGTGCTCAGACAGAGGAAATCCTGAACGTGGAAGCTCCCGTAAATTTACGTATCCTGTTCTTCACACCGCATATCCGCAGTCAAATCATATGGATGAAGAAGGCACATTGCAATCGAGATAGAATATAACATGAGGTGATTGACACCATTTCGTATCGTATAATAAACCGCTAGGGCTATTTTCTGCAACAGTCGGAGAGCAGGTTGAGTTTAGACCGTCTTGGTCTGCCCAACCGATCCGTCATACGGGAGAGGCGGGGCCACTTGCATCACCAGCTCTCGTACAGTGGCCGAAATAGACGTCGTCCAGCCGGCATACTTTACATAGTTTCAGACGTCTTTGTTATACCAAGAACTAATAAAATATGAACTCCCGTTTACGCAATGGTCCATCGCGAGGGCTTACAGTCTGAAAGTGGCTGCGGCTCAAGAATGCGATAGCATAATTAGTCTATCTGGCCATCCCCTCAAAGCCCCTCGATAAGCGTAAATTGTTGAAGTCCTGTACGACGCAGAAGTCAGTACACAATATGGCGACCCAGACACCCACTGTTGGAGAGCGCACCATACTTCCAACGTCAATAAAGTCGTTTCCAGAGGATAATCCCGCACTTCGCATAGATGGACGCGAGGATTTCCACCAAGAGCGACGACATCATCTGGAGGTTTTGGGGCTTTCGAATTTAGCAGAAACTCGAAGTGCTCCTACTGGCCGCGTTAAATTTGCAGGCATCCGTGGACACTATGGGAAGGTTGCTGTGAGGTTATTCTACCCATAGAAATCTGAAGACAGCTGTCGTGGCGCGGCCACGGCCGACGTCAAAATCCCGGCTCTTGTGGACATGCACAGAGGTGGATATACTATCGGAAGTGTACATGAATTCGGAAATGGGCTGAGGCTTCTGGCGGAGAAAACAAACGCCATTGTGAGCTGAGCCATTGTGTAGTCTTCCTGTGTCATGCTAGGATACTGATAAGACTGCAGACGAAGGGCATTGAGTACCACCTAGCGCGTGTGGGCTCTTCCATATCAGCTGGATGACTATGAGGACGTTCTGGCTTGGACACAAGGCGAGGAAGATGCATCTCGTGGTATTTCTGCCGAACGTGTCCTAGGAGGCGGTGACTCAGCCGGTGGGAACATGACAGCCGCACTGAGTCTGGGGCTGAAGGATGAAGGCAAGCAGCCAATGAAATTCCAGATTCTCCTCTTCCCCGAGGCTAGGCTGCCATTCGACACTCCTACTGTCGCAGAAAACAACTCAGGACTCTACTTGGAGTGTGAGATGACCAGACCTTATCCGCATCGCGCCACTAGCAACAACTGCTGACCAAGTCTAGGCAACGGCATCTTCTCATTAGCAGACCATTATCTGCCTCGTACACCCAATAAGTATTACCCACCATCACACCGCTATGTTTCTCCTAGCATACAGAAAACTGAGAACTTGACGGGCGTGCCACCAGCAGCAGTGTTCACCTGCGGGTTTGACTCGCTAAGAGACGATGGGGTTGAGTATGCCAACGAACTTGAAAGTATCGGGAATAAGGTGCGTTGGAACCATTGTCCCGATCTTACCCATGGAATTTAGAAAATGGTCCCCTAGATTTCAGAGGCTGCGAAAGCGTCCACTGATGTGACCGAGGGGACAAAGAAACTTGCCAGTGCATAGGGAGCTTGTTGGTGGAGCGCACAGCTCTGGCCCTTAACATAACGGTGATTTGATAAATACCGTTATAGGGAGATATTTCATGCCTGAGCAGGGTGAAGGTGGTACAGGGCTCACCGGGCGAGTGGCCCTAACGTGAATGTGTACACTGTTGCAGACGTAAGATCAGAAAAAACATCGAGAGGACTATCGAAGTATGCATTTAAAGAGGCTTCGCAGCAAGCAGACTGAACGCGCCCCACTACCACAGCGAAACTCGGCCTGCCAAATGCGGTATTTTGCCATGTCGTCATTGGCCCAAGGGCACTTCTTACCGATCTCTCGCACTTTTTGTGACTTACTAACAACCTCCGGTTTCATCCTCAGCAATAAGACAATGTCAAGCGATTCAGCTTCCGGGGTGGCACCCACCGAATTCCTCGCTTTTCTTCGATCTGTGGTTCCATTGGAGAGTCATGAAGCGCTGTGCAATTCGGTACTCCCCGCGATTATCGACAGTATCGCCGACATCGCGAAGATACTGAAGTCATCGCACAAGGTTGCACTCGCTGGAAGCGCAAATGCCTTTGGCGATGACCAATTGAACGTCGACGTCTCTGCGGAGAATGCTGTTCGTGCGGCCGTCGCCAAGTGCCCTGCGGTTGTCACCGCTAGCAGTGAGGAGGACCCTATTGAGAAGCCCGCTCGTGAGTCTGGGAATATCCCGGCTCAAGGAACCCAGAGCGAGAAGTATACTGTCGCCTTCGACCCTCTGGACGGCAGTTCTATCATCGCCCCGAACTGGACAGTAGGCACCATCGTCGGTATCTGGGAAGGCCAGACCGCGTTACACCAGGCACCCGCAGAGAAACAGGTCGCGGCTGTTCTCGGCGTCCTAGGGCCTCGAACAACAGCTATCGTCGCCGTTCGTGTGCCTGGTACCGAGGGTATATGCTTTGAGATTGGAATTGGCGAGCTCGGCGCTAAAGACTCAGAGATCGTCCGGCCCAGTGTTCGCCTCCTGCAGCCACCTTTCAAGACTAGGTACTTCGCTCCGGCGAACTTGCGCGCAGCAGCAGAGGACCAGAGGTACGCCGACCTGTTCAACCACTTTATTCAACAGAAGTACACGTTGCGGTACAGTGGTGGCTTGGTGCCCGATGTTGTACACGCGCTGGTCAAGGGTCATGGTCTTTACATATCCCCCGTCACTAGCGCCAGCAAAGCGAAGTTGCGGCGTCTTTACGAGTTGTTTCCGATTGCGCTGATTATCGAATGCGCTGGCGGTAAGGCAATCGATCCAGCGGACGGCAGTGACATTTTGCAGCGTCCAGCGAAGGACACCGATGAGAGGGCTGGGTTGGTCTGCGGGACGGCTGAGGAGGTTGAGCTTGCCAAAAAGTCACTTCTGCAGTGATCAAGATAGGCAGGGAAGATCATTTTATAACGGCTTGGCTCGACATGAATAGAACTCGTCGGGTACTCTATATAAGCAAAATGGGTGTCTTCTCACTGCCTGTGGCCAAGCAAGGGGCTTATGGAACTACCTGTGCGCACAGTGACGCTAAAGTTGACCAGGAGGACCCCAAACTACCGCGCCTCCTGCTACGAGGAGTTGGGATGTGCTGAAGCCAAGTACTAGGTGCAATAGATCTCGGCCACCGCCTCGTGAGGTGCTTAAGTCATACCCCAAATTAGTATTAGAAGTTTCGAGACGAGCAATGGATAGCTACTTTCATGCCGAACGCTAAGCGATTGAGATGCACGATTGGTAATCATACCCCCGTCGCTCGCAATTGCACTGCGGCTCAGCCAGCATGGGGGCATGTCCACGGAGTTCCACGGAGCATGGCCCCACCATGGCGTCGAAACTCCCGGGTAGCTACTCTGCCAATAGGGTCACTGGATGAGAATGTGCCGCAATCCAATTCGGCCCACGGATGTCAACGGACAGCAGCTTATAGTCACCACACTCGAGTATCCCATTGAGTCCAAGCATACGTGGAGGATCTGCCACGCTTTGAAATCAAGGCACAGCCGCTTCAGTGTACCTAGTATGCCAGGGCTCACTTGTACTTAAAAGGGGCTGCCCCCGCATCCCTAGGTGTTGGGACAATACACGAACATCAACAACGTTAAACCCTCTGCATCTCAACAGAGTTGAACCACTCAGCATCTATCTTTGGCTAAAGAGAAATGGCAGACATCAAGAATAACGAAGCAGCATGGATCGTGGGCGAGAAGGTCCATCCCCTCGAAGTGCGGCCTGGCCCAGACCAGACCAAACCTGAGAGCAACGAAGTGATCATTCAAGTCGCGGCTCTCGCTATCAACCCAACAGACCCTTACGTAGGTCAAGGCGACCATTCAAGCGGTACAATAAATCTGACGAAATGCAGATCCAGGATGCCCCCTATCTGCCCCTGAATTACCCCCATGTACTTGGCACAGATGTCGCAGGGACGGTAGCCAGCGTTGGCTCGCAAGTCACGCGCTTCAAGCCTGGCGACAGGGTCATAGGGTAAGTTTCGATGGGAGATATACTCATTGGATACGCGAGCTGACCAAGTCGTCTAGGCACACCGTCGGACTAGCCCACGGCGGCGCCCGGCACGGCGGCTTCCAGAAGTTCGCGGCGTGTCTCGAGGTCGGCGTGGCCAAGATCCCAGACTCTTTGTCCTTCGAGAAAGCTGCGGTCCTGCCGCTCAGTATTTCCACCAGCGCCACCGGCCTCTACGAGGTCCTGAAGCTGCGCCTGCCCAGCGTCGAGGCCCCCAAGGCCGACCCCTCGGGCAAGGAGACGGTCCTCATCTGGGGCGGCGCCTCCTCCATGGGCAGCACGGCCATCCAATTCGCCGTGGCTGCGGGCTACCGCGTGGTCACGACGGCCAGCGCCAAGAACTTTGAGTATGTGAAGTCCCTGAACGCCTTCACCAAGGATAACGTGGTCGTGTTCGACTACAAGGACCCGGACGTGGTCAGCAAGATCATCGCGCACGTCAAGGAGTCCGGCGCCAAGTTCGTCGGCGGCTACGACTGCATCAGCGTCGACCCGTCCGCCACGAAGGCCTGCGTGGACGTAGTGCACGGCCTTGGGGGTGGCCCCTTGCCTGTGGTGCGGCCGGCCAGCCTCACACCGAAGTGGAGCGCGCTTCCCGAGGGGTCACCCGAGGATGTTCAGGGCGCGGTCGTCTGGGGCGTCAACCCCGTGCTGGTGCCTGATCACGCAGGAGCACCTGTCTGGGTCGACTACATCCAAGAGGCCCTGCAGAATGGGACATTTGAGGCGAAGCCGGAGCCGTTGGTTGTCGGCAAGAGTCTCGGCGACGTCCAGGCTGCCATGGATCTGTACAAGAAGGGGGTCAGTGCCCAAAAGATTGTTGTGACCCTCTGAAAAGCGAGGGTGACGTGAGACGACGGGGTGGCCAAATGAGTGTGATAAGTCCTGCAAGTTTCGAGCGTTATTTTTCACTCTAGTTTTGGGATAGAGATAAACTTTCTACGCGTTATTCTATGGACATAGCTCTAGCGAGTCATGGACATGCTACTCTTCATATCAATACCGTACTCTTGCTTGCGCCATCTGGCAGCTTCGCTCGGAGTATGAGACCAGGGTGAACTCTTCCGTCCACCCCGTCATTCCAATTGGGTTGGTACGGGAGCTGGTTGATATTCATGTATAGATACCCATCGAAGCCGACATTCGCGCTGTCCGGCCAGATGATGCGCGGATCGCGAACGTAAGGCGTGGTCTGGTGTAGAGTCGAGCTGGTACGGTCAGTGGGCATTACAGAGCAAACCGCGGTCACGTGTCTCACTTATAGATGAAAACCGCATTGTGCTCGGGCATCAGCATATAGACATTGCCCAGGCTATCGCCGGCGAACCCATTGGCGTTCCCACCCCTCTGCCCAAAGTTTTTAACGTTGTCGAAAGCCCGCTTCAAGGCCAGCGGGTCAGTCTTGGGATTAACGCGTAGATACGATGTTTCAATGGAGTACAAGTAATCTGATGTAAGCGGTGAGTAATATAAGACCTGTCATATTGGTCAGCACCTTCTGGTGACGCGTCCGTATAGAGGACAGAGCTGGCTGTGACCTACATCGCCATAGAGGCTCAGCTCCTCGCCGTCTAGCCCCTCTTGCAGGAAATCCAACGGTTTCCCTTTGGCTCTGTAGTAAAAAGGCAGACCTTGGTAACTTGGCACATCTTCAGAGACGCGCAGTGTGCTAGGGTGCTGTGATAAATGCCGCCAGCTCTCACCCGTGGCAAGGTCAATCATGATGAATCCGGTCCGGCCCTCATCACTACTATCCACAATGTACGCGATGCCACCGCCGGACTCCGTAGCATTGGGCCGCATGTCGAATCGCAGATCATTCATGTAGGAGTCTGGGAAATGTACATCGGACGGAAGGGTATAAGTCTTGGTGATCGAATTAGTCGTCAGATTTACCGCAATTAGCTTTGGTCCACCCGGTGCTGCGTACGGCACCACGGGGCTCGTGGACTGATTGATCGTGGGTCGGCCGGTGTCCAATACCCAAAGTGTGTCGTCTGGCGTTACGAAGACAGCCTGCACGCTGATGAAATGCGTCTGGTCGTTGCTCCCAAAGGGCACCCCATTGATCTCGGCAGACAGTCCACCCGGAGGCGTGTTCAAATCCCGGTTGGGATACGCAGTTTCGGCCGTCAGGTTCACGACCTCGCCAAGCGTGTAGTTGTACGTTCCACGAGTATAGCAGGCGAATATCCTCCCGGTCTGCGATACCGCAATGCCAATGGGCCACTGATCGTAGTAGTAATGGACCTCTTCGACCAGGGGTCCATATGTCCCTGCGTCGACTCTCACATTGTATGGACCAGCCGTAATGAACGTGCTGTTGATATCTACTGGAAACCCTTGTGAAGTCACAATACAGGGGAAGAAGGCCGACAAGAACAACGTGAGACCGTGCATCGTATTCTGTAAGCCGACAAGACTCTCATTTGAATCAGGTGCTGTTTGGTGCGTTCAGTTTTGGTATCGTCAAAGGTAATAACAGGTAATAAAGGGGAATCTATCCGCCTCCAGGTATAATGGTGAAAACTGCCGCTCTCTCCTTTTGGTCCCGTGTTGATTGTGTGGTAGGAATTGGGGCGGTATAACTCCAGAAGTTACTGGCGGGGTACGAGTATTCGTCCAGACATTGGTCAGTTTCGGGTCGGGAAAGGAGATGTCGTCATTGAACGACGATGCTAAAGACCTTGCATCAATGTCTTGACAATGTAATTGCGTCAACGCAATTGATACTGCTGCAAGGTGAAACTTAATGTAAGCATGGATTTCAAGGATTAACTTGTGACGAGCCCATGCGCTGGTCAGCCGGAGACGGGTTTACCTGTATGGATACATGCGCTTAGTTTGAGATCGCACTGTGATTAGCGAGTTCTCTATCGACACAGACTGCATGGCCAGCACTGTTCATCATGACGCCTCGAGCCTCCCAGAGCCATACGGTGGGATCATACCCAGGGAGACCATATAGACAGTGTGAGTGGAACCTGCTTACCTTGGCAATAGATACTCCTTGCGCTGGAAATACTAGGGCGCATATAAGCGGTACACAGCAAAGATTCGGTCAACTGAAAGCTCGATTTCAAATAGCTCATAAATCCATGATATTGCCTTTAGTGCCTTGGGGGGCTATGTAGGCACGCGACCTGACGCCGTTCTCGCAATGCTAACTCCCTAACGCCTCCATAGACGCAAAAGCAAATGACGACCGTCAAACCATTCTCCGCGATGTGGGTGAGGCGCAGGTTCCACCGTGGAATTCTACGATTTCCCTCATGGCGACTGTCCTTAAAAGCAGCCGATATCAAGCACCGCGGGGCTTGGCCTTCTGCTTGGCCTTCTCCTTCTTGTCCTCCTTCACCTTCTTCTTACGTGCTTCGTTTTGTTCTTCGATCTTGCGCTTGTGGGCCTTCTTCTCTTCCTCCGTTTTTGGAATGACCTTGAAGAAACCTTCAAGTCGGGCCTGTTGCGATGTCTTGCTGCTCTTCTCCAATCTTGCGCCGCCAGATCGTACACGATCCTCCGAGAAGCCCTTCTCGGTGACAAGGAAGGTTACGAGACCTTCAATGTCCGGCTTCTCCCACTTGAAGTCGCAGAGGGGGTCATCGGCCTTGCGGACATCTGGCTCGAAGAAGAGATCTCGAGCATCCTCATAGGGCCAGTCGTCGGGAATGGTGTACTTGCCACTTTCCTTGATCCACTCAACAACTTTCTCCAGGGAGCCGTGGTCGCGGATCAGCTTCAGGGCCGTTGACGGACCGATCTTAGGGATGGGGTCGAGGTAATCGCAGCCGAGCAAGATGCAGAGGTCGACAAACTGGTGGCAATCATTTGGATTAGCTTCAGTGAGGCAAAACTCCGAGGTACAGAAAGAATGTCCATACCTGCTTACGCTCCATGCCAAGTCCCTCCAGCACCTTGTCGACATGGATCTCCTGAATTGGCTCCTTGCGTTGCTCACTGTAGGTCATGTGTCGCAGGAGAACGGGACTGTCGAAGCAAAGGGTATCCATATCCTCACTTGCCGTTCCGTAGACCTTCCCGGCCCTCGCAAGGACGGCGCATTGTGCTTCGGCTTCGGTGGGGGCAATGATGTAGGGAATGCCCATGAGCTTGAGCAATCTCTGGCACTCCTCGTTGTGCTCGCGGGTGACTCGCACGGTTCTTCTCGAGAACTTTTCGACATCCTCGGCTGTGCCAGTCTCCTTGGCTTCCTCCAGTCCCTCGTGGGCTTCGGCCTTTCGCTGGAATCGCTTTGCAAGCTCACCGGACTTGAGCTTGGGGGGCTTGCCGTCGAAGACGTAGAGGGGCTTGATACCGTTGTCGACCATGCGCAAAGTTCGGTAAAACATTCCCATGAGATGTGATGTGGTCTGGCCGTCTTCGTTCATGAGCTGCTGGCCGTCGGATCGGACTGCGATGAGGAAACTGTAGATGCTCATGGATCTGGTCATGTGTTAAGAGGATGGCTCCATGGGCCGCAGGATACCTTGAACTCACGCATCCTGCAGGCCATCAGCATTTTATCCACAGTTCTCTCTGCCCAGAGCCACTCACAATTGCGACCTTGCGGCCGAACTGGTTCTTGATCTCGCCCTCCTTCACGGCGTCCGGCGCCTCATCTCTGATGATGGAGAAGAGGTTCTTGATACCCATCTCGGCGGCTTGGCGGGATATGGCCTGACTCGAGCGACTCTATTTTTCGGGAACGATTGTAGGAAGCCACCAAAGACCAGAATCACGATGGGGGGTGGTGGGTGAAGATGAAGCCAACGTCCAGATGTGATTTAGTTAGGTGATGTCACGACCGAGACGCGCTAGTAGCTTTCAATTTACGCGCCTTCTTCTGGCGACGACGCGGGTGCCTGGTGGCCTGTGCTCACTGGCAGCTTCCTGGTTGCTGGGGAATTCACTTGGCTGTGCCGCGATGCCACCCATGGATACCTAGGTAGTCTCCGAAATCCTCTGAACGCCTGCCTGCATACGAGTTATCATTTGGCGTACTCGAAGGCAATTCTACCGTGCCATGGCTTGTGTCTTGCGATTGCGAGAGCATCCAGTGCCTTGAATTGTGAAGCTTCCGCCTGTGTCTACCTGCGTTAGATGGCCCCAAGCTGGAGAACCCAGAATCTGCTCTTCGCCACGTGCGAAGTCGCCGTAGTCTGCTTCAGAGTTACCTACTCGGATTCTAGAGCCAAGTGACTATCACTGTCCTCACGTAGACGCATTTTATTTGGCAGGATTGATATGTATGAACAGCGCTGGATCATTATAATCTGGGCCTGCTCCTGGGCGTGTTGGCTTGCGCTACCGGGGCTCTGGCTTTGGCACGACCCGACTAACCCCTGTCACCCAGCCCAGCGCCATACTATTGCCGAGGTTTGGGCTGGTTGGTCGCGCTTCTCAAACTTGCCGCAGGTGCATATGCAACTGTCCCCAGCTCTCTCTGATACTGCAAGCCGGTATATATAGTGAATGGGCGCCTTTTCGCCGCTTGCCATCTTTGCATTACTTGTATATGAATTTCCTGCTACCTAAGGGATGGTCGCAGATGCCAGCGGGAAGTCTTCCCCGCTGATCTCTCTTTGCGCTGGTGGCACTGCCGGCGGTGTCGAGGCTTTCTGCACATACCCATTTGAGTTCGCAAAGACCCGTGTACAGTTATACGGACATGGCTCGAGTAGAAATCCGTTCCGCATCGTCGGTCAGGTAGTCAAGGAAGAAGGCTTGTCGGCGTTGTATAAGGGATGCTCGACCATGATCGTGGTAGGTGCCGAAACTCCAACCCGTCAGCCCCTATCCAAATCGGCCTGTCATGCACGCTCTCTCCACCAAACCCACGCTCACCGCCTATACAGGGCTCGATTGGCAAAGACGCCATTCGATTCGTAGCGTTTGACAGCATACGCAAGATATTTGAGGATCCGGAGACGCATACCTTGGGGCCCGCTCAGTCCATCATGTCCGGCATGGTCGCCGGCGTCGTCTCATCTACAGCCATCGTAACGCCCACCGAGCGTATAAAGACGGCGCTCATAGACGATGCAAAGACGTTACAGCGCTTTCGGTCGCCATGGCATTGTGTCGCTACCTTGGCACAAGAACAAGGCCTGCGCCGTGCCCTGTACGCCGGCTACGTGACCACAACCCTCAAGCAGATTGGGACCACGGGTTTCCGCCTAGGCTCATACTCCATCATCAAGGACTGGGAGCGCTCTCGTGGATACAATGTTGACGGGCCCTTGGCGAGCTTTGCCAACGGAGCCGCTGCCGGTACCATCACGACGCTGGCCACTCAGCCATTCGACACGGTGAAGACGAAGGCGCAGCAGGCCAAAGCCGTTGGCACCATGGACGCCGTCCGCATTATCATGGCGGAGGACGGCTTCTTCAAAGGATTCTGGCGGGGTACTGTCATGCGACTGGGCAGGACTGTGATGGCTGGTGGTATCTTGTTTACTGCTAATGAGCAGGCTGCCAAAATGCTCAGGGCCTTGTTAGGTCCACAATATCAGTAGCAAACTAGAATAGAATACGCACGATTTAGATCAATAAACAAAGAGTTTCCCATTATCCATTGCTTTCTTCGTTAACGGCAAGCAGAAATGACATCTTGATCGTTATATAGCCACAAAACGGGTTGGTGCTGTTGATCAATACATCACAGGGGTGAGCATACTACGCGTACAACTACCGCATACATCAAGTACCCCATCACAGCCTGTCCAATTGTCTGACCTCAGTCAATCACCATGCCGTCGAGGCCCTCCTCGATCTCGGGAGCTCGCAAGCCCCGAGCGGCAGGCTCGGTGGGGTCAAGGGCTTCAGCAGCTTCCATGTCCTCCATATCCTCATCCTCCTCGCCCCCTGCGTAGTAATGGGGGTTGATATTTCCATCCTCGTCCATCATACCTTTCATCATTGTCTCCTGCACGCTGCGGCCGGCGTTCTTCGAGAAGTAGTGAGGGTTCTTGCTGACAATCATGACGTGGTCCTTGCCATCCCCGATATGATCAGCGTCAGTGAGCTGCATAGGAAAATACATGTTCACAATTCGGAGAATTTCGCCTCGACGATCCAGAACTTCCTGCAATTCCACCGGGCTCTGAGATTCCTGCGGCAGGGCCAGGAAGTCTAGGCTGTACTTCGGGCTGTATACTTCTCGTAGAATGCGGCGCGGAATTTATCCAACGCCTTGGATAAGGGCTGTCCCTTAGAACGGGCCGAACCAATCTGATACTCCTCAAAGATATTGCGAGCATGGAATGCTTTGTACGTGAATATCCAGAAGACTTCGTCACGGATTGACTGAGCTTGCGGAAAATTCTCCTTAGCAGTGGCAAAGAACTGCTGAGGATGGGCGAATTCGTGGCAGTGGTCGACGTTGTCGGCGGCATAATCGTAGATTTTGCCCAGGAACTCGCTGATGTGACGAGGCTTGAGATCTGTGAGGCCGTCGTTCTTGACTCACTTGATAATGTCTTGGACGAACTTCTTGGAGTTCTTGTTAGATAACAGACGGCGGAAAATCCAAGCCTGGCGCTCCTCATCCCAGACTGGGCTGGTGTTCCATCTCATGCCACTCTCAAAGCCGAAAAGTCAGAGGGACTTCAGCGGCGGGGTGCCTCCAACGCTTGTCATATTGCCAGGATCCTCTAGAGGATCATCAGCCGTAAGAAGAAGAAGAAGAAGAAGAAGAAGAAGAAGAAGAAGAAGAAGAAGAAGAAGAAGAAGAAGGGGGCTTTCGCAAGATCTCTTACCCAGTAGGCTGGCAAATGGTACGCAAAGGATGCTCTCTCTGTGCGTGTAGTTATGTTGTTGTGTTGTTCCAATAGCCGGAGAAGCTATGGCGAAGAGAGCTGATGGTGAAGGAAATGCAAAGTGAAAGAATCTCCAATCCAGCAAACGGAATATGTATGTAGTATCTTCTAGGTGAATAAAACAACCGTTGCCTGGTACTACTTGATGCCTGGAGCGGTCGTTGCTCGGCCCGCATCTGAATGCAACGAGGTGAGCTCGCGGAGCATCGCTCGCTAGTGCACTCGATCCAGGTGACAAACTGTTATTCCATCTAGAATACCATCTTTTTAGTGTAGTAATCGAGCCTCCAGGCATGGGTAATCCGGAACATAGTTTCAACTAAGGCGCTGTTTTTCCAGCAAACAGCGTCCACCTGGTCAAGTGGTCAATCGAGCTTCCATATTTCATTCAAATTCGCAAGTTCCTGGGTCAATTCCCAGGAAGAGCATTCCTCCTTGATTAAAAAGCGCTTTGTGATTGATGACCCTTCCACGACTGGGGCTCATAAGAGGCATCGACCGTTCTCGGTCTGGCAAGGTAACTGTATACTTGCAAAGGGAATTGATGTTCATCAATCACGAGGTCAGCTCCCAGGTCTTGGGTTTCTTTTTAATCCTCTCTCCTTTTTCTCTGATCCTCAAGCTCGTGTGATTCCACATCGCGCCGTCTGTGTATGCCATCTTGCCACTTCTGTTCTCACATTTGATTGGGGGGAAATCAATAGCAAAGGATCTCATAATTACTCGAAGATGTGTCCGGCTGGTGAAGTGGCGCCATCCGGCATTTCATCTCTTATTATTAAGTATGGGTTCCTATACCTATACTTTCAACGTGACCGTGGTCTCTGAAAATATTTGCCTGTAACATGCGAACGGCCTAGTAAATGTTGCTTTGGACTAGTTTGATGATAGCGATGGAAAGCAGGCGAGAGAGGCGACCATAGCGGTAGAGCGCATCTTTCAGGTTGTTACCGGATATGGTGTGGCGGGCCACCTGAAGGGCAAGGCACTACAACTTGTGATGGGCGAGGATGCATCTGTAAGGGTTAAGAAGCACAACTCAATTTTGACTGCAAATTTGTTTGTAAACAGTTTAAGAAGCAATCTTGTTAATAAACCACTAGCTATCCCTATCCATAGACCATAGTCAAAAGCATTAACCCCCCAGGATCGTGCTTAGGAAGTGATATAAAACAGGATTTTTGGCAGATGAGTTTTATATTCATAGCAGCATTTATTACTCTCAACTGCCTGCACAACCATTAGAATCCGGCATTGACTCATTTAATTCTGTTCTCAAATAAAACCCCAGAAGAGCGTGATGTCCTGGCCTGCTTATCGAGCGCGCTATCGTCGGCGCTTTGTGCTTTACTCTTCACTTGAGAGACTCTTCCAGGCAGCTTCTTTATCTGAAAGCTGACAACAAGCGGTGATTAGTAATTACAATATAGGAATATATTTATTACAATAAATATCCTTCATTTTGTCGCAGGAAACTTCTTTATTTGATTGGCATCATTCCTAACAGCTTCAGTTGCAACGCAAATCGGAACGCTTAACGTCTAGTACGGGCACGCTGACATGCTGCCTACTCGTTTAGGTGGAATGGGCTTTCGTTTTGCACATCTGGATTACTCTTTACAAACACTACGGTTACGAGGCACCTGTCTTAAGGTCAGTTAACCACGCGCTGTTGCAAGCCTCTGTCGCATTCCAACCGTTGACCACATTTGTATCTTTGGTGCCTATGTCCAAGACACGAAGTCATTTCAACAAGTGCCCTGTGGAGTCTGCTGCACCATAGAACTACTCTACGAGGTTCCTACTTGCATGCAATTTATGTCAAGGACACTTTTAGTTTCAAACTATGCTGGCTCAAGCGCAAGCTTGTAGCTGACTAGCCATGTTGAGCACATAAACGTGCCCTCAAGGTTATGTACAATCGTACGGCAACGTAAACAAACAATGCACGTCGGGTCATACGAGACTCAAGTACATATACGAGCCTACAGTTTCGGCTTCGGACCTCCCTGGCTCTCCTACTACACTCAACGCCGACCACGCAACATTGCAATCGATCCGAACACCATGCATCCCGTCAAAGCGGTTTTCGTCTGTGCTGGTCTGCCGTCCATTTACGCGGCTGTTCACGTAAAGAAAGACCAAGAATTTCACATACCGAACATCTACGCACACCAGCCCAGCGGAAGGCCAGGCAACAGCCCCTACTGCACTGTGTCTTGTACGTACCCTCCTTGACCACTCCGTGATCCTGCTGGAACCCGTACTTATCAAGAAAGTTGATATTATCGATGTTGCCACTCAAACAAACACCAGTTGCTTTGTTGAGCATGGCCCCTGCGTGTCCAATAGCAAGGAGCCCAAGAAGCCTTTACCAACCAAGGACAACCCACAGTCTTGCGATAATACGGACTTCAGCTTCTACCTACCTGAATACCAATACATCGGCAACTATACCGTGCATGTAGAACACTGCTTTTTGAAAGGATGCACGAATCTCATGCATGAGGCCACAAGCAAAGTCATCAACAAGGCCAATTACCCGGCCGGCTACCATTATACATGTGGGGGCAGTGGTGTGTGTAATGCCTACTACAGCAGCATCACTGATCCTATCGCTCTACCTTTCCAGAAGGACTGCAACCAGGATTGATGGGTTTAACAGGACGTCAAATCTTGGCATAGTTTATCAGACCGAATGTCGTAGTCTAATTCAATTTTATCGAGCATCCTCTTTGCTTGCGTAAGAATAGTAGGGCAATTTGCTCAAGCACTGTACGTCACATTTGGGGAGCCATGCTTCTACCATGCCATCGCCACGGATGATCCCCTTCCTACTCTGCCCGTGTCTACTTTGAAATTAAGCAGACACATCCATGGTCTCTTGCTCTTGCAAGGCCGTTCTCTCTATGCCTCTGGAAACGAGCCGTTGTATGCCCAGTATACGACGTAGTTGAATCCCTGAGCGTCAAAGAAGGGACCAAGGCTGACGTTCTGGCCATCCGCAGTTCCAGTAAAATCAAGGTTGGAGCTGCTTGTCCTCGTCAAGGAGCCGAGATCCAAAGTTGGGGCCGAAGTTACATTAGTATCTCGATAGTTGCCTGACAGAACGATTGGTCCGTACGCAACAGCAGCGAGAGACTCGTCATCATTCGCTGGCACGAGTCGGAGGTTTAGGGGCAGTTGTACGGTGACGGTGTCGCCAGAGACCCAACTCCGAGATACGGTGGCGTATGATCCAGCCGTGGTATCGATGTCCTGCTTCTCTCCGTTGACAGAAACTGCGGCCCCTGAAGTCCACGATGGGATGCGGATCTTTAGATCGAATGCTCCGCTTCCATCGATGGTTAACTGAGTGGTGTCAGAGACGGGGAACGTCGTCTCTTGAGTGATTTTCAACGATTTCTGTGACCAATCCAGTGTCGATGGTGCGAATAGATTGACGAACAGCGACGAGTCGTCATACCCGTAGATTGCGTCCATCAATTTGGTGTTTTGCTCTACTCCGGTTCCTTGGCAGCACCAGAAGGACTCGTAGTCAGTGCTCCAGGTACCTCCACCCCAAGCAGGTCCAACACCGCGGTGACCACCAGCAATGAGAGGAGTGAAATAAGTTACATGTCCATGGTCGTCGTACTGGTTCTGTGCTCCGAGCAGGTGGTTGAGAAGTGCACGTTCGTAGAAATCAAAGTAATCAGGCTGAGGGCTCACGGTCCAGAGTTCCTTCGTCAACTTGAGCATGTTGTATGAGTTGCAGTGCTCGCACGTGTCGTCCGTCAGATAAGCAGCAATGGCATTAGGCTCGTGGAAGTGCTCCGCTTTGCTGTTACCGCCGATGGCATAGGTGTGCTGGTTCACGGTAAATTCCCACGCATTCTTCGCAATGTCCAAATATCGCGACGTGCCCGTGGCCTTATATTCGCGAGTGGCACCAATCCACTTGGGCACTTGGGTATTCGCGTGGAGGCCGTTCAGTTGATCTTCGTTCGCAGCTAGGGGATCGAACACTGCTGCGTGATCGAACCTCTGTGCCACAGTGATCCAGTTTTTGTCCCCAGTTTGCCGATATATATCGGTGAGGATATCGTTCATTCCACCAAACTCGGTCTGGAGGACTTTCTGCATCTGGTCCGTCGTGAGTTTAGCAGTACGCGTGTCCACCCATTTAGCGAGGGCGAGCAACGCTGTCTCGGCGTTCGCGTCACCAATATTCCTCCAGACATCTAGGAGCCCCTGCATGGTCTTGTGAATTACGTAGTAGGGCACATTTCCATTAGTCAAAGATCCTGCTTCGAGGAGGTCGAAATCAGACTCGGGGAAGCCTGACAGATATCCTGCACTAAACCCCGCTTGCTCGTTGTTGTTCTGGCACTTGAGTAGTTCTGCTACAAACGAGGTCGCACGATCCGCACAGTCTTGGTCTTTGAGGGAAGCAAAACATTGAGACCATGCCGATAGTACGTGGCCCTGTACATGGCTCCGGAAGGGAAAGTCGGGAGCATCCCAACCGCCGTTCGCCAGTGCCCCGTTAGTCGACAAACCATGGGCTGATCTGAAGACGTAGAGCAGGCGTTCCGGGTCGACGTATTTCAGATATGTTAAAGTACGATTCTGATTTTCGTGCCAACGACCGTCATTCAGGGTAACTTGGCTAATGTCGAAAGTATGTGCCGTCACGCCATTATCTGTTGTGACAGGGGGTTCGACTTGAGCCCTGACGAGTCGGGCTATGCCCGCCACAATAGATACCAGCCGAATCAAACCCTGCATGATGTTGCGTGAGAGAGGTTGGCACCTCCAGTATTGACTCGAGTTTCTGGCCATCACAGAGGCAGACACCGATTTATCTATCAACTCCATCTCCAATACGCGGCTGCCAACATCCAATACTGTCAGCTGACCGCTATGATAGAGTTCAATGCCACCTTAGATTAGTCCACCACTCACGATCGGCCATACCAGGACGGTGCTATAGCCGCACGATTGCCGCTGCTGCGCATCAAGCTTCCTCGCACTACCCCCGCCAACCCCAGCCCCAATCCCCAGGTTGATCGGCATTGACCCGCAATAGACCCCGCATCCCGAATGGATACTACCCTAGTGCTCAAGTGCCGAAGCGCACCTATGATAGCATCAGTATACTCGCCAGCTGGACGTCTGGTACCTGCCTTCGGTGGGTTCTAAATGACCTCCTGCGTCATTGGTAGCGTCACGCCCGCCCATGGATAGTTTATGGGTGACAAGAAAACTGAGCAGATCACCCCTGACACGCTCTAGCAAACTGCGATAATTCTTATTTCTGAGTGAATTTTACACATGCGCACCTCAATTCATACATTTGAAGATGCCTATCAATGTTCTCATTAGTGCGCTTATGGCGGAGCTCACATAATGATTTGAAACCTTTCGGCAGAACAGATCACCAGTGAGATGGATTCTTGGCCATCACGACATTATCTCATAGCAAATCAAGACCGGGTCATGGTTGACACCGAACGTCGTAGGCAAAGAGTGTCGGTCGAAAAATAACTTTGGTGGCTTCATCGGTACCTCACTTTCGAGATGTTCCAATAATCATTTCTCCAGTCACGACTTCACACTACGCCACTACGAAGCCACGCCTTGACCCACTCTTTTCGTACAGTTTTATTATTTCATGGTATATTAGTCTTGAGCACTCAAGCTTCCTGCTCACGGTTGCTGTCGACTACATGATAACGAAGGACGTGCATGCCGTATAGATGACGCAGTTCGGATTAATTAGACGCCTGGACTTACCAAATGTTCTGTCCATTTTGTATCAAAAAGATGTAGGAAGAAAGTACCAGCAGATTTCCTCAATGCAGAGGCCTTTGGCATCACTCATTAACATCCGCTTTCTAACCCATGCGCCTTCAGACCACAGAAGAATTTGGGAAAGCAGCGCAGTAACATAGATGCGCTGAAGAATATCTGGCAAGTTTCAGTAGTACTCTAGTCAGTAACATTTAGATATTCATTCTATGCAGGCACGTTGCAACCATTGCTTTGAAGGTATCTGTGTCAAATACTCAGCCTATTTCGACCAAAGTGGTTCGTTTTTTTATTTGTTTATTCTTCATGCATTCCTAGTTTGCTTTCCTTCGAAAATGAAATGTGTTTGGAAATTGAGTGTTTCCAAAATGCGCCAAAGCTTATGGCGCCGAACCATTCTGGGGTAGGAAAGCCTGGAAGCCTTGAATCAGGTCATCGTGGCCGGCGAACAGCTTCTTGACATCTTCCAGAGCCTGCTGCGTCCTCTCATTCCTCTTCTTGCTCACGTCCTCCGCCGACTCGACAGGTTCGACTGCGGCATCCTGCTTCGCAGGGTCTGCCGTGCCAGCCTCCTTAGCAGCCTTGTGCTTGGCTACCACATCCTCGATGTCGCTCCTGAACGCATCGTAGTAGTCGCGTAGAATTTTCAGAAACTGCTGGTACGTCTCGGATTGCGCATCGAATGTTTCCTTTCATTGGCGATTGTCGCGTTAGCTCACTCGTGGATTCCAAGTAAGCAGAAGAGGGTGCTTGAGGCTGAAGTACTCGGGAATTTATACGTACCTGGACTTGCTTGAGGTAGTCGAGCGACCGATTAAAGTTGGGGTTGGCAGATGGATTGGGTTGCGCCATGGCTGTCTGTGAACCACTTGAGCCCGCCCTTTGGACGATAAGTACAACTTGGATTGTTATCAGAGATCAGACTGCGTCGCCTTGCGATAAGTGGTCCTGCGAGCTTCGACGTTCAATTCCAGAGGAGAAACTCTCGAAGTAGCCACGTTTAAACCTTGCGTCATGTTACAGATCCGAGCGTGAGACAGGGGAAAAGTGGCACTAATGCATGTCAGCGGGTATACAGGGATAAAGGGGGCTGCCTCTTCCGGCAACGCGTTCCTTGGCACCGAACCCTAATCAAGGGCCACCGTAGAACTTGCGAATTTTTGAAAAGCTTATAACTTTGGAGATACCGTCAAGACTCAGTAATCTACTACACGTTTGACACGGGCCAGCTCGTATACATAGAAGCAAAAAGCACTGAACAGTCCTTATTTGTAAGAGGAGGCCAGTAATAGCGAAGGAAATAGAGACCATTTTAGGGATAGCGGGAAGTTCTCTCCCTTTGATTGGACATTTTGTGGTAGTTGGTCCGTGTCAACGTGTAGTAGATTACTGAGTTTCGACGGTATACCAAAGGCTATGACACCTGGTTGCCCATCTATGTCTGTTTCGGAGGCTGACCGCAGTCAACTGAGAGGTGTCTGTACAGCTAAGGAACTGACCGATGTAGTTAAGCTGTCACAGCGTTACTTCTTTCGGGTCAGCTTCAGAGCCGTTGGCTGGCTTAAGTAGCTCAGAGTGATACGATATCCTTTCGTAGGTCCTCAATGAGTACTGGGCTTATCCATTAGCTTCAAGACAGGGGATTTTCTTTTTCTTGACCAAATTATACGTGAACATGAATTGATCACGTGAATCGAACTCCTGATAAATGCATCAAGATGCAGCAGGAAATATTCAGAATCTGCAAGGCGAAATACCTACTTGTCTCATTTGTCCTGTGAATACAATGACTGTTCTATGTTTCTAAACTGCTCTATCATCCTAAACCGTTCTATGTTCCTGAACTGCTCTATGTCCCTAGAAAGGTGCCTAACGTAAACGCCAGGAGCCGGAAATGAAAACCCGCGACGTAGACTGATACATTTGTGTGTTGCGTACTATTTTATATCCCCGCCGCCAACTGATGCCACTTTCACCACGAGAGGAACCTTCTCCCAGAGGCTGAAGATCTTCTGTTTGTCGATCCAGTCCATGCTGTCTGGCTCGACGTTCAGGAAATCAAAATTCCAGACCAGCGAAGCTAAAATTATGCGCATCTCGGCCCAAGCAAGGCTGTTCATGGCAGGACAATCAGAACTGCATTTCAATGAAAGTTGTAAGTGACTTGTACTTACTTCTTGCCGAGACAGTCTCGAGGTCCGATGCTGAAGGGTTTGAAGACCCCTTTATCATCGTCCCCAAATTCCACTGGAGCCTCCTTTAACCACCTCTCGGGACAGAACTCAAGGGGCCGGTGGAAGTTAGCAGGAGAGCGGTGAGCGGCCCAGAGGTTGACTGTCAAGCTCGTATGCGGCGGGACCACCCGGCCAGCGATAATGGCGCTATCATTGCCCGTGGTGCGAAACAGGGTGTCTGGAGCGGGAGGATACAAGCGTAGGCCCTCTTTCAGTACGGCGTTGAGGTATTCATGCTGCTGCAATTTAACACCCGTGAAATCGGACTCTGAAGTGAAATCGGAGCGTATCCTCGATGTCAGTTCTGAGAGTATAGGCAAATTGCAGAGCAAGAGGTACATGGTGCCCGAGATCATGGTCGCGGCTGTAAGGGCAGCAATTAGCACTGACTTCAAATGGCAGTAAACTTTGGAAATGCTTGCGTACTTGTTTCACTCCCTGCAATGATGAATGTGATGGCTGCCATCTCGATTTCGGCTGGCGACAACCTGTTATCCTGTTAGTTTTACCATCATGGATCATGTATCATCGATTGTGTTATACCCTTTCTCATCTTTCCCATCGTGCTTGAGTATGTACGACATAAGATCTGACCTGTCAGTCTCGATTGCCATCCTGCGTTTGGCTGCCTCAGCGCCAAAAGCGACAGCAGATTGCTGGTGCTCCATCAGTTCTTTGGGTATACACCACATAGCAGCCTTAATCATCCACGAGGGCAAGCGAAGAATTTCCCGCATGAAAGTAAACGTCTTGAGTGTTGTAAACATTACGTCCAGCCAGGGATGTAGCTCTCCCGAATCAAGGCCGCCAAACGACTCCCCGAAAGCCAAGTCGCCGATTATATCTGTGGTGAGGAAGTTAACCCACTTTACCATGTCAACGGCGCCATTTTGCGCCTTGATCTGCTGGTGCAGGCATGAAACGAATTTCTCGACGTAATGCTGTAGATATCTCTCCTGCAATAGTAGTGCCTTGTCAGAGAAAGCAGGAGCTTGAAGTCGCCGGAGTCGTCGATGATTTCTGTCATCTGTGTTTGACTAAGCGCGTTAATAGATGTAGATCCGAAGGTTGGACAAACTCACGATGGTATCCACGCCCGGCGTTTTGATATAGAACTTAGGGTCTTTGGCGAGGCCGCCGCGTTTGGCAGACTGCGTGAAGCCATAGGCGTCTATGGCAGAGTGATGTGAGGAAATCGCTCAGCCTAGACAGTTTTCCGCAGAACTCACCTGTCCACGCCTGGCTACATGTGTAGGACAAGGTATCCGGCGTGATGCGCACTATGTGGCCGTACTTATTGTGCAGCTCTTCCACCCTGCGAGTACTATCGCCTCGAAAGATTGAGACTGTGTAGGGCAATCGGCTTGCGGACCGGTACCATGGTCCCGGATAGTTACGGAGCGGATGAAGAAAAATGTTATAAATGGCCTTCCCGATCAAGTACAGCACAATCTGCGTTGGTTAGAACCTATGGTCTGACAGGGTGGAGATGAACTGACCGTGCCAGCCGCAAGGAAGGAGAGCTCCATGCCTATTGGGCTGTATCATACCACTCAAACGGGTTTGATGCCGAGGATAAAAGGGGCACGGGATGCGCTACAGGAAAGCATTCGAGTGCACTTCAGGGAGACGCGCTCTTTTCACCTGTTCAAGTTTTCTGACACCGTGCCTAATTGGCGTGCTATGCCCAACACGGTGGTAAAGCTTGGATGGGGAACAAGTATAAGGAAATATGGCGTTGGGAGTATGTGGTGTCAATTGGTACGCAAGCGTGGGGGTTACGAAAGGAGTAGCGGTAGAGATGGGTGGTGAGTTCTACCCGCGCTGGTGGCGAACAGCAGCCTGTGTAATTTAGCTTGTGTACGGAGTAGCTTCCCCGCTGCTCGCGAAACTCGTACTCGTTCGTACTCGGCAGCCTCTGACGACCCATCAATCTGCTAACCTGATCTGTCACGCTAATCTCCTGCTGACTTTCCGGGAAATAATACAAATAATTGGCTCGAGTTGTCTTTCTAAATTTGCGGGCTGGGTCTGGCGATATACGTTCTGCAAAGCATCTCACTTAGCTATTTGCCTATAATCCACACTCACGGCGACCCTAACCAAATGGAGATCATCGCGCCTGATCAGCAGGCCAAGTGCGTGTCCCCTATAAATGTTCCAACACATGGTGCGACAGGTGTCTTTTCTGTCGCGTGCTCGACCGCCATATCCGCATCACCAATCGCGTGTCTTGAAAATGTCCTGAATCTGGCAGGGTATCCATCATGGAATACATTCATCCCCCATGCATCCATTACCGACGCTCCATCGACTGTCCAGCTTGACCCAGACCTACAGCGCTTTGCTGAAGCCCCCCAGCATGCCTATCCTGGCGTGAAAATGCGGTTCGAAGCTGTTATGACCCCCGGGAAAGCGCCTACGTCAACGGACCTAGAGGTCACAGTCCTGGAACCCATTGTGAAGGAGGGATGCAAGGGCTATCGTGTTGCATGGAAAATGCTCGGTATGCCGCATTTCCTTCTGCACACAGAACGAGTGCAGGAATTCGTCCAGAAAACAAACTCAGATGGCTCAGTGGAAACACAATACTATTGCTGGGAGACCTTTGGTGGGCTTTTGGCGTACCTCATGAAGTATACTTTGGGTGGACAGTTAGAAGATGGGTTCAACAGATGGATGAATGGGCTTAAGAAGGTTGCGGAGGGAAAGTGAATATCCTTCATCAAACCCAGATCTAAATATGCATACGGCGCACTGGTTCACATGTTGCATGGCGCAATTGCTACATACCGCAACCACCGTCTTTGGATTCACCTGAGTTATAGCCTTCCTAAGCAGCCTAGTCTCCTAGCTCTTTGCAAGGGAGGAATACTCTTTTTTCTATCGATTAAACCTCTTAAGTTTGAATATTGGATGAGGTGAACAAGAATGTGTATTGGTAGAACAAAAAGCCACCAAGCCTCAGCAATAATAAGCCTCTGTAACGCAGCCATGATAATGGGCTAGTGGTCCCTCAAGGAGCATCAAGTGATATGATCTAGTGAAGATTAGATAGGGCGGAGGAGCATCCCGGGCCGGGGGATGCGAGGATTGAATACGGAAAATTGAAGGCCCACTCTGATAAGTTCTTTGGCCTCAAAGAGTGACGCAAATGCCCAAGCAGCATTGTGTTGACGAGGGGCGAACAGCTAACAACGTCGAGGTTAATGGACTCTGCAAAGCAGATATGCTCACCGTATCAAGAATGTCTCTTCTTCTTTGTGTCCGTCGCTCAGCCCTTAGTCTTCTGTGACTTTTCAGGGTTCGCCAGCGCCTCGGAATTCCAGCGAGGGTCATCACTCTCATTGACAGGAGCCCAGCCGAGTTGAATCTATATACCAACGTTAGATCCTGGCACAGGTCGTAAAAAATTGGGCATCCTACCTGCATAGTCTTCTGGTCCCAATCTTTGGTAAAACTTCCAATCTTTCCATCCTCCACCTCGAAGATCGCCGCGGCGCTCCATCGCGCATGTTTACCCGTCTTTTCGATGCCCTTATAAGGTTTCCCGCAGTGACTTCCCTCTGCCGTGTAGCGCAGTAGAACGTGGCCGTCCTTGGCCCAGGCTTGGTCAAAGCGGATGATGTGCAGATCCGCAACGCTGTCCATGACAACAGAGTGTGAGTCTGCGTAGTCCATGGGGGTCTGGCATCCCGGAAATGTTGCTGGTGCCCAGAACCAGCTATCCGGGTGACAGAGGTGCTGTACTGAGGAAGCGCCTTTGTTTTCTGTGGGTGAGTAGGAAATGGCCATATATTCCTTGCACAGCTCAATATTGCGCTGCAGAAGCATTAGCTGCAATCATGAGTGTACAACATAGTCATAATGAAGGCCAATGCGAAGTTGTCTCATGTAATAGACGTACCTCCTCATCCGGGGTTTGCCTCGCTGTCATGACTGCGTCAGGATACTTTCGGGGCGCCATATTCGTCCAAGTCGAAAGCAATATTATCCACTGCCAGTCTAGTTGAAGATCTTCAGGCTTCAGGTCAGGCGACTATCGCGCAGACCTTGCCTGTGTTGGCGACTACTGTAGTCAATAGCTGGTTTGTTGGGAATAGTCTGTAGAACGACTTTATAGCGGTGTTCGTCATCATTATGTATGATGCACTGCGTGGTGGGGCATGGTGACATCAGCCCAATGAGGTCACCCTAGCGCAGCGGTATATCTAATATGCACCCACGGGGATAGATCAACCTATCGCCATTGCCGTTGCTATCAGAGAGGAAAAGGTATAGGATATTTGCATTAGATTTTTCGATTGCTCACTACTGTATAATCTCTGCTAATTTCCAGGTGGCAAGATGCAATTGCGATGTACAAATGCCTCCCCTTTCCCAACCCGTATAACCCTCAAGCTAAGCTCTATAGGATGAAGAAGGGGCGTCGCAAAGAACCTGGCGATGTTGAATAAGATGTGTCAATCGTTATTTTATTATTATCGAATCAGGCACAATTCGTAAGTATGAGATGAAAACTCTGTTTCATCAGAAACTTGTCATGATGACCTTTAGCGGCTTGTCTCTTGATACACTTCTCTTCTTCCCGCTGGATGGCACTATCTTCATCTTAGCGCTCAAGTGGAAAAGACTTTCCTTCATGCTCGTCCCATCCTACGACGTCCTTGTGGAGTACCCTGTATCAATATCACTGCTAACCTGCTCCCCAATGGCTTTCTATCAGCCCATTGTCACAATGCCCCAACCTCCTCCCGTTTATCTGCACGTTCAGCACCTCTCATTACCTAGCTGTTCTTGATTTGTTGTACCAATCCTAGAGCTGCGAGCTCCCGCGCGAATGGCTTTGGTGGCCAGATCTGGCACGATGCGAAGCGACAGGCTACCAAAGCACTCATAGTTACCTCGCCAACCGAAAGTGGCTTTGGGAAAGACCAGCTCATCAATAAACTTCCGCAACTATGTCAGCATGTTTTCGATAACGTGCACCGTAAAAACCACCTGAGCTCTAAGTTGGGACACCAGGTTGAAGGATCCTATGGACCATCCTGAAATCTTCAGCTTGAGGCCGCCTTGGGGCGCGTCCTCACCCTGCTGACAGTGGGCCTGAAGGTGCTGCAGGATTCTCGCGTATGTCTCGATGAGACGGAGATAGGTAGAGAACACCAAGAGCTCCGATGCAGCGTTCAGCGAGAAGTCGCTTGGCGGAGGTGATGCCACCGAGGGCTCGCCATTAGGCGGCGGCAATCTGGGCAGGAGGTGCTGGAGCGCCTTAATAAACATTTCGGAGATGTCAAAGACGTCGTCGATGGCGCACTGTGGCTCCTCGACGGATCGTGCGTGATCTGTCTCGCCATCCGAGGTTAGTGGAGTGATAACCCTCAGGTGCTTTATGAGTAAGACGCCGATCCCTGCTATGTTTCGTATGTGGTATTCTAGCGATACATCGCACTGGGCGGTATGCCGTTGGGACGAACCAACTTCCTCTGATGTAAGGGCGCCCGGAGGATCTACCGACCCGTCCGTGGCTGATTTGCCCATAGAAGCCGCCTTCATGGATACTAATGACTCAGGAGCCGCTGCCATGGAGAATGATGGCCCTGAAGCACAAATTGTCCTTTGATGGTCAACAATGGTGGCAGGCGCCGCAGCCACGGAGGTCAGTGATGCTGTAGCATGAGACGAAGTTGAGGCAGCGGGCGAGACCCGAGGCCTTATCATAGCGCTCGTTCCAGACGCGATGCCGGTGCTCTCAGCTCCAAGGTCATCGACTCTATCTCAGCCCGATTCAAACAGCGTCGGCTTAACCGCGTGCTCAAACGGCCTCGTTGGCGTCCTCCGCAGATACACCTGGAATGCTGGTGGCTTTTGATTATATTTGGACTGCTTCAGTTTGCTCTGTCGTCGGCCTCGAGAGGCGGGGCTGGAGCACCACTCGACACGAAGCTGTTGGCAGCGCCGGCAAAGCTCCTCTTCGTTGTCACGCAGACATCGGAGCTTGGATTTGTGGCAGCGGTCACACGCTCGGCTGGTACTGACGAGATGGCTACACATGTATCATGGCACCGATTCGGTTGATACTTATGAAGACAGAAACCCGGGCCAGAGCTGAGAATGGGACAAGGTGGGAGACCTCGTCGCAACTATAAGCTGATTATTGGTAGATACCGAGACTTAGAAGAATTGTTAATCATCCTTGCATTCCGGAGACTTGCCTTTGAGTGTAAAGCACCGAAATTTCTCTGATTGGCTCGATCTTTCTGGCGACATGGATCAAGCTCCGAGTGGACTACAGACTACACGCGGTTCTAAGTCGTTGTATAGCTACTATTACCAACCGAGGAGGACGGTTTTGATGATTGATAACCAGGAAACCCCGACATCCATGGATAGACTTGCAACTAGAACCCCGCAGACAAGTTGGGCGCCGGCCGCTCCGTTTTATGCCATATCTCAGTGCTTGCATAATTGAGGCACATGCAAGGCTGGCAAATTTCAAGAAGGCATGGCGCTTGTCTCACGCGGAATTACCTATTTTGGCCTCTCTACACGATTTGTCATATGTTCTTTCCAATGCTCAACTCTGATGTTATAAAAGGAAATTTCTTCCGCTCCATTAGATCTGTTCGCTCCTTAGCATCAACCGAATTCTTCCCTAGCAAGGTTATCAGTGCCTAAGTGTGCAGTCCTATAACTCCAATCGTTATTCTAACTCGGCACCTTGGCGACAAGACAACTGCTTCAGATATAATAATGGCGGTCCCCAGCTCGGCTCGACTTGAGACTGCCGCGGAGCCGCCTACTCATGCCAACCAAGACATTGCCGTGGTTTCGACGAAAAAGGTTTGGCGATTTTAGGCCATCTTTCCTACCCTCATGCTGGTTTCGCTGCTAGTTGCGATCGAGTCCACCGTGACCTCGACGGCGTTGCCCTTGATTGTTCACGAGCTGGATGCGGGAGACCTCTTCATCTGGTTCGTTAACGCCTAATTTCTGACCAGTGCTGCTTTTCTTCTCTTGTCCGGCCAGCTCGCGGACATCTTTGGCCGACGATGGGTTTTCATCACGGTGGTGGCTCTCTTCGCTTTGGGTAGCGGCATTGCGGGCGGCAGCAACAGTGCGACCAGGCTCATCGCCGGCAGAGCTGTGCAGGATATTGGTGGTGGCGGCATCAACCTCTTGATCGAGTTGGTCGTCAGCGACTTGGTTCCGCTGTGCGAGCGAGGAAAATACATGGCCTTGCTGTTTGCCTTTTTTGCCCTCGGTACAGCCATTGGACCATTTGTTGGCGGTGTGCTCGTGGAGCGCTCGTCCTGGCGTTGGCGGCGGCCTGCTCTCGAAGACAAGCCGCTATAAACCGCTGCATTTTTTCGCGTTTAGCATCATGGTCCTCGGGCTCGGCCTCTTTGCCTTCTTCGAACGCAACACCTCCAAAGTGGAATGGGTGATTGTGCAGATGCTCCCAGCGTTTGGCGTGGATTTTATGATGTCCACCAATCTTGCCGCCGTCCAAGCCGATCTTAGCGAGGAGCTGACCGCCGCCTCCGCCGCTGCGTTCGCCTTCATGCGCGCCTATGGATCTATCTTGGGAGTGGCCATTCCTGCCGCGGTGTTCAACTCCCTCTTCACCACCGAGTCGTACCGCATAGCTAATGAGAGTGTGCGCGCCGAGCTCAGCGGCGACAGAGCGTACAGCTTTGTTACGGCGACACTAGTCAATGGTCTTGCACCTGACACCCGCGACCAAGTCATTGATGTTTTCACGAGAGGCCTCAAGGTAGCCTGGCTCGCCAGCATTGCGCCAGCCGTGCTAGGCTTCCTGATAGTCTTTGCCGAGAAGGAGATCGTGCTACGGACAGAGCTGGACATCAAGTACGGCTTGGACGACGGTGAGAAGGTGTCCGACACAGAGGCAAGAATCGCCACGGCTGGAGACGGGGTCTCGACGGTACAGACTGAAAAACGGGCAAGGTGGGGACTGCGGTACAATGTGTTTGAAATAGGGCAGAGCTCAATCATTTCTCATCTCTATATTCAGAATAACTTTACACTCAGGATACCTCTACATTGAAAAATAAAGGAGTACATCTGGTGCCGCTTTTTATGTCAACTTGGATATAGAACAAAGCAGACACCAATAGCAAATTTGCTTCCCACGAATCTTATACAGAGACGGTCCCGTTGTTTTCGAAGATGAGAGCCTTTCAACATACAAGAGTCTGACATGATCCGCAATTGCGGGGGCTACGTACCAGCAAGGTCAATGTATAGTGACAGATGACCGCGCTCAGCCGTAGCAGAAATATCCATGATAGCCATCTTCTACTAATTTACGACGCAGTGATGTGCGACGCAATGATAGAGAACACAATACAAGTGATGTTAAACTCGTACAGCATGTTTCCAGGTCCAAGTGTCTGTGATATCTACATTTCGAGCTGAGCATGATCCTACGCTGTGGTTCAGACCTAGATCTAGCTACACGCACGGTACACCCGCCGCTGAGGAATCCCACCCATTCCGGTTGAAGTTGCGGGTCGGTGTCAATTCAGCTTCTCCAGCAAAGCCGCCGTGACGCCGACGGCAGACTTGCTGATCCCGCGCCTGACCGGACCCAATGGCAGTTTTGCACGCCGGTTTCTCGGGGGTAGCGCGTGACGGAACACTGTAGTCGGTGACGCTCGCCTTGTCGCGGTGCTGCTGGCAGATGTACTGCTTTGTTTCGTGCAGCCACAGTCGCGGACGCCGGCCTGTACCGCCATCGTGGTATGAGAGAGAAAGAGGACGAGGACGAACAGCACCACCGTCCACGGGGAGTGCAGGCTGTTGCGATGCATCTTAGATATCGACGTCGTGGCGGCCAGAAGACTTGAAGCTGAACTCTTGAAGTTGAGTAGGTTGATAGAAAATAAGCCCGAGTTTTTCTAGCTGTACTTGTCGAACAGTACACCATGTGTCGTGCACTTTTCAATGCGATCGGCGGCACTCACGCCATGTTATACTGCTCGTACTTCGTAAATATTCGTCACCTCGCGATCATGACCCATCAGCCTCGTACTCGACCCCATTCTGATTACGTTGCCCAGCCCATACATGAGACGGAGTCGTGGTCAATTATGGCCAAGGCTTGCGCAATCAGGGGTGTTGCTGAAACGAGCAACCCACAATTCCCTCGTGGGCAAGCGTTTAGATGCGGTTGAAACCAACAAGTCACAACGAAACCACAAAGCAACGAAAGTCAAAGAGAGAAAGAATGAGACAGCGTGATCCTTTAAAAATTCATGAACTTATGCAATGGTGGTATCATGGCGCCTCCCCCTTATGCTAAGTAGGTGGGGGTGGGCATTAACAGGACATATGTGGACTTTCTCTCTCAGGCCGACAAAGGAAATCAAATATCGACAGAATTGAAGGCTCCCCAAAAACCAATGAACGTCACAACCCGTGTTCGACCCCAGAGTGTTACATTAGCAACGCAATCCGCCTGTCGCCTTCATCCGCGATGAATGGAAGTTCGCGGTTTCCTCCTCTGTATCCCAAAGTTGTCTAGTTTCTGGTAGTCATGATTCGATCCGGTTCGCTGCAAACTGAAGCTGTAAGCAATCCTCCTCTATGCAATCAGATACTGGCGCCTCGTAATCTTCCATATTTTAAGAGGGCATATGGCCCACCCTGGTCAACGTCCACTCCGCCGGGGTGGTAAACAACCCCGCTGAGAGGTTCCGTCAACAGCAATGCCTCAACCGTCTTGCTCCAAACAATTCGCTTCGTTGCCTCGTCTTGGGCTCCCTAATGCCCCTGAGGCAAAGGTGGCAGGTCTTTCTCCAGACTGTCTCTGCTGATGACTTTCCGCAACCCCTTGCCTGTGCTTGCTCCACTGTCACTACGGCCTCTGTTTCCTTCAAATCTGGCCGTCGGATCCAGGTAGCTGCTCTTCGGCGGGGTCGGCGGCCCTCTGCCTCCTATTCCATGCGGACCAAGGTCGGTAAACCCATCAGCCCTCATCGTTCCAGGCGTCTCCATGAGACTGGGGGTGAAGGGTCTATTTCCACTGGCATGGTCACCGTGGCTCCTGGCGCTGATGCCGCTGACAATACTGGCGGCCTCTGCCGTTTCCTCAACCACTGGGAGGACCGCGTGAGCATTGCCCTTTCCCTGAGCGTTCGCAGAAGATGTAGTAATGGTTCTCTCAGGTACCTCGTCCTCCTTGGCGACGTTCTTTTCCTTCTGAGTGGCCTTCCTCAGCGCCATCTCGACGGTTGGGTTAGGCTCCGGTGACTTCGGGCTGCGCATGCCAGGGGGAGCTGGTGGCAGGTATGTGGGAACTGGAGGGGCGCCTTGAGAGTTGCGCTGACTGTCATGACGTGCGACATCAGCTTCCTCGGAGGCGGCCGCGGCCTCTGCGGCTGCTTCGCGATCTCGCTGGTCACGTTCTGCTTCTTCAGGGGACATGGTCACACCTGCCATGAATTTGATGAAACGTTCGCCGTATTCGACCGGCGGAAGGGCAGAAATCTGAGTTCTATCACTGGAAAGACCTTTCCAGAAGTGCTCTATCTTCTTAATAACGCCATACTGCAGAACAAACTGTGTTAGTCCGACTCTCATCACATCAAGTATGCAGTAGAATACTATGACTTACGTGAGTGAGACAGTCAATGACTCCGAGATAGTAAACCTCTTCTCCAGGGGTATTGTCTTCATGTGTAGCCCTGAGGCCGCCGTCGTCACTGTAGAAAATGCCACCTCGGCCGTAGTTCTCATCCAACTCTTCAGGCATTGGGGATTTGCTCTGGCCCATGGGAACAGGCCGCTCAGCCTTAATCATCTGCCTCAGTTCTCTGGCCTTACGCGCGCTTTCCAGCTTGGATGGGGTTCGCATAAGAACCTGGTGAGGATCGAGCTCGTCCGCCCCGTCGTCGCCACCAGGGTTGAAGACCTGGAGGGTCTTGCCCCTGAGATTCTCCTCGTTGCCCTTCTTGAGGTCATGCACGCCGATGAGAAGGGAGTAGTCCATAATCTGCAGTTTCTGCATCAGGCGCACATCTCGTTGTAGTTGCTGGAGGAACAATTGCTTCTTGGCCAACCCCATCTCCAAATGTCTCTTCCTACGCAGCCAGTTGAGATCCTTCAGAGTCGCGCGGGGGTTCTTCTCGAGGTCTTCCTCCTTGTAGTCCCGGCCAATAGTCGAACCTTTGAGGTCAAAGGTCTGGTGGATATCTCTATGCGGGGGAAAGAGGTTATTCATCACCACGAAGTGAATCTTCTTGCCAGACCATGGCATCTTGACGCGGTGGAGGCCATAAAACTGGGAGAGCAGGGTGTTCGGGTTGTCGGTGACGTGGTTGTAGTAGTCCTTCAGAATCTTCCGCAAGAACTTGTGCTCGGCATGGTGAATAGTCTTTATGATGTACTTGTAGTCCCTCGAGAAGTAGAAGAAGCTGCCACTCTTTCCCGGAGAACCAAGCTCGGACAGAATATACTTGCCAGTCAGGGACATCAGGTAATCGGCGGGGTCCAACCTAAAGAGTGCACGCAGATGCCGGAAAACCCAGGGCGCGTAGTCCTTAAACTTGAAGTCGTACTTGGCTGAAGGTACCAACTCGTTCCCAGTAATGTCGAAGGTGGACTTCTGCTTGGCCTCGAAATCGGCATCAGTCAGGGGCCGGTCCAGCTTGGCGTTGGTCCTCGACACGGATACCCGAATGCCGGTCAACATGTTGTAGGCAGTAGTCCAGTTTGCGTGACTCTCGTCCACCTTGGTGCCCACCAAGACCTTGTCATCGTCCAGCTCCTCCTTGCGTTTCTTCTTGGCCCGCTTTTGCCGGTACGCTTCCGCCCACCTCATGGCGTCGTCATCCAAAGGTACCTCGTCGCGAGGCACCTCGGAGTGCAGCGAGCGGGTGTTCCTACGGCCCAGACTCAGCGACGCCCTACGTCCGCTAGACCCGGCTACTGTTGGTGAGAAGCGGCCACTGGCGTAGGCTGCATCCGCCAAACCGTCCCTTGAGCCCCTGCCAGACTGGACCTTTGGTACCTCGAGGGTGTGCCGATGTTTCAGCTGATTGGGGGGTTGAAGATTGGATGCCGAACCAGAAGGGTTTGCTCCGGGCGATTGGAAGTGCGGCGGCGAAGAGAAGCGGTGGGGAGGCTGTGATTGTTGCTGATACGGGTCAGGCGTGGCGGACAGTGTTGGCGGGTTGCTGGGAGAGTTCTGCAAGCCGGTGGAAGACGTATCATGCGACGCTCTGGGCGTCCTGTCGCCGTTGGTGAGTGGCTTGGACGAGACCGCGTCGACTGGTGTTTGCTGTAACGAGGTGCGTCCTGACGACTCAACGGAGCCTCGCTTGGGTGGTGCACCATCGGGGATATTGTAGTACTGATTTTGGGGTGGTATGTTTATTGTCGGGGCGGACGAGGAAGTTGACGATCTGCCGTTCATCATGGGTCGCGATTCGGTGGATTGCCTCTCAGCTGTGGCATACGGCCGTCCATTGGGAGTGTTCTGACTTCTCTTCGCGTCGACGTTGGCGTTGTGGACGCCGCCACTGGCACCGGGGCTGACACCGTTCATCAGTCCTCTGGACGGCTGAGCACCGTTGGCCAGGGGGGTCATAGTCGCACGCGGTGCCGAGTCCCTGTCCCCATTCACTCGCGCGCGCGGGTCCGAGGTGTCTGAGGAATGCGAGGAGGAGTTGTCGAACTCGTCAAAGGCGTCGTCGTCCGGGCGGCCGTTGGCTGGGGCCGAGGGACGGGGCGGCACCTGCTTGACGGGGTAGTGCGGCGCGTGGGTGCCGTCGAGGTGGATGACTCCAGCATGCGGGGGGTAAACGGGCGTGTTCTCGTCGTTTACGAAGGAGGGCATGTCGTCGGTGCTGGCGGTGCGAGATATCGCGGGAATTGGATGACGGTGCCCTCCGTGCCGTCGACGCTCCTCCAAATCCAAACCCAATGGGGGCGGTGGTGCCGATTGAGCCGGCGCCGTCAAAAGCTTGGTGGCTGAGGGAAATTAACAAGAGGGAAAAGGATGCACTCGGGAGGTGCTTCACGGGGAGCGGAAAGGCGCTCCAGCAGGGGACTCTATCGTGGACGCTGGATACTGCACGGCAAACCTTGGAAACAAACAAACCCGAAAAAGATGAAGACACGAAATAAGGAGGTTGAACTGGGCCGGAGCTGGAGAGTGCACGACCGTAGGAGCGACGTCAAATCAGAGGCAGAAAGTTGGCACAGGGTGGATTCTCGCGCGCGGCCAGCAGCCAGCGGCCAGCCAGGAAGCCAGCCAGCCCACGCCCAGCGGGGGCCGCCATTGGCACCACACACACACACACACAGACACATGCACAGTAACCACACACACGCATTGGATATGCACAGCTGAACTGGTCTCCAGTCTCTCGAACCGGGGCGGGCCCCCAATGCACTGCGAAATCGACCCGGCCCCTGGCGTGCTGTGCGGTCTTGGCGATAGCGACGCCAGGGCCGGCCTGGCCAGACCCGACGAGAACCTGCAAATTGCGGGAGACAAGCGTGTCCCGTGATGGCAGAGACTACTGGTTACCTGGGTACTGACCGTAGCGACCTGTTGAGAGTTCGAGAGCGGCAGTATCTCCGCGCAGTTGGCAATGGACGTACGTCCGAATACTATGTACATCGAGGACTGAGAGATCGATGCCCATGGACCAGTGTCACACATTGGATCCTCAAACTCCGCTACGATCCTCTCTGTCTCTCGCGATCCCTCATCCCTTTGACAGCCAGCAGGTGGCAGGTTCTGTAACTACTTACTGTACCGAAACAACACTCACCGTCTCTCCAAGCCCAGCACGGCATTCGGCAGGCTGCCAAGCGCTGTCTCGCGCTGCTGCGAATTGATTATCCAAGGCCGTATTGCCAATCTCGTTCGATTGGCGGAGGAGGAGGCTATCAATGGATCCTGGTCTCGAGGTGGCCCAGGGCAGTATTGCATACCAAGGGATCTCGCCCTCACCACACAGTATATACATGATACATAACAGTGCCTAGCTTGGCCGAATTGGGGTCCCGTCCTAATAATAAAGCAAACTACTGCATACGCTTCCTAGTGCCAGGTCTCCTTTTCTGGTAAGGAGCATAGTTCCTTTATGCAGCACCAGCATTCATCAAGGCAGGCCACCCCACCCAAATCTCCATCCCATCTGCTGCGTACTCTCTAGTCCGTGCTGAGATCGGGCAGCAGACAAGAGATCCGCACTTGCGCATCAACTGGGCCACAGCCACACTCGACAATTTCGTCAATCCTCCCACTAATTATATCCATTTATTGCATACACTTCAATAACAGGGCCTGGCACCACTGGAGACTACATAGTACCAACTACCGGTATGCTCCTTCGCTCCTCTCCTGAGTGGCCCAGTGGCCCCCAGAATTCATTCCCAGCTGGGCGTAGGAGACGGCCTGGCAAGTGTGAACAACACGTGCACGTTGTGGTGCTGTCTCCTTGGGAGAGATCTTTGCATTGTAGTTATCGCATGGATCCAATGCCGGTTCAGCGTATCTCCGTCCAATAGCTCTCCAGCCATGCACCACGAAGCCACACCCAGACGCCCGGACGGACTTGACGACGTCCCCGAGCTGCGATCCATGGATGCTAGGACTCGGTATGCATGCACACTCGCGGCCCCACGTCTCGCTGGGGCAATCTCATTTAGCTCAGGACACACAGACCGGCAACGAGTATCGTCCAGGCCGACATTGCCGAGATAGTTGGTTGCCTCACTATTCCCCCGCTGACTGCTATGTTGTCAAGGCTTGATACGAAGATTGCAACCCGAGACAGCATTCTACCAGGGAAATACGCAGAAAAGCAAAATACTACGTCGTAGGACAGCTGCAGTGCTCAAGGTGTGGCTTGCAGCTGAACGCCGCCAGTTGACCGCTTGGCTTCAGATCCCCTGACTAAGCCCCTAAGGTAGAATGCTCGTGACAGGTCCCTTGATAGGTCCCTGCCAAGGCTGAGACGAGATTTACAGGTGATCGCCCCATTACCCCGGGACATGAGGTCACTGATTGCCATCGCCTGTGTAAATCACTGCTACGGTCCAAGGAATTGGGACATTTCGACCGGCGGCAGAATGATGCTGATGCTAATGCTATCCCCACGGATGCGTTGGATCCAGTCGCTTACCCGAGTCCGAAGAGAATTCCAGGTTGCCAGGCGCACCACAACGGTCGGGAGAACGACGTTCCACAGCTGACAAGACCGCTCGCGAACGAGCAGACACATCACTGCAGGAATAAGCTGAAGTCGCACAGCAACGTGTCAGCGCAGCATGCTACCGTTTACAGCATAGAGGGGCTCACACAGGTGGCGCGAACTCATTCAGCTGCTGCAGTTAATACAGGTCGCCATGTATAACGTCCCCAGGGATGCGGCTATGTGCGCTACCCACGCACTTTGGTGCAACCAAGGCGTTGAACACCCACTGCCGACACCATCACCACAACAAACTGCTAACAACGACTTGTCATTTCATCCAAAGCTCATATTTCCGAATTGATCATTAGAATCTACCCAACTAAGTGTATCGAGACTGGCTCTGGGTTTTCTGAAAGAAATGTTTGCCTAGGTTGCTCTTCAATTTAATATAGCATCATAGATCCAAATGATGTCGGATATAGCTGTATAAGACTTGATGTCATTGGAGGGAAAGTGACCATTTCCGGTACTTTCCAGGTACGAGATTGCGTTATCAGGAATGAACTGCCCGTGTAGTAGGTACTCCTAGGTAGCCACGAAGGCAAAAGTCGCCCCTGCATTGGAAAGGCTTCTGTGATGGTCATTGTGTAGGAGACTGGAAGCAAACTTGCCTGAACCCAGCCTGGTCCTAAGCAACCAGAGCCTCAGCGTCCTGCTCTGGCTTCCAAGGTCTATTCCCTTTCACTATCTACTGTCTGTCTTTGAGTCACTCCATCACCATGAAAATTGGTACTATCGCTTGCTGCATGCGCATCATATTGAGTCCTGGGACCAACCATCTTGCTCTTTGCTAAGACTGATGGTAAGATCATTGTCAAAGAAGCCACGTTTGGTGAGCAACGATCGCCACAAGGGAGAGAAGCCACGAAAACGTGATCCTCCCGTAAGTACCTAGGTACTGAACATGGAAACTGCCAAGCCAGAAATACTAGCATTATCGGTAGAGCTACAGCGTTTACAGTGGTCTACAACTTGACCTCACTCGTCTTCCCACTCTTTATCCAGTGGAAACAACATTCAAACGCCATCGTATAACTAAAGGGACTACTTGCATTCTGTTAGTCTATTTTAAGGGCTCTGTACCTCCGAGGCGGACATCTGCTGCAAACCTATCAAAAGACGAATGACCAACAAAGTATAGCTCTAGAAACAGAGTATTTAGTCCGAATTTCAGAATATTACGCTCAGGGTTCTGTTGTGCTATGAATCCTAATCGTTCAGAGTATAACCAAAATGCAGAGGTTGAGGCTGCATGAGCAGTATTGAGAACTATCTCGAACGATAGAGCCTAGCACGTAAGCCTTCTATTTAATTCCGACCACATCGAATCATGCCGTCTCCCTGTCAAACGTTTCTGAACCAGGTACCTTTATCAATCATGAGTGTGGTAGCTAGATTAGGCTTCCTAGTCCGGTTCGCTACCTGGCTTTGGCACCGCCGCAGACCCGAGGAAGATCTTGACCTCACGTTAACTTCACGCCAATGCTCAGCCCAATATGAGGGAGCCTTGGACTCCTTGATCGGCTGCGCGGTCCGAAATCAGTCTGAGGGCGCCTTGTACTGTCTTCCCGAGGAGCTTCTGTTAGGCATCATGAAGCTGCTAGAGCTCGAGGATCCAGCTAGCAACCAAAGCCTCCGACGAACGTCTCGTTTATTTCTCCGTCTCTATTCATCCCCGTGTTTTGGTGATGGGCATACCACGGACACAGAGACGGATAGGGACATGGCCCTGTTCAAGCCTTGGTCCGAACCCAGCTATCAGCGCCTGTCGTTGGATCAGTGGACTGCTCTGCGCGATCGAGACTCTGAAGGCTGTTGCAAGGATTGTCAAGAGGCCAGACGAGAAAGATCAGGGTGGGCCGACGACATCATTTGGCTCCTCAGATTGTATCCCGACTTCGCATGTCTAAAACAGAGATTAAGAAGGGCCCTTTATCACTGCTCCATCTGCCAGCATGATCACCCTCCGTCCTTATTTTCCGGCTACCAGCAAGCAGCCAGCTCGCAAGATTGGCGGATGTGCATTGGTCATGAAGGATGCGTACGTCTTTGTGAGCATGTTTCGATCCGATGGGCTGATATAGCTCAACTCGCCTCGAATGTCGCCGGCCTGGACACAGGGAACGATGTTAACACCATCATAGTCCGCGTATGTAAATCCCTGGACCACGCTCCTCAGAACCATGGCCATCACTCTTCACAAATGCACACTAGCTAGATACAGCCCACAATCATCATGGAAGGAAATAGCAAGACAGATATGGTTATCAACCTCTTGTGGACTGGGCATGTTTCTCTCCCGAACATTAGAAACTTCCTTGCGACTCCCGAGATCGTGCATCAGGTGTTTGGCCGATTCCGACAAGGGGTAGCCGGATACCTTGCCCCGGAGCTGTCTCCCGGTCGACTTATGCAGATGATCTGCTTCGACCCCAATAAGTGTACTTGTCTTCATCACGCAGGCCATGAAGCCCTCTCTGACCGGTAGCATCTTACTCCAGCAGAGCAACTCAAGTTTGCCACCTGCCGTGAATTCAAGGAAGGAGCGCTAGCGGCATTGTGTCCGCAGAAAGACACCGCCGACGGAACTGAAGGGGGAAGGCTGCGCTGGTTGCCATCATGCCTTTATCCAGGCGACGGGGATGTCCAAGAGCAGCGTGGATGGCGTGGCTATCGACATCGATCCCTGTCCTAGTGGTTCACGTTTTATCACCAGGTACTGCTGTACCGTGACTGTCGTCTGCCGCGGGCAAGACCCCGGCCATATCCCAATGGGGTGGTATCAGGCGCTTGATCCGGACTCATACAGTCTGGATAGCGACTTTCTCGCCGAGAATCTCCTGTGGTGCAAGAAGAGAGACTGTAGAAATCATAAGCGATTTTGGAAGCCAGCTTTCGTTCCACCTCACACTGCGCATCGGGCGTGTCCGCAAGAGCCTTGTCCAAATCTTCCAATACCTGGATTCGGCTGATTTGAAACCGAACATTTCCTGCTTCTCCAAGCCTGAGAGGAGCGACTTGAAGTTCTTCCAAGACAGTTTTACAGGAAACATGTCAGATGGGCATCAAGGTTTCTGAACACGGTATTTGCATCGCGTGCGCAGACTCTGACGACTTTACTATTGTATAGTCCAAAGTCTAACCGTGTACAGGCCCATGAACAACACTAAATGTATTCGACACACTCCGTAGAGCCACTCCGAGCGTAAAGGTGCTTAGAATGCCAAGAATACGCCAAAAAAACGGCGGCCGGTCCAAACCACGACAGATGGACTGGCACCGTCTGAACAGCGAGTGGCGGCAAGAACGGCACAGGCGGCAATCAACAGGATAATTCTACCAGCCTCGAAAGGTTCAGGACGGAGATCATCAGCGAGGGGAAAGGGCGGCGGCCAGTCCCCAATGTCATGCAACTTTGAATACCTAGGTAGATATTGGAACCTGGAGTGCAAGCTCGAAGTAGGGTATAATGCATCCCCGTCGTTTTCCCAAACCTGAACGCCGTAGAGAGACGGTATATGAACGTAGTTACAATACAGTACATTATGCTACAATGCCACTCCGAGCCAACAAGGAGTGTTCGAGTCTCCATTCTCGGATTTCGCCCAATTCATCCGCTCATGAGCCGATCACCTTTTGGCTGCATCGTTGGGTCCCTCGATGGCCATCTTGTTGGCGCCTTCCTTTTCTAACCGTTCGAAGGCCTTCTTCTTCTGGTACTCGGCAATCCGGAACTGCTTGAAGTATTTGACCTGTAGAGAACAATGTCAGCAAGATCTGCTCCAGAGAGACGTGGTCGGTTTCTTGTTCCCCGGGTAGTGGGAGCAAGAGGGAAACGCACCCAGGCGGTAGCACAGTCCTGCTCAAACTGGGCGTTCTCCTTGGCGCACTGCTTGTCGGCGATGGCCTTGCCCTCGCCTTTAAGCGAATCGATGACGCTGTGCTTGTCCAGGCACCTGTAGAAGCCATCCCGTGCCTCCCAGCACCTCTTGCGCTCGGAGCGATCGGGGGCGACGGCACCGGTGCGCACCTCTTCCTTGCGCTTGGCGTCGGGCGACTGGAAGAAATCGAAGACACCCATGGTGAAGCGCAGTAGTTGACTGGAAGCGAAGGTGACGGCTGCGATGGGCTTGGCTCTGGGTGTGTGGGCGAGGAGCGGGGAGCGGGGATGATGTGCTGGCGGCTCTCGTTCACGATGTCGCTGTTCTTGCGGCCGGCCTGTCGGGATCCTGTACCAGACCAGAGCTCTATAAAATCGTCATGGCAAGCTTCGGACGCTAAGCGGTAGGATGGGCCCGTTTCGGGCAGGCGGTGGGCCACGAACAGCCTAGCGCAGCCGCAAATTAGCGTCACGTCACCCTTTTTGCGGCCAGCGGGCCAGCAACCAGCAACCAGGCAGGCCGCCCCGGTCGGTTGCGGAAAGATTTCAAGGCCTGGCTAAACACCCGGACACAACAGCGCGACGGACAGACACACGACACATCCGGCCTTGACGACGAAGAGCTCGCATAACCCAGCCGACTATACCACCGACTGCAGCGACGTCCGCAGAGCACGGCGACCGTGTGCCACGACCAGGAGTACAGCTCAAAAGCATCTCTACTGGACATGGTGGCCAGAAGACGGAGATGAGCCCGTTATAGCACCATCGACTCGCAGCAGTTCACTTCACTTCACTCCGCTCCTTAACACGACATTTGCTTTTCACGCCCACTTGCTTCCTTTACTGTGTCCCGTCCAACGTTCGCCTCGTCCTTTACGACCGCCTTACGAATCCTCGCACTTGGACGACCACTTTTAGCGACACCGCTTCCCCCCATACGATATGCCACGAAGAAGGAAGCCCCCGAGGTCCGGCGCCATCGCCGAGCTTCCTCCCCTGCGCATCGCAGGCCAGATCGCCGCCCTGCAGGGCATCTACTATGCCACCGCCCTCGTCCTCATGCTGTTCATGTCCCTCGTCGCAGGAACCGGCTTCAATCTCGACCTGGTCTTTGGGTGGGGTGCGCTGCGTGGTGACACGACCATGGGATGGCTGGTCGGGTTCGTGTGGTTGTGCTGTGCCGGCGCTGTGTACGTTCTTCTTTTATCTATGCCCGGTTCTCAAGGCTATCACAGTGGGCTCTATGCTGACTCCCGCTGCGCAACAGTGTCGTGGCTCTTGTCGCGCTGATCGCCCGCTCGAAACTCATCCCCGACTTCGCACTAACCCTGCATTTCGTGCACCTCGTTGTGGTGTACTTCTACACCGGCCTCCTCCCGCGCTATGGTATGTGGTGGATGACCATGCTCGTGTCATGCGCTGGAACCGTGGCCCTGGGCATCTGGGGCTGCCGGTGGCGGGAGCTGCAACCCATCATGTTCGGCGGTGCCGGCAGGTCGACAAATGAACAGGGCGCCGCCGAGAACGGCCACGCTGCTGGTGGCGAGGTTACGGGAGACGAGGAGATGGGCTTCTCCCGGGGCAGAGGCAGGGGCAGAGGTCGGGACGGTGCCGGCGAGTACGAGATGGTGGGGTTGAAACCTGAAGAAAGGTAGTCCGGGTGCGCCTCAGGGACTCCCTTATTCATGACACTATAGACGGGTCAGCGATATGGCTTTGCATCGCATGGCGTTCGGGGACTGTACGATTATAATAGGGGTTCGGGATTCAGGGGCTCCAGGCCTCCCCTGCGAGCCTCGCATGCTAGACATGGTTAATTTCTGAATGTAACGACTTATGGATATCCACTTCGTTCCTTTTTATCTCCACCTTGCCCAGTCTTGAAAGTATACGGATTCCAGTGTGTGCAGGTACACAAGCAGCTACTTTGGACGTCAAGAGCAGTTGGTCACACTGTAAACAATTCGTTCGTCCGCTCATTTTATGAGACATCGAGCCAATCGTTGGTAAACCTTGCGTGGCGGGAGGAGCGTGGATGTAAATATTCTATCTGATATCATGAATTATAGAAAATCATTATTCCATCCAGACATTCCGGTACCACTCAGAGCCTGTGCCTCCGTTTCGATGCACCTGTAGGCCTCTACCACTCCTATAAAGCACTGCCGAGCCTAAGACTGAGCTCGTTCAAGTCCGTAATGCCGCTCTCCAGGATCCGCTGCGCACCGCCCTCGGTCTCGCGGAGGAATCTCTCCTCGTAAGCCTCCCGCCGCTCACGGCACCGTAGCAGCTCGCCGGCGTTGCCGGCCTCTTCGTGCCAAGACTCCAGCACTTGGTACATCTCCAGCAGATCCGACGTCACACCGCGTTGGCTATACTCGGCGTCTATCGCGTCACCAAGAAGCTGCACTGCTGTGATGAAGTGATGGTCTTCGGTCTCGCCCGTGTGCATGTTCGATTGCGCCTTATGGTACAACGCGATGACGGCCCAACATTGCCACCGAGCGACCTCCAAGCCCGGGCCGTGGGCCTGCTCGATACGGTCTAACAATAGAAGTGCGGTGCGGAAGATGTCGTCGTTGCCCCATCCTTCTTCTCTTCCCCAGTAACAGAGAAACATGATCTGGAAATGAACCCTGTCTAGGCCACCGGGCATCGGGTCCGTGGTCCCGACTTCAAGGATCGCATCGGTATTCCATTGGCCAAGCAGTATCGGCCTGATGGGCTGGACCTGAGGCCTGCGCGGAGAATACCAGATGAACTTTGAGCTTTGAGGTACCGAGACGTACGGGTCTCGGTCGACGACGGCGGCGACCACTCGTGACATGAGCGACATGTGGGCTGTCAAGCCCGCATCTGAGAGATGGTGCGCCGCCAAGGCGAGGATCAGACGCAGTTCGTCTCCCTCGGGTAGCTGGTGAGCTGAATAGTTGGCGAGGTACTTCCAGAACTCGTGGCATATCTCCGCGTCGCCGTGAAACATATTTATCGCTATCAATCTGAACAGCGTGGCCGATGATCGTTTGTCGAGGAGGAGGTGCATTGGCTTGAATGCTCGTTGTAGGTAGTCACCGCCCTGACGCCATGCCTCCTTCCAGAACAGCTGTAATCCGTGGGAGTAGGTTCGCGTGATGTAAAAGTGCAGGTATAATCTATCCGTTTCGTTGGACTGGGTCTTGTCGTAGTCGCACAACCACCGAGTCAACATCTCTTCTAAGCGTGAAGCGTCTGCTGAGTCAGGGTGGTTCGACTCTGGCGGTGGAGTATGGCACGTAATGTTCGTTGGAAGCGTACCATCGGCGACGATTGGGCCAGAGTCTTGGTTGTATTCTTTTCCTAATTTGCCCAGGAATCTATCAACGTCAACCTGCCCCTGGGTTAGGTCATACTCCTTGAGTGCTATCTCACATCGTTGTAAGAGAAAGTTGAAAGATCCTTACCTTCTTGCCGTTGACATAGAATATAGTTGGCTTTCCCGCTGCCGCCCGTTGATTCTGGTAGTACAACATATTGTGGACATCCTTCCTGCGGATATTCTTGAAGAACTTCCACTTCTCGAGCTTGCGCTTATACATTCGTTGCCTGTGCGCTGTCAGCGTGGTGTGTCTATACTGGGCAACTGTGGGCCTTACGATGCTTTGAACCCCCTTTCCTCAAAGCGCTCCATGATCTCTTTGAGGCTCATATTCTGCACCAGATACATCGTTCTTATCTCTTCCCTGTATAATTCCAGCTGTTCGTCGATGGTGCCCTCTGCGCTCGCCCTTTTACAACCAACTCGATGCTGCGCCGGGGAGCGCAAGGGAGAAGGATCACGCATCTCAGTGGACAACGGCGAGGGCATAGGAGTGTACATGTTCTGATCATCCATCTCCGCAGACTGGAGTTGAGTCAATTGAACAGATGTAGCAGTACTCGGATCGACGGTCCTCGAAGAGGTTGCCCTTCGAGCTTCTGGGTTTTCATTAAGAGCTAGCAAAGCAGGCGTGGGTGACTCTGCGAATGGTTGGTGAGTCATGGTATCGTCTGAATAAATCTGCGCGGTCGGTGAACTATCGCCGCCAAAGTCTTACACTGAGTGCCATACCATGCCTAGAGAGTATTTGCAAGGCAGAGACCGTGGCGCAAGATCTAAAGCGGCGCACACCGTGCAGCTTTAATTGGGTCTACGTAAGCAGTTGCACATAGTCATCACGAGGGCAATTACGGCACGGTTCCCTAGGTCCTGGTATCAGACCTGTGCGGGATTCTGCAGTGTCAGGGCACAGTGGGATACGTTTCCTTCATATGGGATGATCAAAGGCAATAGTAGGCGCGGTAACCCCACGGCTTACGCAGTTTTTGCCCCGACCCAGGGAAATTTGGGATAAATTCAGCCTTATCACTGTTTGTAACCGAGCTTCTTTCATAGCGCCGAGGTTACACGAAGGGTTACACAAAGACGCGCTTAAAACCAGAAAACCCATGCAGTCAGCTTTCAGGATGCAACCCTGCCTGGCCGGAAGACACCCGAACGGGCCAATCTGGTAACGATTATAGGAAAATTAGAAATCGAAAGTCCCACACTGCATGACGCGGGCATATCAATCAGATGTCTACCCTTAATTGCCGACCCTCAGGCATTCACCATTTGACGCAAAAATGATAGATTGAAGCAGCCCGACAGCGGTCTGGCTCTCACACAGTCCAAGATATATCCAGCTGGTATTAGATCAACGAGAGGCTGAGCGAGAGGCCGAAGGAGCTTTTCCCGAAATGACCGAATCCATTTGGTCAAGGGCATGGCTGACATGTTGCCGCGCTGATCAAATACGAGTTACGGGATTTTTGATTGGGCGCAGAGGATGATGAGGCTGTATACCCTGCAATCCGCTGGGCTGGGGGCTTGGCCTTCGGGTTCGGCTCTGGGCCTCGGGCTCTCTTTCCACTGTCTCGGTGCGACAAGGAAGTGGAACGAGACCATCTTATGCGCCGTTCTGGGGCTGAAATCTGCATGCGTAATCATTGATTGTTGTAGGTTGAACACGTAGCACAGAATTTGGGAATACTACCCCGCGTAGTCATCAGGCGCCAATTCCCTCCACTCAACGACAACTTCAAGTCACAGTTGTAACACGAAAGCTGGAGTTACACAAGTCTGGGGGTACACCAGGAGGTAGAATCCAACAAATCAGGGCTTTGACGCCAGACCGAGTGGGCCCGGCGAAGAGCCATTAGACCTGGTGCTACCTTACCGTATGGGGCTACTTGCTGACCACCCTAGTATGCTTTCTGACCTGTCACAATCGTTTCAATGTATAGTCGCCATATCATGTGATGTCACAGCTGTGTCACCGCTTCTTCATGGAACCACGCCCGTTGTTTTCAAGTGCCGCCACTTTTCTAGCACCAAGTCTCAGAACGGATTGCTAACTAAAGCGTGGTGCTCTGCAGTGAAGACAGCATTATACTTGTAGGCTTCCTTCTTTGCTGTCCATGTCAGGCTATCATCAACTTCTTTTCTTTCGACATGAACGAGACAGTGATGAAAGAAATAGTTATTCTTCACGCCTAGACTGAAATAAGCTGCTAATCCATTCTACTGTGGTGGAAACTTAGCTAGCATTATCAGTTTGCCGATTATGTCTGGATTTCTTGACTATGCACACTATCTCAGCAAAGAGCCCTTCGGACCAGGATTTGAAATCTGCTTAGCGGACTGCAACACGATCCTGGGTCCAGGGTCGTAGCAGAACCATTGAATTCTGCAATGATATCCTGGTGAGGCCATCAGCTTAGTCATTGCCGCATGAACAAAGACCGATGCAGATATGCTCCTGTAGGCTGATTCGTTTCTATTAATGGGACTTAAATAGTTTCTTGGGCATCCCTGAACCCACAGTGTCTGCGATGTTTCGTAATCATGGTATACCCCGGTGAATAAGCCCAAATCTGTTGACGCTAAGCCCTCGTCGTTTGGTATCTTGCAGTCCAAGCTCAATCCGCTTGCTGTGAGAAGTCCGAAAAGTCGGAGCTACAGAATCTAAACAGATTCCTAAATCCGTGAGTACCGCCAACCCGCAGTCTCCGAGATTTATATCACTAGACATCTCATACGAATTCACTGTGAACTGGAATCACATGATTCTTCACTCATCACAGATCGACCTTGAAGGAGGAAAGTGTCTCATACCTGCGGGTCGTTGATATGGACTATTCGTCCTCTCATCAACATGCATATTTGACTGACTCGTTCTCGCCTGTAAAAGACTACCCAAGCACAGGTCTACTCATAGTAACATAGCATATCTCAAGGGTTATGCACGAAAAGTATTTGAGAATATACTACTGCTCTGCTACCGCTCCTCCCTCGCATTCACTGCAGGGGCAGGATACTGCTTCCAAGATCCTCTGCTCTCCTATTACCATAAATTTATAGCTTTCCGCTAATGACTTCTCACTCTGTATAGTTGCCGGATGATTCTTCCCAAGAAGTTCTCCACGTAGGTGCAGTACTTGAATATCCAGTTCTCTCGCCTCTTCGTACCTCTTCCTCTTATAATAGGTGGTGGCAAGTGATTCCATGCTTTGGATAGTGTCTGGGTGTTTATCTCCAAGCACTTCCTTTCGTAGTCGTAAAACTTGGAAGGAGATCTCTTCATCTTCTTCAAACATACCCAAGGCGTAGTAAGTTGATGCGAGAGATGCCATGCTCTCGATAGTATTAGGATGCTTCGGTCCTAATACATCTCTTTGCAATTGTAATACCTCATCATAGATCTTCTTCGCTTCGCTGTACCTTTTCTGTGCGTGGTATATAGACGCCAGTGACGCCATGCTCCGTATCGTATCTTCGTGCTTCTTTCCTAATATCTGCTGCCGTAGCTGCAGTACTTTTGTTTTGATTTTCTCGGCCTTGTCATACTTTTGTTGCCGATGGTACGTTGCCGCAAGTTCCGCCAAGCTCCAGATCGTGTCTTTGTGGTTCTCTCCTAGTACACCCCGTCGCAATTGTAATACCTCTGTCTTAATTGATTCTGCTTCGCTGTACCTTCCTTGTTCGTGGTATGTCACCGCTAGCCTCGCATGACTGCTCAGAGTACTGATGTGCTTGCTGCCAAACACGCGTTCACGAAGATTGACGATCTTCAAGTCCACGAGCTCTCTCTCTTTCCATCTCCCCCTGGCAGATAAGTAGTCGGAGACCCTTCACAAAAGGGAAGACACGGGTTCTTCTCCATTATGCACTCGTGCCCATTCCTCAGTTCTTTGGGCGTGCCTGAGATATCTCTCGCAAAGCGACCAGGTTGAGCGCTCCACTACTTTGGGGAACAGATCGTCTATAATTTCGAAAGCGGTCTTCGCCGACCGAGCCTCATTCGATCTCTTATCATGATGAAAATGAACATGGTTTGCGATGGCTTCATGCACGAGTTTGTGCATATCGTAAATACAGCCCGCGCGACCTTGACTGGCTCTTCCCCAGTTACGGAAAGTCAGGAACGAGAAACTTACCAGCCATGTCCTAGCCGCTATTACTTCCTCTTCTCCATCATCGCTGTCGCTTTCGCCAGTATCATCACGTCCACTTCCATGAGACACAGTGACTGGATTGAGATCTCCGCTGTTCTGATCCGCGCTCTTGTATTGCCTGTCAACTTGAGCCGCTTGGACGATAATCTCATGCGATATATTCTGGTTGTCGATATAGGCCAGAGCTGTTAAAATCCTGTAAGCCATCTCACTATGTTGCCGAATGTAACCTATTGAGATGCTCCATGTGTCCAACACACTGTTCGATGCTTGTGATCTTCTGTAGCGATCGTGTTGCGGTCGCTGCAGCACTCCACGTCTCCGTTTCTTCCCTCGAAGCTTTTCCAAGTACTCTGCAGTTGAAAGTTTCGTTGTGCCAATGTACGTAGCAGCTTGAGAAATAGCTAGAGGAAGCCATTCGAGTTCGGTGAGCAGCTTTGTCAAGTCATCCGGCCCTTGTCGCATTGTTTTAAAAACGGCGTTATTCTCCGAGCCATCAGTTTCTCGATCAGTCATTTCATGTGCAACTAGATTTTGAAACAGCCTCTTGGCCTCTGCATCCGTCATTCGAGGTACCTCGATTCCCCGTCGTGATTCGATGAGGTGGCCTGCAATTCTCTGATCACGACTTGTCCACAGTACCGTCCCGGATAACCCTCGGGGTATATACGTAGAAAGGTTGATCAGGCCGCCTGTCTCTATCGTCTGCTGCTGTCCTACTCCAAACAGGGTCAAGTCATCTGCATTGTCTAGCACCAGCACCCATTGTGGTAGTGACTCGATTTTGTTTCGCACACTTTCCCAAAGCTCTTCCCCTTCAAGTGTGCCTGTCAAGCCTAGTTTCTTTGCGATTGATTTGAAATCTTGGGAGAAGGATGTCTCGGTGTCGGCATGGACCCAGAACACGGAGCAATCGCGGTCTCTGTATCGTCTATACGCATAGTCGAGCGCGATTTGCGTTTTCCTAATAACATGTGTCAGCTCCTTGATGGTCCATTGTGCTACAGGAATCCAAGGAGACGGTACCCGGAACCACCTAGCCCCCACAGTGCTGCACTCTGGTATTCTGTCTGTGATGGTAGTAATTTCTCGATCTGTTGACAGATCACTTCACGTCGAACAAAGTCACCGTTGCGTGGGAAATGGATCGAGCTGCAGGTCGTTGGTGGTTGCAAAGGAGGCAAATCTGCTACAGGTCAACCGGACTGTATTCTCAATGTCGATTGTGGGTGTAGTTGCCTCGAGGTCTGTTGAATGTCACGTTGAAGGAGCCCCCCGAGACATGTGTGCCAGCCAGGACATTTCTGCCTTCAACTTGCCCAAAGGATTCTGTTGGGCTCATACTCTGGCATTATCCAGGTGCATGGTCCCTCAGACAGATAATGTGTCGCGAACAAAGAGTCGCACAAGGCCGACTGTATGCAGGGCGTTGTCTACGGAACGACGTCGTTGCGGGTATTGTATCAGGTGCCAACGCCGCCACCACCAAAGCATCACTTTGTCATGGTAGCGCAGCAAGGCTCGGCTTGCCCCGCTCAATGATCAATGGGACGAGAACACATTGCGCAACCGAGCGTGAACCACCAAGCCTCATGCAGTCCTGAGGGGTCAACAGCATATCATTGGTGCGCTGCTGAGTCACATTGGTCGAGGCGGAATGGCCTCCATCCGGCTGCGAGTTTGGCAGGCGCCACTCCTTTGGACAGCCCTTCACGTCGCTGGGCAAACATACCAGCCTTTCACTTATCTCTTTGACATACTAAACTACCCCATACTTCACTCCAGTTATCATACCTCGTATCATAGATAGAGACCAGGCATTGCTGCATTTGATTGAATATACCTACAACTACTCGGAAGTGCCGTCATGCCGGAGACATCGTCTGACCACGGGCAATCGTCCTCAGATGGACCAGCAAAGGACAGAGAAACAAAGAAAAGGTTGAAAATACTCTTTTGGTTCTGTGTGAGTGGCTTATCCTATGTTTACCACACAGCAGTACATTTCTCATAAGATGCCAGTGTCAATGCAGGATCCAAAACTCGGATGGCACCCCTTCGTGCTACAACTGCAAAGCGCAATGGTGCAGTTATTGCCGAACGGAGTAGCCCAAGATATGAGAACATTAGTGTATCAGTCGGGTGAGGCCGGGTGATATCGTGTATTTGGTATGGGGTCTCCTTACTGCTCGGGCCTACCAATACTGCGCTGCGATCAAGGTGCGACAGCCTTGTCGGCATCGTCTGTGCGCTTCCTAGTGTTATGGTGCTTCTGAAAGGGGTCGATCTGATTGTCAACAACATTAATTTCGAATATAGATGTGCCACGTTGGAATATTTCTGTGAAATGTACATTGGATACTCCTTCGTCACCGCACCGTCTCCCTACCGAGTATATATTCCTTGATGGCAGTTACGATTGTTTTATCTCTCTGCCAAACCCTTATAAGCTCAGTTCGACAACATTCGGGTCTAACGTGCGGTCCCAGAGATATTCTCTGGTTCCAGCGGAGATAAGTCAGGTTTCACAGTAAGATAACAAGGCTGCGGTTCACTGGCGATGCACGAATGCAAGTATCGACGTTTAGTGATCTGCTCAATGAACGTGTGGCCCGATCCTATGTAACTTAGAGATTGCCGTAACCAATTGACTAGCGTGGAGAGCCAAGGTGCCAATTTCAGACGGGCCTCTGCTGACTAAAGTCAGGTGCCCGGTTGTATAGTTGCGTAACAAATTGACAGTATTACACCAAGCGCCACTCAACATCATTTGGCTTATTAGCAATGCTTGTGCCTATCAGAGGGTTATGCTCCAAATTCCCCCATCGCGAGTCTCCTTTGACCAGTATCGAAGCGAGGTAAACTCATTCAACACCGCATTCTGGACACCAGGCTTGCTTCTGGTTTGCCGCGTGGGCAGGGATATTGTATGAGCAACTTGAGTCCACGATGTATGCTGACACTTGAAGCTACAATTGCTTGTTCGTAGACGAACACAATGCAAATGCAACATTTCTTCGTTATCTCCTTGTATATCGGGAATCTGAATAATAGACATTCATAATGGATAAGCCTCTCGGTCATGGACATGCAACTTTCTATTTCTCCTCACCTCTACGTTCCGATGCCGCGGTGATGTTAGAATTGACGCAGCGCGAGAAGCCTTTCGAAGCCCTTATCAGAGTTCAAGTTGTCAGACTAGTACATGTGGGCACAGGTGGAGTATAATCAAGATAGCTTCGGCCAACTACAGCAATCTGAGTTAGTGCAATGGGGAAAGAAACATGACCGTGCCCACTCCAGAGCTCACATGCACTTGCACCGAGAGGCTTGCATTAGCATCTACTTGCTTCTCCAAACCATTTCCTTTCCTTTTTCTCATTCAAGCACCATCGATCTACGATATGTACCCGGAAGTATGGTCTGAGCAACCCCTCACCGTCCCCAGGGTCATGGCCTTATCTGTGGGGCCAAGGTCCGATACTTCAGATTCGGAGCAGCATCGCTTACGACGCCGCCGCCGTCTGCTGATTGTGTTTTGGATCATATCGTAAAACTGGAAAAGCGAGCTTATACGTCGGCTGGGCTTGCCTATCCAGGGCATTGATCGCATAACGAACCGATATCCTGCAGCTCCGGGGATACTGTGGGGTGATGTCAACCTTGCTTGCATGTCTATGATCGGATGTATGCGAATTCGCAGTCGTTGAAAGTCAGTAGGTTTCGTTTTCCAAGGTGGTCCATAGAGGATCTTCGACAGCGATTTCAGAAGCTGATATCTATTGACTGCTATGTTATATTACCAGGGTAAAGGCCATGGAGTGCTCGGTAACTGGCCGAGCTAGTTCGCTACCTAGTACAGGCCATCAAATACCACATGGGGCACGATAGGAGTTTTTAAAATGGACCGCAGGGAAATGTATGCTTCGATGGGCCCTACTTGAGCTCGAGAAGTGGGCAGGCGTATCAATACCCCGGCGACGCTGACGGGGGTGCCGATATCTTTGAAGTTGAGTAGCGCCTTTCAACAAAACACACATGTATATATATCTCATTTAAGGTGGGTGTGTTTCTCGGTATATAAATGCTAGTAGACGCGGCGATGCGGAAGCGATTGTCTGAACCCTCTATTGCTTTCACACTATTTGTCTGCTCCCTACTTATCTTGTGAGGGTCACGTCACGGCAGTCTATCAAAATGAAAACTGTTGGCTTTCTAAGTCCTGGCGCCGCCGCCACTGCTATAGTAGCCTTGATCTCCTTTCTTGAGCTTGTATATGCCCGGCCGAGTCCTGAGCCCAAGGTTCCAGCCCGAGTGCAATGGTCCCACAACCGGGGAAAGAAGATTGCAAGGACAGCTTTGAGAGGTGCTCTGGACGGGCGCTCATACAACACGACTGCAAGCTCTACTTGTAGTACATCTGAAGCTGTGTCAATAATTGCTCCTCATGAGAACATTTGGGCTGGACTGACGGATGCTGAGGCGGTTTCGATCGTGGCATGGTTGTTCGCTCAGCCAGAGTTAAACTTGACAGCAACTGAAGACGCTGGTGAATGGGATAATACTATGTAAGAGTCTTCTTGTCTGCTTTTGAACACTCAAGACCAACGCTGACATATTGTCTAGCCTTTTGGTTGAGCTACAGATCCCCAACAAGACTGATGTTGTCTCACATATCGATGGCGGAGCTGCTGCTCCCGCTAGATATGCGCAAGTAAGGCTTGACAATCGTGCAACTGAAGATCCCTACTACCAGGACCTCATGGTCGGGCCTTTACCTTTGGCTGATTCCACTGCAAGCTATCAACCTCTTGACTACCCTCTAACACGCAAGACATCAGGAAAGGTTCGCAACCTAGATGCGGATTCCGAGACTTTATCATCAGAATGGATATACAAAATTGGCGCTGAAGTCGCAGATATCACTCTGGATCTGTGGGGTGGCACAGCCATGGGTCTCGACAACGACACACTTGACATCTGGGGCATCGACCCCCTTTGGCAAGATGACGGACGGATTGTGCGTTGGGACATGTTCTGGAACTTACCTGAAGACGAGTTCGATGCGGAGACTCTGCTACCGCTCGGCTTATACTTCAAGAGTGACGTGACAGGCCGAGACCCTAGCCAATGGAAAGTCGAGGGATGGCTGTACAACAACGTTTTCTATGAGACAACCGAGGAATTCAGGGCTGCCTACTGGAGTGGATCCATCGAGAAGCTCAAGGCCAATGTAGAGGGCTCTTGGGCTAGAACTGATCCCCAGGATGTTTCGTTACCATACGACACTCAGTACCCTCCTACCACCATTGCCCCGTCGGGCTCCCGTTTTGGAGTTGACTACGAGCGCAAATATGTGGAGTGGATGGACTTCAGCTTCTACATCGGCTTCTCCCGCGATGTTGGCATGACGCTGTATGACATAAAATACAAGGGTGAGCGTCTCTTATACGAATTCGGCCTTCAAGAAGCTTTGGCCCACTATGCAGGTGGCGACCCCGTCCAGTCCGGTGTCTCGTACCTCGACTCATTCTACGGTTTTGGTCCCTTCGCGTTCGAATTGGTCGCAGGCTACGACTGCCCCGAGTATGCGACTTACCTGAACTCAACTTTCTATGTTGATGAGACGACCCACACTCACCTCAACAGCATCTGTCTTTTCGAGTTCACCACGGACTATCCTATCCAACGCCACAGCACCAGCGCGTATGTCTCCGCCACCAAGAATACCTACTTCACTGTACGGTCTGTGTCTACCGTGGGGAACTACGATTACATGTTCTCATACAGCTTCATGCTGGATGGTACTATCTCTGCTGAGGTCAGAGCGTCTGGATATATTCAGTCTGCGTACTACACCACCGGCTCGGACTTTGGCTTCAAGATCCAGGAGGCGCTGAGTGGCTCGATGCACGACCATGTGCTTAACTTCAAGGCAGACTTCGATATCTTGGGGACTGCCAACTCCATCCAGCTGATGAAGAACATCCCTGTCTCCCGCAGCTTCCCATGGTCCAACGGCAAGGTCCGGAACACCATGCAATTGGAGCGCAGCTGGTTTGAAACGAGGATCAAGGTCGCTTCAACTGGGCCCCCAACAACGCCCAGCAGCTTCTCGTTCTTAACAAAGATGAGACAAACAAGTGGGGCGAGTACCGGGCATACCGCGTTCTCCCAATGTCTGGCGCCATGCACTTGACTGTAGAAGACTCAAGCAATCTTGTGAATGCAGCTCGCTGGGCCGAGTACGACGTCCAAGTTACTCGCCAGCACGACTATGAGCCTCGCGCCGCTCACCCTTACAACTCACAGGATGTTCATGATCCTCCAATCAACTTTGCCGAGTTCTTCAACGGAGAAAGTCTGGACCAGGAGGATTTGGTCGTTTGGCTGAACCTGGGCATGCACCACGTACCGCATACAGGCGACCTTCCCAACACAGTCTTCACAACAGCCCATGCAGGCGTTCAATTCATGCCTTCCAACTACTTCGACATGGACCAGAGCCGCAATACAGTAAATGCGATACGAATCAACTACTCGAACGGAACTGCGACGGATGTCGCGACTTTTGGCCAGAAGGATGATACCTGCGAGCTCAATTTCACGCCCGCTGAATTCAATGCTTGGAACTATCATGGAGATGTGGTCGTCAGGAAGTTTCCGTACGATCCTAATAGCCCGTATTATGAGACAGATGCTATTGTGTAATGTGCGGTTAGATCTTATTCAGATAGACAATCTCTACGCATTGCCTGGTCCACGAGTTTCCGAGGCCCATAATTGAGTGAGTGCTCTTGCAGGTACGATCCTACCTGAATCTCGAATTGGAAAGTATAGGTCATGTCGAACAACTGATTCTGTTAAGGGTCAGGACTTTGCTTTTCTGCCTCTCAAGTCACGTCGCTGATTTCATCACAAGAGATGATACAAGTGTCAGTTGTTGGAAATGAGTAAGCTTTACAGATATCACACAAATATCTCCTCCGCCTCGAATTCTGTACGATCAAGGACCAGAACATTCATAGATCTGGGTCTCATGTGCTTCGTAACTTCTTGGACGTATAATAGAAGAGCTGTTTTTGGTGCTTTCCTATTGGAAATGTGTTCCGTGCTATCCCGAAGAGCTACATTCTCTTATTGCTCTAGCCTGATATAACCCAACCTCAACTTGTACATACACAGAACCCTCGTCTCCAACTTCCATTCAGTCACAGCCTTCTCCCGACCGAATACTCCCCCAAAAGGTAACCGTTATCCGATCGCAACTCCCTTACGATCATTTATATTGTCTAACCGTAAACTTCCGTCCGGCCGCGGCTTTTTCCAAAGGGCAATCTTTCATCTTCAAGAATAAACCCACTGATCAGCACTCTCACACGACCATACACTCATATCACCCCCAAAGTCATTACTCCACGCAAACATGGCTGACGCAGATCCTTACCCTCTCCGCTGGCCCTACGGCCTCTGCGCCGAGCGAAAGCCTTTCTGGTACACCTTCAACAGTGCCGGTGTTGGAAGTCTTAAGTACGGCGGAAACTCCATTGTACGAATGCCTGCCGATCAGCTTCAAGAGGCCTATCACAACGATTTCAAGGATGTACCCAAAATTCCCCGCTGGTTCCAGGGCCAGCTGATGCTCTACGGTGTCAAGACTACGCGAGGCGGCAACAAGAAGGAAGCGCTTAGTCGAGCAATCGCCGCCGGTCTTGTAAGTCCCGACACTCACCATTTTTTACCCCATGTAGTACTGATCAATAGCAGTGTGACGCTCCTTCACCAGCAATGCAGCGACTCGAGACCCGTTTGAGAGATAAGGCGCGCCGTCAGGATGAGGCCTACAACAAGGCAGTCGCCGAGTGGGAGACCCGCAAGGCACTCAGACTCGAGAAGGCTGCTAAACTGCAGGCAGCTAATCCTGATGTTGGCAAGGCATGTGAGGCAGGTGCACGTGTGAATATCAAGCAAGAGAACATCAAGCAGGAGAACACCGTCCACCAGGGCATAAAGCAAGAGGTCATTGAGCAAGAGGTCATTAAGCAAGAGGTCATTAAGCAAGAGCATCTGGATCAGGATAATCTCAACCATGAGACTACCAAGCAAGAGGACGTCGACTTCAAGGTTCTCAAGCAAGAGGACCTGAAGCGCGAGCGCGACTGATAGATGGCCACAGCGCTATGGTTTACGTCGCCCGATGGAAGCAATGGGCGTGACATGGAATGGTCAAGGATTATGGTTTCACTTGCGGTTCTTTCATGGGTACTTTACAGCTGCGTGTCATTTCTTTGAGCCTCTATTAGTCTTAGCGAATTGACCCACCATATATTGCAATGTTGTCCTATTGGTTTGAAACACCCAGGTTGTAACAGTCAATAACCTGAAGCTGTAGACGTGTCTTGCAAGTGCCATATTTGACTACCTTCCAAAGCATGGCTTCTAGGAGTGTTCAAAAGTTTGAGCGATACTAGCAACTAAATTAAGACACACCTAACAACTTCTTCTCTGTGAGTGATCACCAGGAAAGGGTGTCTTGCCAGGGCAGCCTAGATCCTCCCAAACGCATTCATTTTGTCCTGAATTGAGACACCAAAGTTCCGGTAGCTGTCGTATTTCTGGAATTATCAAATCTTAGAACCTGACCTGGTGTCCAGCTGAAAATGAACGGATTGCGGAGATATCAGGATTCGCGCGAAGATGATTGACACATTCTGACCCCCGAACCCCGAAAGGCGGCTCATTTGGCTCATTTGTTGGTAATTCGTTGGTTCCGTAGACGTTGCTTCTCAGTTGACTTGTATTGCTCTCAGTCCTCTTCTACACATGATATATTCGGATCTAATCTGTATGCTATTCACTGAGCTCTGCGCCGAGACAGCCGGGATGAATAATGAGTTGGACTACCTGCCCAATTCAGAGTCTCATAAATCAACAATGGAAAATGTCTCAATGCTGCTCTAAGAAATCATTGCCTTGGGATCTCAGATGCTCGAACCGGGGTTAACGATGCGCCTGTTGCTTCCTGAGGTTCTCACTCTGTGCCCTCAAGGGCAGACCTGGGTAAGGGTACTTGGCGTTTCCTAAGGAGATTGCAATTTTTCTTATTATAAGATATGCTCTGAATTGTTTGTCAATTGCGATTCGTCTTGTGACTTTTCTGCCCTCATTAGACCGCAGCCGTCCGAGAACCGGCCAGTTGCCCCATCGCATAAACCTTGTTGTCGCCCAGTTCGCGCATACACCTTGCCATCATGTCTCGCGGCCGATCAGAGGCACGAGAGAATCACCTCTGCCGACTCCCAGATGAGATACTTCTCCGTATTATGCAAAGCCTCGGAGTCGTGGACGTCGAAGTCCTCAAGCGGACCTGCCAGCAGTTCATGCGCCTAAGTTTGGACTCCACTCTGGACGAGAAGTATGAGGAACATGAGGAATATGGAGGCGCGTGGGACCCTTACCGTCTAGACCTCTATGCGGCGAAGCAGCTGCGCAAGGCCCTTCGACGGGACATGAGATGCAACGACTGTCGGAGTCTTCAAGAAGATCAGACTCGCTACGAAAGCACGCTCAGAAATGCCTACAGAATGCTCTGGTGTGGTGGATGCAGATGTTGGCACCCGGCCTTCCTATATTCCTTGGTGGAACGAGAGAAGGCGCCCAAAATGCGCGCGTGCATCGGGCTTCAGGGCCACGTTCGACTGTGCCAGCACCACGAGGTTTTCTGGGATGATTTAGGCCTGTATGCCTCATCGATACCCAGGAAGATTTCATGTGAGTATGAGGATCACAAGAGCGACCAAACGGCTATCAGAACGAATCGTAGTTATAGTCAACTCATGCCGCCTAACGTCCTGGTGAAACGCGGGTACAGAGACATACATATACGTTTCGATGTACACGTAGGGAGTGCTTCGTTCGGCAGTGCTGATGGCAAGGATGTTTCGAGTCAACGAGATGCCATTGCCAGCGCTGTAGCTAGCCAAGTCCGGCGCAATGCTATATTCGTATGTCCGCACATGGCCGACCGAGAGTCGTATTTTACGAAGCTGTTACCAGACAGGCTACAACCTCAAAGCGGACCTGGGCAGTCTCTACAGAGGAAATCCCAGGACTTCATACATATCTCACAGGATGTCGAACGCCGGGACCTTTCAGTGGCGGCAGCTTGTAATGTACCAAGTTGCTGCACAGCACATTTTTCGGTCCTCACCCTTGACGCGGCAAATCAGTCGGTGCAGGAGATTTCGCTGGTTTCCACGACCATCATCGGCGGCCACAGCCCCTGCTCCCCAGGGTGGCTTGATGCATTGGACCCGAAATCTTACATCAACAAGAAAGATAAGCTCACCCGTGGCATCATGTGGTGTCCAGACCCGGCATGTGCGACCAACTTTCGGGGCATGGGCCGCCACGACCTCTTCTATAACGGGGACGTACCTCTTGAGAGCAACCATCGATACCCCGAGTCAGTGATCCAAAGGATTGGCTCCCGGGAGATGTTGGCCCCAGGTGCCAGGAAAGGGAAGAATAACTGGGCTGTTGCCGAGCAATATCTTTGGACATACGATGAGTTTGAATGAGTTGGGACGATCTGCCTGTCCAGATGGGACAAGTGATCGTGGGAATGGGCAGCGCATTGCAAGCTCACGATTAGATACGTAAATTAAGTTGGCAGCAATGATACACCACTGTAGGGGCAGGTGCCAAGACCGAGATGTATTTGTTTGACTGGAGAGAAGATATGGTTGCTGTGGTGGCTTTTCGATTGATGCGCAAGTTTCCGCCATTACCCATCGAGGCCTTCTGTTGTTCGTATGGGCTTGGTTTCGACGTCGCGTTGAAGTCCGATGTAACAAGGAGACATTCTGCGTAGTTTGGTCACCGTTACCAGGGCTCTAGGAATTAATTGATTGGAAGTTCGTACATTGCTATCTGAAGAGTGAGTCTATATACGCAGGTCCCATTATAGCAAGGGCCCCATAAGTCCCTGCTCCGAACGATGCCAAACTCCAGTGCAAATGTAAAACCGAACTCGCGTCCGTGGGACGCGTCTGTTAAAAGGGGGGCCCAGTCGACCAGAACCAAACACGACTGCAATAAATACAGTGTATAGCATAGGGGTATCTCTGGCATTGAATGCTTTCCCGACAAAAATATGCCGTCAGTTGCTCCGCCGCCCGTTCGCTTTTGTTGATAGGGGGTTGTTTTTCTCCGTGGGGAGGGTCGACTTGAAGAAGTGAAGATTGTAAGCGAGTGCGGGCCAAACCTCAAACCAACCTCATTACCGACCAGTAGTCTATAATCCACAACTCCGAGGCGCCCTGGTGATCTTCATTTCTTGGTGCCAATAAAATGACATAAAACGCCGTACCGTGCTCTAGATAATTATAACATCATTCGTCTATACAAGCTTGACTTTGGAATCCGCGACGCCACTCTCAATGACATCATCCAGTGCCCAGCGGGGTGCTTCGTAGGATTGCTCGATGCCATTCTCTTTGCGCCACTCGGCCTCGTTCTCGGGGGTAATGCCCTGTGGCAGCTTCTGTCCGCCAGCAATGCCAGTCGAGAACTTGAGCTGCAGGATGTCTCCGACCTCGTCACAGGCGGCGAGAAGTCGGTCCATATCGTCCTTGTTGTGCGCTGCGGAGACACAGAATCGTACACGGGAGCTGATAAGTGGCGTAGCAGGGTATCCCACAACGACGACCGAGATCTTCCGCTTCAACATCTCATGACTGAAGGCGGACATCTTGCCAGGGTTGTAAAGAGGAACAGGGATAATAGGCGAATCATCGTGACCGTAAACGATGAGGCCAAGACGCTTCAAGCCTAGTCGCAGGTACCGCGAGTTGAAGGCAATACGCTGCAGACGCTCCTCACCCTGTCCGGGTACCAGCTCTCCGTTGATGAGCTTCAAGGAGGCGAGAATCTGCATCAGAACCGAAGGGGCAGGCGACTCACCCAGCTGGGTAGCCGCGTTGGTGCTCCTCAACTTGGCGATGATTTGGGGGTTAGCCGCAACGTAACCGCCGTTGGCGCCGAAGGATTTGGTCAAAGTTCCCATAAGAATATCGACATGGGCAGGGTCAATACCGAAGTAGTCACAGACACCACGTCCATTGGGGCCGAGGGCGCCAATGCTGTGGGCTTCGTCAACGAACAGGTAAAACTTGTAGGTTTCCTTGAGCTTCAGGATACCCGGCAAATCGCACATGGTGCCTTCCATGGAGTACAGACCCTCAACAGCGACCAAGATCTTCTTCCACGGACGGTGAGTGCGAGGCTGTCCCTGGGCGATAGCCTCACGCAGTCTCTTCTCCAAATCAGGCATGTCGTTGTGCTTGAAAGACCGAACAACAGCACCGGACAGACGAGCACCAACACGGATAGAGGCATGGTTCAGCTCGTCGGAGATGATGAGGCAACCCTTGGAAACCAAAGCAGGGAATGAACTGGCGTTGGTGACGAAGCCCATCGAGAAGACCATGGCAGCGGGCTTGCCGACGAAGGAAGCAATCTCCTTTTCCACCTCGACGGCGAGATCCGAGGTACCAACATCCCCACGAGGGCTGCAGGAGCTGAGACCGTACCTCTTGACGCACTCCTCCACGGCGTCGGCGCAGGGACCATCGGATTGAGCAAAGCCAAGGTAGTTGTAGGAGCTCATGTTCAGAGTCTCGGTGTGTGTGCCAGTAAAGGAGTAGGAGCGGTTGTAGTCGCTCGAGACGCGGTCCATGAGAGAGATATAACGACCCGGGACGCCAGTAGTCGGGCGGGCGAAGCAGTCGTCAATGCGCATCTTGAGTCTGCGGACGTAGAAACTATCGAAATCGTCGGTGAGAGGCGCATAGCCGTTAATCGGCTTAACACTCTTGTACATAGGGTTCTTGCTAAACCTCTTGCCGAAAAAGTCCCGGACGTGGCCAAGAGCAATGAGGAGCAGGTAGCTGATGTAGGTAGTGAGGACATAGTAGTACGGGGGCTCGTCAATGACGGGGGCCTTGAGGGGCTCTCCGTGGTGCTTGCTGACATAGCGGTGGCTCGCGTGGTTCAAGGGGCCGAACTGGGTATCGGCGCGGCGCTTGAAGGTGATCTCCTCGGACGAGGGAGGCTGGAAGAGCGTGGTGGGCTCATCGCCGTTGGGCTCGCCGGCCGTGGCGGTCGAGAGGGAGATGGTGGGCAGCGCGAGGCTGGGGGCGGTGATGGACCGCGAAGAGTTGTTCTGCATGGCCATGAGGGCCTGCTGGGCAGTCGGCTGGTCCTTCTGCCGGGGCGAGCTTGAGAAGAGCTGGCTGAGGCGGTTGCCTTTGGACGTAGATGGTCTCCTATCGCCAGTCCTTTCCGTCTCTGGCATGCTGGTGGAGTTGGTGAAGGGGATGGAGATGCGGCGGGGCATTTCTATCGTGGGCCTGCAGATGCCGGGGATGGTTCGAGGTTGGTGATGCGACCAGAAGCGAGGCGCGCAACTGCCAGTCCCAAGTCTAAGTCTGTGTCTATTAGGTGTTCTGAATAGGAGACGTCCGGGTTAGCTACGAGTCTGGGCATGGAAAGGATGGGATAGGTAGCGTAGAGTTGGATGGGGGGAGTAACAAGCAAGGGACACCGCCTCCTGGGCCGGCCGTCCAACGTCTGAATCCGCCAGGAGAGTGTGCAGATCTCTAGGTGGACGCGCCGTCGGCTGTGGCGGTGGAAGGCGTCTTTCGAAGATGCATGATGCCATTGGATCTGACTGGGGGACGGAGGGGACAAGACAAAGGTTGCCTAGCAGGAACTCACCAGGAGAATACCAGCAGACAAGACAACCCAGGGTTCCTGACGTGCTGCGATTATTACAATTACTATTCCGCCGACACGATAGCCGTCGAATGGCAAGCTATTCGATGTGCGTTTCGCTCTCGCTGTTGGCCGAGGGGGCGGTGGGCGGCGGGCGGCAGCTACTTAGCAGCTGGAATGGGCGGAAGCGGCGTCGAGTCGGTGGCAGGCGGATTGGCGTGGACCAAGGCCGAGCTCAAAAGTCAAACAACGACTGATCAAGCTGCCGTTGCGCGCAGAGGATGCAGTGTGCTGTCAAGACGATGACGACGACGACCTCACTCACGAGTACCACAGCAAGCGAACACTGCAGATCGTGGAGGAGGAGGAGAAAGCAGGAAGGAAAAGGGCTCGAGTCTCGAGATGAGGAGACCTAATTTAGAGGAACAGAGGCTATGACCCCCTGGAGATGCACAATTTTGCTGCAAAACCCACTCAGCCTCTGATGGGCCCGCCGTCAGGCCCCTGTCCATCCAAATTCCGGGTGATCCGTTCGCTAGGCGTGCCCCATCTCCATCTCCCATCTCCATCGCCATCTGCCCATCAGCCCATGATCCCATCCTTGTCGCTCATTGCTGCCATCCCACATCGCCGCCTGCCTTACGTTAGGACCCAATACCAGCTTCGCGCCCTTCGGCTCTTTCAATCACCTGCGGGCGCGGGATCTCCCTTGGTAGCTTGGCCCCCTCGCAAATCACCCTGTCCCCAGGCTCGGTGTCCACTAACAACCCGACACTCTCTCCAGTCGCTAATGAAAGGCGTTGGGCAATTGGGCAATATCCGTACCGATCAATGGAAATTCAGGGGCCGCGATCTTTCCCGGTCACACGACAGCAGCGTACTGTTGGTAGGTAGTCGTACAGCACCAGCAATGGGCACAGCGTCGTAAATTAACGCCAATCGACGAGGTGCCAGTCATAGTGCTCTGTATGTTTGTGCCACAGCGTCGAAATAGGTGCAGAGCAGCTACAAGCCCACATCATTGATCATTGGCCTCGTTTTGTCAGTATTGTTACTTTACTCCAGTACACTGCGGCTCGTTTCTTTAGCTTGCTGCCACTGCTGCAAGTCGTAGTCGGGTGTGCTGTAGCGTTGCACCTTGCAGAAAGCATGATACAGATTGCATCATGCAATCAACCCATTGCCGCCTCGGATGAACCTCAATATATGAGCAGCCGGTAGCTGCAACAAAACAGATCGTCATCGTCGTGGCATCAGGGGCCAGCGGCTGCCCCGATCACAACCAAGCGCCTTGTGTTAGTAATTGTCAAGTCAAGCGAACGCTGCTTTGGATCGCCAGGTACCAGAATAAACTCTTGAAAAGCAGCCCCTCTCGGGAGGGCTCCCATGTCGACCCTGTCAGCTTTGTTGCTCCTGTCAAATTGCACAGGATTTTAAGGCCCCTTCTAGTGCGTTCGCCAACACCGCGCTTAAAGCTGATGAGCTCCATATCTCGCAAGGTTCGGAATCGGTAGACTCGGCTCGGCTGCATAACGCTGTTTATGCTGTGATAGGCAGTTATGCTGGCTGATCTACACTGGCACCAGCTAATCTCCAGACTCCAGTTAAACCCTAAGTCGGGCGGCCACTCAGGAGAAGCAGCCCGTGGGCAGCGGGCAATAGGCAGTGGGCAGTGGGCAGTGGGCAGTGGGCAGTGGGCATGGCATCTCGGCCGTTGCCGCGTTGTTTCGCTGATCAGCGGCACAACTGCAGCAAACGTATAAGTAAGGTAGCTCAATCTAGGTATTACCAGTCTAAGAAGCTGACAGCCTGAAGGAGGCGAGGCGCAACCCCACGGGGACACAAAGTGTCAGAAACCATAAATTGATCAAGCCGCGAATAGCCCTCGCTGTAGTCCCCCATCGGAATTCCATCGATTCGAGAAGGTCCCAACATGGTGGTGGTCGACCCGTCAGTCCCCTGGACTCTCCGTGCCGACAGCATTTCCCGTCCGAGATTTAGCTCGCTCGGAATCCGACTCACGGAAGACAGACCCTGGGCCAACTGATCTTCTATTCGTGTCTCTCCCGTCAATTGACAATTTCTTGACCGTTTAAATAACTTTACACCTACATATCGCTTTCTTTGTTCTCGAACACCAACTCAGTGTATTGGCAGAGGAAGAAACACCAGTCGACAGCATGGGTTCACAGATTGCACCGCTTGAGCTATGGCGACATCCGGACCCGGAATCCACGCACATGTACAAATTTCTGCAGCATGTCAAGACCAAATACAGTCTGGACATTGACGATTATCCGGGCCTATACAAGTGGTCGATTGAGAATGTTGCTGCGTTTTGGGAGGATGTGTGGCGATTCTGCGGCATTCAGGCGTCTAAGCCGTACACCGAGGTAGGCGATTCTGCTCCGATGTAGGCCCCCGGGTATGAGATGGAGAGGCGAGATGCGGCAAACCTTGGGCCGCCGCCCCCTCACGGCGGGCTGCTCACGGGCGGGCTGCAAGTGTCTCCGGCTTCTTGTACGGCATGGAACGGACCGGGAAATGAGCAAGAAAGACCGCAAACGAAGGAATCCGAGGGGAGGGCACGAATTGTAGGCGGGCGGTCCGAGGCATCGGTCCGTGGCGCCGGAGACAAGTTCCCAGGACGGCACCATGTCAAACCACAGGCCTGATAATAGAACTCAGCTACCGATGCCGATGCGACTACTACGCTCATCAAGCTCATGGCTTTGGATATCCGGCTAACTGCGGCTGTAGGTCTTGCCACCAAAGGCACCGATGTATCCGCGCCCAGACTTCTTCTCGGGCGCTTTACTGAACTTCGCGGAAAACATGCTGTTTCCCAAGAACGCCAATATCTCAGATACGTCACCCGCAACCATCACAGTCACTGAGCTGGAAGGCAAGGAGGTCACGACCACCTGGGCCGAGCTTCGTGAAGCCGTACGGCAATGCTCCAATGCACTGCGGGCCGCCGGTCTGAAGAAGAACGATGTGGTAGCTGGCTTCGTATCAAACCACGTGCAGGCTATCGTGGCCAGCCTCAGTGCAGCAGCCATTGGTGCCGTGTGGACTGGGATCAGTCCTGACAACGGAGTGAGCGCTGTGCTGGACCGCCTAGCCCAGATTGGACCCAAAGTACTATTTGCGGATAACGGGATGGTCTACAACGGCAAGTCATGGGCCAGCACGGAGAAGACGCTACAGGTCGTGGATGGTCTGAAGGACAAGGGACTCGAACTTGTGGTTGTGATCAACAACATCGACGTCGAACTGGGTTTGGCAGATATAGAAGCAAAGGCAGTGAAAGCCGTGGAGTTCGAGAGCTTCAAGAGCTCCAGCTCAGAGGAGCCCCTCAAATTCGAGCAGCTGCCGCCATCCCATCCACTATACATCCTCTACTCTAGTGGCACAACTGGCCTTCCGAAGGCTATTGTGCACACGGCACTCGGGACGTTGATCCAGCACAAAAAGGAGCATTTCCTCCATTGCTCAATTGACTCTTCCTCGACCATGCTCTACTACACCACGACCTCGTGGATGATGTGGCACTGGAGCATTGCAGCCCTCGCCTGTGGTGCAACCCTCGTGCTATACACAGGGTCGCCATTCAAGCCCAACGGCTACCTTTCCCTTCCGATGCTCCTGTCTAAGTTCAAGGTTACGCACTTCGGTACCTCGGCTGCGTATCTAACCACCTTGGAAACCAACAACGTCCTGCCAGTCAAGGAGGCAGACCTGGACCTGTCACATTTGCAGGCCATATACTCTACAGCATCACCCTTGCCGCCATCCACCTTCAGCTTCGTCTACCGTGCCTTCCCGCCGACCATCAACCTCGGCTCCATCACTGGCGGCACCGATATCATCAGTCTTTTCGGGGATCCGTGCCCGCTGCTGCCTGTGTACGCCGGCGAGATCCAGTGCGCGGGACTCGGCATGGCCATCGGAGTTGCTGACTCCGTGACCGGTGAGCCGACGCCAGGGGAAGACGGTGAGCTCGTATGCACGCAGCCCTTCCCCTGCCAACCCCTGACCTTTTGGGGCCCTGGCGGCGACGCCAAGTACAAGGCATCGTACTTTGAGCGGTTCGAAGGCGTGTGGCACCACGGCGACTTCGTGCGCATCGACCCGCGGACGGGAGGGCTCACAATGCTGGGCCGCAGCGACGGCGTGCTCAAGCCGTCGGGCGTGCGTTTCGGCAGTGCCGAGATCTACAACATCCTCACGCGCTACTTTGGCGGCGAGGTCGAGGACGCCGTGTGTGTGGGCCGCCGCCGCGAGACGGACATCGATGAGACCGTCTGCCTGTTCGTCGTCATGTGCGAGGGCAAGGCGTTCGGGCCTGAGCTGGCTGCCCGTATCAAGGACACCATCAAGAAGGAGCTGAGCCCAAGACATGTGCCCGGCATCGTCGAGGAGGCTGGCGCCGGGATCCCGAGGACCGGCAACGGGAAGAAGTGAGTCTCGCCATTGTCTTTCAGTGCCCCTTTTCTTTACGAAATATGTCCCTCTTCGCACATCGATGCGTAGCATCGCTGCGCCTAGTGCTAAGCTACTGCCGATGACATTGGGCAAGGCAACACATTCGTATAGCAGTTACATGCTGACATTACAATTCGTAGGATCGAGGTTGCAGTTAAGCAAATTCTCAGCGGCATTAAGATTAAGACCAATGCCAGTGTGGCTAACCCAGAAGCACTTGAGTGGTTTCAGAAGTGGGCTGCCACCGCTGCGCAGGGGACTAAGCGACGTCACTCGCAGTCGGCCAAGTAGTGAGGTTCACGGCACGGTGCGAACTGTTGTACCTTAAAGGGTTTGTCTGACTCCGGATCTCAGTTTCAACACAGCGTGGCTCACAAGACCTCTGATGAGTCGGGGAGAAGATACCAATGCGTGATGTGGCTGATGCCATGTCCCCGTATTGGGTAAGGCAAGGTTCATGATTCGAAGTGGTTTCCTTATATCCAGTCATAAGATTCATAAAAGGGGATACTAAGAGATGGTTCGCGACCGTTGTAGAAGGTAGAATGGTTGTCTTGCGTTGAGACACACGGAACTCAGAGGAGAGCAGGTAATAAACTAGTCCAGATTACAAAATAGTCGTAATACACACCTCCTCTCGGAAGATGGTGCCTCTGCTCTATCCTCTCCGGTTGCAGACATTCGTTACTTCGGGCCAATAAACGTCAAGGCTGATAATCCTAAACTTGTTGCAAGATACTTTCTGATACTTGTGATATTTACAGGGTCATTCCGATGAAGTAGAAGTCTTGCGCAGCAGGAAGCATGCTTGAAATACCCGTTCTACCAAGAAAGATCGGTGGGCCTCGAAGCAGGCGTAAGAGGCCGATGGCGCAATTGTATGGTTAATCTAGTAAAGGTGCCGCTTTATCGGCTTTGTCAATAGATCATGCTTGAATATTAGCTCACAGATAGCCATACGGCATTTCTTGACATCCTTCTCTGGGAGAGTCTAGATACGTACTCACATACAAGGCAGATTCTGGAAGCCCCGGATCCATGATGATACAGACTCGCGAAGCTACATTATAGTCATGAATTACATAGCGACTTAATTTACAACTGGTGGCTAGCCCTCAGAACGAACTTCCCCTCTTAACTTGTCACCGCCACGCAATTCACAGCTCCGAGGGCTCCACCAAGATACTTTTGGCCCCCGGCTCCCGCATAGGAGACTGATGCTTCCCAGTCACCCGCTTCGGGGCCGGCTTGGGAGGCTTATACTGGCAGAAGTACTCTGCCCAGCACGTGGCGCTCCCCTGCCAGAGTAGCTCGTCACCCCACCGCCAACAGTTCAGTCCGACACCCCCGCAACCTACTACAGCTTCGCCGGCGAACTTGCCCGCAGGCTTGTAGCATAGAGTGGTCAGCCTTTGGTTCATGTAGATAAAGGTGTAGCGGCGAATGGCCTTACCTGGCGTAGCATGTCGTGCTTGATCTGGACACAAAATGGGGATCGATTTCCCTTGAACGTCATGCACTAAACCCCCGAGGCAAGAGTATGTTAGTAATGGCGATCGTTCCCACGAACATCATGGTACATTCACAACATGGGGAGGAGTATTTTACCCACTCGCCGGGTTGGGCCGCCCAGTCAATCGGTGCTTGGTTACCGATCCAGCCCCAATCATGTGGTGGATGGCAGCGTGGCTTGTATTTGTTTCCGTTCTCCGGGCACGACAGTGAGGCGTTCCGGTACCAGGCGACCTCCGAGAACTGGAGCCGCGGGTTGGTGCTGTCGGTACACTGGGTCAGGAAGTAGCCCTCCCATTGCATCTCTTCCGTCAACTTGTTGCCTCTATGCTTGCCAGGCTGCGGAGGCGCGTAATCCGGCCCGTAAGCCCCTAAACTGAGGCCCGTCAGGGGCTCGATCAGGAGACTCAGGATCAGAAGTGACAGGTTGATCATTGTCTTCTTTCTTTAGTAGCGTGATAGATAGCTTCGAATGTTCGAGGCCTCCTGAGATCGATTCATGTCGGCAACATGGCGACGACTTATATGTCTGACCCGATACTTTGCGGGGTTGGTAATCAAGGTTATACAGGGACGGCATCCCCTGAGACACGCGGAGCCGGGCAGTACTACAGACTCAGAAGCTACATAAAAGCCCAATCCTTAACCATATCGCGAGTTTATCTTGAGTTCGCGCTACCTTTGACATTCATCTTTACAATTTGCAAACGACGGAAAACGAGCCTTGATGATGTGGGGGGCGCGCGGCGATGCTCTCGAGGTCGGTTTATAGTCTCGATTTAGCTCTGCCTCGTCGGGCATACGTTGGCAACTCTAGGGTCATCCCTGCAACGTCGCTCGTGTCTGACCATTGGACGAGTTTCATCTCAATAAATCTTGTCGGACCGTGGCTAAGAGACTTTGTCCGATGCCTATCGAGATAGAAAACGTGGCTACGAGATGGGTTGACTTCGGTCTAGTGCGCACTTTGTCAGGAGGACAATTCCTTCTGAGAATTGGACGAACTTAGGATCACGCGACTCAAAGGACTCTCGAATGTCTGCAACTTCCCAAGGTCGCCTTCCCAGGTTGGTGCACGACTTATTCCTGCGCTACAGCCAACTGTCCTACGATGTGGCCCACCAAGTTGCTTAAACGAATCCCACAAAAATGTGTCCACCAAAAGACACAATCTGGCCTAGTGACTCATACATACAACTCATACAACTGTACTCGTGTCAACTTGTAACAACTGCGCGGTAGTGCCATGTTTCTTTAGCGAATTTCCCCTGGCTACGAGACACCATGCTCAATTTTGAGATTCTGTAGACTACCTAGAAATGGGAGCGGCTCCCAAAACACTTGTCTTCGTGCGCTTCTCATCCACACCAATCGACCACACACATAAGCGCCAAGATGGAGAAATTGGCTCTGCTGGGACTTCTGTTGCTTCTTCTCTTGGATAGTGCGAGAGCAGAAAGTTTCCTCGGCATCACATTCTGGAATGGCGTGGATTATAATCTAAAGCCGGCCCCGGCATGCTATCGCCGTCTAGCCCAGTGCTACGAATCATGCAAGACAACATTTGACCACTGCTACATAAAAGAAAGGCGATACAGACAATGGAGCGTTCAGCTAGGAGACCCATGGGACTCGTGCGAGCAGTATAACCCGGAGAAGGTAATTTTGTTCCCAAATGCAACGTCAAGGTGCCGACGCATAGTGCTAACAACTGCTACAGCACATAGCCAAGGATCTCAAACTGTTCACTTCAGCCTTGCGCAACGAGAGGCAAGATCCGCACTCATTCCCGCGTGCTAAGGACAACGAGCGCGAGCAGCATTTCATGAACATGGTTTTCGGTGTTTTGGCAGTCATCGGGGAACAAGGACGCAAGTACCGTTGGGACAATAATTCGGAAATCCTGCCGTATATGGTCCAGCTTCATAACTTCTGGTCAACGCCGGTTGAGGATCTTGTAACCCATACATACAACGCGCAAGATGGGAAGTGGGAAACTGAGAAAAGCCCGCGTGCCTACATCGACTGGCAGAGGCAAACGTACGGCCGCCCGCGTACGGACAATTCGTGGAAGGGATACAAGAAGATTGATCCCTTAGCAGTGGCAGAGTTGGAGGGATTGATGACGCAAAGTCGCAGTATCATAGATCATTTGGGGTTCCTTCTTCATGAGTTTTCGCACCGTTCTGGGGTCAGGGCGACGTTGCCAGAAACGCCATGGAACTGCCTGACGGATGGTCAAGGATCATGCAAGGACTACTTGCTAGGGCCAATGGTCTTCCGGTCGTTCGCCGCTCCACGGATAATGACGTTCCAACGGATACCTGAATATGATCGGTGGCAAACAAGTGATGGACAATATAAAATCACCGAGGACTCAGCGCACCTGCCGAGACCCGACTTGGTGTTTTCGGAATTGGAAGAGGCAGTGAGAGACGGCAGCTGGGACTCGTGGAAAACTTACTAGCTGAATGTCGGTATATAAAAGCAGGCGTATTCTAATAGGGATATATCAAAATGATCTGTCACAACCAGATCATATTCTTGCTAAAGATGCAGTGTGAAACCGCAAAAGTACTTGATGAGCCACCAGGCCATGCCAATGCAATCCGTTGAAAATGCATAGAAAATGCCAGTCTTAAATATGCAGTAAACTAAGGCATTTGCTCGCAAGACAGAAAAAGTCCAAACAACAATTCATGCCGTTATTTCGCATGCTCCTTCTCCTCAAGTTCACGCATATATTTCACGAAGCGCTTCTTATGTGTCTAGAGAAAAATATTAGCCGCTGTGCTATAAAGGGCGCCAGGTCACAACTTACCATGCCAGCGTACCGTCCATCCTTTAGGACGCATATGTACCGAAGGCCAAGCTTGACGAAGCACTCATATACAAGGTCCATCGGTGACCGTATGTCAAGAGCAACAGGGGCAGGGTCGATGTAAGGGGTGAAGTCCGTTGGGTCACGAACCGCATCACCATCATCGTCATCGATTGACGGCACATGAGCCATCAAACAGAGGGAGGATCCCTCGTCGTCGAGACTATCGAGCGCATATTCCAAATCCGGTGCGGGGATCAGCCCAACGAGCACGCCGTCCCGCAAGATAGGCAGGCCACCATCTAGCTCGCCAGCCCTGTGGAGGAGCTCGAGTTTCGTCCTTAGGCTTAGGGCCGGAACAAGAGGTGAATTTGTAATGTCAATGATGCGCTCGCGACGCACTCGAGGAACGATATCTGCCAGGTCGGACGTGAAAATTGGCTTGTGCTTGTTGTTCAGGAAGGGGTAGGAGTTCATCTCGGTCAACAGGTCGTAAATACTCAACGGCTCCATCGCGTCCGCTGTCCACTTTGCAACGAGGATTGCTAGGGAGAACGGCAGGACGTAATCGAGACTTCCGGTAAGTTCAAAGAGAATGACGGCCAGAGTAACGGACAACCTCGTCACACCACACATGGTGGATCCGGCAGCGATGAGACCATAGACACCTGGTTGGACACAAGTTGCTTCGGCAAACACTGGGCACGTACCCCATATACCCCAAGATGGGAAGCGTAAGACAACCCACTGTACTGCATGCCCGATAATTCTGCCCATCAGACCACCAACAACCATGGATGGCACGTAAATTCCTGCTGGGACTTTGATGCCAAAAGTGATAATGGTCAGAAACCCCTTGATCACAAACGCAGCTAGCAGTGTTCGCATGATTCCAGGTATTTCATTGATATCATCAGGACAGAGTCCCAACGGGTCTCTTGATTCGTCATCGCATGGTGCCGCTAGATTCAGGAGAAGCTTTGCCACCGGCAGTTTCGTCAATGGGTTCCAATAGCCGATAAGCGCCGTGATCAAGGCCACCATAATAACTTCAACCATGGGGTATTTTTTGATGGTCGGGATCTTTCGGAAGGTGACAGCCCATTTTCTCGACGCTTTTATGAATAAGGCACCAGCAGCACCGCCGAGAATGCCGCAGAGAATAAAACTGCCAAGCTCGAAGTATTCCCAGTCGACCTTGTAGCGAACCTCAAACATGACGATCTTGTGCGTTCCGTAGGGGTTCAAGAACTTCAGGGAAAGAGCGGCGGTGATACAGCAGAAGAAAGTCCGAAACAGCGTCTTCGCTGGGAAGAAATAAGCAACCTCCTCCAACCCGAACAGGACGCCACCGAGAGGAGCACCGAAAGCGACGACAACACCAGCGGCAGCGGCAGCGGACAGAACCTCACGCCTCTTGGCGTCGTTCTGGTCGTACTTGGCGAATAATCGACAAGCGATGTTGCCGATACAAGTGGCGATATGAACGTACGGTCCCTCTTTGCCGAGACTCAAACCTGAAGCCACACTCAGGATCAGACCTGCTGACTTCACGACTAGTGTTTTGAAACCGAGAAACCCGTGGAGGACGAAGCCGCTGAGAATCACTCGCACCTCGGCAACACCACTTCCAGCAGCGGAGTAGTATACCATGGGGGCAGCTTCTGGCTCCTGCGGTGGCTGTCTGGGGCTGACAGCCTCATCTTCGTTATCTTCATCCTCCAATGGGCTCACATGTTCTGCTGCGAAGTTCTCATCCAGCGTGGTCATTCGATATGCCGAGGGAACCACAGTCTTTGTTGTCAAGGTCAAAAGACAGGACAATACCGAGAGCATGACCACAGCCACAAGGTAGATAGCAAACTCGGTCCACTTCTCTCCGAAGATACGACCGCCGAAGACTTCGGACCAGTTTCGCCAATCAGTACACGGGCCATGCGGACAGCATCGCTGGAGATCGTGGTCAGTCAAAGCAGCCCTGGCGCCAAGCGGCACTTGCATGACGGATTTGGGGATAGCATACCTTCTCTCTAAGGTACCATGCCTTAGCACAATAGCCATCTTTGAAATCGAACATGGTGGTCTCGGCCACGTTGACGCAGTAGGCAAGTACTGCTACCAGAAAGCCCACCACAGCACTAAGTATCCAGCCCTGAGCGCCATCGAAAAGCACGATGGCTTTGCCCCAGAATCCCTTCCTGGATCGCAGTGCTTTCACCCTGTACGCATCCGCTATGCTATCGTGAACCCAGTCGGTTGAGGTGAACTGATCGTACCACACACGCTCGTCGGCGAAGATGGAGCCTTTGGACTCGGCCAGGGACTCCTGTCGGTCTCCGATAGCCTGAATTAAACGCTGGCCCCAGGATCCACCTCTGTTATGGTGTTTTGGGTTCAACGCAACTCCTGCATAGCTCTGGTGCCTTGAAAGGCGCGGGCTCTTGGGCGTCACAGACCCATTTGGACTTTGAATGCGAATGTGCGACCTCGAAGGTCGTAACAGAGAAGTGCGCTCGTCGGGTGTATGGTCGGAGAGCGACGGTCTTCTCGACCTCATACGGCTTCGGCGCGTGTATGTGGGTGAAGGGGGGCCCGCGCTCTGCTGAGAAGCAACGGACAGGTAGGACGCCGTCATGGGATCGTGTGCTTCCGCATCGGCGTCGGTGTCGGCGGCGGGTGTCGAGTCTCTCGCCATGGTGGACAGTCGGCCGGATTGCTTACTCTGGTGTTGACAACGGGTGGGCGAGATGCACGAGGTCCCGGGCCCTATTCGAGGGCTGAGAGGGTATCACAGCGCGAGGTCGAGTGGCCGCAACGGTTGTCGTCGGGGTTATAGATAGCGTACGGGGACATCCACTGGAGCTGCTGAGATGACACCAGCTTCGGGGCCTGTCAGTTGCGAGGCTTCTTGGAGTGAGTGAATAGAAGCCCGCGGTCCAGCACGAGAAACGACCGGAATGTAGGACTTGAGAAACGTCTCCCGAGCTTGTCAGCGGATGGCAGGTGTTGCTATGCTCTTGTCCTCTGTAACGTCGCTGTGGACTCTACTATGGTACTGTGGTACAGACACGTGGGGTTAGTTGCCGTGATCGCGTCTCACGAGTCAGTCCTATCGCCCGAGCCGCTGATCACGTCAGAGGGTCCAGGAGTCCAAGACCAGCTAACTAGGATAAACCAGGCCACCTTTGTCCTCCAGATCCAGTCAAGTTAGAGAGGAGTCTGGGGAAGAATGCCTGATAGACAAGACAATCCCGCCGGCTGCGCGTTACGGCCCAATGTCGAGCAGGTTAGAGTCAGATGCGCCGCCGTCCAGGATCCTCTGACAGCGCCCAATCCAACACGATAACTGGAGGTGGGTTGAGGAATAGGAATTATATCATCGTGCTTGTGACCCGCAGCTTCCGACGTATGGTTCGCTGTCGGGCCTGTCACATGGGGGTAGGCGGTGACAGACCCCCAGACAAGGGCTTCCAAGGACCCCTAAAATCCAGGTGCATCTGCCCCAAGTTTAGCGTCCTTCTTTAGAGATTCAGTTCAACCAATCGACTTGGGCGCCCTGACACCCAAACCATGGTGACGATGCAAGCCGCTACTGCGTAGACAGCTCTCGAGAGCTAGCTCAGATAGACTCCCGAGCGTTTCATTTATGGCTTCTACTGCGCTAGCGCGACAGGCGCCTATTAGAATGCAGCCTGCGGGCTATGAAGAGCGACTCGTCCACGCAGCATCGTCGAGTGTACTACGAGTCAAGCAACGCGCACGATAGGGGGGTCCGGTACTATGCCGTCGTCTCATCGCGCTGGCGTTGACTCGATGGACGAGTACGACACCATATAATCTTTTGGGAAATCTAGGTACAGGGACCCGCCAGGTTCTTGAGCTCCAACTAACTCCGTTTTGATATCTTTGGCTGACGACAATCGTTGTCTGAAATGCTGGTGGTCCTCGATAACCTACAACGATCTGAGGCTGGCAGCTCTGGCCAGTCGGCGCCAGCTGCATTTCTGTGCTTGGGGCGATCGACATTCAATGGTCCAGGCCTCATGAAATACTCATGCAACCATGCAACAAATCACAAAGCCTCCGTGAACCAAGCCACGGCGCCTTCAGAGTGAAAAAAAACTTGGGCTCATTGCGTCCAAAGGGCATTCGTAATGGGTACGGAGCTGCATGATGGCTTCCAAGGGTGGATCCAGTGTCCCAAAGTTTTCCTCCTTCAAGCGGAAGACTGAGACACCACCTGCAGTGGAGGAAGAAAAGCAGACTGCGCCCGCCGCAACTAATGACGAGGTCCGAAGGAAGGACAAGGACAGATCTCAAAGACGCCAAGGCATATCTCATTCTGATGTGACCCAACTGCCAGAGCGCGGGTCCAGGAAGGATGGAAGGAACACCAGGCGCCAGCCTCTCGTTTCACCACATCCCGCTCAGCCTCATCAAACCGGAAATGATATCTTCGTCATTGACAAGACTGGCGATGGTCTCATTCGGCGGTATGGCAGCAACAACCGCTACGATATCCCTGGATATCGGCGCATCGGTGCAGGCCGCCTTTTGGGGTCCAATGCATTCCTCAGAATCGACCGTACAAGCGCTCGCCAGGAGTTTTCCCTGCTTGGCTTTGGCGAGGGCAGCTCTGCGCTCAGCCGTCATCGAAAGAGCGTACTGGCCAACGCCGGGAGGGAATCATCAGATGTGGTTCGAGTTCGGGCTGATACATCGGGAAAATTCACCGGAAGCGAAGATTTCCTGGCTCTGCGACAGTCGAAGAAACGGAAGCGGGACGAGTCTCTCTCAGATCACGAGACTTCGGGCGAGGACAAACCCTCCTACAAGTCCATTCATGGCATGAGCAAGAAGCACGAACACTCGGACAGCGATGAAGCTTACGGAAGTGATTCCTCATCGGAAACTGGCCCGCCAGACACCAATGACCCAGTCAAGCTACGAGGCATTGAACTATCTGCTCGCGTGAAAACACAACCAGACGATATGGATGCCTGGATTGAGCTTGTAGGTCATCAAGACGTTTTACTCCGGGCCACTGAGCACGGTGATCGGAGAGCGACGCAGGCAGAGGTCAGAAGCTTTGCCGACATCAAGCTCTCTCTACTCGACAAAGCTCTTGCGCATGCCAAGACCCCTGAATATACCAGAGCATTACGGCTTCAGGTTATGCATGAGGGCTCGAAGGTATGGGATCCCAAAACATTGACACAGCGCTGGGAGAATCTTCTGAAAGACCACGGTACAAGTTTTGAGATTTGGAGGTCATACGTAATGTTCAGACAGACCAATCTATCAACGATCCGGTATGACGATATTAAGCGCCTCTATACCGCCAGACTGCGTGTGATTGAAGAAGAAATAGCCTGTTCCAGCTCTGCTTCAGATAAGCAAGCCTTGTATGGTCAGATGGCAGTCGTCTTTCTGGCTGCCACCCAGTTCATTGCGGATTCTGGCTTCGGAGAACTCGCGGCAGCAGCATGGCAGGCTACTTTGGAGTTGAACTTTCACCGCCCGCAATCTTTGGCTAATGTCTCCAAGGATTCGGCCTTGTCAAGTTTTCAAGGCTTCTGGGAAAGCGAGGTTCCGCGCATCGGTGACGATTCAGCGCAAGGATGGGCGAACTTCCACGATTCGGGCGGGATGGACGAGGCAACTGAACCTAAGTCGTTCTCTTCGGGCAAAGTTCCCCAAACAAGAGACCCATACAAGGCATGGGCGGCTATCGAAACACAAAGAGCTCAGGACGCTGTGACTCCTGCGCGCACTATGGACGACGGTACTGAAGATGACCCCTATCGAGTTGTCATGTACTCGGATATAGAGGAGCTTCTGGTGTTTATTGCAACCGAAGCATTACCCATAGTACGAGGACAACTGGTCGATGCATTTCTCCTGTTCAACCAGCTTCCGGTGGCGTTTGGTACCAGCAATACCATCCTCGCCAGTTCGAAGGATTGCCTAGCCGGTGGCATCCGCAACTTGCCTATTACCGCAGGCAATGACGAAAAGGAGTCGGTCGGAGAAGTCGGCCAGAGTACCTTTCCACAACCAGCATTTGAGCACCGATACCAAGCGATTGCAAAATCCACTGAAGTGCTGTTCCCATCACAATCATGGTTCAAGTACTTGAGTCCTATCCGTGGCATCGTGCCAGCTGCGCAGTTTGGCCTTGTAATGACTACTGTGAGGCAGCTCGCGTTATCTTCACACCAGAGTGAATTTGCAACATACTGTCTTGCCCTCGAATGTTATAACAATGCTGGTGGCAGCAAAAAAGCTGCAAAGGCTTTGTTGAAACAAGATGCGGGCAACATTGAGCTTTACGTGGGTTTTGCCAAGTCTGAATTCGTCAAAGGGGCCAAGGATAGTGCCAGGAATGTTGCATCTGCCTCCCTAGGCTTACCATCATTGTCATCTCACGATCGATTACTGCTTTGCCTTACCTGGGCGTGGATGGAGATTGAGGATGGCCAGTTGAAAGAAAGCCTGCGGAGGCTATGCCATGCTTCACAGGACGACCCGTCTGAGGATCTAGCAACTCCAGCTCAGGTCTTGAAGATGAAGCAGATGCTGACAGGGAGCCGCGACCACCTCCTATCGTCTAGGGATGCTGATACTGCCGTCACATATGCAAAAGGCTTGGCACTTCTGGAGTATATGACTCGGAGTAGCGGCAAAGAGCCTCAGTCTGGGTCACAGGGCGACGTGTGGTCCGCAATGGCATCGATAGAGTCTTGCTCAGCAGAGCTCATCTCTCGAGGGTTCAGAGAATCTCCGGCGCACGAGAAACTACTACAGTTCGCTGCTGAACTCCTCTTTTATCATGCAAACCACGGGTGAGTCAGGATTAGTATCCATGGTGATGGCAGAAGCTCCTCGCAATGCTAATATGTTACTTCTAGTCCATATCGACCGGCCTTTCTACGCGAGCACATTGAACGATATATTACCCTCTTCCCTCAGAACACCATATTTCTCAACCTCTATGCCTGGAGGGAAGAGCGTCTGAGCATTGACGATAGGGTCCGGTCGCTCCTAGATCTGGTCGTTTTAACTAAAGCACACGATTGCGTCAGTAGTCGAGTCTTTGCGATCCGCCACGAAATGGGAACCGGCAATGTACACTCTACTCGGGCAGCTTTCGAGCGTGCAGTCGAGAGCGAAACGTGTAAGCATCATGTCGGGGTCTGGATATCTTACATACGATACTGTCACCAGAAGAAAGAGCTTCGTTCGAAGGCTAAGGACGTGTTCTATCGCGCCATTCAGGAATGTCCCTGGTCGAAACACGTTTTCATGGAGGCATTTGTGACGCTCGCCAGGGATATGGACTCTTCAGAACTCAAGTCGGTGTATAACACGTTATGCGAGAAAGGCCTACGGGTGCATGTTGAGCTTGATGAGTTTGTGCGGTCTTGGAAACAGGACCAAAAGCGTCGAGCTTAGTTACGTAATCCATCAGCAATATCAGCAATATCAGCAATATCCTTCACTGCATAGGCATCGTCCCCCGGCTGGGAAATTTCTGACTCTGGGGTCGACAGCTACCATGTGTGCATTTCCATGTCACACAAGCGTCTCCTCAATGATGTCACGTCTTGAAGAAATGTATGCAAGCTGCTCCAGTCAGAAGCGCTCCTCTCAAGGGATTTGTAAGCACATGTATAAAGTACGAAGTAAAATCTGAGGACCCACAGATACAATCGCATACCGTTACATCATTCCAGCCCCGTTTAACACCACCACATATCTCCTTAAGCCTAGAACAACATGGCGATCCGGGCCATCAAAATCGTTGAGGTTGGAAAGGCGGCGGTCGCTGAAGTCCCGAAGCCTGAGTTGCGCGATGGCTATGTACTCGTCAAGGTCAAGGCTGTCGGTCTCAACCCTACGGATTGGAAATCCATCGACCGGGGCGAAGTTGTTGTCGGAGCCCGCAGTGGCTGCGATTATGCCGGCGTCGTAGAGGAAGTAGGCAATAACCTTGGCAGACCGTTCAAGAAGGGCGATCGCATTGCCGGCTTTGTGCACGGGGCGTAAGTGGCCCATTGTACCTGATACACTCCTCTATTTCTGCCGGGCCACTGTATTGGCCGCTACCTCAAGTGCAAGGGCTAATTAGAACACAGGCACACAGAGAAGCACGACTCAGGCTCGTTTGGTGAATATGTGATCGCCAAGGCCGACATCGCGCTCAAGATCCCGGACAATATCTCTGACGAGCAAGCGGCAACTCTAGGGGTCTCCGTTACCACCGTAGGACAGGGCCTGTACCTGGCGCTGAAGCTCCCGCTGCCCACGCACCCTCTGAAGGAGCCGGAGCCGCTGCTCATATATGGCGGCAGCACGGCCACGGGCATCTTCGGGATCCAATATGCGAAGCTGTCGGGTCTGAGCGTAGCCGCCACGGCGTCGAAGCACAACCACGAGTATCTCAAGTCGCTGGGCGCGGACGCGGTGTTCGACTATAAGTCGCCCAGCTGCGCCGACGACATCAAGGCCTGGGCTTCGGGTCAGGGCAAGAAGCTGCGCAAGGCGTGGGACTGCATCGCCAGCGACGCGAGCGCGGCCATATGCGCCGCTGCGCTGAGCGACGACGAGGAGGGTGGAATCTATGCGGCTCTTCTCCCCGTAGAGCATGACAAATTACTTGCCGTCAACCCAAAGGTGAAGGAATCGCTCTTCACCCTGGGCTACGACGCGTTTGGCGAGTCGTACAGCTTCGGCAAGGAGAGGCCGGGGAGGGCCGCGGAGCTGGAGCATGGGCGCATGTTCTGGGGTCTGGCCCGAGACTTGCTCGAGCAGGGAAAGCTGAAGACTATCAAGCCGTCTGTGAACAGGGGCGGGTCTGGCTTGGAGGGCGTTCTGGAAGGCCTAGCTGACTTGAAAGAAGGGAAAGTTACTGGAGAGAAGTTGGTTTACACTTTGTGATTCAGTGCGCCAGGAATAAAGTTACGATTCGCCATTCATTTCGCAGAATCGTGTTCAATATAAGAATGTTGGGTGACACTTGTGGAAAGTTCTCATCACAGTCTAGCGGTGATGGCAAACAAAGTCCAGCCATGATTGGTTCTCTAACTGTCCAAAGCATCAAACACCTGGGACGTCTTCATGGTGCTAGGCAGAAGGACTGCTCAAGTTTCCGCTTTGACATATTTTCTGAGTTGAAAGGGCAGGATAACATGAACCCACCACTGAGGCTTAGGATAATGTACGGTACGTACCGTCTGGCAAGTGCAGATCTATATGCACTCCAAAGAGGTTAGTCGAGATGATACAGGTTCATTCTAATGTAGCAGTAGTAGGACTAATACCTGCCAGCAAGTTTGAATGAGTGCAAACATGACTTATAGTCGACGCAACAGTCACAGCCAACGCGAAACTCGCTGCGGGTCTGGAATCCTGGCGCTGTTGTTGCCTATCCCAGTCGTGGCTGACAAATAGTTTCAGCGTTAGCGCCTAATCCTCCTGTAAGAGTATTTCTTTGACTCGACGCGTATTCTGGAATGCCTGTACATTTCTTCCATTTCAGATCAGCAATCAAATCAATTCTCGTCCGTCTCTTCGGCATCAGAGCCATCTGAATAAGGCAGTTTTACATCCAGCCAGTCTTTCCAGCCTAGAGTTTGGCAGTATGCAGAGCGCCGCGGCCCAGGACGTGACGCTCCCCGCTGACGCTGAAGACACCATCTCGTCAGTCTCCTGGTCGCACACCGCCAATCACCTCGCGGCGGCTTCTTGGGATGGCAAGGTGCGTGTCTACGACGTCGCGTCCAATGGGACGGCACGTCCTGCCACGATGCTCACCGCAGACGGTCCTCTAATGAGCTGTGACTGGGCCAAGGTAAGTGCATGAGTTTTTCTCTAACCCCACAGCTTTCCATGGAGACAAAGAACAAACACCAAAACAATATGTTCCTAATAGGTGAGACCCCTGACAACTTGCCATCAGTAAACCGCAGTAGAATACGACTAATACGGAGGCTAGGACGGAACAATGGTCCTCGCAGGAGGAGCCGACAGAAAACCGCACCTGCTGCAGTGTGCGACTGGCCAGAGCCTCAAGCTGGGGGCACACGACGCTCCGATCCGCTCGGTGCGCTTCGTGGAGGTCCCCGGTTCGAACGGGCCCATCGTCGCCTCCGGGTCCTGGGACAAGACCGTCAAGTTCTGGGACCTGCGCGCGGACGCCAGCAGCCCGATAGCCTCGCTCAGCTGCGCCGACCGCGTCTACGCCATGGACGCCAAGGCAGGACTGCTCGTTATCGGCACGGCAGAGCGGCACATCCACCTTGTGGACCTGCGTAACCCCACGGCGTTCGCACGGTCCGCCGAGTCGCCGCTCAAGTGCCAGACGAGAGCCGTGGCCGCTTTTCCTGACGGGAAGGGCTGGGCTACGACTTCTATCGAGGGCAGGTGCGGGATCAACGCCGCAGAGGAGAAGGATACGACTGGGTATGTTGATTCTCACCTACTGCTTTTGACTGGCTGGAAGATAAGGCCCCTAACGATGTTCTAGCATTAACTTCACTTTCCGCTGCCACCGCGGCCTGCCGGATGCCAACAAGGTAACCAAGGTGTACGCCGTCAACGACGTGCAATTCCACCCGGTTCACCACACGACGTTCGTTACGGCAGGTTCGGATGGGACTTTCCACTTCTGGGATCGGGCAGCACACTCGCGTCTGAAGGCTTACCCGTCCGTCGGTGGTTCCATCACCACGACTGCTTTCAACCGAGATGGCACAATGCTGGCGTATGCTGTGGGGTATGATTGGAGTCAGGGACACGGTGGAAACTCACCCGAGTATCCAAACAAGCTCATGTTGCATGCCGTCACGGGCGAGGACGCAACGCCGAAGAAGAAATAGGGGTAGATCAAGGAGCTCAATGTGCTCTGGAGACGGAGTTTTGGCCCTGATGACGAGTTGATACACAGCATTATCAGACACTCAACAAATTGGCAATCATGTACTGTTGGAGGATTTCATTTGTCTGGGGCGCAGGTGCATGTATATCTCTTCCAGAACAGACGAAGAGTTCAGAGAAGGACCAGATTGGATCAACAGGGTAGAGGGAAATGGTGTCATCTGGAATAGTCTATTGAGGCTAGCGGAAAATCAAAAAGCTGAAGAAAATTAAGCAATGGGTATTATGTGACAGCTATCCAACCATAACGCTAGGAAAATTACCTCGCCTCACTGAATCCGCTGTTTTGCACGACTTAGAATGCTTTCAAGTCGCAGGATTGGATCATTTCTCTAACTTAGCCCACGTCTCATAAATCATGTCTCGTATAGCCTCATGGCCGCGGGTCCGGGGATGGAACGTCTTTCCATAGTAGGTTGGCACATACCACATCGAGTTCTGTGCCATAAATTCATCGCGAGCCGGCTTCAATGTAGGGTCTTGTGCCTTCGACATTGCCATATAACACAGCGCCAGCACACCCCAGTCACCAGATCGCGCCGCCGGCTCTAGACAAGTGTCTGGATCTAGGAAGTCAGATTTGGCAGGAACGGTAGCGGCTTGCGCAAACTGGCTCCCCTGCACATTGTTCCTCGCGTTATCTGGTCCACCGACGAGAAAGAACCATGTGTCGTTTCTGCTATAGTCGGGCTCTTGCACGCCTGGCTCGCAGAACCTATGGCTGTCGAACTGCTTGTCGTAGTCCACGAACAGCACCTTGGCGCTCGTAAATCGTGAGTTGATCAGGGCCACTGTACTCTCGATCTTTTGATTGACAGCTTGCACCATGGCGTTCATTCGTACCCGGAGCTCTCTCTTCAGCTTTGGTCCCTGCCACCAGACTCCTAGACTCATCTCGTCGCACTCAGCAGTTTGGTCATTGAAGAAACGAGCATATCCTGTGACAGTGATCAAGAACCACTGCATAAAGCAACGTCAGTACTTGTGATCGATGTACTCTTTCGAAGATTTCTACGAACCGGCTTCTTCTCCCAGCGCACCTTGTCCAAAAGCTCAAGGATCACTATCTGCAGCCTCTGCTCAAATTCATCCCCCTCTAGCCGCTCCTGAGCATGCTGTAGGGCCGTCTCACAGGTACCTGAGTAGAAATTATAAAAGCGAAAGATACAGGCATTCATGACTTCGAAGAAGCCTAGGTCATTGCCGCCCACGGACAACAGAGCGAAATCAGCAGGCAGCGAGGTATTAAAGTTATCGAGCTGGCTCTCTGCGCCGCCGGACAGGATCTCCTCGGTTGTGGACCCCGTGCAGGACAGAAACTGAAAGGCAACGACGCTGTCGTTTCGACCGCGGCCGCCGCCCTGGCTTGCCTCGAAATCACGCGCGATAAGTGCCGGGTAGCCGTGTAAGCCGTGTCGACAATCATCCTCCGATCCGTCAACGCCAGTGCCGATTCCGGCGCTGTAAGAATCCCCCAGGGCTACGAAGCCGGTCTGCGGACGACGAGGGTCGGGACGGAAGAGGGCCAACGAAGCAGGCCTTGGCCATTCTGGAAATTGGGGCCTCCCATCAGAGACTGTCAGAGCATGTTGCCCCTCGGGCCGTTCTTGATAACGCCAAGAGCCGCTTAGCGCCGATGCTCCGGTGAGGGCTAACAGATAGATGAAGAAGCACGTTCGCCGCATGACTTACAGCCTCCGAAGCGCAGCTTCTAGGTGAAGAAAACCTACGGAAACATGATTTGAGAATCTACATACTTACGCCCGTTAACGAGGGATGTTTGTAGATAAGTAGATAAGCACAGGATCCAGTTGGAAGGAGGATCACGGGACCAATCCTCTCTGCCTGGCGTGATCAATTACCAACGCTCAGCTAGCCAATCCTTCGGGCACATGTCGTGGACTGTTGCTGGTTGTGGGGTCTGGATCTGACGCCTACTTGATAGTTGCATAGAGAATGCGACTAAGGAGTATCATGCAGTATATCGGAACGTTTCGAGTTAAGCCGAAACTGTATATCTCAACAACACCTCACATGCCGCCTGTATTGGATTGCCTGGAGATCGGAGTCATCAAAGATGACAACATTCTCAAATTCTCTGGGCTTTCCCTCACAAGGCAGGTCGATACGTGAAGTGTCCATATAAGCGCGTTTGAACCAATGCTGTCGCTGTCTACTACAGTCCTTAAATGGCTGCCTGGAGACTGCTCACCGTCAAGTCCAATGGGGCACCATGGTATTGTAGTATAAGATGCTATGAGTGAGCTTGGCAAGAGTACGATATGGCATAGGTGCCTCAGTCACCTACGAGCCATTCAGAAGATTGTTGCAGCCCATCATTAGTCCACAATGCCTCGTTACCAGATTGAAGGCTGTACCGTCCAGGATGGTGCTGGGTTGGCTCGCAACAACATGACGGCCTTCTGGACGGATCCCACGTGGGTGCTTCTCTGGAAGAACAAGACTACGGAATACGTTGTCCAGCAGTGCACCTTGCGGATGCCCAAGAATCTCTTAGACGACCGGGCTCACAAGCGGCACCAGAAGGTCGTCGACACCGAGACCGGCGAGGTGGTCGGCTACTGTCGATGGCTCCTCCCTGACCGTCTGACTGGAGAGTGGCTCGAGGCTCAAACGCCTGTGGTCAGCAGAGCCGAGGAGAAAGAGTTCAGCAAGAGGTTTGACAGTGCGGACTGGAGCACGGCGCCGCTGGGTAACATGGACGATCCGGTCCACGTTACGATGCAGAAATACAAGGGTCTCAAAGAATACATGCGTAGGTGCCTGCATGACTGGATCATCGACACGAAGAGATAAGGCTGATCAAATTGGTGGTGCAGAAATTGATTACCTAGCTGTCCGGCCGGAATATAGGGGCCAAGGCATCGCTACGATGTTGGTCGCAAGCGGCGTGGCCCAGTCGGAGAGGTTGGGCATTGATATCTTCTTGATGGCGTACAAGGCCGGGTTGGGGGTTTATAAACGGCTGGGCTTCGAAATGTTGGAATATTACATCCAAGACGGTTCGCAATGGGGTGGCAAGGGCGAGTACGGGACGTACTTTCTGGAGAGGACAGTAAAAACCAAGACTGAAGCCAACTGCGACTAGACCAAGACCAAGCGTTTGGGTTCACCTTAACCTTAAAAGGGGGAGAAGAATAGTGGATGGAGATGATTGAGCGGCTAGCCTTTGCATCGCCTGGAGATTCTTTGTTATAATGCATCATGAGGCTCTGTGTGGTCTTAGTAGTGCCTAGCGGCAGGTTGCCCAATAAGAGCGGGCTTCTACCTGACACTAGAACTACACACCCTGGGCTAACTCAGAGCTATCTCCCCAGGTAACTAGAGACCCGTTTTCAGTAACGATGCAAGAATACCCCGTCTGCAGTATGTGCTCTTGAGGTTTGTTACTTCTTCCGGGTATACATAAGTGTGTTCTCGCAAAGATTATGCAGTTAGAAGCCGCCAGCCCGGAAGGCTGCCGCCAACCTGTGGGAATTTTGAATAGGAACCTGATACCAGGCCTGGTATGCGTCATAGCACATTCAACCAACTGAAGCGTAGCAATTGGAGTCCGAAGAAACAACAGGACCTGATGCAACATCAAGGGTAGCACAGCCTGGCCGGGCGTTGCGACGACAATGATGGGTACCATGCCCTTTTTGCTGCCCAGGCCCCAGGTCTCGTCGCGGGTGACGTCGATGCACTTCCGACCCCGCCATACGTCATTGCCTTTAGCTGCTATAGGGCCCCACTTGGCAGCGTAATTGCTGCAGCGTGCCCAGGGTGAGGTCCAACACTTGCAGCTCAGATCCGACGATTGTACCAAATCACCATCCAAGCCTGCGGATCAGCTAATCGCAGCCCTGCAAACCTGGCAGCTGGGCAGAGAGCCCTCGCCTGACTGGGCCTCGCCAGCTTTCCGATCGTGATGCATGGCGGTCCCGTAGCCCATGGCGGGGCAGGCAGATCTCCCCCAGACAGCAGACCAACCCACAGCCTGGCTCAAGGGCCCACCTGCGGTTCCTTTGTGTGGGCATCCTGGCAGGCCTGGATGTCTGCCCATTGTGTGGATTACGCCCTGTAGAGGCAGAACAGAAAAGCCACATAGACGCACTCGTCATAGTTGTAATTCCATGCAACCGATGAGAAGGAACAAGCTTCCAAGGCCTCGCCCGAGAGCCCGTCTTGCCCGTTTGAGAAGCTGTGGCCCCTTGTTCTTCTCGGTTCGCTAGCGCCTCCAAGTTGTCTGTCCCTTGATGCTTGGTCCAAGACGCCATAGCGAAGACGTCACATCCCGCATTGGGGACGTGTCACATAGCTACATAGTACCCGATATAATAACTTCCAAGAACCGCCGTCTCCTCTTGCCGCCTCTTGGCTTTACTATTATCTCAATCGCATTCGAATCCACCCGCAGATATCCAGAGCCAAGCACTCGCCCAGCCGCACCACCAGCTTTCACCTAACCCACATACATACCTTTCCCAGTAAATATGGAGACCGTCAACAGCATAGCACAGGCTGCCGCCAAGGCTGTCTGGGGAGAGAACACCAGAGATGGCCAAGAGCCCATCTCTGGCGAGCAGGGAGACACTTCAAAGGGTGAGCCCTTCGACAAGGGCAACATCGAGGGTACGGACCAAGTGTTGTGCGTCCTTGCTTTTTCGAAAGTGACTTGCTGACGAAGGTGCGCAGAACCCCAGACCAAATCTTCCACAACTGCCGAGTCCAAGGGCGCCGCGCCAGAGTTTGCAAAGACCACTGGAACGGCGGCCGAGTCGAGCAAGGTCCCAGACAACGAGTCCACCAACCTCAAGGCCAAGGACACGCCCGCCGACACGACCAAGGGCCAGAACGACATCCGGGACCCCGAGAACCCTCAGACGAACCCCAAGAACCAGCCGTCCGACGTCGACAACACCGGCGACGGTCCGAACGAGGCCCAGAAGCTTGACGGCCCCGGCCCCAAGCCCCTGGAAGAGGTCGCCAAAGAACACGGCGGCGATGCTGGCAACTCAGACACCAAAATCGCCTCTGGCGCCAGCGATAGTAAGAAGGGAGAGGCCGAGCCGGAGGACCCGAATGACCCCCGTGCCCCGAGTAAGGGCGAGGGCACCGGCGAGAAGTACATCAAGACCTCGGGGCTCGCGGCCGACGGTGGCGATTTCGACGCCAGTAAGGCTGGTGCCGGCAGAGAAGCTGATCGTGAGTCCCACCTGCACTGTGATGCCTTTCCCTATTGATGAGTATCAAAGTGGCTAACATCGTTATCACCGTAGGCCTCCTGGAGCAGAAGGGTATCCATGTGACGAAAGGCGATAACAAGGGCGCCTCTGACACCAGCGTCAACTCGGGAGAGAAGGAGAAGAAGAGCTTGGGCGCCAAGATCAAGGAGAAGCTGCACAGACACTAGGGCACAAACATGCCGTGTCGATATGTGTCATGAGGCGTTAGGATGGGAAGATTCCCCTAACAGCTGGGGTTGTCGTTACGTTACGTTACGTTGCCACGCTGTTACGTCTGCATTTGAGAAGCATCCTTATATTCTTCTGCTTTGCGGGAACATTGTCTGTGTATTACTCTCTATAGCAAGTATTAATTTTGTTGATCCCACAAGACTTTCACAACTCGCAGCAATCAAAAGGGGGGTTGTGACTACATATACCTTTCCGCATGTCAGGCTATAGCATTTTAAGATCCCATATATCCTCCAAGAGTATACGTCTTAATTACTAGTCGTGATAGACGTTGCGGATGGTATAGACGCATTCCTTCAACACGGCTACCCATTCTTCTAACCGGGTTGTCTGTCAGACCGCCAGGGCCAGCGAATCGGTGAAATTGCAAATCTGATGACCCCCGAGGTCGAGGATGAGACATGCTGTAAAGTTCGTGATGATCAAGTTCAATCTTGCTTTAGGAGGGTTCAAGCACTAATCAGTCTTCATTCTTCTGTAATTTTATCGAATGGTCGCAATCCCAGATACACATACCGTCAAGCAGGCAGTATATCAATCAATTATGATCAATAAGACAGGGAGACTAATATAACATTCTGAGACAAGCATCAGAGACCCTTGTACATATCTCTCTGCTCCTCTACAATTTCCATGTCTCTGTACCCTCAAACCTGCGGCTACTGACAAGGTAACACGCATAACCCCAGGGCTAGGCCAGGCGAGACTCCTCGACTACGTGAAATAAACTTCACGGCTTGCTATATCTGCTGTGGCACACGATAACCGAGCGAGTGCGCCACCGAACTTGAGGCTGAAACGTGACCTTCACGACTGCCGGCAGGAGAGCCATGCATCATGTAAGTTGGGGTACCTACTGGTATCCCCCCTTGGGGTGGGACTGCCGGTGCTTTGCTTGTCTTTTGCATACCGGCGATATACGAAAGTAGACAAGTATCACCCAACGGTACCCTTCGACTCCGGCGACCTGTCTGTGTCTGATGGAGGGTTGGCCGAACACGGCCATGTGTCTGCGACACGCAATGGGCCGAGGCCCACCGCACACCACACGGAAGATCCCCAAAATCCACCAAATAAGTGACTGACAGAGCCGGATGACAACTACCCCCTGTCTTCCGGCGAGCGGCATGTGAGAAGACATCGAAACCCGTCCGCGTCTGTGCTCTTCCCCTCCATCGAGTATCGACGACGTTCTCAACTCCGCCGTGTCGGGTAGCTACCTCCAAACGAGGGTTGGGGCATCAAGGCATGACACATACCCACCGTCCATCAGCTGCGTCGTCGTATATGGGGAAGCGAGGGCCATTTCCCCATCTAGTAACACTAGATGTTCCCCAGAAATTGGAATCTCGCACTCCAGCCAATAGGCCGAATTTGGCACGATGCAGGGAGTGACCCGTGTCCACCGCAACCCTCCCAAGACCGCTTTCAGAGACCGTGGTTCGGTCGCTTGCATTGGCTTCATGTACCCCAGACCAGACAAGAAAACCACGCAAGAGAGAGGGCCGAGGGCTCGGGTGAGTGGAGACTAACACATGCCTGAGTATACGACGTTGGCGCGTCTCGAGTCACGGCGTTAGCTGGAAGATCTCGCGATTTGCAGGCTGTGGGTAGGGCGACGGAAAAGTATTCCGCCCCAGCCCCTCCCCCCTCTCGAATGCGGGACACGAAAATCCGGGGTAAATACGTATCATAGCAAGTGGCACACAGGTTTGGCAAATTGTGCCGGCTGGAGAGACCAGGCACCCAAAAGAGCAGCGAGCCAGCAAATAAGGGAGAGTGAGCTCTGATGAAAGCAGTAACAAGAAGGCGGCACGGCCTGGTGTGCACCCGCAGGCTTTGCGTGCCGATCATAGTGAACGATGAGTGAAGCGATAGGATAAAAGTAGGACGAGACACCGCCGAGACACGCCTCGATAAAGAAACACTTACAAATACCCCGCCAGAGTCTGCAAGTTGCCGACATCAGACGAAAATTGCCCGGCAGTGGGGCATCCCCTCGACGTTCAACGCTTCGGGAGTATGAGTGTATACTCGAGACAGACTTGTGCGTGCTGTCGCAGAGATGAGGCGGTGACCCGGGTATCTGTATATGCGGTGTTCCCGCTCCATGCGGCTAGCCAGTATTTCAAAACCGAGCAAGATGGGATTAACACGCCTCTCCAATCGATATCCGCGTATGCTCGTTGTCTCAGCTGTAAGCGTACGTAAGAGTCCTGGGGTGCTGTGGTAGAACCCAGGAGTTCTCTGCGTTGAACACGCCTTGTTCTGCGTAGGAGAAATCCCAAGCGGGCCGGCAGCCCGTCGAACGGGGACTTGGTAGCTGCAGTCATGATGAACTGGCTGGGTAGAAAACCCAGCAAGTACTTATGGGGAGGCTTTTCTCAAGAGCCAAATATGGCTGCAAGTCCCGTGGGATTGTCAAAGGCCGTTGCAGCTGCAGCTGCAGGCAGTGTGATCCATGGTGCTGATGCGGGCCGATTCGCTGGGGTCTAGTGCATGATGGCCTGGGCTGGTAGGCAGGGTTGAGGGTGTCGAAGGAACAAAGTATACGGCATATCTGCATCCTTCAACGGTCTAAAGGTACCGACCTGCCTACCTCGGAGCCATCTTGCGCGCGCGCACACACACACACAGTGTCACTGTATCATGCCGCAACGGCTCGTCCCCGAAGGGATCCTCCTCTGTATTACAGACCCAGCGAAGACCAGGCGCTTGTCAAGCAGCCATACCCTCGTTTTCCCTGGGTTTCCACTACCTAAGTATTCCCATGTACTCAAAGGCCCATGCATGACGCCACAGTCCTCCCGATCTTCTGATGCAACGTGCACAATGGGACAGCCATGCTTCTCGCTTGCTCTTGTCGGAAGCGAGATTGTCCCTTGGGGGACCAATCGTGTCGCTGGTTAGGAAATCCGCCATGCACGTACTTGTCGTGGGAACCTAGTGACCCAATCGGCCTCAAATGGGACGGACGCACAGAGTACCTTGATTATGCAATGATGGAGTATACTCCTCAGAGCCACGGCACCGGGTGAAATCATCTGCGTGCCCTCTTTCGAGTGGTCTGCAGAGCAGCTCGAATCAGCGCCCTTCTCTCCCATAGGCATACGCAGACGTGTGCGGCCTTCGGATAATTCCAAGGGCTCAAATGATGGGCGGATAAATCGGGCCTCGTGCCTCGGGTCTACCAACTGGCTGGTAACTGGACTGCAGGTAGCTGGGACGTAACACAGACAAAAATACCGACACGCATGAGTAGTTGCTTCCAACGGGAATGAGGGGCAAGGCATGCGTATACCCCGAAGCCGAGCCCGCCGACCCTAAAGTTGGGTGGTTTATCCTCAGATTACGGGGGCCAGAGAGAACAATGAATGAAAAATGCCGCGTCCCGGGTGTCCATGGCCTCGCGATGTCAGTATGGTTGCAGGCGTGGTGAGTGCGAGCGCGTGTGAGTACATGTGGACTGCGAATACTTCCGCCTCCGCCAACGTGGGGTTGACTCAGCTGAAGACAACACTGCCAGTAAGATGGCGTCAAGGGAAGGCAGAGATCGCCCCCTATCTCGCGTGAGACGTTGAGATATGCTACGGTGCGGATTCCAGCAGAACAGACTCCGTACGTGCATGAGGGAAGAAATAAGCAGGACTGACCGGTGAAGGGTTCTGGCCCAGCCCTCATCAGACTCCTCAGCCCACTGAGCTGTGCTACTGCGGCACAGGGTCTATCACATCGTCCACCGGGACGAACCAAGCATTTCCGCTGGCATGGGACCGATTCCTGGTACAATATCCTGGCAAGCTTAGCGACGGAAGAACGTTGACCAGGCTCGTGTTGAAGAGTACGAGGTGCGGATGCCTGCGTCAGTCTTGTCATATCATTGAAACTTGGACGTCTGGTAAAATCAACAGAGCCGTAGCAGCGGGTAGTCCTCGCGAGCTACAACAAAGAAACTGGTGCATGAAATCAATGTAGGGTACGAAGGACTCGTCTAGGGCCATCATTTGTTGCAACCCGATGTCTGCAAGGTGTAGGTGACCCACTTTCTTCCCCAGCTTCCCCAGACTGTCAATTAGGAACGAGAGCAACGACTGGTTGGGACAGAGTCCAAGGTATGATTGATATCACAAAACGCCTCTATATATGGGAATGCTGGATTTGGAACCCTCCCGCCTTCATCCAGCAAGCTTGACCCCTCGTAGGCGAAAGCCCCATTGGCTGTTTTTATTTTTTCATTTCCTCCATGGAAGACCCTGCTCCTGCTCGATAATTCCGCATTCCAAAAACTCGCGTTTCCTTTGCCTTGCTCCATTTCCGGCCATTTAAACTTTTCCTCCAATTTCGCGCACTCCTAGGCGCCTATCTAGAACACCCTACGCCAGAATTAATCCTGCTACGTGGTGGGCAGATGCACCCCCTCCTTGGTCCCGGCTCCGAGTCCTCATGTATGAACATTGGGATAGAAATGAACGCTATGGTCGGACTCAGACTGCTCCTCATCCGCCGGGTCTGGAATTTTGGATGGGATTCTATAATATAGCCTCGAAGCGGTATAGTGATTTCTCGCACATGACAGGCCAGACTGTCATCCCACCCCCCCCCCCCCCACCCACAGATCCCGGTCGTGGCGCTGGCACAACTGACCAGTAGATGGCGTTAATAGGCCATGCCCCAATTCCTCGGGTTCGAGGCACCCATGATGATGGTGGTCAAGACATTCGTTGCACGACTAGTGGCGTATAATCCCATGGCCAGGATTGACGCCCATCCGACCAGGCATTGCCGCTAAAGAGCTGCATGCCTTCTCGGATGGGGAGCCCGGTGGTGTGCAACCTCATAGAAAGCCTGATTCGGCCAGGACCCTGCATCACGAACGAATTAAGTAAGCCTTTGTTCTGAAACTTTGATCTTTTTGTGGAAGCGAATGGGCGCTGCGTCCAGAAAAGCAAGTGGGCAATGCCAGGATAACAGCAAGGATAAGTCTCAACCGTAGTATAGTTGACCTTGCATCGCCGCCATTTGTTGCTGCCGCAATGCTACATACCTCACAATCTTCTCGTCCTCACGTTCACGTGGTTCTACAACCAAGCTCTTGTCGTACATCTCATGGACATCTCCAGCAGCTTGCATGTTAGACAAGATGTAGTCCTGCAGATCCGGCACTGGCTGGAGTGAGTATGGGGCGTTTTGATACTGTTGGATGTCCCTAATAACTTCGGCGGTCTTTGCGCGTTTGGCAAAGTTGATGAGGTTAGTTTTCTTGATAATCGAGGGGATGCCGTCTTCAATGAAGGTCAGGTCCGTCAAGTAGACACCTGCGGCGATCATGTCAGCTTAGTTCCAAAATGCCAGAGCCTTCAGGCGGAGCGTACCGAAGAATGGAATGCAGGGAGGATTGGCTGCGTGAAGAGCTTCTCGGTATTCGCCAAAGTTCTTCGTGCTGGCCATCAGTCGACGCATTGTTTCTAGTGTTGCTTGGGTGCGCGCTGGCACTTGATCCCAAGTTCTCTTGAGGCGAGCGATCGGAGCCGTGCCAAGCGCGGAGATGATGGATGTGAGCGTGGAGAAATTGTTGAGCGTTCGACATTTCTGTCGCAATTAGTAACCTGGGCGTTTCGTAGCATAAATTCTTGACTTACATCAGCCACGGACACAAAGTGCTTAATGACTACCACGCGCTTCTTGACGTCCATCTGGGCCAAAATCATCTCGGCAACCCAGTTAGTCATCTGATTAGAATGGAGAATGAGAGCCTTGACGTTGGGAGCCGGTTCAGGTTCGCCTTCGCCAACCTTCTTCTGCCATGTCTTGTTGAGACATTCCGAAGGCTTGATCTTTCCATAGAGCTTGGACTCAATAATAGTGAGTTGGCGAGCGAATTCGGTGACATCGATGTCCAAGAACTTGAGCTTCTTCATGTTCTTGGGCATAATTGGCGGGGGCACATTATTCGCAAAAGTCTGAATCATGCGCTTGGAAGACATTTCCTTGCCGCTGAGGCGTTGATCCAAGACAGTCATCAGCGGCGCGGAACCGGGCGTTTCTGTCGACTTGACGGTATCACGTGCGAACTGATAAACGTCCCTGATGAGACGCTTGGACTCGTCGTTGTTCTCTTCTAGCCAGAAGTTGTCGAACCAACTCTTCATGATGTTGACGACGCGGAAGCGGATAGGCTTCTGTTTGCGATCCCTCCAAACGTCAAACTCGCTGCTGTTCAGACCTTCAGGAGGCTGTGTATTGAAGCGCTTGACTAGTAACTCAAACAGCTCGCGTGCCGTCGTAAATGAGCGGTATGTGAGGAGAAATGTGTTGTTGAAACTTGAATCCAGCTTGTCGTGACGCGTGAGTTGCTCCACCAGCGCCAGTAAAGTGCCACCTTTGACGGCAGGTGGCGATGCTTTCAGATCCCACGACAGCTCACTTTCAAGATCAAGTCGCAAGAAAAGGGGCATCTCTTCGGCTTGTTGTAGGGCTCCTTGCGGCGTGGGGTCGTCTCCCAAAATCTTCCTAACTTTCGATAAGTCGCCCTTGCGGTAGTTGTTGGTAGGGGTGTCCCCTTCTGTGAAAGACTGAGATGTCATGAGCGGTGGCCGTCGCTCTATACCTAAAGTCCGCGACTCGGTTCGAGTGTGCATGTTGTTGTAAGGCATCGTCTCGTTTCTCCTGAGTTGCTCGCGCTGGTAGTTATCGTCTCGCATTTGGGACTGTTGGTTCTGTTGCAAGTTGATCTGGACTTGTTCCGAAAGAAGTTGCAACGAGAATCCGATATGAGAAGAGTTCTGCTCTAGTGCGCGTGCGCACTGTCTGACATATTCAAGCCGGTTCTCCAGAGACTCTCCCCGTACTTCAGCCCATTCGTCGCCCAGAGGGCCAGCGACAGCTTGGCAACCGAGCACAAGATCTGATATGTTGTCATACAGACTCTGCTTGTACGTGCTGAAGTCGGCCAACTGTGGCGTCTGAAAGTTGTTTCCTAGCGTGGAGAGATCGACCGACTCGATCATTTGGATCCAAGGCTTGAATATCTCAACAACTTTGCCACCGGCCGTGCAAACATTGTTGCCGATGAGCTCATGCTTGTATGGCGTGATAACCTTTTCGGAAACTGTGAGGTTCTTCTCCAACTCCCTGATGCTGGATACCAACATCCTCTTTTGTTCATCGAGCCTCTCCAATAATTTTCCGTCGAGAATGGCCGTTGGGTCCACGATCCCTTCTTGCTCGTCGTCAAGGAAGTTGGACGTGATGGGATCCCTTGGTCCCAAGCCGTTGTTCTGCCAGTTGCCACCCACCGTGCTCCCAACTACGAAACCCGGGAAAAGTCTGGGAATTTCTTCGCCTCTCTGCTGCTTAGCAACTTCAACAAAGCTGAAGACACCCATCAAGACTCCGTCTGCTTCCTGCATACATTTTTGTACGGACTCGGCGTTTGGCCAGTCTGCAGCAGCAATGTGAGAGGATATGACCAACTTTGAGAACTTGGACATCATATCCCGGAAGTGTGGGTATAGCGCCTTATTGGTAGAGATGATGGAAGGCTGGCCTGAGTGGTTATCGGTCGTTCCAGAGCCAGCGGCAAGTAGCAGCCGCAGGTGGTCCGAGATGTCCTCCGCACGACTCACATATTCGGCACGGTTACTACTGGTGATGGCCTCGCGATAGCGATCAATAGCCTTCTTCATATCCGTGACCAGCCTCGTCCAAGTCAACAGCTGGGCAGAGCCATCGTCGAAGAAGGAGCGGGGAATCGTGGCAGCCTGAGGTAAGTTGAAGCTTGTGCCTGTAAAAGAGGTCGCTGAAGCCAACATGGGCGTTTGCCCTGTGCCTGAAGGCAGGGGAAGATTTGTGTTGATGTAGGTATCTGCGCGAACGCGGGCGAGGGGCGATGCGCCGTTCATAGAGTCGATGGAGGGTGCGGGGGATAAACCAACACCATCGTTGGTATAGGCACGGCGAGAACGGAGAGGCTGTGAGAGAAGAAAGTAAATAAGGGTGTCCGAAGCACGTGCTCATGTTGCGAAACTGATTGACACGAAAGAAAGCAAGTTGGAAATATGATTTGAGGTGAACCTACCATTGAGCCCCTTCCCATCATGAGTGATTCACCTTCGAGCTCGGACGCCGAGGTTGCCTCTGAATCTTCATCTTCATCTTGTGTTAAACCTCGAGCCATCATTTCCGGGGGTGGCCTCGTCTTCTCCGGCATGTTGACATTCATGCGATCGCGTGGGCCGGTCTCGTTAAGCGATGTTGGTGATTCGAGCGGCAGTTCCATACTGCTCTCGCCCGTCATTGTGTTGTAATAGAATAGTCTGCCATCACGGGTTGCCTGAGGGATCCAGAAGTCGGCACCGCCAGACTTGGCGCCAGAGTCAGTCCCCTCGAGCGGGAGGCCGTTGAAGTCGTCCTGGTCGGATTCGTTCTCCTCGTCAAACTCTTCCTCATAGCGAACCTGATCTTCAAAGTCGTCCTCAGCGACTACGAGTTCCCCATTCTGCGCGGCCTCCGGGACGTCGTCGGAACTCGTGATCATTTGGCAGTAATTACTCGGGAACCACCCTCGAACGCCGTTGATGACTCCATCCCACCAACCACTCTCTAGCTGTGTGATGACCTGGATGACGTCGCCCTCGTGGAAGCTGAGACTCGTTCGGTCGTCGGCCTCATAGTCGTAGAGCGCCCTCACATACAAAGACCCCGGAGGGGCTGTGCCCATGATGCCGTTCATACTCATGTTGTTGTAGGCGGATTTGAGGATATTGCGGTCACCGTTGGAGCGGGCCAACGACGCCGATTCGGAGAGACCGACTGCGGAGTCGGGGTCGGCTTGGTTGCGCGATGTGTAGCTGTTACCTCTCTGTGTCTGTCGGATTGCCGAAGTTGGGGCCACGGTCATGAGCATCGTGATGTCGGATGCGTCGCGGGGTGTGGAAGCTGGAGGACCAGAGCGGGCATCAGGTCATGCTCCAGGGCCACTACGCACTCTGACGGACAGTTGACAAGACGGGCAGGCTATTCGTCGTCCACCGGGGAACACCTGCGAGGCACACGGGAATATACAAGCACAGCAAGGCAGCACAGCACGACGAAGTCCTCGCCAGGTGCAGCAGAAGAGAAAAAGAGTCGGGAACGCGGCGGTGGTTGATCAAAGAAGTCGTCGTCGTCGTCGTCGTCGTCGTCCTACCTCCGACCCAGCAAAGGGGGCGATAGCGCGTCAACGAGGGGTCGGTCAGGAAAGGGTCGAGCGGACACGGCGAAAAGGCACGCGAGTGAGGCACTGTCCAGAGATGCCAATGAAGTCCAATGTTGGTCGCTTGCTTGCTTCTCTGCCACAGGCGCTAGCAAGTCGAAGCAATTCGGCGACTGTCGTGGGCAAAGGTGTGAGTGGTTGACCGTTCTCCTTACCGGGCGGGTAGGGAAGTGAGATTAGAGGCCCAATTCGCTGGTGGACAGGGGGAACTGGGTCGTCGCCCCGGACGTGGGACCCAGTGGCAGCTGAGAATTCGATAACTAGCCAAGTGAAAATTGGTCGGATCTGACAGATCAGGCGATGCAGCCAGGCCTGGACGAGACGGCGACAGGATGAACAAGACGGCCCAGATTAAACGTCTGGATTGAACGACAGGCAAAACAGTGTCGCCCACCGCCCAAGAATATCCCGTGTCTGTCCTTGTTGCGTGGGTGGTGGTGGTTGTGGTTGTGGTTGCTTGTTGCTGGCCGCAGCTGGGTCTGCTGCAACCTTCTCTCACTTTTCTGGTGCGAGAAACGATACCCCTCTTCTTTTTCGGGGGTCCCCTTTCTTCGCGATTGTCTCCCTTAGCCTGCCCGAATGGGATGGGGTCGGGTGCGTATAACTTTAGTGCGTGTGTCGAGTCAAAGGCCTCAGACGTTGGAAAAAGGGACCCAAGCGGACCTTGCAGCAATGTCGCAGCCACGGGCTCCTCGTTGGTGCGATATAGTATACGGGTGCAGAAGCTAATCAAAGGGGAAAAGAAAGGTCCGTCGAACATGCAGAATGCCCGTGGACGTGGGCGCGGGCGGTGGGAATAAGACAAGACAGCAGTTCAGCACGCACCAGTGCAGAGAGCAGAGCAGAGGCAGACGCAGACGCAGACGCAGACTCCCCGTCGCAGCTTTGTGCAGAGGGGCGGCAGGGAAGCAGAGGCGGAAGAGCCAGCCAAGGAGCCGTTTGAAGGGCACCCTCTCTCCCACTCACCACCATAAGCGAGCGCTCAATTCAGGCGACAAGGAGCCACAGCAAATTGTTCCAGCGTCCAGCCCAGTGCTGCTGCAACCTTGACACCCGACAGCCATGGAGAAGGGTACATTGCATGTTTCCCCCCCAGCACGAGAGATACCAAGTCCCGACAATCCTTGGGCCCCCCAGTCGCCGGCCCAGAGTCCAGAGGTACCAGACTGCATACTGCATTGCTTCGCGCCTTGGCGGCACAGTACCTCGAGGTACGTACACCCACAGCCTTTCGCATTGATCATTCAGAGGATCAAGCTCCTCAGAATCCTTCTGCATTCGGAAACTTGGTGTGGTAGGAAACGGCCCGAGGTCCAAGGTGGCCCTCCGCAGTCGAGTCAAATGGTCGCCGTCCTCAACGACACACTAACTGCTTACATACACCGACCTTGTCTGCAGGTTACTGCCATCAGCTTCGCGGGGGCCACTCGAGCCATGGCTTCCTGGTCTACTCAAGCCCTACGGGTTGTCTGATGCTGCATGCCTTGAGGGAGCACTGCTCGTTTTTCCTTGCCGGTGCGCTCGTTCACCCACGAGCACCACGAGCTCGGACGAGAACCCATTCGGTAACCACGCCAGCTCCGTGGTAGGCGTGCGTCAACTGTTCTGCAGCGGACTCTCTCGCGCCCTGCTTAACTACATGTCAACGAGAGAGCCCATACCTACATAGTTGCTGCATAGAGTCCGGTCTGCCCTGCTATGCACTTTATGGCGCTGCATTGCCGCGTGTGCGTCCTTGGTTGGGGGTATGTATCCCCCACTTAAACCGCCGTACTAATTCTACGGACCCTTGACCAGGCTAACTAACAACTGAACCTTATTGAGTTCGCGCATCTCCAAACTCTCCTGGTTGCCAGGTCCAGGCGAGAAAAACGTTCGATTCATCGAACGACAGCTATGAAAGTCACTATTTCTTTGGGATCCGCAATGCCTGGTGCCCACACCCTGCTATTTGATGTTCTCTGCTGTGGTTATTCCCTAGCGCTGCTTGGGTCTGTCGCTTGGCGCGCATTCGCGTGTCTCTCTAGTTGCCTGGGCATGTGCGTTGCTCCGAACAATGGGGACCGGTCACTGCATGGGGGGGTATAGGGTATAACGTCTTCTGCCCTCCACGAGAGAACTACCTTTGAAGCTAGACAAGGGCTACACGTGCGGCAGTCGCTGAATCTGGAGAGCCTGCGTGGTGATCTGTGTGGCCAGCAGGCATTAACGCACGATCGATATAGGTACTGTCTTAACTTTGAACGTACTGTAGTCTCGGGATATTGATTATGAAGCTGCATGATAGAACCTCAAATATTGCTATGGAAGCCTGGCAACAGCTTCGAGAAGGTTATTCTTCCCGAACGAGCTGTTGGCCGAAACATCACCGTTTCATTCCAATACACGGCATATCTAATCCACACCTATACGCAAGGCCACCCCGTCCGCACTAGTCAACATGATCCCTCAAGGTAACCCATATGCAAAGACTGTATCTTGCGAGCTCTCGAAGCCGCCATATACGCTCTGTCGTGATTTGATGGCTCGCAGGGCGGGTATGAACAGAACTCCCGTAGGGTTCACTTTCCGACTTCAGGGATGAAGGGCACAAATATCCCGAAGATAGCGGGCTTGATTGCCTGTTCTGTTCGTGGCCCCAGCAGCAATCCATTCTGTCGGCGCATGTACAGCACCCGATAGCACGGAAGATGTCAACAACTATCCTCTCCGACAGCTCGACACGTGTAGGTGGATCACACACTAACAGCCGGACAAGCACATTTCGACCCTTGAGGCTTGCAAGGGACGATTGACAACCTTTTCGCGATTTTCTGCGATGACCTCTCAAAATTGACGACAACACCAATAAGATCAAAAGCCGACTTCGATGAATCGTAGAAATCATCCCACATGCATTTGATTTCGGAATAGCTAACCCAATCCAACTGCCCTGCTATGGGGAAAAGAGTTGCAGCGGAGATGGAGAAATCCTGCTGTCAACTCCTCTAGGAGAAATGATCGTCGTATACTGCACCTATCTGCAGAGGCGGCAATGAAGAAAGAACGCCGTGTCAGCGAGCCTATCATTCAGTGCTTCTTCGTTCCCCAGATCGAGAACAGCAAGGGATCTAACCAAGATGCATACCGAGCCGCGAAGATCCTTCGCATGGGTCTTGGGAGTTTACTGCATGTAAACACCTTCCGCTTTGAGGTCCCTGCTTGGCCTTCTCAGAGCCAAGCAAATCCAGACACAATACCAAAATCTGGTTCCCGGGACGTGGATGCAAGTGGAAGTTGGAATCCCAAATTAGTAACTGATATCGAATTTTCAAACTGGCCTCAACTATCTGTATGCTATCTTAGTCTGATGTCTGATTAGTAACCCCCACGCCGGCAGTGTCCGCCTCAAGCTTCTCGACAACCAACTACGTCAGATCAGTAGCGTGAGAACAGCCGCTGGGAGGAGTGCGATAGAGTCGAGTAGAGACGGCTCAAGACTTGAGTCTCTATGCAAATACAGTCCTGCTACTAGGCGATATAATGGCCCCAGACTGGACAGAATACGAGGCCAGCTCGTAGCTGATCTTGAGTGCAGCTCACGTGTGACTTAGGCAACTCAAGTACGTAGAAGGCAGCGGTTCCTGCGAGTGATGTTCCCCTGCATCGACTATATTCGTCACCAGGCAGAACTGCCGTTCAAACTCGATCTACGCTGCTGTGTAACGGGAGCGCGCCGATGCTCGTTCATTGGCCCTCCCCAAGGCTGTTCGAATCCTATCAAAAGGATCAATGACACCCCCCGAGCGCGCATCGGTGGGTTGTACTAAAGGAAGCGTCGTGCTCACTCAGAGACACCTCATGATGCTCCTTTGAGGGGCGGCAAAACAAGGGAGGCTCCTGATATAGCTGCCAAACGGGTGCTGACGAAGGTGCCCGTAAGCAGCCCGCCCCATTGCAAGACAGATCTGACGCCCACATGGCCAGACACTCCCAAACGGGGGCCGTCTCTCGTCTCGCTCCCGAGACGAGGTCGCATAGCAGTCTTCCGTCCGCTTGGTAACGCCCGCATGTCCGCCCGGCTGCGACGTCCCATCACGGAAGGCGTTCGTCGGCATACACGTGTCCAACGGCGGACGTCGCAAGCGAAACTGGTTAACCTTACATGCGTACAAGACATGGCTTGCAAACGGGTCTCGTCCACTCGCACGCAGCGTGGGGGGGCCTCGCTCGCAACAGACTCCGAGAACGTGGGGGACTTGCGCGTGCGGAAAAGCAACCTTCATGACGCTTTGCGCGGCGAAAAAGAGTAAAAATGCGCATTGGCCGTCAAAATATGCAGCGGATCTGTCGCTTATTCGGCAGACATCCGGCGTCCGAGCCCATGAGGAGTACTGGATAGGAGCCTTGCTTTGTCGGTAGTTGGTCCTTGCGGTCAACGTCAAGATTGAAGACCAGATATCCACGAAAGCATAAGGCATTATTCTGCCGTAGCTCTCGCTGGAAGGTCTTATGTTCTGACTGGTTGACCACATGTCAACAGATATACCAGGTCTGCGCGATGCTGTGCTGTCCTGTCAGATGCCTTCCTGTCACATCTTGAGAGCAGGCTGACTGTAATGACGGCTAGCATTTGTTTTCTGAATAGACGTTAGACGGAATGACATAGGAAA